AAAATGCTATTTTCAAAAGTGCGAAAGTGTGACTTTTAAAAAACTACTTTGCAATATAATATATAGTACAATGATTGGATTGTGGTCTTTTAAACCGCGGCGAAATGGTAAAGTGGAGATCATGCTCGGTGAGTTAAATAATCATATTATTGAAAGAAATTATTATTTTTTTTTTTTTTTTTTTTTTACTTCAAATGTATAAAATGTGCAATTCATTTTGTACATACTTATTGCATTAGGTTTTATTAATATTTTTCCCCTCTTTTTTTTACAATGAAATTTTTATTCAAAATTTCGAAAAAAATTTCCAAGGAAAATAAAAACCAAAAAAATAACAATTTTTTTTTATTTTTATTAAAGCGAAGTTATCAACAAAAAAAAAATTAGTTTAATAAATAGTAAACAAATAAATTTAAAAAAAGTAATAAATAAAAAATAAATATTATAATAATAATTTAATAAATAAATTTTTATTTTATTTCTATTTTATCAATTTCTATTCAATCGAATTTTTTATGACAGATATTTTTGTTTCGATAAATTTTAATTTTTAAATAAAAATATAAAAAAATTATTTACATTAATTAAATTAATATTAAATTAAATAAATAAAAAATGAAGGTCCAAAGAAGTTTTGAAAAAAAATGTAGAAAACCGTTTCTCAAATTAGAAAAAAAAAAAAATATATGGGAATATTAACTGAACCCTCAATAATCATTTGCATAATTTAATATATGATATATAGGAAAAAATAAATAATTTTACTTGTCATTAAGTCAACCAAATTTTTATCTTATAAATCTTTCCGAAAATAAAAATTTCCCTTAATATTCTAATTATTATTTTTTGATGACATTTTTTTTTATCATTAATCGTATTTATTAATTTTCCATTTTTTCGAAATGAAAAAAAAATATTTGTATAAATTAATTTTTTTTTAATCTATATTTATATATATAAAATTGTTTATTGCGTCCTTTGATCCTTTGCACATGCAAAATAAGATTTACACGAATGGTTTTAAAAAAAAAAAAAATTTTCAAGTAGGTCACGTGATATACTGCATTTCACATAAATTATTAATTATTTTCTTCACGACATTGCGATTATAATATATATATATATATATATATATATATATATATATATATATACTTTCTCCTATTTGTGAAAATCGAAATTCTATTATAGTGATAATAACAACATGACACGAAAAGCACAAATACTCGCAGTCTATATGATATATATAAAATAATTATTAACAATTATTCCCCTCGAATTCTAAATTTAAATTTAGACTAATTTATATATCCACACGTGTGTATATAAAAATGTGTCAAATTTAATAAGATAATTTTTTAATATAGGTCAGTCTCTTTGTTATTTAATTAAAAAAAAAAAAAAATACGAAATAAAGAAAAATCACAGAATTCAACCTGATCGCAAAATAAAATAGACATTAATCGATGAAATTAATTAAAAATTTGTCAAAATAAATCAATGGTGTATTTAATGATGTGTTTTCTAAATTTGAATTTACAAAATTGTTTTTTTTTTTAATTTTAATTAAATTCCGTCTGTTCGAGACTATTTTAATTTTGCAAAATTTCTTTCTATTTTCAAATATATAATTATTTATAATAAATAAATTAAAATATTCAATATTTTGATAATTAATTTTTTATATATTTTTTTTTTGTATTTTTTAAATATAAATTAAAATTTTTTATATTTTTAATATTTAATATTAATTAATATTAAAAAATTATAATTTATTATTAATTATTTAAAATTGAAAAATTAAAATTATCCAGATAAAATAGAAAAAAAAATTAGTTAGAGGATAAAATAAATTTTTAGTAAATTTTTCTATAATTAGTGAAAATAGTAAATAAATGTCAGCTGATGAACTAGGGGCTATTGTAGTTAAATGATCATTTTGCCATTTATATTCTCGATTCATTTTCAAAAACACGGAAGCTATGTTACATGTATATATATATATATATATTCTACATATCATGTCTGCTTTTGACATCTGAGACTTGAAGCGAAATTGAAGAGAGATTTTCATTATATTTCAATATAAATGACATTTATTATTATCAATTATTAAATCTATATTCACACTGAGCTTTGAGTCATCTCAAATAGTAATCTCTAAAATATATCAGAATTAGCAAAGTTTTTAACTAATTTTCCCAAATTAGTAAATTTTTAATTAATTATAAAAAGAATTTTTTTTTTTTTAATTAACTAAAAAAAAAAAATTTGCACAATTAGTAAAATTTAATTAATTGGTTAAAATCAAAATGTTTTACTTTTATTAATTAAAAAATTTTTTTTTACCAATTATTAATTAAAATTTTTCTTCAAATTTTATTAAAAAATTTACTAATTTAAATTAATTCAATTATTTATTAATTGAAATTAATTATACAATTTTTTATTAATTTAAATAAGTTAAAATAATTTTACAAATTTTATTAGTTAAAAGTACGATTTCAAATTTAGTTGAAATTTTTCCCATTAATTAAAATTTAGAATACAAAAATTAATTTTTTTTAATTGACCTTTCATTATAGCAAAAAAAAAAGTGTCAAATATAGATTTCCTTTTGATGGTCGGAATTCGAAATATAAATGTCACTTAATTCAAACATAGAAAGGAGGGAGAAAGTTTACTATAAATATACATAATAATAAAATACTAAGGAGTTTAGCAGTATTATTATCCAAAGTCAAACCCTCGCTCTTACACTTCAACCTTGCATTAACTTTGCTTATATTTAAATTATATAGTCAAAAATAATTCCCAACGAATTATTTTTTTAATTTTTATTTTGAGAATTTTTTTCAAATAAATTTTTTTCCCGCAATTCTAAAAAAAATATTTTTTAATTATAAATTTTTCAAAATTATTCCAATTATTGAAAAAAATTTGTTTATATGCTAAAATTTGTATTTTCTCTCAACTAAAATGAAAATGGGGGGACAAATTGAAATTTACTGAAATAGAAACTTTGGCATTTAAAAATTGTTCAATGAAATCTGTAAGGAAAGATTTTTTTTTTTTTTTAATTTGTCAAAAAGAAATATTTTTTTGAAGACGAAAATTGTGATTGCTCCTCGATTTTAGTATAACATAAATTTATTGACATTTTCCGCGTGTCAAAGAGAATTTTCAGAAGAAAAGCGACTTTGATCATTGAACCAAAACATAACTTGACTAATCGCTAAAATTCAATGCTCGAACAGCTGTATCAATATTTCTCAAGGTAGACATTTATTTATATAAAAAATAAAATCAAAAATTATTCTAAAGACGAATATTAATTATTTATTATATTTTTTATAAAAAAATCTTGTTTTGAAGTTAAAATTTTTTTACAAGTCTTAGTTGTAGAGAAAAAGCCCCTAGGTAACTATTTTTCTAAAGTGCAATTGCTGAAGAGTGTTTCTTTATTTAATACATTTACGAGATAGTAAGAAAAAGAAGAAGAAGAAAAAGGTTGTAAAGTAAGAGTTGAAAGAGGCGAAAAAAGGAAATTTCTCGCGCTTAAAGCAAGCACAAAAAGTTTATTTAGTAACTTTTTTTTTTTTTTTTAAAAAGTGTTTATTAGATTTTTCTTCTCTTTTTTTCAAAAATAAATTTTTTTTTATTCAAGAAAAGTAATATAATTCTTATTATACAAAAAGTAAATTTAATTATAATTTTTAAATCATATTTTTTTAAAACAATATTAATTAATTTAAAGGAAAATAATTAAAAATGAAAAAATATTTTTGGAAATTAAAATTGTATTTTACTTTTTCTAATTTAAAAAATAATTTTTTAATATTTAAACTGATTAAAATTAATTAATTCATGTTAGCAAAATTTTTTTTTTGTAATTATTAATTAAAAAATTAATTAATTATTAAGGTATATATTTTTTTGAAAACGATAAAAAAAATCACATATTGCATCCTATAAATGAAAGCACGAAGTCATTTTCTACGAGCGAGACTTTATTTTTAGTGCTTTTAATCGTGATCTTCCGCTTTCTTCGTCCATCTTCGACGTTAAAAGCACAAGATCAGTCTTGAAATGGTAGTTAAACTTGTAGTGCGTTTCTCATAGGTTTTTTTATTTTTTTTTTTTTACAAATTGATAACATTTTTCAAATCCCGATGGGATGGTCAAAGAAATTCAATTTTTATGGTACGATTTTTAATATTTTTCTTGTATATTAAATTTTGTATTTTTCAAATTATTCACACAAAAGAAAAAATAATTTCATTTTCAGGACATAAATTGTATTTTTAGAAATTTAATTTTCAATATTTATATAAATTTTTTCTTATTCTATAATTTTTCTCTATATATTTGATAATTTCAGAATATTTCTAAAAATAATTTATTATTACAATTTAAATAATAGAAAAAAAAGAATTTTTCTTGTCAACTGGGAGAAAATTGGAGAAATTGATATTCTGTACTTGTACATAGTTTTCTTGACTTGATGAATTGGTAAAGTGAAAATTGATAACTTTGTTGGAAATGTAGGTGTTACCCAAAGAAGTTGCGCTTGACAACTGAAAAGCATATTAACTTACATGAAAATATTCCATTTGTTAAATTGAAATTTTCATAAATTTGAAAAATTGACAAAAAAAAACATTTTTGTTTAAAAAAATAATTCTATTTAGTAAAAATTCAAAATTCGAATAAATTTGATGAAAAAATAAAACAAAAAATTTCCTCTTTTTCGAAAAAAAATTCCGTTTTATATTTTATTTCCTTTATATATAAATATATACAAAATTTCTACACTAATGAGTTCTCCGGAATAATAATAATAATAATAATAATAATTACTCCTATAATTGTATTTTAAATGAAATTTTCAAAAGGAAAATTATGATTTTAATTTTTCTGTGTAATAAAAAAAAATTATTTTTTAAATTGTTTTTAAATATAAAATAATAATAATAATTTTTTTCTTTTTTTTCTTACAGGTTCAATTATGTTCCATGTTAGAAGAAGACCAGCGGATTATGTGCCTCGGAAAAGAAAGAAGAAACCAACTGGAAAATGGGGTGAATTTGATCATCGTTATGAAGATGAGAGATTACCATTTTTCATTGAATTAAATCCAGATGGTACAGATATTGCTAATGGAGGTGGAATTCGTCATCGATTAAAGCCAAATAATGTTACTGAAGTTGGTTCGGAGATTCCAATTGATCCAAAAATTCAGGCACAAACAATTATATTGGCTGGACCAACCGTAATGCCTAGACATTGTATTATTGCATATACTGATAATACTGTTACGTTAACGCCTTGCTCGAGGGAAGCTCACACTTATGTGAATAATGCAATGATTAATTACACCACAATTCTTCAGGTAAAAAAAAAGAAAAAAAAAATTTTTTAATTACTTAATAATACTAAAATAATAATTTCAAAAAAAAAATAATTCAATTGAAAATCTTTTAAATACAAAAAAAATTTTAATTTGTATTAGAAAAAATTAGAATCAAATTTAAATTTATAAATTACGAAAGTTATTTAAATTTTTCCCTCTAGTGTTGAGTTATTTTTCTTTTAATAGGAAATTTATCAAAACAATATCAATTGTAGAATATTTTATCTATTTTTTAAATTAAATTTTTTATGAGCTTTCTAGATTAAAAAATTTTTTTTTTTTAAATTTGATCTCTATTTTGATAAGAAAACAATTAAAAAAACCTATTTGCTGTAAAAGTTGCAAAATTTTTTTTTTTATTATTTTTTGAATTTAATTGAAGAATAAAAATACTTGAAAAAAAGAAGTTAGAATCTTTCAGTGATTTGAATTTATATTTTATAAATTACGAAAGTTAATTCCCTCTGGTGTTGAATAATTTTTTCTTTTAATAAGAAATTTATCAAGACTTATTGTTTGAATGTTTTTCCCTCTTAGTATTAAGAAAAGTTTTTTTTTTTTAAGTGTCAGTGCCACTAAAGACACTTCTTGTTGAGACATTGTTTGCGGCTCTAGTTTTTTTTTTCTTTGAAATTTAATACAGTATCGAAAAACTTTTTCTTGTATTAATAAAACAAATATTTCCCTCTCTCTCTTTCTCTATCTATGTGATATTCTTATTTTAATTGATTAAATGTCATTAACAGATTTAATTTTCTTTTGTAGAATGGCGCTATTGTTAAATTTGGAAGGTCACATACTTTCAGGTTTATTGATCCAACACCTGAGGATCGAATGAGATACAGGCATGATTCCAATCGACAATTGGATGCTTACGCTTACGACAGGTAAGAAATTATTTTCTCAATAAATATTATAAATGTTATCTGTAGTTTTTCATTTAGAAATAAAGCTAAAAATCACATTTTTAATTTTCTTCACTCATTATTTATATTTAATATTTTAATTTACATATTTGGCTTCGATTTTTTATTTTATTGTATATTATTATTATTTTGCTTGATGTTTTGCACCTCGCTTTTTTTTTTGGCAATTTAGAAGATCGCCCGATACAACGAGCCAGGAGGTGAGCTCTGAAAAATATAGATCGGATTCTGGAACACCAAACGGTGGTCCAGGTTCGAATCCACCAAGTCCGACAAAATCGGCAGCCACAAGTCCCAGGAGTCCCACGCATAATCCTCATTCATTGGAAACAACGCACAATTATGAGACAACTTTTGATCTCGATGGAAATGTTGAAACCGCTAGTCTCACTAGCAGCCGCGATGGAAACAGGTAAATAAAATTTTTCTCTCGCAAAAAAAAAAAAGAAAAAGAAAACAATAGCTTTATTATAATATTGTAGTTTTAACGCTGAAACTCGACTTGAAAAAACGCAAGGTAAGAAAATAGTTTAAATTAACGGATTTTTTAAAAAAATATTTCCTTTTTAATTTTTAGGAATTTTTTTTTGCGATTAACTAGTTTACAACACTATTGTCTTTATATATCACGTCTTTTGTTCAAAAACTTGAATTCAAGTTTCTTGCACTTTACGAATAATAATGCTTGACGTATTAAACTTTTAATTACATATTCTCCAGTACAATAAGTTGCTTACAGTTAACAGTGGTTTTCATTAATTAGTATTCCTCTTGTACATTCAAATATAATTTACTACTGGATTGAGTTACAAAAAAAAAAGCGAGCTGACAAGAAATAAGTCAATTAATGGAAAAAATGATAAATTTTCTATCTCACTACATCTATTTAATGGAGAAAATTATTCGCGACGAAAATGTTAACTTTTACCCCCCCCACTTAAGAATTATTATTAAATTTTATCAATTTTTATAAACTAATTTTTAAAAAAATTCTATTCTATGCTTCATTATTTTATTCTTTATTTTGTAATTTAATTATTTATTTATTTCTAGCAAAAAAAAAATAAAAATGCCGTTTTATTATTTTTTTTTAAAATTAAAAATTGTTTATTTAAAGACTCTCTCAACAACCAAGAGGCACGGATCCAATTTTACCAGCTGTCTTGGAATTCCTTGAACAATCGGAGGATACATTTCTTCATGCTGTTATCACAGACGTGGAACCAAATTCTCCGCAATTTAAACTTGCGCCAACGTATACTTTGTATCTGGCAGCAAGATACAGAGCGAGTACACACTATAGACCTGAACTTCAACCAACTGAAAGAGCACATAAGCTTACGGCAATGTTGGAAAAAGTCGCAAATATGATTCATCAAGTCATACAAGTGAGTAATCATTTTCAAAGTGACACATTTTTTTTTTTTTACTATTTTAATACTTTTTTTACATACTATTTTTTGCCAAAAGCCACTAAATGGTACTTTTTTCGAAAAAAAAATAATTTTAAAAATAACAGAAATCAAGAATTTTAAATTTTAACGAATTTTTTGATTCAGCTAAAAATTACAGAATTTTTATTTTACAAAATTTCTCTGTACCCAACTGTTTTTTTTTTTTTTAATCTAATTTAACCGAAATTCAGACAATAATTGAATTTTAGAGTATTTTAAATTGAAATTTTTTTTAAATAATTGAAATGTCAAGATCTTGATTCAATTTATTAAAAATAATTATTTCAATAAAAAATTTGAATCAAAATTTTTAATAATAATTGAATTTCAGGAGATTTTGAATTAAAATTTTAGTAAATTAGAATTGCTGAAAATTATTAACAAATTTTCAAATAGTAATTGAATTTTAGAGAATTTTTATTTAATTTAATTTTTGGATAAAATTTATTTGAAATTATTAATTTAGCAAAGAATTTTAGATACAAATTTTAGAAATAATTGAATTTTCCAAGAGTTCAAGTTCTACTGAATGAGAATTGTAATAAATTAAAAATATGTTAAATTAGAATTCTTTTCAAGAAACAGTTGGTTAAAGAGAAATTTTGAAAAATAAAAATTCGTTACTTTGAAAATTCCGTTTAAACATTCGTTTAAAAAATATTTTGTGTTAACGTCAGAATTAGAAAACTAATTTTACTTTATTTTAAACATACCACTTTTTTTGATACTATTTTTAATTTTGGGGATATTTTAATAGATTTTTTTTTTAAATAATTATTTATTTATAATTTAATTTTGTAAATAAAAATTTGTCTTGAAATTCTCTATTTTTAAATTGAAATTAATTTTTTTATTTTCTCTCTATAAGGAACGTTACATGAACGCATTGTCTCTTGCTCTTTGGCTTGCAAATGGATCGGAACTTTTACACATGTTAAAAAGTGATCGTCACATAACATCATTTTCAATAAGAGCACAAGAAATTCTTGGTGAAGCTGTTCATTTTGCCTTTTCATCATTGGTACGTTGCGTATCATTAGAATTGGCACCGGCAATGGTACAATTTATGGCCGATGCCGATGAACCAGCAAAAGAAGCGGGTGTATTGCAAATTTTTTTCAGCACCATGGCACTATTGAGACGTTGTCGAGTTAATGCCGCATTGACTATACAATTATTTAGTCATTTATTTCATACAATAAATGCAACGGCATTTAATGCACTTGTTTCAAATGGTAATCTTTGCGTTAGATGGTTTGGCCGAAGATTAAAGGCAAGATTAAATGCCCTTGAAACATGGGCCGAGAGACAAGGTCTTGAATTGGCAAGTCAATGTCATCTTGCAACAATAATGCAAGCAACACATCTTCTTCAAGCGCCAAAATATAATGCTGAAGAATTGGCAACATTGAGTTCAACTTGCTTTAAACTTAATTCATTGCAAGTTAGGGCACTATTGCAAAAATATCAACCTGCACCCGATGAACCGAGATTACCTGCGGAATTAATTGAAAATGTCGTTAGGGTAAGTGTGTCTTTTTTTACGTTTAAAAAATTGTAATTTTTCTCATCATTTAAATGTGAAAATAAATTTTATAAAAATTTGATTTTTCTTTTAATTAAATAGGTGGCGGAGAGTGTGGCTGATACTTTAGCGCGTGCTGACGGTAGGGAAATTCGTTTGGAAGAGGAGCCAACATTAGCTTTGGCTTTATTATTACCTGAGGATGGTTACAGTTGTGAAGTAATTAGAGGTGTTCCTCCAGGATTGGCAGAATTTTTGTTACCCCTTCAACGTGATGGTTTATGTCGAATGGCACCTCAAGCAACTAGCAGTGGATTTTGGACTATCTACATGATTGATCATCACAATAATGTTTGTATTTTTTAATAATTGGAAATTTTTTATTAAAAATCAGAAAAAGTCAGGGATATTTATAAAAAAAAAAATTGTTGATTTTAAATGGATATTAATATTAAAGTAAAAAATTTGTTTTGCAGTTCCGAAGTCCGAGCGCAATGAGTAACAGATCGGGAAATTTTTCTCATATCGGACAAAATCAAGGACAACCTGAAGTTCAAGTGATTAAACTTCATAAATCTACGAATGGAATGGGTCTCAGTATTGTTGCAGCAAAGGTACGAGTTTTTTTTATTATTTTAATATTCAAATTTTATTCCAGTGCTTTTAAATTTTCTCTTTTTCAGGGAGCTGGACAAGATAGATTAGGAATTTATATAAAGAGCGTCGTTGCTGGAGGAGCTGCTGATACTGTAAATATTTTAATTCATTTGAAAATTGTTAATTGAACAATATCAAATTTTCGAATATAAAAATATTTTCTGTTTGTTTATTCAGGACGGCAGATTAACTGCAGGAGATCAATTATTAAAAGTTGATGGTCAGAGTTTAGTTGGAATTACACAAGAAAAGTAAATATATAATAAATTATCGTGAAAATATCTTGATATTTTCTAAAATCTATTTTGAATTATTCCAAATTTACCAATTTTTCTGCGAATAATTTGATTTTATTAAAAAAATTATTTCTCTGTGATGTTATTATTAAAAAAAAAATTGTTTTCAGAGCTGCCGAATATCTTGTGCGAACGGGACCAATTGTAACATTGGAAGTTGCTAAACAAGGTGCCATATATCACGGATTGGCTACTTTGCTTTCTCAACCTTCTCCTGTTATGACCAGAGGTAAGTAATAAAAAAAAAAATATCAAAAGTTCGAAAAAGAAATAAAAAAAAAAAAACTCGCTTTTGCTTTAGACAAATGTCTGCTCTCATAACTAATACTGAAAATAAATTTAATATTTTGCATTTTATTCCAAACTTAATAAAACATTCTGCATTTTGTTCTAAAAAAAAAAATAGCACTTAATGCATTTTTTAACGCAATTTCTTTAGCTGAATTTCATGCTTGCTCAATAAAAATAATAATTCTCTCTGTGACTAATAAACTCGCTTTAACTAATATATGCTTAAAACTAACTATTGTTTCAAACAGAGCTTAATAAGGCACGACCAAAATCGGAACATTTAGAACCTTCCCGACTGGCTGATAAAACATCACAACCATCAACATCTCATTCGATGGGGAATTTATTGAATGTTCCAAAACAGGGATATCAAGAGCGTTTAGTCGATTGGGATTTAGATCATATTCAACCAGGTTCGACACATCTTCAAGTAACACAATCGCAGTATCAAAATTTCTATAAAAATCCTTCCTATTCTACTTCTACTTCTACTTCTTTCCATTCACAAAATTTAACAATTCCACGAATAATGTCGTCTAATTCAAATAGTTCAAATCTCGCGACAACAATTTATCCAATTAATGAATTACCACCATCAGATGATGATGATCATCATAATCATCATCATCATCATTATCATCATTGTCATACGCAAAATTATTGGACCAAAAGACGGCAAATTCCTATTATTCAAGAGCCGAATCAAATGTTCCTAACTATTCCGAGCCATGGTGAACCATATCCTCCATATCCAATGAGAGTTTCAAGAAATTCAATTCGTTCACAATATGGTTATTATACTAATGATGACAAGACTGAATTAATTTTTCCAACAAGAAATTCCTCTGAAGATAGTGTTGATTCATTAGATGACGATAAAGACGAATCAATTCCCTATATTGATGATGATAAATCAGAGGAAAGTCAAATTGGCGATTTTTCTCCATTGGATAATTTTAAGGAAAAATCAGAGAAAAATAATGAAGAAACAATGGAAAATAAAAAAGAAATCGATGACGATGTGTTTGATGAAATTTTAGTTATTTCAACACCAAAAATGCATACAATTATGCCAGAACTTAATCTCGATCTCAGTGGTTTAAATAGTGATATTTCAAGTGAGGATTCAAATCCTGAGAAATGTTGGAAATCACCTGAAGAAGTACGTCTTGGTTGTGGTCGTGTTGCCGCATTAGCTAAACATTTCTCCAAACTCGGTGAAGCTGGATTAATAAAATTAAAATCAATGAAATTAAATGGTTCACGTCAATTTATGTCTGAACCTGATGTAACAATGTCAAGGGAAAATTTCGACGATAATGTTAAATCAAATAAAAAGGAATTTAAATCCGAAAGTGATTTATCAAAATTAGATAAAACTATTCAACCCGAAAAAGAATGGAATATGATATTATTGGATATTCAAATAAATGAAGAATTAAATCAAAATAAAGTAATTGATAAAAAAGAAAAATATCAAGAAAAACTTTCTTTAGAAGAACAAGAAAATATAATTGAACAATTAAAAGAATTTACAAATTTAGATAATATTGATGCTCCACTTTTCATTCCAAATGAGAAATTTAGAAAAAATTCCAATTCCGATAAAGAAACAATGACAGATAGTTCATCAAATAGTAGAATTGATATACCAAAATATGTTGTTGGTACAACAATGCGTTTTGAAAATTTTCGTCAAAATTCCTTACCAACTGTACTTAATAAAATAAATATTTCACCAAATTTTCAAACAAAAATAAATAAACTCGAAAAATATTGGTCAATGAAAGATTTAATGTTTGATGATATTGAAACAATGAATGATTCACCGAAATATTTTATTTTTCCCACATGTTCACGTGTTGTCTCAGCACCGGAAATTTCCAACGATGATGAAATTAATTTATTTCAATTTCATTCAATTTCACAAGGTGAACAATTAAATATAAAAAGTACTATTTCATTAAATGAAAAAGAATGTTTAAATTCAGCAACTGTTATTGAATCAAATGATAAGGAGAGAAAAGTGAATTTTCAAATTCAAAGTAAATTAAAAATGAATTCATTTTTAAGAGGGAAAAATTTATCGAAAAGTCAAGAGGAACTTGATGAAAGAAAAAAATGTTTGTTTAATAATAAAAATAGTAGAATAATATCTAAATCATTGGAAAAAATACCTAATTTAGAAATGATAAAATCAAAAAATTTCTCACAACCACGTAGAGAGAGAAATTCATTTATTGGTACTCATGCGGCAATAAAATCAGTATTAGAGAATTATAATAGAAATGATGATAAATTATTTAATAATTATGATAATGGAAAAAAGAAGTTTTGTAAAGAAAAAGCAAAAAGTGATTTAGACATTTCTGAACGAATGCCAACGCCAAGATTTGAAAGAGGAGATTGGATCTTTCGAGAATTTCCACCGTTGGAAAATCTTTCTGATACGCGTAAGCCGGTGGATTATGTATTACAAAACAAAAAATCTTGTTGTTTACACATTCTGCCTGTTTAAGTTCAAACATCGTTTGCATTTTATTTACAAAAGAAACAAATTTCGTTTTTTTTTATGCTTTCCCTGGAATGCTTTTTTCTTTCTTTTGTTTTTATACACATTACATAATTTAAATTATGTAGTTTGTATATTTTTTGTATAGCTTCATCATTGAAATCAAATTAGAATTGATAAAAGAAACTTTTTACAAATTGCATTCAAAAAAAAAAATATGTTTCTTATTCAATTTCTCATTATGTTTTGATTCCGTTTATCGAAATCATCATACATATTATTTTTACACATTTTTAATATTTTCATCTCTATTTAATTAATACTAATATTTTAATTTTCTTATTTCTTTAAAAACCACTTGCTTTGCACAATTTGCAGACATTATTGAATTTTTTTTTTTTTGAATGTTTATTTTCTGTACATAAATTATAGGAGACTAGGTTCTTGCATGTTATTCATATTTTTAAATGTACAGAATGACGTTTCCTTTTTTCCTTATTCCTTTTTTTTTCAAAATTTTTCCTTAAACTGCATATTATTGTTTTACGAGATTTTTTAATAATGTTTAATTTTAATATAAATTTTATTATCATTTTATATCAATTATTAAATTACAAAATTTTTTTTTTTTTATTAATATTGAATATTAGAATAACACATGACATCATTTTATGGCATGTTTTTTTTGCACGTTACGTGTAACAAATTTACATTTGCTTTTTGGCATGTTTATGGCATTAACTAAAAAAATGCATTTTTTGTGCATCATGTGCTTCTACAGGACCCAGACGCATGAGTGAACGTGATTTGCCATCACGTCTAGGACATGATCCGACTCCCCAACAAATTCATAGCAGCAAGTCTGTCCCAGCCCTGCATAGTAAGTAGATACAAATTTTTTTTTTTTATTTTTTTCTACGACAATTTTTAATTAATTTCACTGTATTGTTTTAACTCTTTTATTCATTGTCTTTTCTCTCTATCTGCTGTTTGTGTTTCTAAAAATAGCTTTGCATATTTTTTTAATTTCATGATACATTTTTAAAAAATTATTCATTTCTAAAAAACAAACACTTTTGATATTTTTATGTTAATATAAATTCGTATAAATTATATTTATATTAATTTTTTTTAAATAATATTTTTACTAATAATTAATTAGTTGCAATAGAGAAAATTTGGTTTTTTTTTCGTGAATATTGATTTAATTTTGTATTTCTACAGATGTAGGAACAGAGGGTAAACAGCAACACGAAGTCTTCGGTCCCGGATATAGTAGAGCATCTTCCAGTAATAGTGTCACTCCACCTGTTCAACCACCACCAATGCCAGCAATGAATGGAGCATCATCCTTAAGATCCAGGTAAATTTTGATTTTTTTTCGTTTTTTCTTTGATCCGAATTAAATGTGGTATTTAAAAAATTTTTTTTTATAAATTATTTATAAATCTCTTTTTCAATTATTATTATTATTTCTCTAGATCAAGTCACAATCTTCATGATCCAATGAGAGCTGGTACATTACCACCATCGGGATTAGTGAGCCGTCAACAATCATCACCTAATTTAACACCAAACCAAATGCATCCACAAAATAATTTACAAGGAAACGAGGCTGAGAGATTCTATCAAAATTTAAGTGTCTATCGAAATCAAGATTCAACGGTAAAACAACAACCAAGTCCACCTCAACCTTTGGATGAAAGAAATTCGTTGCAGAAAAATTTAAGAGGTTCACAAAGTTCATTAAATCGACCAGCAATTGATTTAAATCAATCGCGAGATAGGCCAATATCTGCCTATATTCCACAAGGTCAACAACAATCGTACATTACAAATCAAGGACAACATCAAGGACTTCCACCGAGATCACAATCATCTCGCGATATTATTAGACAAGAGGCAAAACTTCAAGAAATGCAAGAAGAAGTTCGTCGTCGTGAATTACGAGGTGGTCCTCCAATATCAAATATTTATCGACCAAACACTTATAATGTGCGGCCAATGATTATTCCACAATCAAATTCAATTCGTCAATCGCGACCAATTGGATCGACGCCAAATTTGGGACCAACATCACCCACTTATGGTGCACGACAATTGCCACCTTATGGATTTAATGAGGGACAATATAATCAAAATCAATTTGCCAAACAGCAGCAGCAGCAGCATTCAATTTCCAATCAATATGGTATGATGACAAAGGCAAAGAATGATGATCCAACAAGATCGGATGCAATGAGACAATTTGTTGAACAAAGACAATATTCACAAAATGGTGGTTCATATTCAAATGGACAAACGGAATTAAGAAACGATCAATATCCATCGGGTGAGGGAATTTTGAATCGTAATCAAAATGGTGAAATATTGGGAATGGAAAATCCACCATCAAGGCCAATGCTTCCGGAGGATGGTTTTCGTGAGAGTCCACCGCCACCGCCGCCAAATACCTCGACACATCCATTATATAATAAACAACCTGACACAAGGTATACGGCGAGTATGCAAGATCCACCTAAAGGTGGTTATTATCCAACAACTGGCACAACACAACAACCAAGGCAGTATCAATTTAGTGCGTCGAATCCCTGGCAAAGGGAGGAAAGAGAAAAGGTTAAATATTAATTGAATCTTTAAATCAATGATTTGACAAATATTTCTAATTTTGTAATTTTTTTTAACAAATTTCTTTTTTTCAGGAACAAGCAAGAAGAAGAGAAGCGGCAAGACAATGGCGAGATCAACAAATTGCCGAATTAACAGCATTGCCTCATCGAACACCACTACAGGAAGAGCAAGTACGTGCCTTGCAACTTGAGAGAGATTTTCAAAAACGCGCCGAAGAAGTTGCACAACAACAAGATGACGATGACGAAAGTAATGAAGTTGATAATGAAAGTGTACAACGTGTACAGGGACTTTTACGAATGGCTGCAACACAAGATAGAACAAATCAACAACAAACATTATCAAGAACAAATACAAATAATCAATCAATAAGAGGTGTTCTCTCATTACAATCAGTTGGCAGTCAATTACAATCAACAAATGTTCCAATGCACACAGCAATAAGCCATCAAGGATTACAAGTTTCCGTTAATTCTTATGGTGGAAATTTAAATGAAAATTCAAATATTAATAATCAAAATATTAATACACAACAATCATTATCGCCCTCTTATGGTTCGGCATTAAATCAAATTGCAACTAGTCAGAAACCAACAATTATTGCTACGACACAAAATGAAGAACGTGAACGACAACGAAGGATAGAGGATTTAAAAAGAAAACAAACGGAATTTGATGAGAATCAAAAAAAGAGGGAGGAAGAAATAAGACAACAGCAACAACAATTGCAAATTCAACATCAGATGCAACAACTTTATCAACAGCAGCAGCAGCAGCAGCAACAACAACAAACAAATTTACGAAGAGATCCAAATTTACATCCTGGAATGTTGAGATTGGATAATCTTGTTATTAACGGCCCTAATTCACCTTGTGAGTAATAAAAACAAAATCCTAAATTTATTATATTCATTAGAATTATTTTATATTTATATTTGAAATATATTTCTCAGCTTCTCAAAATGGGAGTAGTGAAGCTCCTCCACCACCGCCAGAAAGAGGTTCGAGTTATGCAATAATGTCACAGCAAAGTGCTTTAAGATCGAATAATTCAACAACATCTAATACACCAATTGGTTCTCATCAAGCAACAACGAAACGTGTTTCTTTCCATGATCCAAATGCAAATACTGAAACAACCACGCGCAATATGACTGGAACGACGAGTAATACTTCATTAACAATGGATACTATTCGAGAAGATCCAAATGTAAGTCCAATATTATCAAATTATTTATTTTTATAATTTTAATAATTTTAATAATTTTAATAATATTGAAAATAATTTTTTTTTAATAATAATGATTCGTGAAACAATTTGATTTTCAAATTTTGTTTAATTATCAGGGTTTACCACGAAAATTTTATTTAGAAAGAATTTAAATTTTTTTAAAATTTTTCTTTGAAACTATTTCAAGAGATTTTCAATTATAAAAAATTATTTTTAGAAGCAAAATTTTGAATTAAAAATTTAAATTATAATTTTAGTTTCATTTTTAGGATATTTTCCCAGTACTTTTTTTATATGAAATTCCCTGAAAAAAAATTGAAGAAATTTCTTTTTTAAACTTTCTGACAAGAGAAAGAAAATTCGGAAAATTTTATATTCTATTATAATTATTAATATTATATTATTGTAATAATTATTTTAATTATTTATCTAATATTTTCTCTACTAGAGTTTTTATTTTTAAATAATTTATTATAGAAATTTAAATTTAGAATCATTATTTTAATTTCTAATTTTATTTTAAACTATTTATTGCTAAAAAAAAATGTATAATTTAAACATTTGGATGTTAGTTATTCGTAACTATATTAAAAGAAAATTGAATATTTCTTTAAAATGCGCACACATTGGCAGGTTTCAAAATAAGGTATATCTTTAAAAATCACAATGCCTGTTGATTTCATGAGATTTTCCCAAAAAAAAAAAAAAAAAATTTATTGACAATTGCATGATGTAATAACGATTTTCTATTGTATTTTGTATTACTATAAATTCTATCTTCAGCAATCATCATCATCTTCTTCTTCATCATCAAAATCTTCATCATCGCCGTTGTTATCATCATCATTATCATGATTATATTTAATCATGCAATAATTGTTTTGTTTACTGTGTGATTGTTCTTTAATGTTATTTGAAATAGCAAAAAAAAAAATTGAGACAGTTTCAAAAAATCTCAACTAGATAGATTTTTCAGGGTGTCCACTAATTGAAAAATAAAAAAAACAAGTTGTTTCGAAAAAATTGTTGATAATTGAAATAAATTGGAAATTTTATTAATTTATTTTAAATTAAGTAAATTTTTGAAAAAAAAAGGTTTTTGCAACAATTTTTTTGTTTTTTGAAATTATATAAATAGAAATTAATTAATCTAAATTATGGCTTCAAAAATAATTAAAAATTAAATAATTGAAAAAAGGAACTGTAGTTGACACCCTGAATTTTATTCGCGTGAAAATTGATGTGTAGGTTTTTTTTTTTTTATATCGAACTTAGTTGTGTGAAATTTAGTTGTTTGCTCTTTAAAAAAAAAAAAGAAACCAAAATAAAATTTTGTCAATAATTTCTTTAAATTTATATTCTTTTCAGAATTTTATAAACGATGCGGAAACTCTTCTTGCTTCTCCAAAAACACCAGAAGGTCCAGGTGGAATTTTTTCATCAGCAACACCAGGTGTGATTGGCGCACAAGAAGTCTACAAGTATGTTAAAAAATTTTTCTATTCTAATTGAATTTTTTTTTAAATTTCCCTTTTCACAGCAAATATTATTTATATCAAATTAATTTACTCTCCCTGCTAGAAGAAAGATTCGAGGGGCGAAAAATATTTTTATAATAATAATAATTTATTTATATTAATGATAAAATTATTAATTTCAGAGATCCAAGACAAAAGCGCTTGGCTGAGAAGCAAAAACAACAAAATTCACAAATGGGAGCTGTGCCAGAAAAGCTGAGTTTCAAAGAAAAAATAAAGATGTTTGCCATTGAAACTGGTGAAGATGGAACACCAAGAGATAAGGTAAAAATTTCCCGAGCCCAACGTGAAATTGACAACATTGGCAGTCCTTTAAGTCCAAACAATAACAGAAGCTAAAAAAAATATTATTAAATATTTTGCCTACTCTGGACAGTAGGTACTTCATTATTTAAGACTGCAAAATTAATTCAAAAATCTTTCAGTCTAAGATACTAAATTATATTATTAAAAAAAAAAAGATTTGGATCTTTATTAGAAACTTTACAAAAAGTAAAAAAAAAAAACGAAAGACCAAACAAATAAAAGAACGTCTTTGTCATTATCTTCTAATGAGAGATAACTGTACATTTTTTTTTCTGTACTTTATTGAGAATTAATATTGTAGAAAAAAAGGTAGAAAATACCCGAAAAAATAGGTGGATTCTGAAAAAGAGACTATTAAAACTTGTACATAAAAAATTCAAGTATCATTTGTTTGATAATTAAATTCAAACAAATAACTATGATTTAATCTTTTTCAAAAAAAAATATATTACATGAAAATTTTTCCAACATTTTCAAATATTCCATTGTATAAATAGTTTTAATGTAACTATTTTTTCATTTAAAAAAACAATTTTGCAGCGAATTAAGAAGAAAAAAAAAATTCTTCTCTCTTAATGTAGATAATAGAATCGAAATAATTTCTTTTCTCTTTTTTTTTTCATTTCGTAGATTAATATAGGCCTCGAGTAAAAAAATGAAATATTTCTCTTTTTCTCTCTGAGATAAAAATTGAGAGAAAATAATAATCAAATAATGTCTTTTTTTTTTAGTTAACAAGTAGTAATATATTAATCATTACAATTATTATAATATCGAGTTTATTATATAAGAAATCATTAGAAAATATTAAAGGAAAAAAATAATTTGAAAATATACGAAAAGAAACCCGTAGATAATAGAATACAATGCCGAAAAAAAACTATGGGCAAGGCTCTAAAACAGTTTTTTTTTTTTTTAATAACGAGAAAAAAACTTAGCAATATTAGTGGGTAAATGTGTCGAAAAATATATAATTAATTTTTACGCAGATTTAGTAAAAAAAAATCTGACATTCTAATTAGAGGCAATAACTCTTTCATTTCAACAACTCGACAACTTTTGACACACAAACAAATATTTTTACATTCCGATTTTGTTACACTGTCAGACATTAATTTTACTCCCCCCCCCTTTTTTTTTGGATAACTTTTTGATACATTTCTTTTTCACATTATACGAATCCCAAAAAAGAATAATTTAATTTTTAGAAAAAAGGGTTTAAATTTGATTTAATTATGTAATTAGTTTAATTTTTAATTTGTTATAATATTATTTACAATTCAATAATTTTTTTTTGCATGGAAAATTATAAAAAATTAAATTTATTTTTCTAAAACCAATTGTGAAAAATTAAATCTGTAATTAATTGTTTTAAAATAATTTATTCTTCATCATATTTTTTTGAAACTAAAATTTTTAAAATTTATTTTAAATTGAATTTACAAGAAAAAAAAATGAAATCAAATTTTTAAAAATGTTTTTAATTATAAAAGAATAGATTTAACATTTACTAAATAATAAAAAAAAAATGTATTTTTATTAAAAAATTTTAATTCATAATCAAAACAACCCTTTTTTCTGAAATATAACATTTTTTTTTTTTTTTTTTAGAAATTCTTTATTGTGAAAAAATTGATCGGGGGTTGAAAAAAATTAATTTTTTCTTTAAAATTGTTAGTATTTACATTGAGAAAAAAAAGAATGTAAAATAAATTTCCTTTCGTTAGAAAATGTTTTTTTTTTTATATAATTACAAATGCGAGAACAATTTTTTAGACAGTGCGCTAAAAAGAACAAAAGACATTTTTTTTTGTCGAATTGTCTTATTCCAATAAATAATAATAAATAATTAATATCTATCGATATTCTCAATATTGAATGTGATATAAAGTAGGCCTTTGTTTGAAAATGGAAGAACAATAAAAATATAGATTTTCTTTCTAGAAAAAAAAATTCGATTTGCATGAAACAATTTTTTTTCTACTAAAATTGTAAAAAAAAGAAGAAAATTGTCAACTGAATCTATATCAGTATATGCGAAAGCAGTATTTCGGGCCTATTTTTTTTAAGTCCTTAGAACTATTTTCTTTCTTTCTTTCTTTATTATTATTATTTTTTTATTATTATTATTATTATTAATAATATGTATTCAGAATGGAAGAATTTTCTATTTATTTTCTGTTTTCTGAATTTTTGTTTTATTTTAATTAAGGGCTATATAGTGATATTTTGATCAGCTTGTTATTATTAATAAATAAATGTTACGACGCAAACTAAAATTTGGTCAAAGCCTGATTAGATAAGGAACTGAGCCTTATTCAGCCATATTATAGTCAGATTATTAAATTTTTCATATTTCTCGAATAATAAAAGTAGATAAATAGTTCAATCGTTGATGAAAATTATTGTTTTGGAAAATATTTAATTGTATCTATATATAAATAGAAAAAAGAAAAAAAAAGGTGAATTCCCTCCTTGTTGTGTATAGCAAAAAAAAAAAAAAAAAAAATATTTGCACTATATTTTGTAACTGTTTAAGCAAATTCATTTTGTAAAATCATTCTGAATTGCCGAGCAAAACTATACTATATATATATATATATGTATACATAAATACATGATCATCGACAATTATTATTATACATAATATGGATTATCATATTTTATCGTTATTATCGATTGTACTATTAGAAAACATTATATTTTTTAATTATTGTATTATGTCTTAATATTATTAAATTACGATATTAATAAAAATAAATATTACATATACATATATTTATGTCTAATATAAATTTATATTAATTTAATCATTTTTACAGGACTTTTTTTAAATTAAAAAAAAATGTTTTTCAAGTATTTATTTTCTTTACATTTGAATTAGGTGATTGCAAAAACTACGTGAGTCATATATAGAATATTTCTCAGGAATCAATAAAAATCTGTCTTGTTCATTAATATTTAAATGTTTTTCGTATAATTTTATCTCATTTCGCTATATTCTGCTGATCTCTAAGTTTAAAAATATTCTGTCTTTTTTAAAAATAATAATTATGATGTATTATAAAAAAAAATTGTTTTTGACTTACGTAGTTCCCGTACAGAGTGGGGTCTAATCAATTTTGTGCTGCAGAATTTTGTAGTTTTGTGCCGGTAAAATCATGAAAATACTGTAAAAAAACATTGCTAAAGTCACTTAAATTACTTTCTGGTTAATTTAAAATATAATTTAATGATATTGCATTAACTTTTGTTACTAATTCATGAGCCTCGTGCTTTTCATGATAAACATAACCTAAAACTTTTAACTCTTCGAAACTTTTAACATTCAGAGTAAAAATAAATTATTTAAACTATTTTTTCTTATTAAAGCTACTCTTCAAGATAAATTTCAAATAAAAAAAGTAAATTTAAAATTTTTAAACAAATAATTAATAGTGTTTTTCTCTCTCTCTACAATGACGTGATTGATTTGAATTTTCCCGCTTTTATTTAAACAGAGAAACAGCGCCGGAAGTGTTTAAATATTTGGGAATGTTTGGAACAAGTGAATTTTCATAGCATGTGGTCAGTGTTAACAGTAACGATCAGTCGGCAATTTGCAAAAAAAAAATAAATTTTTTTGCTTTTCTGTGTGCATTTGAGTGCATTTTAATTGTTAATTATAATTAGTTGTTAGTATTGATTAGTAAATACTAACAAATATCTACAGTATTACCAAAAAAGAATCAGGCAAATTGTACTTCATTTAAAGGTAACGTGTCCATTCAAAATAATATTTTTTTTTCATATACCCTGTAATAATTTGCTATTCCGCGGTAAAATATTTCGCAATTTTGTTAGACTAAGTTATTGTTTAAACATAAACTAATATTTTTTTTTAATTACGACTTAATTATTGTGGAAAAAAGTGTTCTTATTCACAATGGAAAGCCAATAATGGTTGCCTAGTGACCTTATAAGTAATGGAAAATCTGAATTTTCACTTATCAAAAATATTAAAACATCCTGTAAATTCATAAATTTCTAAATTATTGATTTGCATCTAAATTCGATTTTTTTTTAAATTTTGGGATTGATTGAATTATCAAAGTTGAAAAATATAATTGGGAAAGTAGTGGTGGATCGAAATAATCTTACGAGACCAGGAGGTCAAGGCATTATATGATTATTATATACTTTTTTAGATATGTATTATTAATATTATATATTGTTGGATTAATTCGACAGTGGAAGGGCGAGTTATTACATTATTATTTTTTATTTTTAATTCCAAAATTCAGTGAGCTATAATTATAATTCCAAATAATTTGTTTTGAATTCCGATTACTTACAACTTTTTAAACAATTATGTATTAAAATAGGTTTTTAAATTTAATATTCATTGAAAAATAATAGAAAAAAAATTTATAATAAATATTCTAAAAATAATAAACAAGAATAAATATCTATAAATAATAAATAAAACTATAAATAAATAAAATTAACATAATTAAACTGATAATATTTTATTAAAAAATTTAATTTAATATTTAAAAAATTTTCTATTATAATTAAATATTCATAGTAACGATCACGCGTTGTACACGTGAATATTTTATGGTGCTGAGCCAAAAGTACATATATACATAACAATAAAATTGTGTTATCTATACCTTAATTTGTTTTTCTAAAAAAAAAAATTTAATTTTAAATAGGACATGAATTTATTAAAATAAAAAAAAATAAAACCTTAAATAACAATAAAAAATAATTGATGAAAAATGTTAATATAAAAAATATTATAGAATTAGAAGAATTATAACAAATTTTTTTTTTTTTGAAATTAACCTTTAATGAAAATTTAGATTTGAAAATCTTAATTGTCAGACAGTAATAAAAGTGAAAATTCATTTTTCCCTAGTAGAGATAAATTTAGCATACGTGTGGATTCTAGCAAAAGTCGAACCAGTTTTGCATTTCTATATATAGTTATAAGGCAACGCTCATGGTTGTACAAATTACAAATAAAAATACGCGCGATAAAAAATTATTTTAAAAATTATTATTATTATTATTATTTTAATATAATATAATTATAATAAATAGAAAGTATATAATTATTTACATACATAAATTAAATGTATGTAAATAATTAAATAATTAAAAAATTTAGTTTAAGAATTTTAAAAACTATTTTTGAAAAAATGAGGAGAAAAATTAAGAAAAAATGTTTGTTTTTTTATTGATAAAAAGATGAATGACAACACGTGCTACACATATGTATATCTATATTTATAATACGCAGTTAATTGTCAGTAATTACAACATTTTCAATTAGTTGATTTTGCGAAACTCTTTTAATACCCCCTGTGGCTTTTGAACGTCATTTTTCTTTAATAATTGAATATTATCGCTTGAGCTCTATAAATATTAAATGTATTTCTTTCCAGACTGATAAGATCGAGTTACAATCTTTTTTCACGTCGTGATGAGAGTTGTGTAAATATTCCACATTAAACGATATACCAATTTATTATATATTAAACATTTTTTTTTTTTTTTTATTCGCTGTATAATCTTTTTCAATTACACACATATATAGAGGAAATAAGTTATTTTTAAATCAAAAATAAATATGATATTAAATTAAATAATAATAAAATACATAAATTAACAATAAAAATAAATATTTAATATTTAATTTTTTAAATAAATATTTAAGTAATTTTTTTATAATTTATTTTTTTTTATGTGATAAATTTCTGGATTATTTATAGAAAATCAATTTTTTTTCTATTAAAAACAATTAATAGTAAAATAACTTATAATAAATAGTTAAAAATAATTATTTAAATTGTGCAATTTTGTATTAGTGTGGTTTTTATAAAAAAAATTTTTTTTTCTATTTTATATGTATTTCCTGTTATTTTTGTTAATGATGATAATAATACAGGAAATGTTTTCAATAATGATCTAATTTTTTTTCTTCTTCATATATTATTTTTAACAAACAATAAGAAAATTCGAAACACATCAATTTACTTTAATTAATTAAATTAATGAAATTTTTTTGATTATTTTATTTAATTGCTTAATTATAGAAGATAAAATTAAATTTTTTTTTTATAAATAATCCAAACATAATTTTATATAACAATAAATTAGTAAGAAATTAAATCCCTAAAATTCTGTTATCTAATTAAAAAAATTAATTATAAAAACGTAATTTGAAGTTACGTTGTTTTTTTTGGATTAAAATTAAAAAACTAAATTTTTTTTTTAAATTAAAGAAATGAAACACATTTTTTTGTAACCTAATTTTCTGTTTGTTTTCACGAATACAAGTTTTCATTTAGCAAATATTGTTGCGAATTTTTTTTTTGAATTAATTTAATTTTTTTCTTATTGATTTAAATAATTAATTTTATAAATGTTTTTATTTTGTCTTCGATACCTTAACCTTGACTTTGACAATTGATATATTTTTTATCTTTCATTTTATATTCTTTTAAAAATGACAAATTCCATTGTTACACTTTATTTTGTGATAAATATTAATGACTAATGTTTAATGTTTAATTAAAAAAAAATAAAATTAAAAAAAATTATAATTAAACAAAATTTTTATAATTTATTTCTTTAAAAAAAAAATGTAAAATAAGTTTTAAATTAAAAATTTATTTGATTTAAATAATCCGGTTGCTTGACTATATTATCAAATCAAATAATTTTTTTTTTTTTTGTATTAAAAATACAAATTTTATAATTATTAATTATTTATTTTAATTTACATTATATGATATTATCAATTTGGAATGCAGACATTATTAGAACAAGTTTGAAATAACTGATATAATATAGTGTGAAACTGATAATAATTAATTATTTAAACGATTATAAAAGACGAAACGTTTTTCCCCCTCGTGAAAAAAATGAGAAAAAAATCTTTAGGACCCTTTTTTTTGGCTTAACTCCAATAAATTTAGTCTATATTTCTCATATGACCTTTATGTACAATAGAAAATAATCAATAATAAGTTAACAGAAAATAGCATGTTTTTAATGAATTTTTTTTTTCAACCATTTTATTATGGGCAATTGACATGAAATATAAAGTCTCATTTATATGTATGTTCTAATGTATTCTATAAATTTTATTGCATTATCTATACAGTCTGAAAAATGTGGAATAATTTTTTCTCTTATACTGAGAAAAAAATTTTTTATTTCCATTTATTTCAGACCAATAAAATTTATTTGAATTAAATAAAAAAATATTAACTCTCAGAGTCAAATAACTTTTTATTTTATTTTTTAAAGAAAAAAATTTTTAAAAATTTTATTTAAAGTGAATAAAATTTTGTTTGTAATAAATATTAATTTGTCTCTGAGATAAATATATTTTCTTTTTAATTTAGAAAAAATGAGAATATAAAATTTAAATTCCTTTTTTTTTGTCCTATTATAAATTAAAAATTTATGAATCTAAATAAGAAATTAATGAGATTAAAATTGAAAAATTATGAGTTATTTTTTTTATCAGAAATAAGTTAAGAGAGTGGAATATTTTAGAAAGGAAGTACAGCAGGTATCTTTTTTATAAATCCCCCTTATCTCTTTAACAAAGTGAATGAGAAATAAAATATAGTCTCATATCTATAAACGCATCATTTCCGAACTCATTTTCCTTTTATATAGTTTTTTTTTTTTTTTTTTTTTGATAATCATATATGTATAAAAATAATTTTTTTTTGTAAATCCCAATTATCAAATTTTAATCAAAAATTGGATTCAGAAATGAATATTTGTTACAAATAAATTTTTTTTTTAAATAAATTTTTTTCTATTTAAAACAAAATAAAAAATTATAATTAATTAATAATTATAATATGAATGTTATTATATTTATTATTAATAATTTTATTATTTATTTATTGCAAATTATTTATTTAATTAAATTATTCTAAATTTAAAATTAAAATGTGCTTGATGTTCTTAAATTTTTATAGAATATCGTTTATTCGTTGGGGGGATTTTTTTTTTTATGTCATTATTGACACGATTAATAAAGGAAAACTTTCGTAAATATATAGAAATATTATTGACTTATAAAGGGACAAATATATAATATATACTGGTCATCGATGTATACGCTGTATATATGCAAATATATATATATAGAGACGTAACATATCTTTTTTGTTTAAATGCGCAGAAAACGAAAAAGATATGACCTCTATATATAGCGGCATACCGCAGACCGGTGTAACTTCCTATCCCTCATTATTATACAATCAATTTAAATACCTCTCAAAATAAAGAGGAAAAATAATTATAATTTTATCATAATTGTCTTATAAAATTGACTATTTTTTTACTATTTAAATTATTCAAAAAAAAACAAACAAAAGAAAAAAATTTTTTTGTGTAGACTAACTGTCTCAATAATGCTGTACTTTTTCTACTTAAACAGAATTCTGTCTTGCCGTGACAATTTTATCTACTTAAGAGAAAAAAAAATAATTTTTTTATTTTTCCCAAAGCTAAATATTTATTTTCTTTAAATAAATTCGTTCCACAATTTTCTCGGGTTTTGTAAATCTGAAAAAAATAAATAATTATTAATTTTAAATTTTAATATTATTATTTTGATTATTATTATATTATTTTTATTTTTTTATTATTATTATTATATTATTTTTAATTTTTTATTATTATAAATGAAAAAAATTTATCTATTTTAAAATAAAATCTGTTTCATTTTGTCTGATATAAAAGAATATTTTTTCTTTACATTATAAAAATTATAAATTCTTTCTTGACAAGACACAATTGTTGCTATGGTAACGGTTATCATCCTATAACTGTTGCTAAGGTAATCGTTACCATAGTTTATGTAATTGTTTCTATATATGGAAAAAAAAACTCTTAAAAATTAATTGAAAAAATTTTATTTTATCTCATCAAGCCTTAAAATAAAAATAATAATATAATAAATAATTAATTAATATTAAAAAATCGAATTTTTGATACCTTTGAATTGCCTTCAAATTAATTTTTTTTTCCAATCTATTTAAAGAAATATAATATATTATTTTCACTATTAGTGATAATAATTATCAATAATCCAGTTATTAATTTCCGCGGCTTCTGAAACATTTTAATTAATATAATAATAATATTAATAATAATAATAATAATAATAATAATAATAATAACAATAATTAATTGAAATACAAAAATCGAATTGTCCCGATCTTTTTTTGGTACCTTTTAATTGCTCCAAATTAATTTTTTTTTTCCAATCTATTAAAGAAATATAATATTATTTTCACTATTAGTGATAATAATTATTAATAATCCAGTTATTAATTTCAGCGGATTCTGAAATAGTTTAATTAATATAATAATATTAATAATAATAATAATAATTAATTGAAATACAAAAATTTAATTGTCCCGATCTTTTTTTGGTACCTTTTAATTGCTCCAAATTAATTTTTTTTCCAATCTATTAAAGAAATATAATATTATTTTTACTATTAGTGATAATAATTATTAATAATCCAGTTATTAATTTCAGCGGATTCTGAAATAGTTTAATTAATATAATAATATTAATAATAATAATTAATTGAAATACAAAAATTGGATTGTCCCGATCTTTTTTTGGTACCTTTTAATAGCTCCAAAGCTTTTAAATCATAATTAAAAAAAAAATAGAAAATTTGACAATTTTTCTTTTTTTTTTTTTTTTTTTTGAAAATCATATACAATATGCGCGATTTTATCGGGATTGGACCTTTATAGTTGGACTCCAGTTTCTTCCTCTATATAATGTCAAACTTATGGTGCGCATGTGCGCACTAGAATGTTTCATAAAAAAGAAAAAGAAAGAAGGGAGAGACTTGGATTGGAGATAAGCCTTTTGAATATTGCTGACAGGCAAACCTCAGAGAGTTTAAACCTCCATCCCGCACACTGTGTGTCTCGCAATTTAATTAAACATAAAACACTTTCATAATCAATTTTTTTGTCGGAAGTATATATAGTATTACAAAAAAAAAAAGAAGAAAGAAAAAGTTACTTGTTCATTCCTCCCAAAAAAAAAAAAAAATCCCCCCCTCCTTTTTAATTACAAGACAAATTTTTGATATCCAACAAAAAAAGGAATAATTTTTTAGACTTAGTGAAATTTTTGTGTTAATTTTAATTTTTAATTCGAAAATTTGTGAGTGTTAAACACAAGTTAGTGATTTTTCGGTGAAAAAAAAAAGAAAGAAACTTCGGCTTTTTTTTAGGTAAGCTTTATCATTAAAAAAAAAATTTTTTTTAACGTTTTTCTTAATTATGAAAAATTTTGGTTTGAAAAAAATTTTACATTTTTGTTTCAATAATATTTTATAATTATGATGACAATTATTGTAATTGATCTTTATTTATTTTTTTTTAAATTTTTATACTATTTATGATTATTGTGATTATTATAATTATTATACGATTACTAGATTAATTAATTAGACGATTAATAGAGATTTTTAAAATAGATTAATTAATTTGGAAATAGATATACTAACGTCACGTGTTATAGAAAAAAAAAATTCTCTTGTAGCATCCAAGGTTTGCAATATTTAATACTTGTGTACTTTGTAGTTACTGCACCCGACGTCAATCGATAACTTGTACATACGATTCATTCACATTCAGAGCATTCAGATAACGGGGTTGTTTCGGATACACACCTTAAAGATGGTGTATTCTCGTATTTTCCTCTTTTTTTTTTTCTTTCACCTATAAACAAAGAATAATTTTTGTTAATAAATATATTTTACTCCAATTTATTAATAAATATTTTTTATCCGCGGCCTTTTTTTTTATTTTTTTTACAAACTGAAAAAATTATCTTAATTTCGATTATTTAAATTATATCAAAATATTTTTAAATTTAAATTGGGGTTTTAATAATTTACATTTTAATATATTTAGAAAATGAAAAATATCTGTTTTTTTAGTTCTTGATTTATATTTTATTATTGTATCATTTATTAATAATATAAATGCATAGAATTAAAAATTTTATTAATTAAAAAATTAAAATTAAAATTCCACTAAAAAAAAAGTTACTCTAAATTAAAAATTTATCTTTCCTTTTTATTTATAAATAAAATTTAAAAATATTTTCTTATAATTTTAAGTATTATTTTTTATTTTTATTTAGTTTATTTTTATTTTCTATTTTTTTTTTATTGTAATATTATTTGTCCCATTTATTATCAAAGAAACAAAAAATAAATATAGCCCTTATAGTTGAATAAATAAATAATATATTTATATACACTTCCGTTGTAAAATAAAAAAAAATCTATATTTTTTCACCAAAAATTCTCAAAATAAAAAAGCTAACGATTTTATTCTTAAATAGAAACCAAGATATATTTACTCTGAAATTGAAAAAAAAAATTTAATTAAATTTTTTAATTAAATTTTTTTTTCATATTTTTTAATAAGAAATAAAATTGATTTGTCTTTTAATATATATAAAAAGTTTCCTGGTAATTTGTTATTTTCACACTTCTTTATATTGAATATATATTCTTTAAGGTATATTTAAAAAAAAAAAAAAAGTTGCAACCTCGTTACAGTATATATGTTAAAGTTACGATATATCTTGTAACTATTCTCTTGAGGTCATATTGGCCATTAGAATAGTAAATCTTTTGGAGCACACGTCACTCACGTCTACTTATTGTTAAATGAAATAAAAAAATTTTCCATGAAACCTTTTAAGATCGTATATATTATAATATAAAAGCGTGCAGATCTGAAAAAAAATCCATTATTAATTTTATTTATAAGAATATTAAAAATTTTTTTTTTTTTTTGCAAAATAAATATTTGGATAAAGTAGATTTCTATTAAACTTTAATATATATATATATATATATATATATATATATATATATATATATATATATATATAACTGTGACGTAGTTTGTAACCTTTGACATGCTCATATAAAAAGGACGAATTTCATCTCACTAAATTTTGGAACAAATTTTGTATATAAAAAAAAAGATAAGAAGACTTAGATTAAAAATTATTGAAAAAATAATTAAATACCTTTTATATTAGTTTGATTATATTAGTTTTAGTTTGATAAATATTTATAAATCCTTTTGAATTTCCTTGTTTCTTCATAATATAATTCCTGAGATGAATTAGGACGAATTTTTTCTTAAATTGGATTATTTTATTTTCATATATATTTACTTTGATGAATGAAAATTTTGTGAAAATTTGTTGCATACTCCCAAAATGAATATTTTGAAATAATAATATTCCTTATTCCTTTTCTCGTCATTTCTGAAATGAAAAAAAATATTTTTAAAATAAATATTTATTTATTATTATTATTTATAAAATATTTATATAAAAAAAAAAATTATAATTTCAAAGGAAACAAAAATTATATTTTTCAAAAGTAGACTAACCGAATTTTTTATTTTTTAATTTACTTTTTAATAATTAACAATAATTCAATAATATTTTATTTAATTCTTAGTTAATTGTTGAACTAATTTAATTGTTGTTATTTAATTATTTTAAAATAATTAAAAATATAAATAAATAATATAAATTTTTTCATCCATTTTTTTTACAATAAACAAATTACCGAATTTTGAACTTAATAGAAAATTATTATACAATACAGCCTCGAGTAACGGTGAAGGATCAATAAATTTCACGCCCACGAATAATATTTGGTTCCTCGGGCAGATGTTAGTACTCTTTTTTTTTTTTTGCATTTTTTGAAGCAATTTTTTTTTTCTATTGTCAATAAATTTTAATATTTTTTTTTTATATAATCATTTTTTTTTTAGAAATATTTTTGAAATTGCTTTATAAATATAATTTATTAATTAATTAATTTTGTAAAATTTTTTGTGATTAGAAAATGATATAAACAATGCGTAATTATTATATTATGAATCAATATATATTTATAGTAAAGTTCAAATTACAATATGACTAAAGTTGGTAAAAACACACCTTGATTTCTACTTTTGCACATACACACACATTATGTATACAATTATTATATATATGTGACGCTTATGCAAAAAAAATATATAAGCAAACTGTTTTTTGCGATAATAAGAAGACTAAACACTAAAGATATAATTTGAAGAATTTCTAGTGATAAGTCTATACTCCTCAAAACAACGTACAAACATTTAATTATATAACAAAATTTTTAAAAAAATAATTTTAAAAAATAACAATTTTAATTTTACACATTTTTATAATTTTAGGAAAATTTGGGCAAAATTTATTTGAAAAAAAAAACAATTTTCGTTTAATCACAAAAAATTTTTTCTTTATTATTAAATTTTACCGCGCATAAAATTTCTAATTTTAAAAAATTAATTTTTTTAATATCCAAAGTAATTATTTTTCAATAACTGTTAGAACGAAAATAAATTTCCTTAATTTTCTGGAAATTTTGTAGCGCAATTAATTTTTTGGAAATTCCCTTTCCAAAATTTCTCTTTTACAAAATTCTCGGTTTTTCCCCCATTTCATATTTTCGTTTTTTTTTGGGGGAATTTATAGAATTATCTTTTTTGCCTTTAATTATCATTATAAAAATAATATTTATTATAATTATTTATTTTTATTTAAAATAATATTCATTCTTTTATTATATTATAAAAAAAAATTATTATTAAATATTTAATTCGAAAAAATATAAAAAACAGCAAAATAAAAGTAATAAAAATTTATTCTACTTTTATTTTAGTTTTTTTTTTCTTTTTTTAATACATTTTTCAAATATTGACTTTGTAATAGGCAGAAAATGTTACATAATGCATTGTTATTTCATTAAACAATAAAACAAAATTTCTGTATAATTTTTAATTGTTTTAACAATTATATCTAACGGAGATTTTTATTAATAGTTTTGCAAAGACAATAACTAAATGAAAAGTTTAATTACTGAACGATTGTAAAACTTTGGAAAAAAATAGTGTATATTTAATTTTTCAAAAACTAAATAGAGAAAAAAAATTATTTTTTTCATTTATTTAACTTATAATTATTGAATTAATTACTATATACATTATTAAACTATATAATAGTTTTTATTGACCTTGACATTATTTATACAATAGTTGAGACAAATTTGTCTTATGAAATTGGTTTTGGCAATTTATTATTTTGCAAAAGTTTTGTTCCAACGAAAGAAACACGCCAGTATTTCTTAGAATATTAATGAAAATTTTCAAATTAAATAATTAATAATTTTTAGTTAATTATTTAATATTTAAAAAGAAAAATAATAATAATAAATTTATTTTGTTTTAGATTTACGAATATGAACTCCAATGAGCCGTGGAACCTTCCACAGAAGCAGGGTCTCTATGATCCATCCCTTGAAAAAGAAGCATGTGGAGTTGGTTTTATCGTTGCAATTGATGGAAAACGTTCGCACAAGGTAAATAGAAATATATTTTTAAAAAAATAAAAACCCTTTCTAATGCAAATTAGAGTCTAACATGAAAATCTGTTCCTTGAATTTTATACCTTAAATAGTTCTATTTTTTTTTTTTTTTAATGACACACTGATGATTACATACTAAACTATCAAAGTTTAATTATATTATTGAGAATAGTAACATTTTTTCGCAATTAGCAAGGTGAAAAATTTTTTTCCTTTTCAAAATTTAAATATGTCAGCAATTAAGAAAAAAAAAATTGAACAATTTTTTCTGGAATTTTCATTTTATAGACTAATTAAAAAGTTTTTTCAAATTTTTTAAATTATTTTATATTTTTAATTAATAAATTATTTTTATTTATTACTTTACAAATAAAAAGAAATTTAATTTTTAGAATTTTAATTATAAAATTATAATTAATTATTGAAAAAAAAGAAAATATTCAAGAAAGTTTCGTTATAAAATTTGCTGAGCATCGAAAATTCTTTGGCTTAGTTTACATGTTATTAAATTATAATTTATTACAAGTATTTACTTTATGCAATAACAAATTCTTGTATCCATTTTTCTCTTGATTATTATTATTATTATTATTATTATTATTGACAAAATCAATAATTTCCGAAAATTTATAATAATAATTCCCTTTCATTATTAATGTTTAATTTAATTATTTATTTAAATAATTTATTGTTAAATATTATTTGTCAATATAAAAACAATAATTTTTTTTTAGATTGTTCATGATGCGATGAAATTGTCAGAACGTATGAACCATCGAGGTGCATGTGCATGTGACAATGATACTGGAGATGGGGCAGGTGTTTTATGCGCTATTCCACACCAATTCTACGCGGATGAACTTCGGTAAGATAAATGTCTATTGTTAGATTTATTTCTTTTTTTTCCTATTTTTGAAATTATTACTTCAGATATAAAGAGAAATAGTAATATTTATTTATTTTTTAATATTTTTATCAAGTTTAAAATTGTATTATTAATTTATTTTTTATTTTCAATTTATTGAATTTAATTAATTTAATAATTAATAATTTAATGTATTATTATTATTATTATTATTATTATTATTATTATTATTATTATTATTAATCTAAAATTGTCGCATCTTTAAAAAAAATTGTCCTTCTTTTCATTATTATTATTATAGTAAATGTGCTAATAAATTTAATTCTCTTTTAGAGAGAAGCAAGGTATAAATTTACCGGAATTTGGAAGTTATGCAACGGGCATACTGTTTCTCGATAAAAATACTCATCAGGAAACTGAAGCTTCATTCGAAAAATTGGCTAAGGAATGTAATTTAAGAGTAAGGAAAAAAAATTTTTTTCACCTATTTAAAAAAAAAAAAAAAAATTTTTTGTAAAAAATAAATAATTTCCCTTTTTTTTAAAAAGGTAATTTGTTGGCGAGATGTGCCGACAAATAATTCTTGCATCGGTCAAGTTGCACGAAAATGTGAACCTTATATGCGACAAGTATTTGTAACAAGTGATCATGACATTGAAACATTGAATCGTAAGGTAAGATTCAAAAAAAAAAATTTATTTTTTATTATAAAAAAGAGAGAGAGAGAGAGAGAGAAAGATTTTTTAATCTTGTATTTGAAAAAGATTTATTTTACTTTGAATTTGGCTCATTAACTACTTAAATTTGTGATGCCAGAAATTTACTTAATGTGACTGCCAAGTTGATAATTTAAAGATTTAGATATATTTTACAAAAGCTAGTTGTGATAGTTTGTATTATTGTGATTAATTTTTAATTTAAAAAAAAAAGTATTTGAAAAGTATTTAATTTTTAATTTCATTAAAATTTATTTTCAATAATTATAATTTAATTAATATTTTTCTTAACGCTTATTTTAAATTTATTTCAATCTGAATTTATTTAATGCAAAAGTTGAATAAATTTTAAACTTGTTTTTTTTTAGATATTTGTATTACGAAAAAAATCGACACATCTTATTAGACAGCCGGGCTTAAGGTATTACATTTGCTCGCTGTCTTTGAGAACTGTTGTCTATAAAGGTCAACTAACAGCCGATCAATTATGGGAATATTTTCCAGATTTGAAGGTATATATTTGTTTTATAATGAAAATTAATTAAATTATTAATTTTAATTTACAAAAATCAAATAATAAAGTGTGACACAAATTTAATTTTTTTTTTTCAATAGTCTCCAAGATTCGAGACTTATTTGGCGTTGGTACACACAAGGTTTTCAACAAATACTTTTCCAAGCTGGGAAAGAGCTCATCCACTTCGGTGAATAAACTTCTTATATATTTTTGAATATTATTTATTACTAAATTTAATATATTTTCGAGATAATTAAATAATTGAAGATACCAATTATTTTATTCATTAAAAATAATTTAATATTTGAATATTTTTAATAAACTAATATTGATTTTAATTTTTTAATGTTTAATTATTTACTTTTTTTGCATAGATTACTCGCCCACAATGGAGAAATAAACACTCTCCGTGGAAATGTTAATTTTATGAAAGCCCGAGAAGGAGTAATGCGAAGTGAAATATTTGGTAGTCAATTAAAAGAATTATATCCTGTTGTTGAGCCTAATCTTTCTGATTCTGGTTCAGCCGATTGTGTACTGGAATTTTTATGCATGGCAGGAAATCGTTCTCTACCTGAAGTACGTAAAATTATTTAAAACAGAACATTATAACAAAAAAATTTTATCAAAAAAAAAAAAATGTTTTTTATAATTTTTTTTTTAATAATTACTGGGGGTATGTAGTAAATTATCTAAATTAAATTTTAAATAAAATATATTTAGGCTGTGATGACTATGGTACCGGAAGCATGGCAGAATGATAAAACAATGGCAACGGAGAAAAAAGACTTCTATCATTGGGCATCATGTGCAATGGAACCTTGGGATGGTCCTGCTTTGCTCACATTTACCGATGGCCGTTACATTGGCGCTATTTTGGACAGGTAGAGAATATTATTTTTAATTACAAAAAAAAAAAAAATCAATGCTTCACTTTCATAAATCTGAAATTTGTTCGTTTGGTGTTTTCGAATACTAAAATGAAGAAAATGCCAGACAATTCATTCAAAGAAAAAAATGAATTTTCAAAAAAAAATCATCAGTAAAAATTTATTTTGTAAATTTTAAAAGCAATGAGGAATTCTTTTTAGATATCGGGATACAAATAATTTTTTTTTTTATTTCTAAGTTAATTTTACCTTAATCGATATCGCAAAACAATTTTAATTCTATTAATTAATTGTTTCATTACAAATACAACAAAAAATCCTACTAATAAAAAAAAAAAGTGAAGTTTTTAATTGTAATATAGATAATTATGATGGTGATATTGATGTTAATGATGATTATTATAATTATATTGATGTTAAGGATAATAATAATTATTATAAAATTAATAATAATAATAAGAATGCCAACAGGAAGGCAAACGAACGAACGAAACAACAATAATTCAGCCAGATTAATGAGAGATTCAAAGGTGGTAATACAAAAGACTTTTTTGAATTTTTGTTTAACAGAAATGGTCTTCGTCCATCGCGTTTCTACGTCACTAAGGATAATGTGATGGTGATGGCGTCTGAAGTGGGCGTCTATGACACTCCGCCCAGCAATGTTATCCTGAAGGTAAACACGGAAGTTAAAAAAAAAAAAAACAAAAAAAACAAAACAGCAACACTGATGTCCTTCATTTTTTTTGGAAAAAAAAAATTTATCATCCCAGCTGTTCGCGCTTTTCCAAAGGGGTTTTTTTTTCTCAATTTAATTAATATTCTGCAAGAGCTTTTCTTTTTGAAATCATTAAAAATCTCTATATTGCTTGATATAGAGGATTTCAGCTTTAGGAAAACATTTTTTTTTCTTTTTTTTTTTTTTTCTTAAAGGCAAACGAATCTTGGTTGGTCAACGATCCGAAGCTGGCAGATTGGAAAGAAGAAACTTCCAGAATGCGTGAAATGTGGCTGATTGTTACCACCAAATTCGACATTTATTTATTCTCCTTTTTTTTTTCTCATCAATTTTAAAATTCTAAAAATAGATTTTTTTTTTCTCTCTCAATTATGTGTAATTTATATTTGTGAGAGGAAAAAAATCAGTTTGATATTCTGTTTTTACATTGAAACAGAAAGGTTCGAAAATTTTGAAAGAAAAAGATGATGAGAGCAGATGTTTGGTAATAACAGAATGTCATCCCCCCCCCCAACCTGAATCCATCAATTAATTTTTTTGCATTATTATTATTCTAGAATCAGCGCAATAGTGAATCATAATTATTGTATTTTATTTCTTTTTTTGAATTATCATGTCATATATTTGTGATGTATAATTTAATATATCATTTAGGGACTAGGTTTGTATAATAGTGGAGTGTAGGATCGTCATCCAGTGCTGTCGTATTATTGTCGAATCAAATGGAAACTTCTGTTCAATGACGATCATTCCAACCTCATTTTATTTACAGAGTCGCTTGAAGCCCGGAAGAATGTTACTTGTTGACACTGAGGAAAAACAAATCATTCAAGATGTGGAACTCAAGTTGAAAATCGCTAGGAGCCGACCACATTCCCAATGGCTTAAGGAGCAGGTATATTTAATTATTTCAAATTTCAAAAAAAAATTATTCTTTTTTTTTTTTTTTTGTTGCTCAAATTTAAAATGTTACATATAATAACTTGACAAATTTTTCCATCCATCCATCCATATTAAAAAAAAAAATATATTTTTACTCACTGTTTCTAATCTACTTTTTTTTTTTTTTAATTGTATTAAAAAATTCAGAAAACAAAATTCTAGCGAAAAACACTGAGAAATAGCGTTTAATTAAACGTTTACATAAAAAAGAAAAAACTATTTTTGAAAAAGAATATGTTTTGAAAAAAAAAAAGAAATAGGACAATTTTGTTAATTGAAAATAATTTTTTCCAATTACCCCCGTGTGCTGACTACATTGGTGTTAATTGAAGATGGTGAGTTGTAACAGATCAGAAAAATTTACGTGTGTTTTTTGTGTTTTTTTTTTCCTTCCTTTTTTTGTCTGAATTAGTTAATATTTTTTAGGTGTATGTTTTTTAGATGTATTCGAAATCTTTGAAATTTGATTTTTTAAATTTGGTATATTGTTTTGGAAAACTAATTTTAGATTCATTTTTTCTCACCGTAGAATAAATCTCATCGCACTGTAGAAAAATTTATTTAAATATTTAGTATGTCTTTCGTCCATTCAAAAGGTTTATGTATCTCTTTTCTTTTCTAAAATTATTTTTTTTTTATCTAAAATTATTAATTTCATTATTATTTTTAGAGAAAAAATTATTTTAATTATATCACTATTGATAAAATTCATTTCATTATTACTCTTTTTTTTTTATGTAGAAGCATGGGGTTCTTTTTATTTAATTTTAACTTTCAAAAAAAAGGTACTTGGTGAATCTTTTGTTATTTCTCCGTTAAAAAAAAAAAATTCTTTTAAAAAAATTGTTTTTTTACAACTTTTTTCTATTTATAACTACTTAATATTTATATTTTTCACTATTGTAAAATATTTCGGTTTTTTTTTTTTATTTCAAAAATTATTTGTATTTTTAAAAAACAAATTTTTTTCAATACAGATAACAATGGAGGATCTTCGACAAGCGTACATTGCAAATGGTGGAACATTAGATGATCATCAGAATGGAAATAAAAATAATGAAATTACTGGAGATATTGAACGTGGAGTTAAACAATTGGAAATGAAAATATCGGCCGTCAATCGTGTTTGGGGAGGTGATAAAAGACTCGCTCTATTTGGATATACTTTGGAAACTATCAATATGCTTTTACTTCCAATGATTCAAACCAAGTAGGTTTAATAATTTTAAAAGATTATTATTTTAATTAAAAAAAATAAATTTTTTAAATATTTTTAATTGAAATGATCCGAAAAAATAATTTCCTTTCAGAAAAGAAGCTCTTGGTTCAATGGGAAATGATGGGCCTCTCGCATGTTTATCTGAATTTCAACCACTTCTTTATGAATATTTTAAACAATTATTCGCGCAGGTAAAAATCATTTAATAATTTGAATTTATTTGAAAAAAAGAAAAAAAAAATTATTTTTTTTTTCATTTTTCAGGTGACTAATCCTCCAATTGATCCATTTAGAGAAAAAGTTGTGATGTCTTTACTTTGTCCAATTGGACCCGAAAGTAATATTCTTGAACCAAATGAACTTTATGTACATCGACTTTTTCTTCCACAACCAATATTATCACTTAATGATCTTGAAGTGATTAAAAAAAATAAACATCGTGGATGGAAAACAAAAGTAATTGATGCAACTTATCCCATTGAGGAAGGAATATCGGGTCTTGAAACAACACTTGATCGTGTTTGTCGTGAAGCTAATGAAGCTGCAAGGAATTCTTATCAAATTATTGTATTATCTGACAAACAATGTGGACCCAAGAGGTGAGTTAATTTTCCGATTTTCAATTTTTTGCTTTTTATACTAAAAAATTTATTAAAAATAAAATTTATTTTTATTTTCTTTTAATTTAATTTTAAATTTCTTTTTAAAAATAATTTTTAATTTAATTAAAATTGATTTGAAATTAATTAATTTTTTTTTCTATTAAATAGAGTTCCAGTGAGTAGTTTATTGATTTTGGGAGCGGTTCATCATCATTTAATTGAAGAACGACAGCGAATGAAAGTGGGAATTATTTTAGAAACTGGAGAAGCACGAGAAGTACATCATATTTGTGTTTTACTTGGATATGGAGCCGATGGTATTTGTCCATATCTTGTTTTTGAAATGGCAAGAGACTTAAGAGACGATGGAGTTGTTGATGATACATTCAATGACAATGTCATATTCCAAGTATAATAATAAGAATATTATTAATAATTTTTAATTTTAAACTAAAAACAGTTTTTAATAAATTAAAAACAAAATTTTTTTCTAGAACTACGCTGAGGCAATGGAACGAGGAATTGCTAAAGTAATGGCAAAAATGGGAATTTCCACACTTCAATCATACAAGGGAGCACAAATTTTCGAAGCTGTTGGCCTTGCTGATGAAGTCATTGAAAAATGCTTTAAGGTATAAATAATTTTTTTAATTAAACTAATTAGTACTTTAGTTAATTTGCAAAATGTTTTAGGGTATAATTTTTGATTTAAATTATATAAAAGAATTTTTTTTTTTAATTTAGGGAACTCAATCTCGAATTGGTGGGGTTACTTTTAAAATATTGGCTGAAGAAGCATTTGAACGACATCAAATGACCTTTTGGGATATTCCTACCGATCAGGTAATTATTCGTAATCCTGGAATTTTCCATTGGCGATCGGGAGGTGAAAAACACATCAATGATCCTGCGAGTATCGCGAGTTTACAGGTATTTAATATATATTTTTATGAAAATTTTTTAGAATTTTTTTTTTTTTTATTGAAATTAAATGATTAAAATTTTGGATCCAGTTAATGAAAAGAAAAGTGATTCCAAAAACATGTAATGAAAAAAAAAAAGAAATTTAATATAGATTTGAAAAATTGTTTAAACAATTTTTTTGTGAAAATTTTCTTTACATTTTTAAGGAATTTGTCGAATCAAAAGAAGTTTCGGCCTATGAAAATTATCGAAATACAACAATGCAAGCTGTTCAAGCATGCACTTTACGTGGTCAATTGGAATTGGTGACAACAAAAAATCAAATATCAATTTCTGAAGTTGAACCAGCTTCTGAAATTGTAAAACGTTTTGCAACTGGTGCAATGAGTTTTGGAAGTATTTCCCTGGAGGCACATCAAACATTGGCAATAGCTATGAATCGAATTGGTGGAAAATCAAATACTGGAGAAGGTGGTGAAAATGCAGACAGGTATTTTATTAGAAAAATTAAAAAAAAAAATTAATAAGAGCATAAAAGATGAAAAATGATTATAATTTGGATCCAGTTAATGAAGATAATGATTCAAAGTTTTAGTATGACGAAAGAAATTATTTTTTAATAATATTTGGAATTTTTGTAAATTTTGTGATTTACGAGGGAAATTTTTTTTTAGGTATTTGAATCAAGATCAAGAATTTAATAAACGATCTGCTATTAAGCAAGTTGCTAGTGGAAGATTTGGTGTTACTTCAAGTTATTTGGCGAGCGCTGACGATCTTCAAATTAAAATGGCACAGGGAGCAAAACCCGGTGAAGGGGGAGAACTTCCAGGATATAAAGTAATTTTTTTTTGTGCTAATTTTGTTGAATTATTTAAGAATTTTACGGACTATTGAATAGGAAAAAAAATATATTAAAACGCTATTATTCCTGTGGATAATTTAATAGTGATAAATTTTCAAAGTAATTAATTAATTTTCTTTTTTGATAGGTCACGGCAGAAATAGCAGCAACTAGGCATTCGGTTGCAGGTGTTGGACTCATTTCACCTCCTCCTCATCACGATATTTATTCAATAGAGGATCTTGCGGAATTAATTTACGATTTAAAGTGCGCTAATCCAAATGCGAGAATTTCAGTGAAATTGGTTTCAGAAGTTGGTGTTGGTGTTGTCGCTTCTGGAGTCGCTAAGGTTATTATTTTTTATTTATTATAGGGAGTACTATTTTTTTTTTTTTTTTACTATTTCCAAATATTTTTACTGTGGAAAATAAAATGAAAATAATTTTTTTTTTTCTATAGGGTAAAGCTGAACATGTAGTGATTTCTGGACATGACGGTGGTACCGGTGCAAGTAGTTGGACTGGAATAAAATCAGCGGGACTACCATGGGAATTGGGTATTGCCGAGACACATCAAGTATTGACAATGAATAATCTTCGTTCACGAATGATTGTACAAGCTGATGGACAAATGCGAACTGGATTTGATATTATTGTTGGTGCTTTACTTGGTGCCGATGAATTTGGCTTTAGTACTGCGCCTCTTATTGCAATGGGCTGTACAATGATGAGAAAATGTCATTTAAATACATGTCCCGTTGGAATTGCAACGCAAGATCCAGTGCTTCGTAAAAAATTTGCCGGAAAGCCCGAACATGTTATTAATTTTCTCTTTATGTTAGCCGAAGAGGTAAATTTCAAAAAAAAAATTTTAATTCAAAAAAGAATTATTAATCTATTACAAATAATTAATAAATTATTTTAAAGTGAATTATTTTCAATAATTTAAAAAAAAAATATTTTATTTTCTTTTTTACAGGTTCGTTCACATATGGCAAGTTTGGGAATAAGAAATTTCCAGGAACTTATTGGACGAACGGATCTTCTTAAAGTTCGTGATGATATAACATTGGAGAAAGCAAAAACATTGAAACTTGAAAATATATTGAAAAATGCGCTTACATTGCGACCGGGTGCAAATATTAAAGGTGGATCGGTGAAACAAGATTTTCAATTGGAATCAAGATTGGATAATGTACTTATTGAAAAGGCAATGCCAGTGATTAATGGAGAACAACGAAGTGTTAATATTGAAATGATTATTAATAATGAATGCCGAGCATTTACGTCAACTCTCAGCTATCATATTTCCAAGTGAGTATTTTTTTTTCTATATAAATTTAGTTTATATTAGTAAATTAATAAATAATTCAATATCAATTTTTTTTTTAAAATAGAAAATATGGAGAAGAAGGTCTTCCTGAGAATAGTATTAATATTAAAATGAAAGGCTCAGCAGGGCAGAGTTTTTGCGCTTTTATGACAAAAGGAATACATGTGACTCTCGAAGGTGATGCAAATGATTATGTAGGAAAGGTAAGTGAATAGAAATTATTTTTCTTGCTATTGAAAAATTGAAAATTAAATTTATAAATTTTTCAGAGTCTTTGTGGTGGTGAAATTGTCATTTATCCACCGAAAGAATCAGATTTTGATTCAGTGGCAAATGTTATTGTTGGCAATGTTTGTTTATATGGAGCAACATCGGGAAAGGCTTATTTCCGTGGAATAGCCGCCGAGAGATTTAGTGTAAGAAATAGTGGTGCCGTTGTTGTTGTTGAAGGTGTTGGTGATCATGGTTGTGAATATATGACTGGTGGTTGTGCAGTAATTTTAGGATTAACGGGAAGAAATTTCGCTGCTGGTATGTCAGGTGGAATTGCATTTGTTTTGGATGTCGATGGATCGTTTAAAAGGTAAATTTTCTTTTATGATATTTTTTTTCATAAATTTTACAATATATAAAATATATTTTTGTAATTTTCTTTTTAGCAAATGTAATCCCGAAATGGTGGAATTATTGCCTTTGGATCAAGCAGAGGATATTGATTATGTGAAACAATTGCTCGAGGAATTTGTTGAAAAAACAGAATCACTAATTGCTCAGGATTTATTGCAAATTTGGCCTGAACCCACAACACGTTTTGTTAAAGTCTTCCCGTATGATTATCAACGAGCGCTGAAACAAATGGAGGAACAAAAAGAAAATGAATTGATAATAAATGGAAATACAGATTCAGATTCTACTGTGAAAGACATCGAAGATTCAGTGCCTGATTCTGAAATGGAACAACGCAAACTAGATAAAATAAAGTATGTATACTATTTAATTATTAGAAAGTTTAAAAAAAAATTAACATTGTTTTGTTTTTTAAGGGGATTTATGAAATACGAGCGTGAAAAAATGAATTATCGACAAGCGGAGAAACGTGTTAATGATTGGGAAGAAATTTATAATTTCCAAGGTGTTCGTAAAGGATTAAAAGTACAAGCAGCAAGATGTATGGAATGCGGTGTACCATTTTGTCAAAGTAGTCATGGATGTCCACTTGGAAATATTATTCCAAAATGGAATGATTTAGTATTTCAATCAAATTGGAAGGAGGCTCTTAATCAATTACTTCAGACAAATAATTTTCCAGGTAATTTTAATTTTCATTTAATTTAATTTTTTTAATTTCCATTGATTTAAGAAATAAATTTTATTTTTCATTTTAGAATTCACAGGAAGAGTATGTCCAGCGCCATGCGAAGGTGCATGCGTTTTGGGAATCTCTGAACCGCCAGTGACAATAAAAAATATTGAATGTGCAATAATTGATCATGCATTTGAGCAAGGATGGATTACTGCTAATCCACCGCAAACGAGAACTGGTCGTAAAATTGCAATTGTTGGTTCTGGACCCGCGGGACTTGCAGCTGCTCATCAACTTAATAAAGTTGGACACACTGTTACTGTGTTTGAAAGAAATGACAGGATTGGAGGATTACTTCAGTATGGAATTCCAACAATGAAATTATCAAAAAAAGTTGTTCAAAGGAGAGTCACTCTACTTGCCACTGAGGGAATTACATTCAAGACGAATGTCGATGTTGGAAAAGATATTTCTACAAAGGTAAAAAGAAATATTTTTTCTAAATAATTCTCTCTATTTTTATTTTATTTTTCTAAATAATTTTTCTCTAATAATATCTAAATCAGTATTTGTGCTAATTTTAGGAATTGAAGAAGCAATTTGACGCGGTTTTAATTTGCACCGGTGCAACGTGGCCTCGAGATTTGCCAATTCCTGGCCGACAATTTGAGGGCATTCATTTTGCAGTGAGTTTCCTTGAACATTGGCAAAAGAAACAAATGGGAAATGAAGCTCCATTAGATATGCGACTCATTGCAAAGGGCAAGGATGTGATTATAATTGGTGGTGGTGATACAGGCTGTGATTGCATTGCTACTTCTTTACGGCAGGTACGAAAATTATAAAATATTCTCTTAATTCATTTAATATTTTAAATTTACTTTTTTTATTTTTTGTTAAAAAGGGCGCAAAAACAATTACAACGTTTGAGATTTTACCGGAGCCACCAGTAAAACGTGCTGATGATAATCCTTGGCCTCAATTTCCACGTGTATTCAAAGTTGATTATGGTCACGAGGAAGTTCGTCTTAAATTTGGCCGCGATCCTCGACAATTTAGCACTCTCAGCAAGGTAATTTGTAAAAAAAAAAAGTAAAATTCGGCAAATAAATCAATTAATCTTTTTTTCTTTTCAATTAGGAATTTTTGGATGATGGCAAAGGCCACGTGAGCGGAATAAAAACAGTGACAGTCGAGTGGACAAAAGATGAGAATGGACGCTGGAAAATGACTGAAGTTCCAAATTCAGAAAAGGTATTTTTCTTTGTTTTTGATTTTTTTTTTGAAACAAATGGACAATAAGTTAAATTTTTATTTTTAGGTATATAAATGTAATTTAGTTCTTCTCGCTATGGGATTCCTTGGGCCAGAAAAATATATGGCAAGTGAGATTGAAGCGAAATTGGATGGACGTGGAAATTATGAAACTCCTTCGGGAAAATACGTGACAAGTTTGCCTGGTATATATGCAGCCGGAGGTGAGTTTGTTTTTTCATATTAACTGAATTTTTATTTAATGGAATTTTATAAAGAAAATTTAAAAGCGACTTTAAATAAAAATTTAGGAAAGTTCCATTAAATAATTATAAAAACTATTATTTTTAATAGTTTAATAGTAATCATTGAAGAAAAAATTTATTTTTCAAATTAAAATCATTTTTCGAATTTAGATTGCAGAAGAGGACAATCATTAATAGTGTGGGCAATATCAGAGGGAAGACAAGCTGCAAGAGAAATAGATCACGATTTAATGGGTGTTACAGGTCTTCCAGGTCCTGGTGGAATCATATCCGGAGTTTTAAATTAAATATATTTAGCCTATACATATGTAATCAACTTTTTTGATCTCTCGTTGCGAATTGATTTCACAAGTCAATACAAATTGAAAATCATTGCAAAAAGAGAGAATTGTACGTTTTATGAATTTTAGCATGCAGCTGCTGTTTTTATGAAAAAAAAAAAAAAAAAATTTACATAACGTGGAATATGCGTTATGATGAAAGCTATATATATATATACAAATATATATATGAACGACGAAATAGATCTTCTATTCAAATATATAAATATATCAGATCTGAGTGCTATTATAATGACGAGTTTTGTCCGATAACACAATATTGTTACAATTAGAAAATGAAAAAAAAAATTTAAAGACTCGTCTTAATTATTTATTTTTTAATTTAAATTTTTTTCTCCGATAACGAGGAATAAATGAAGCAGTTTACAAATATTTCTCTATTATGATAAGTTTACATATAAATATATATAAAATAAATATATATTTCGTAAAATCAAAAACAATTACAAAAAAAAAAGATAGTTTTTAGTACGAAAACGCACCAAAGGCCTCTGAAAAAAATTACGTTGTTCGCATATTTAATAATGCTTCAAAAATTTTTCCAAAAAGAAAAACAAAAAATGATTGCGCTTGTGATAAAATTTTGAACAATAATTTAGAGAAACTTTATTTCTTTTTTTAGTGATAAAAAAAAAGTTGTCCTTTTTTCGTGTGTATTAAAATTTGAAAAATGGTCAATTACCAATGTAGAGCATGCGAACGTTTACTGTTAAAATAATATAAATGTCGATAAATTTTGCTTAGGTGCGCTATTATACATTATGTATACTATATATAATTATATATATTTACAATTTTTTTTTCATAGATTTTTTTCATCGATTATATAAGAAATTGCATTCAATTAAATTTATTTACAAAATAATTTATTTTTTATATAATTTCGTCACTTATAAATATTATAATTATTATATATAAGGATACGTATCACGTTGAAAAAAAAGTGTCGTCAATTCGAATTAGTTTATAGTTTAAATATGTCATTTATATCACTGTAAATTTTTGATGCATAACGATAACTTCTGAGACAATAAAATTATATTGAATGTTAGGCAAGTTTCTGTTCTTTATTTAATTTAAAGAAAAATATATATTTCTCACCTTAATATTATTATTAATAGCAATAATATATGATTATTTTAAAATGTTGATGATTCAAAAATGAAAAAATTGTAATTTTTTGAAAAAATATAAAAAATTACCGACTGAAATCTACCTTACCAACTGATGGTAAAACAGTTTTCTTGAAAAATGAAAATACAAAAATTTATTGACATATGAATCTACCTTACCGACCGTTGGCAAAACAGATTTTTGAAAAATGAAAATATAAAAATTACCGACATAGAAATCTACCTTACCGACCGTTGGCAAAACAGATTTTTTGAAAAATGAAAATATAAAAATTACCGACACAGGAATCTACCTTGCCGACTGTTGGTAATTACCGACCGTTGGTAAAACAGATTTTTGAAAAATGAAAATATAAAAAATTACCGACGTAGGAATCTACCTTACCGACTGATGGTAAAACAGATTTTTTAAAAAATGAAAATATAAAAATACCATCAGTCGGTAATTACCAACAGTCGGTAAGGTAGATTCCTGCGTCGGTAATTTTTTATATTTTCATTTTTCAAAAATCTGTTTTACCAACGGTCGGTAAGGTAGATTCCTATGTCGGTAATTTTTTATATTTTCATTTTTCAAGAAAACTGTTTTACCATCAGTCGGTAATTACCAACGGTCGGTAAGGTAGATTCCTATGTCCGTAATTTTATATTTTCATTTTCAAGTTTTTACCATCAGTCGGTAAATACCATCCGTCGGTAAGGTAGATTCCTACGTCGGTAATTTTTTATATTTTCATTTTTTAAATTTTTACCATCAGTCGGTAAGGTTTTTTTTTATAAAAAAAACTTAATTTAATACACTGAAAACAATAAATGCGTGTATAAATTCAGCTTTTTATTAGTTGTGAATAATTAATTTATTATTAATCTTGCATCATATCAAGCACACTGACAATGAGAAGCGAAAGAAGAAAACAGATTTCAAAACGTCCCTGGAAGGTAGAGAGAAAAAAAATAACAGTAAATAGAGAAAGTAAAAAGGTATATATAAAAAATATATATACATAAATATATATATACTATATAGGAAGAAAAGAGTGAATAACAAATGACAATATAACTTTGATAAAGACCAGAATAATTTAGAGGATGAAAGGTATAAAAAATGAAAGAAAAAGGAAAGAGAAGAGAAAGGGTTTTTAAAGAGACGAGATTACAACAGAGAAGCAAAATATATGGACGAGAAACAGTGGAGGGGCAAAGAAAAAAAAAGAAAAAGAGAGAGAGAATTTGCCGGCTATATTGGATCGTCTATTTAGAGTATTCTTGCGAAAACTGATTTTAGATTCGTATTTAAACAACTATACAAAAATCAGAAAATTACATTAACAATATAAAAAACAGAAAATTAATAAAAAAAAATTTAAACTCCGATAGTAGCAAAAAAAAAAAAAACAATTATTGCAAATATTCTCTAGCAAAACATTTTTTTTTTTCGCTTCTAATTGCAAATTAATATATTTTATTCAGTTGTAAAAATTATAAGTGAAATTTTTTTCAAAATGCTTGTTAATATTTTTTTTATCTTATTTGCGGTGCAATATTTTTGTGCTATTATAGGGATTATTCATCTCTCTTTCTTTTTTTTCTCTCTCTCCAGCTTCGTTCGAGCCCCACTTTACCTCATCCCTACCTCTGATATAACAGATATAACCGGTTAGAGTTCCGTAAAAAAAAAGCAAAGAAAAAAAAACAATTTTTCGTCTTTGCACGTGCACACTCACGATTAAGGAACGAGAAACGAAGCATCTCGTAAAAGAGAAGTTTCTTTTTTGTTTAGAAAATTGACTTCTTTGTAATTTTATTATATTTAACAAAAAAAAAAAAAAAAAGAATTATTATATAAACAGTTTTTGTCAAAATATTATAAATAATAATTTTATAATGTTTAAAAAAGAAAAACATACGTATTTTTAGCGGAGATAAATGATGAAAAAGTTATTAATAAATGACTGATGATGATAAGGATATGTATTATTAATGGATTATAAATTATAAGCTGCTATCGTTATGCATTCGCTTTCAATCGCAAACGTGTTTACGAACTTGTTTTAAATATTATATATTTCTTGTGCATATAGCACAAAATATATATAAAAAAAAAATATATTTATATATAAAAAATAATAATTTTTAAATCTTATGAAAAATAGAGTAAATAATTCATTTTTGATGCGTGAAAAAATGGTTCTAAATTAATTAATTGGCTTCTAAAAATAAAATTAAGTAGATTAATTGCTACAGTAAAAAGTCAAATCAAAATTAGTTATTTTTTGGATAAATAATTAAAATTTAGAGTTCATAATAAACTGTTTTCAGAAAAGAAAAGAATTACTTTTTACACATAATTTTTTTTTTAACAAAAATAAATTTAATAAATTACTGTGATTTAATTTTTTTTTAAAGTGTAAATGGTACTAATAATGCGACGGGTTAATAAAATTTCCCAACTTTTTCACTCGGGTCAACGTCCTCTTGTTTTTCTTTGCAAACGACTATATAGCAAGCTTTAAAGATTGTGTACGAGATCTGTCTATAACTGTATTATTCGAAAATATATTATTTAACAAACATATTCTATATATATATATATATATGTTAAATAATATAATCTTAAAATTTATCTATTATTATTTTTATATAATATAAGTATAACGTTTTTTATTATTTTTTTATTATCATAAATAATTATTTTTTTGATTATAATTTTTAATTATTATTTAATTTTTAATAATTTTCTAAAGTCAACAAAAATTTTTTTTCGATAAATTTTCTATAAACAGAAACATTTATTATTTAATAAATAATTACTTACGACTATATATTATCAAATAAATATTTATTTTTTTTTTATCTGAAAATGCATTTCAAACCGCAAATAATTTCTGCATCTAAAAAAATATTAATTTGACATTTAAATAAAAATATTATTAAAAAAAAGAAACATTTTTTTTTTAATGAAATAAAAATATTTCTCGAAACAATAATTTCTGCATTTAAAAAAAATATTAATATTGACTCAAATAATAATAATAATAATAATTTGATAATAAATATTTGATAAAATAGTTTTATTTGAGTTAAATAATAATTTTTTTTTTGCAAAGTTCCTCTACATTTATTAAAATTTCATAATTATATATAAATTTTTCGAGTGTAATAATAAAAATTTAAAAAAAAAAAATTGTTATCATATTAGCGTGGTTGACCTTCAAAAAAAGTTGAAGTTGTATATTGATAAAAAAAAAATAATATAATAAGACTGGTATTTTTTATACTTTAAATTAGACATTATAAAGCTCGTTTTGCAAAAAATATATTCAAATAGTATTGTAAGCTTGTTGTATTCAACATGTTGTACCAAATTTATACTTTTTTCTTAATCTTTTCAATTACTGCTTTAACATGCGGGGAACCAAACTTGCCCGCTCCAAATAAAGTAAGCTCAAAAAAAAAAAAAAAAAAATAATAAAAAAATGGTTTTCTACTTTTTTTTACCAATTTCTTTTTTAGCTATGTCCAACTTGCGTTAAATATACAGGATCCATAGAAATGACAGACTTATCTAATAACTTTAATTTTGTTATGCTTAATCAAGGAATATTTCCTGATCATTCTGTTGTTTACCAAAGATTTAAATCAACTCCAGGTATTCGGGTGAGTATATATAATATATCGTTAAATATTAGACAGAATATTATAAATTTAATAATTATATAATTTCCGAAAAAAAATAATTTGCAATTTTTATACATTTTCCTTTTTTAGGCTTTCTATTATATTCAAGATCCATTAAAACCGGTTCCTGAACCTCTTATCGATTTAGACCTCTGTAGCATGCACGATTTAAGCAATGGTTTAGAATCATTTTATCAATTAACAACTATTTTGGCATCTTACATTCTTCCAGTGGGACTACCATGCAAAGAAGCAATGGTTTGTTATTATAAAAACAATATTAAAAATTAAATAATAATTAAATTAATAAAATAAAATAATAATAATAATAATTAAAAACTAAAACAATTATTATGATTATTAATAATAATAATTGTTATAATAATTATTATAATTGATTATTATTTCATTAAATCGAATTATTAATTTATCATTTAATAATAAATTAAATAGAGGAGAAAAATATTTGTCTTCTAAAATAAAAAAATAAGAAAAAAATAAAAAAAAATATAAACAATTAGTCATATTTGACCAAATATAGTCATTGATAATGACGCATGTAATATTATCACACGTCACTATACAAATAGAATACGTGCAAAATTGCACAAATCCGTATCACTTTCATTAGTTATAAAAACGTAATTAAAAATATATTATAATACAGTAATCTACGTTTTTATAACTAATTTAAAAAAAAAAAAAATTTCTCTAAAACAATGAAAATCACACGTTGTTGATTGTGACAATCAATACACAAGGCAATCATTATATATTTTCTGGAAATTCTTTAAAAAAATTTTTTTTTCGTTTTCAAAGCGTAAATTTTTTTGATTTAAGAGTAAATTTTTTTTAGGAGTTTCAAAACAATTATTAATAAATTTTACTTTAGATTATTTTTGGTTCTTTTTTTCAGGGTAAACGACCAATGCCTCTAAAAGTAAGTCGGACATCATATTATTTACTGAGAGAACCAACACCATGCAATACATTTAATATAACAGTTGAGATTGCAACTCTTCAAGCAAAATTAAATCCTTATGTAACAATGAATTTTACCGTAACAAAACCAGGGAAAAAATGTAAATTATCGCTACCTAAATTACCAACAACACCTACAGAACCAACTAAACCTAAATCACCAAAACCTGCACAACCAGCAAAACCATCAATGGGATAAATATCTAAAAAATAAAAAATTGTTTATAAGTAAACAATAATATTTTTTTAAAATATATATCATTATAAGAATTTCTCCCCAACAAAAATTGAAAACTGAATTGTGTAAAATTTACAGAAACAATAAAAATAAAATCAAAAAAAAAGTTTATTTTATCTTTTTTTTAATTATATACTGTAATAATTATAATTTTATAATAATTATTACAATATAATTATTTTTTTTATGTACTTTAGTAAATTATAATTTTCTAATTATTTCCTTGGTTTATTTTTAATATTCGATTTCTATTTTATTTTATCTAATTTTATAATTCTTTTTATATTCATAAGTATTCACCAAAAAGAAAAAATATATTTACTCAAGAGCTAAATAAATGTTTGCTTTTTTTTTGTCAAATAAAATAGTTATTTTTATCGCTTCGAAAAATAGAATTTTTTATTTAATTCAAATATATCTTAATTTTTTTTCGTACGAATAAATAAAAATTTTTTCTTTTTGCCTCCTTAAGGATACAAAAGTTTTTCCTTTCGTTGCCTCAATTTTATTCAAACTTTTTTTTTTTTTTTGTTAATTTTCATCACAGACAATGGAAAAATTATTATAAATTACATTTTTTTAGCGCTAATATGAAAAAAAAGCTTTTTAAAAAATTAGAGAACAAAAATTCTAACAAAGTAAAACTATAAATTACTGTTTTAAAAATACACATTTTTTTATCGAAATTCTAATGATATATTTTTAATCATCTACACTTGTTTAAATAGATGAAAATAAATAAAAATTTAATTTAAATAACTTGCCGAAAATTTTATTTTTGATAAATACTAATAATGGAGAATTTAGAATAATATTAAAAAATCCCCAAATTTATAATATTACATCGACATAAATTTTTAATTTGTTTATAAAATTTTTTTTTTATTATTTAAACAAATGTAAAATTTAAAAAAATATTAGAACTTTGATAAATATGTATATATATATATTTTTTTAAAAAATAATTTCAAGTTTTATACAAATTTTATATTTATTTTAGAAGATTAAATTTTTTCATATCGTTTAAAAAAAATGAAATTGTTATTAAATTTTGAAAAAAAAAAATATTTCTTTTTCTCTGTATTAGTAAAGTTTGAATAAAATGAATTCACTTATTTGAAAAACTCATATTATTGGAGAATCCTTATAATTGTATTATCTAAATACAATTATTCTTTTTTTTATTTATATCAATGTAAAGCATTGTTATAAACGTGCATGAAATTAATATATATAGCTATTTTCTCATATCAGAATTCTTATCAGCATAATACCTACGCAACACATATATAATATAAGATAATGTCAACGAATATATCTACCGAAACTGGCAATAAAATTTTCAGAATACTAAAATGCAATTACAAAAAAAAAAGAAAATTTATTCCCATTTTAAGAATAAAATCTATTAAAATTAATAAAATATTCTTAAAATAAGAAACACTATCTTAAATAAAAATAAAAGATAAAATATTCTAAATTTATAATTATAAGAATTTTCTTCTTGTTTTATTTTTTTTAATTTTGTATTTTTTGAATATAATTTTTTTTTTATATAGTTATAGAAAAAAAAATAATATTCTGCCTATATAAACCAGTAAATTTAACCATCGGTCCAATCAACAAGAAACCGGTAGTCCAACCGGTTTTGCGGACTCTTGAGTACAAGAATATTATATTGGTCATTTGAAAATCGTTGTGTACCCTTTTCGCAATTTCTTGGGGTGAAAATTAAAGCTCTCCTATAATGTTAGTGATAAAATTCACTTTCATTTTAATTTTCAAATTAACAATATTTTCATATTTTGCAAATTTATATTTTAAAATACAAAAAATAGAATCTTTGTATAAAAATTAATTGCAACTTTTTTTTTTTATCACCGAAATTGTAAAAACGATTAATTCAGTTTTCTTTATCAGAAAAAAAATGATTCTTAGTTTAAAAAAAAAAATTAAGAAAAGCAAATTGATAATATGTACTCACTTATTTATAAAATTTTAAAAGAAGAACTTCTTTCAACCTTTTTATCCAGAATAACGAAAATTCATTTTTGCCAAAAAAAGAAAAATAATGCCGCTTCTTCATTTTTTTTTTCCTTTGAACGTCAAACGGGAAGTTTTTTACTTTTAAAGAATTTTTCCATATCTTCTGCTCTGTTGCAATAAAATTTCTGAAAATATAAAAAAAATTATATTAATATATTATTTTTTAATTAAAATAATTTTTAAATTTGTGCCATTATCAATTTTTAAGTGAAAAAAAAAATTATTATTATTTCTTATATAAATATTCCAACTGCATGACAAAAAAAAATTTCTATTTCGTGTGATTTAAAAAACAGTATTGTAAAATTTTCTAATTTAGTTGTAATGAATTTTTTCGAATATTTTTTACAAAACAAAAATTAAATTTTAGAAATAGATATATCGAAAATTAGTGTAAAAAAATAGTTTTTTTTTTTGTTAGAAAAAAAATGTATAATTATTTTTTAATATTTTTCGAAAATTGAGGAGAGAATAATAAAACTGGATATTTTTTTTTTTAATAAATCATTTATTTGTCACTTCTGTTGTAAATATTACAAATTAGAAATAACACATTATTTTTTTTTTTACGAAATACGCAAATTGTTTTTTCTTTTTGTAAAGATAATAAATAATGGAGACAATTTTAAATCTCTATACATAAATGAGAGAAAAAAAAACTCGATTATGATGTGTAGTATCAAGTATATATATATATAGCGACCATTTTAGGAGACGATTTCTTTGTTAACGCTTTTTTGAGATCAAAGAACATCTCTTTGGTTTCTTTTTTTATACATATAATGTATAAATATGTCTTTTGCGCACAAATAAATTTATACATTTTTCTTTTGTTGTAACAAACATATAGATGGCTCTTTACTACACTCCAGGTCTTTAAAAAAAAAGAGTGAGAAAAAAAGGATTAAGAAAGCATATAGTTACAATATATAACTCATCAATTCTAATATTCTTAAATCTTAATAAGATATATAATATCATCTCGTTAAACGTGAAAAATTAAATTACATATGCTTTTTATCGCTTTTTTTTTATTTCAATATATATTGTTCTCTACTATAACTTGTTATTTTCATTTTTTTTTTTTACTATATATAATAATTATCTTCAACTCAATATTATTATTTTTTTTCAACACAATAAAGATCACATGAATAAAGTGGACCTGATTTAGCAAAAAATCGTCTCGCCCACATCATAGCCAACTGGCAATTTTGAGTGCAAGCTTTTTTTTCCATTCAAATATACACTGAAAAAAAATTTTTTTATTCCAAATTTAACAATTTAGAATAAATTTTTTTTTTCCAGTGATAAATCAACTTTTTTCGTTTCTATTTCGAGAAAAGTTGTTAAATTTTTTTTTTAATTATTATTGAAAAAGCTGCACATCAATTGGACAGCTTTAACTTAAAAATTATATATCACAATACAATCAGTGGATCGGTGTATGTCGGACAATTCAAAAAAAAAAAGAATATAAATTAACCATTACTAAAAAAAAAATATAATTTCGAATCGTTTCTTTTATGCAAGAAAATTTTTTTTCTTTGATATTACTCCAAAATGTAATCAAGAAAATGAATTCGGAGTCGATATGGTTATTTATATGTATATAGGTATATAAAGGCAAAAATTGCATTATTATTATTACAATTATTAAAAGAATGGTCGATACGATTGTCTTATACAATAGCGCTCGTGTCAGTGTGGGCAATATGTAAAAATTAAATGACAAAAAAAAAACCTACCTACTTATCACTATAATATCTACGCATCTAATTACCACTACATATCACGTGAAATTTGTTAAAGTCTTGATGATACATCTTCACGAATGAAGACAAAAAAAAAAAAAAATCTCTTCTCAGAAGAGCTACCATTACTAGAATTTGTTTTTTCTTTACTATCACAATAAATTTACTTCTTTTTTTTCCTCTCTTTCTCTCTTAATATTATGCGGTGATTTAATAATTTTTTATCACCCTTCAAAAAGAAAAATAAAACCCAGGCAAGTAATTCACAAAAAAAGACTAAATCTTTCCTTCTTTTTTTTTTTTTTTAACGCCTAGATAATACGATATTCTTTTTTTCTCTTGACCTGTTTTTTCGTTTAATAATATATATATATATATATATGTAAATCTCTCTCACCTTTATAAAACGAAAAGTGATAATCGGCGAAAAAAAAAAAATAGAATCGCAACACATCGAGAAAAAAAAAAATTAGACGAGAGAAAGTTGAATTTTTCATTGGTCTTGATGAGATCTGTAGAGTTTCTTTTTTTCCAATATAAAATCCCTGCTTATCATGATAGTGCCTCCACGAGTTAGATTTCTGCAAAAAAAAAAAGAGGAAAATTAGTAAAAAAAAAAAATTTGCAATTATTTTCTAAATTATCCGATTGCAAAAACAATTGCAAATAGAAATAAAAAATTAATTTTGAAACAAAATTGTAAATTTAAAAAATTAATTTTCTATTAATTAAAATAGAAAAATCAGATATAAATACCTAATTTCATATAATAAAACTTACTTTAAAAATTGTGGAATTAATATATGCCACGATGTATGATCTTGTTTGAGAGTAAGAAAAATTTCAAAAGTTGAAACAGAATGTGGATCACACTGAATCCTCGAGAGCCTTCGGCACATGTTGTCAGTCTCAAAATTAATAAAGACTGTGCATCCTCTAAAAAAGAAAAAATAAACGAATTTAATTAACAAAATCACTGCGAGAGAGAGAGAGAGAGAGAGAAAAGAAAGAGAGGTGGAATCACTAGCAGCTCAAGGACAAAAAGCCGGCAAGCTCAAACCTGTCAGCGCACGACAACCTCCCACTCATCCATTTCTTTTCTTCTTTTTTTTTTTCAATACATCTACTTATTTACTCATGATAAATTTTTTTTTTCAACCTTCTCGAATTTGATATTTTTTCAAAATGAAAAAGAAAATCCTTTTATAAAATTTTCTTATTCATTGTGGCGAAAATAAAATCTTGACCTACTTTCAAACATTTTCACTTGGGGTTCTTTCAATAATAAAAAAAGAAAAATTTGTGAAAATTAGATCTTTTTTTTTTTTTGGCTTGTTGCGTAAGTGACAGAAATTACCTGAGACCGCAGGGTTCATTTTCGGCCATGATTAAAACATCTTTAGCTATTCTAGGAAGGAGATCCGCTGGTAATAGAACTTCACCACAAGCTAGTTGAGCATGTTTCGCTGCTCTCAATTCGGCTTCCAGTCGTTTTGCCAGAGCTTGAGAGGCACCGTCCAGTTCATCTGTTACGGTTTCAGCTGCAATGACAAAGAGAACAAAATAAAGCAATTTTTAACAAATACAAAAAAAGGAATTCAATTGCAATTTTTAAAAAGTATTTTTTAAAATATTCTTTTTTTAAATTACTCCAAAAAAAAAAAAAAAAGAAAAATCTTTTTGTCAAAAACTATAATAGAAAAATACTAATTTCAATAATAACACTTTCTAAAGAAAGTTACTTTCTATTACTATACTACTATTTACAATTAGAAATTTTACCCATTTCCGATTATTCATTCAAAATTTCAAAAAAAAAAAAAACTAAAGAATAATTAAAATTAAAAATCGCAATTTAAAATTTAAAAAAAAAAAATTGTAATCGATTGAAATTAGTCACAATGACAATGATGAAACTCACCTCTATTGTTGCTGAAGTTGACATTGACAGGACAAGGTAGAACCTCCATGAGTGTGGAAATTTTTTTTTCTTTTTCAAACAAAGGATGATAAAAAAATAAACTTCACTGTTTTTTTTTTTTTGCACTATTCGTCGAAAAACTATTAAAAAAATAGTAATTTAATTCGTTTCAATTTTTTTTAGTTAAGCCGGCTTTTTGTTCTTTTCGAGTAATTTAAATTGCAAAAAAAAAATTACAATTCTTTTTATTCCGGGCAAATTTTTATGAACAAAACCGTCCAGCAATGAACTAAAGCCTGACTGACACTAAGCCACCCGGCACCGATGACGCGACTTTTGTACCGGCTCTATCCCTACCAATCCGCCTAGCAACACCGGTTGTAGCTTCGCAAATTTTCGATAATATTCGACTAAACTCGGGCTTTGTTTTTCATCATGATCTCGCGCACTGCTTTTGACATAAGCGTGCTCCGACCTGATAAACTCTCTGCTTTATAATGTTTTTCTAAAAAAAAAAAATTTTTTTTTATTTATTTATTTAAAAAAAAAAACTGAAGTATTTTTTGTTACCTTCTAGGGCACAAAAATTACAAACTAAAGTTTTTAAGATTTTTTCAATAATGTCAATAAATAGATTGTTAATTTAAATACAATAGATATATTTAAACATTTGAAATAAATTTAATTATAATTTAACATACTATATGTAACTATATATAAAAAAAAAAAATTTACGATATTAAAAAGAAATTAAAATAAAATTACAAAATTTCCAATTTCTTTGTTGTCATACTCCAAAAATATAATTTTACTAAAAGAATCGTTTCTAAAAAAATTTTCTTCATTCAAGATCTTGGTTTATATTTAATAAAATATTTATTCTTTTCTTATAAATTCTATAACAATAATAATATAATAATAATAATAATAATAATAATAATAATAAATCCTTCATCAAAAGGGATTTAAAAATTAATTATTTTAGTGTTATAAAAATGTTAATAATGAGGAAAAAAAATTCAATAATTTTCTCAGTATTAATTGTGTTTTGTAATAATAATAATAATAATAATAATAAATTAAAAATATATTTATCAAAAATGTGTAAAAAAAAATAAGTAAAATTAATAATAATAATAAATCCTTCATCAAAAGGGATTTAAAAATTAAATATTTTTGTGTTATAAAATTGTTAATAATGACGAAAAAAAATTAAATAATTTTCTCAGTATTAATTGTGTTTTTGCAATAATAATAATAATAATAATAATAATAATAATAATAAATTAAAAATATATTTATCAAAAATGTGTAAAAAAAATGAGTAAAATTAATAATAATAATAATAAATCCTTCATCAAAAGGGATTTAAAAATTAAATATTTTAGTGTTATAAAAATGTTAATAATGACGAAAAAAAAAATTCAATCATTTTCTCAGTATTAATTATGTTTTTGCAATTATAATAATAACAATAATAATAATAATCATAATTTTGTCGCAAATTTGTTGCAAAATATCGAATGCTACCTGTGTGATGTGCATAAGTACAAATTATCGATTTCACCTGTTTAAGTGAATATAAATAAATTATCTGACTAATAATTTCTAGTGTTTATTTAAAAAAAAAAAAAAATTACAATTCCATTGTGTATACATATATATCTATTTTGAAATAAAGATGATTTTTTTCTTTCTTTTTTTAATGACTCATTTTTTTTTTTTTTTGTCAATAAATTGAATAAATAAATTACTAAAATGTCTAAATTTTGTGAAAAAATTTTGTATTAAAATTTATTTTTATATTTCGTCAGATTTTAATATCGTGTGTATATAATAGTAGTAGTTGCATCATCGAACCAGTTTGGGGTAAGGTCTTTACTTGCGTACAGTCACGTATACATATATATACACACTACCTCTAAAAGTGCATGACAAAGAAAAAGCCTTTAAATTTAAAGTGATATCTATTGTTTTTCAGTAGCAATTGAAAACAAATTTTCACATATATCTTTATCAAATCTATTATTATCTCCTTTTATTATTTTTTTTAATTTTATGTTTGCATTTGCAATTATTTTCTATTTTTAAGAGAAAGATTTTTTTTAAAAAAATTATTTTTTTTTATTAAATAATTTAAAAAAAAAAATTTCAATTAGCAACAACGATTTATTTTTCGTTTATTATGCGAATAGTAATTTATTTTTAATTTTGACTAATTTGACATTTAGAGAATAAAGAATAAAATATAAAATTTCTTCAACAAGTAGTTAATTTTTTTTTTTAGAATTAATAACGTTATAAAAGGGAGTGTCAATTTTTTCTTTGTTACCAAGCAGCGTCCTCTTTATCCCCACCAATTTTACCAGCAAACTCGGTGTATACGATTTTTCTCCCAACCATCAGTACTGGATCTATTGTGTGTAAATCTCTGCGCCTTATGCCTTTATAAACTTCTCTCTCACACAAAATAAAAGTAGAATAAAATAAAAATTTATAATCACGATAGAAAAGTATACATATATATATAATTTAACTGCTTTGCAATATAAATTCAAGATATAATAATTTTTTATATTTTACAATAATTTAATTATTGTTATAAATATTTTATTATTATAAGTTTATAATTTTTTAAGAAAAAAATTAATTTATAAAAATAAAAATAGTCAAAGACTAATAATTATTTAATATAATTTAGTGAAATTTCGTAATTTTTTTTTTTTTTAAACCAAGTCCACTTCTGGGCCGAAATGCTGAAGCTTAATTAATAAATAAATAATTTAGTGAAATTTCGGTTATTTTGACAAAAAATCTAAAAAAAATTGTATTATTATTATAAATAATTATTATTAAAATAGATCAATTTTTTTCTTTATCAAATTAAATTATAATTCAAATTTAGAAATGTTTATACTTTTAAAAAAAAATAATTTAAATTGTTTTTTTTTATAACTTTTCTTTCAATTTATATTCGACGCTCCTGACAAGTCCCTTTCTCTCTGTTTCGTTTCTCTCTTTCTTTCTCTTTCTCTCTCTCTCTCTCTTAACTAGTAACGCGAAAGAGCACTTTCCACAAGTTTATTGTACAATAAGAAAAATTATTTTGTTATATCCCCTTTTTCTTCAAAAAAAAAAAATAAATAACTGAAATATCCTTTTATAAAAACATAAAAAAAAACCCTACCAATATTTTTCAAAAATTTCTCCCTTTACAAAAAGAAAAAAGAAATGAAAAATTTTATTCCTACGCCAATGTTTCTGACCCTTTCAACTGGAGGGGTCTAACAACAATACACTTTTCAGGTAGCACGAAAATTTGCATCAAACTTGCGACAAGTTTATACTGTAATGATATAGTGCGGAAATATATTAATTTCGAAAAAAAAGTGCTTTTTTCAATAGTTTTTTTTTCTATAAATATATGACGCAGAGAATTAAATGTCTCTCGCATTAAAAGATAAAAGAAGACATTTTAAAATATGTCTTTTTTTTTGATTTTGTAAAATACAGACAAAATTTTATAAAAACATAACCTCTAAATTGCGAATTTATCAAAAATGCAATTTTTGACAAATAATTTAAAAATTGAATTATCAAATAAAATTCTTTACCTTTTTTTTCTGCCATCTTTGATAAATCTCATTTATTATTATTTCACCCGCAGTCTCAAATCATCTCTTCTCAATAATAAACGATAGCTCATTTTATTCATTGATGGATTAATATATATATATATTGTTCAACGATGAATGTACTTTCAATAAGTTTTATTGAAATCCGAACGTCGTTTTGCTAAAATTGAAGGAAAATGCAAAAAAAGATTGAATAATTATGAGATTAGAAACGCCATGTAACGACGCTAAAAAAAACTGTTTTTAATTTAAGGTTATGTTTTCACAGCATGTACCAGACAAAATTAGTGATTTTTATAATAAAATATGCAAATAATGGAATATTATGAAATTAGAAACGCCACGTAACGACGCTAAAAAACTGTTTTTAATTTAAGGTTATGTTTGCACGGCGTGTACCAGATAAAATTATCTCAGTGATTTTTATAATAATATATAAATATTGACATTTTCGTAAATATATTTAAATACCTTTTAATCTTTTGATGCACACTAATTTCATATGAGAAGAATAATAGATTTTTTTTTGGCGATAAAACAAATTAGACTTATAAAATTTATACAGCGTCCTCGAGCGTTCCAGCACTAATACAGTGTTACCAATACAAATACACAAATTTTACATAAGAACCAATAGAATTCATATGCACAATTGTTTTATATCACGTGACACACTAACAACCAATAGAATTGCTCGATTTTACTTTAAACAAGTGTGGGGGTGAATAACTACGACAGCAACCGTTAAAATTGATGGATGTTTAAAGTGGCGCCATCTTTCAAACAGAATTGTTATCAACAGTGTCACTCATGTGGTAACAATAAATTATTACTATTTCTCATTGATAGATGTCAGAACTTGAAAACGTTTAAAATTGATTTTTGACTTTTTATAAAAAGAAAAATGGCAGCGCCCTGTCAAGTGACGTGTAATGTTATTCTTTTCATCGTTTTCATATTGTAAAATAATTAATAAATGTCATGGAATACTTTAAAAGTAGTATAAAATCAGTTCTTGGTGCTCCTCTGCCAGAAAATGAGCCTTCTGGAGCAGATACGGTAAGTTTTTGATTTGTTTTTTTTTATTTCCACACAAATACCGCTCTATTGACAGAAAGTGTCAAAAAAATCTTTTCATTTTTTATAAGATTAATAACAAATGAAAGTATAGAAAAATAGAACAATTATCCTTTGTTAAAATTTTTGTTTTTATAATTATTTTTTATTTGTTGTGACATGAAATAATATTAAACAGCTGTCAAGTGAAGATTTTTTTTTTGTATTAAAGATTTCATTGAATTGTAATTAATTAAATGATATTTTATAAATGTAATTTTTTTTTTTTAATTCTTTAGGTGGAAAGAATGGTTGAAAGACTTCAATCATCAACATTATTGGATGATAGAAGAGATGCATGTCGTGGCCTTAAAGCACTTTCGCGAAGTTATCGACTAGAAGTTGGAGCACAAGGCATGGATGCATTAAGACAAGTTTTAGAAATGGATAAAACTGACTGTGAAATAACTGGTCTTGCTTTAGAAACACTTTGTAATATAACTCATCCTGAAACATTTGATGAAGAAGGTACATTTTTTTTTTAAATAAATCCTATTTTACTAGAATTTTTTTCAAAATAAAAAAAAAATATTATGCATTTCTTTTTTCAGTTGAAAAATATGGACCAAGAAATAAAATTGGAGAACAATTTACAGAAATATTTATTAAACAACAAGACAGTGTGGGTTTAATATTAAGTTTTCTTGAAGAATTTGATTTTAAAGTACGTTATCCGGCATTAAAATTATTATCCCATTTACTTATAAATAAACCAAAAAATATTCAAGAAATAATATTGATTAGTCCAATGGGTGTTTCGAAATTAATGGATTTACTCGCTGACAGTAGAGAAGTTATTAGAAATGACGTATGTAAAAAAAATCTTTCATATTTAAAATATTAATAATAATAATTAAATTTAAATGTTCATGTTAAATATTCTCAGGTATTATTAATATTAATACAATTAACGAAGGGAAATGCAAATATACAAAAAATTGTTGCTTTTGAAAATGCATTTGATCGAATATTTGACGTTATTTATCAAGAAGAAGGTGCTGAAGGTGGAATTGTTGTTGAGGATTGTTTATTATTAATGTTAAATCTCTTACGTGGAAATTCGAGTAATCAAAATTTTTTTAAAGAAGGTTGGAAACACTTTTTTCTAAAAAACAATTTTTTAATTTTATTTCCTTTTAATTTTCCCATTAATTGAAAAAATTATTTATTTACTTTAGGAAGTTATATTCAAAGATTAAAACCATTATTTGAAATGCCACCGGAAATTGATGATAATCCATTGGCAAGTTGGAGTCCACAAAAAGTTTCAAATCTTCATTGTATGGTTCAAGTTATACGCGCTTTAGTTGCACCAAATGGTCCAGCTCAAGTAATAAGATAAATTTTTATTTTTTCAAGAACAATTTAGCTTTCTTTTTTTTTTTTACTAATTATAGATTTTTTATATTTCATATTATAAATTTAAATGAAAATTAAAATATTCAGTCAGTGGCGGCTTGTCAACGAAATATGGAAGCATGTAAATTATTGCAAGCACTTTGTGATATTTTAATGTCAAGTGGAGTGCCAGCTGATGTTTTAACCGAATCATTATGTGCAGTCGCAGAAGTTATTAGGGGAAATCAAATTAATCAAGAATTTCTCGCAAATGTCATGGCTCCCAGTTCACCTCCCAAGTAATTGAATTTTATTTTTTCAATGAAAAATTATAAGCAAAATTAATAATTATTACAAAAACTATAAAAAATGAATTTTTAAATAATGTTTTAATTTCAGACCAGCCATAGTAGTACTTTTAATGTCAATGGTAAATGAAAAACAACCATTTTTATTAAGATGTGCCGTACTTTATTGTTTTCAATGTTTTCTCTATAAAAATGGACCGGGACAAGCTCAGCTCGTACAAACATTTTTACCTCAAGGCAATGAAACGCCATCTTTAACAACAGGTAATAAATTTATTTTAATTAAAATCGAAAATTATTATTATTTTTTTTTTATTATTATATTAAAAATTTTCTAGGTCAATTAATATGCGGTGGTCTTTTTTCAACTGATCCATTGTCAAATTGGTTCTCAGCTGTTTTATTATCACACGCTTTAATAGACAATTCAATGCAAAAGGAGCAATTATTAAAAGTTCTTTTAGCGACAAATATTGGAAAACCACCAGTTAAATTAATGCAACAATGTGTTATGCTTCTACAACAGAGTAATAAAATACAATCAAAATTGGGACTTTTAATTTTATTATGCACATGGACATCATATAGTGCACCGGCTGTTAAAACATTTTTAACAATTGAAAATTCAATTGCCTATCTTACTGCATTATTATCATCGCAAGAAAATAATGATGATTTACAAGAGTGTCTTTTGCAAAATATGTGCGCTTTTCTTATTGGTATTTGCGTTCATTTTAATGATGACAGCGTTCCAAATTACACCAAGGTATTTTTTTTTAAAATCGAAACATTTTCCTAATTTTAAATAAAAAGAAAATTTTTTTTTTAAAATCGAAACATTTTCCTAATTTTAAATAAAAAGAAAAATTTTTTTTTAAAATGTAAATTATTTTTTCTATTTTCAATTATTAATTTTATTGTGCAAAATTATTTTTATTATTATAGGAAAAACTTTGCAGTTTAGTGGAAAATAGAATAGGATTGGAAAAATTTCAAAATGCAATTGGAGGAATATCAAGACACGAAGTCTATTCAAGAAGTTTAAAACATCCCCAATCGTCGGCGAAAAATTCTTCTGAACTTTATTTAGATCATGAATTTTGTAGATTACTTAAAAACTTGGAAGGTAATAGCATAATTATTATTTAATAAGAGAAAAAAAAATCAAATTCTAAATGATTTTTACAATATTTTAATTTTTAGCTAACGTCTTAAAATCTGTTCTCGATGGAAGTAATTCACATGGTTCTTTAGATCAAATTTCAACAATTTCACCATCAGATTCAGCATTAGTTTCACAATATAAAGATTTAATAAGAGAACAAGATAGTCAAATTCAAAATCTTAATAAAACAAATGAAATTCTATTAAAAGGAAAACATGAACTAGAGGTAAGTAATTTTTTTACAAAAATTTAATTTAAAATAAAACTGATTGTTAAATAATTAAATAAAAATTTTATATTTAGATTCAAGTACAGGAACTTGAAATGCAAATGAGTCATTTGAAAGATCAAAATTTAGTTTTACGTGCAGCACAAACTAATTTTTCAAATGGAAAAGAAACTAATGTTTCTTCTAATCACATTGAGACAGAGAATGAAGAATTGGAAAAATATAAAGCACAAATAAAAGAATTAGAAAATCGATTATCAGAATTCACATTGAAAATAAATCAAGATGAATGTAAAAATAATGATTCTAATCAAATTAAACTTGAAGAAATAATTAAACAAAGAACAGCGGATCTTGAGAAATTAAGAAAAGATCAAGAAGATTTATTGGAACTTCTTTCGGATCAAGATAATAAAATTACATTGTATAAAGAAAGACTTTTATCATTGGGTGAAAAGGTAATTATTTTAATAAATTAATTATTAATTAATAATAATAATTATTAAATAAAGAATATTAATTTTCAGGTTGATTCTGATGAAAGTTCTGGCGATTTAGATACTGACGATCAACCAGAATCGAGTAATTAATTTTAATAAAAAGAAACTAAATTCTTCAAATTAATTAATATTCGATGTCAACCAAAAAGAAAATTTTTATCCTTTTTTCTATTATTCCAAGTTGAAAGTTGTTAATTTTCTTTTCTTTTTTTGAAAATAGTGTATATTATATTTATAAAATAAAAATACAATTTATATAATTTAAAAAATGAATAATTGATGAAAAATCTCTCAATTAGATATACGTATTTATTAAAGAGATAATTTATTTTTTAACAATTGTTTCTTCTAATTTTCTAAAAAAAGAATTTTCAAAAATATCATACAGATGAATGAATATAATAATAATTTTTTTTTTTTTTAAATATAAATGAATTGGTATATAAAGTTTTATGAATTTTCATTTCATTTATAATTAAAATCTATAGATTAATTTATTTTTTAAATAGTGTAATATTTAGTAATTGGGAACTTTTTTTTTATATATAGATTTTTTCTACATTTGAAAAATTTCCATAGATTTATTTTTTTAATCAATTTCTTGAGCTACTTGATCTTTCATTTACTAATTATAATTATATATAAGTCTTATGTAAACAAATTTTCAGCTATAAATTAAAAAAACAAAAAAAAACTCATCTATATACATTGATCGTTTATAAAGCAATAAATAATAATTTTACACTTGTGATTGACGTTGTTTTAATGCAGCTTGCACACATTTTGACATTGTTGGCGATGCTCTCGATATTGCGTCTGTCATGAAAAATTGATCTAATGTCTTCTGTCTCACTTCCACTGGATCTGGCAGCAATGCACCACCAGTTTTCTGTAGCATAAATAGTTTTATTTATTATTATTCCAAAAAAAAGGGAATTATTTAGTAATTTTATGTTTTTTTTTGTTAATAAATAAAATTGTTTACTAACCATTGCGAGTTGTAATGCTAAATTTGTAAAATTCGCCGATTCAACGTCACCGTATCGCGATAAATGCGGTGCAACTTCTTGAATTCTAGAGCGTAATTCCGCTAGAGTATCATATGGTAAACAATTTCCAGAGATCTGTAAAAAAAAAAAGAAATATTGAAAAAAAAGAAAATAAGAACGAAATTAAAATCTTTTTGAAATTAAAAATTGAAATATTAAATTATACTTCTGAAAGTGCACGAATTATTTTCCAATCGGGACGAGCCATTCCAGGTGGTGTAATTGCTGCATTAGTTTCCTGTGAACGACCTTCAGTATTTACGAAACTTGCATTTTTTTCAGTATAAGCAGCAGCAGGAAGTACAACATCAGCCATTGTTGCTCCTTTATCGCCATGACTTCCAATATAAACAATATAGGATTTACCAAAATTTTCCTTTGTCACATTACAATCGTCAGCGCCCAATAAGAAAATACAACGCGGTTCTGCTTTCTCCAATTCTTCAATTGTCGATCCATAACCAAGATCCAAAGCGCCAACTTGCGATGCATTTGTTTGAAGCACATTAAGTACTTTCCAATCCGAAGAGATCTAAATCAAAATTTATTTAATTAGCCCAAATGAAGAAAAAGATTATTTTTATTACTATTCTGTATTAATTATTTAATTAATAATTATTTTACTAACTGTTCCTTTGTCTCCCACAATTTTGGCCAATTCTTGTACTTCAGCAAGAATTTTAGCTCCATCCTTACGATCCAATTGATTTGCTCCTAATATAATCATAGGCTTCTTTGCATTCAAAAGAATTTTACTAAAATCATGAGTGCCGCTCTTTAGCTCATTTATTATTTTTAGTGACTGTCCTAGATGCTAAAAAAAAAAAAATTATCATTTAATAAATAAATTATTAACATTTAAGAAATATTAAATTAAACAAACCTCATAATTGTACGTTAAATCAACTTTTGGTCCAATAAGAGCAATTGTTTGTTCACCATGAATATAACCTTTTCTTAAACGTGTATTAATTAATGGCGCTTCATATCTTGGATTAGTGCCAATTAATAAAATAACATCAGCATCCTCCAAATTGTGTATTTTATTGTTCAATAAATAATTACTACGTAAATCAATACCTGAACCTTCTTTAGGAAAATTTTGTTCAGTTGCTAATAATTCACTGCCAAGTTTATTTATTAAATCTTTCATTGCCATTAATGATTCAGCATCTGCCATTTTACCAGCAATAGCCGCACATTTATTTGCCGGTAAATCTTGTAAAGCTCTTGAAACTAAATAATAAAAAAAATTTAAGCACAATTTTTTAATAATTTGAATTTAAAAAAATCGATAAATTTATTACCAGAAACAAGAGCATCTTCCCATTCAGTATTTTGTAATTTTCCATCAATTTTCATCATTGGCGTTAAAAGTCTCTGTCGCTTAAGACCATCATAGGAAAATCTTACTTTATCCGATATCCATTCTTCATTTACTTGCTGAAAATTAATTATAAATTTTTAAATACAATACAAATATATAGAAATAAAAATATTATTCTAATACCTCATTTTCACGGGGAAGAATACGAAGAACTTCTCCAGTTCGATGAGTGACAACAATATTGCTTCCCACAGCGTCATGAACATCAATACTGTCAGTTCTTCGATTTTCCCATGGTCGTGCAACAAAAGCGTATGGTTTACTTGTTAATGCACCAACCGGACAAAGATCAATTATATTGCCAGACATTTCGGAAAGAAACATTTTTTCAACATACGTTCCTACCTGTAAAATAATAGTAATTTAAATTTTCAATGAAAATTCTTCATAGAGAGAAAGGAAATTTTTTTTTTACCTGCATATCACTACCACGACCAGTAGTACCTAAATCATCAATGCCAGCAACTTCAGAAGCAAATCGAATACAACGTGTACAATGTATACAACGTGTCATAACTGTTTTAATTAAAGGGCCAATATCCTTATCCTCAACAGCACGTTTACCACTGAAATTAATATCAACAAAACGACTTCTATCGCTACCAAAAGCCATACTTTGATCCTGAAGATCACATTCGCCACCTTGATCACAAATTGGACAATCGAGCGGATGATTTACTAATAAAAATTCCATTACACCCTCACGGGCTTTTCTCGTAAGATCTGAATTTGTTTTTACACGCCAACCTTTCATTACTGGCATTGCGCACGCCGCAACTGGCTAAATTAATAAAATTATAATTATTCTTTAACGCTGTGTCTATTTAGCCCGCTAACGGGAGGAATAGTGGTGATAGATTATTTAGCCCGCTAGCGGGAGAAATGCAAGATTTTGGCTATTTAGCCCGCTTATTTTTAAAAAATCATCAAAATGAGAACTATTTAGTTTGCAGTAAGTAGGATTTAAAATATTTTTTATTTTTATTTATTTATTCTAGAATAATAAAATATATTTTATTATATAAAATGTATATTAAGTGCAATTAAAAATAAGGCAATCGTTTATTTAAATATATTAATGTGATTTAATACAAAGTTTATTTGCTCCAAAATAAATTGTTTTGGTAGGGTTGTTTATTTAAAATATATTATATTATTTAATTTAATTAATTATTTAATTAAAGTTGTGGTAAAGAAACAATTTTTTGTTTAAACCAAATTTATTGTAAGAAAACTGTTTAACTACAGGTATATTTATTTTTTAATAAATTATTAGAGAATAGTTTATGGAGGGTTGAAAAATAAAAAATTTCTTTGATGGGAATTAGAATCCTTAACTTTTATTTTTTTCATTGAATCAACGTTGGTAACTTCAGTTTTATCCTTTTATCCTTCATTTTCATCAAATAAAAAAATAAAAAAATACGTATTTTCTTATTTTTCATATAGATTACGAAAAAAAATGATTCGGACAAAAAAAATTTTGAATGAAAATTTCCCGTGGAATGCCCCATACGTATTTATAAAATATAAGAATTTTAATTGTATTTCAAAATTTAATTTTTATTTGGAAATTTAAATTTTCAATAGAAAATAATTCCATAAACTATTTTCTAATAATTTATTAGAAAATAAATGTACCTGTAGTTAAATAGTTTTCTTACAATAAATTTGGTTTAAACAAAAAATTGTTTTTTTTACCACAACTTTAATTAAATAATTAAGTAAATTAAACAACCCTACCAAAACAATTTATTTTGGAGCAAATAAACTTTGTATTAAATCACATTAATATATTTAAATAAACGATTGCCTTATTTTTAATTGCAGTTAATATACATTTTATATAATAAAATATATTTTATTATTCTTGAATAAATAAATAAGAAAAATAAAAAATATTTTAAATCCTACTTACTGCAAACTAAATAGTTCTCATTTTGATGATTTTTTAAAAATAAGCGGGCTAAATAGCCAAAATCTTGCATTTCTCCCGTTAGCGGGCTAAATAGACACAGTGTATTCTTTAAATTAGAAAAAAAAAATTGTATACTTTCCAAATCGTACCTTCATTTGCTTTTCAATTTCAACGAGACACATTCTACAATTGCCAGCAACTGCCAAACGTTCATGATAACAAAAACGAGGAATTTCAACTCCTATTTTTGCCGCTGCCTAACATTAACAAAATTTTACTATTAATAATAATAAACAAAAAAAAAATTGTTTCATTAACGAAGGTACAAACTTAAAGTTAAATTAAATATTTTTGTTAAGCAAAAAAGAGAAAACATTGAATAATAATAATTATTATTTACCTGTAGAACTGTCGTTCCAGGTGGTACCTGAACAGGAATGTCATCAATAAAAACTTCAACAAGATCCTGACTTTGCTGTGTATTGACAGTTGTATGAAAATTTGTACCACCAAATCTTCCACTTGACAGTCCGGCCACCCGGACCAATGGTAATCTCAACATTTTTTCTGCAAATACAATATTCTCAACTTTTTTGTTATATAATAAAATGTATAAAATAAAAGACACGATGATTATAACCTACAAAAAGCGGTAAACAAATCTAATGTACCTGCAAACTACGTTATTATCAAATTACAAAATTAAAAATGCAACTATTGCACAAAATTGCACAAAATTGCAATTATGAAAATCTTTAATTAAATAATCGACTATATTTACTTTTTTTTTTAAGCAAGATTTTAATATGATGAAGAACTGATATTTTTTTTTTTAGTTTATTTTTCCATCACCAGATGTCGGAAGCACTTTTTATGCTTGTTTCATATCCCTGCCAATGACCCTACCTAAACGCTACTGCGCTTGTGCTAAGACAACTCTCTTATAGGTCGAAAAAAGCGCGCTTATATAAAATGCTTAATAATAAGAAAACTTTAATAAAGCAATATAAAAATATTTTCACTATTGAATTTTTTTTTTGTTAATTATATTGCTTCCTAATAAAAAAAATACTAATTTCCTTAATATACTTAAGTATATAATAATAATAATTTTATTATATTTATATCATTATTGTAATTATTTTTTAAATAAAATATTCATAATCTATTATTATTATCATCATTATTTTCAATAAATTATTATTAAATATCTATGAATGTATTACATCTATATATTTCAAAAAAATAAATCGAATTTTTTTTTGTACTTTTTTCCCAATTCAAATTTTCCTTATATAAAAAAGTACAAAAAAATTTCGCTAAAGTTTTCAAAAAATATCTATGTATATATCATTGATAATTAATTAATAACAATTTAATGATAATAATAAAAATAAATAATATATTACATAATTAATTAATAAATATTAAATTAATAATAATAATAATAGATTATATATTTTATAAAAAATAATAACAATAATGATATAAATATAATAAAATTATTAATATTATAATTATTATTATTTTTACATACTGAAGTACATTAAGTAAATTAATATTTTTTTATTAAGAAGCAATATAATTAACAAAAAAAAAATAAATTCAATAGTGAAAATAGTTTTATATTGCTCTATTAACGTTTTCTTATTATTAAGCATTTTATATAAACGCGCTTTTTTCGACCTATAAGAGAGTTGTCGTAACGCAAGCGCAGTAGCGTTTAGGTAGGTTCATTGGCAACTCTGATCCCTCATTGCATATAATTTCAAATATTTATATAGTTCATGGTTTATAAATGTAAACACGTGTGTTTTTTTTAACCTTACTTTCCAAAAAATAAAATTTTCAAAAAATAATAAAAATGTGCGCTGCAAAATCAAGAAAAAAGGAGAAAAAACAAAAAAAACCGTTACAAAAAACAAGAAAGGAAAAAAGAAAAGAAAAACGTCAACAAAAGAAGCAAAGTCGACAATTGTTTAATCAAAATAAAGGCAAGATAAAAGACAATATAGAAAATAAGAAATTAATTAATATTGAAACAAATAAAATAAAATTAAAGAAAATTCATGTTCACGATAAATTGACAAAAAAACATGAATTAGAAAAAAAACAGGAAAACAAATTAAAAATAGAAATGATGAAACATAAAAAGAAACAATTAATTGAAGCTGCAATTGATGATGACAGGACAATTAAACAGGCAGAGAAATTTTTAAAAATGAATAAAAGAAAAAATAAAAATCTTCCAAAATCATTTATATCTGATGGTGTTGATTGTATCCTTTTTTTCTATCAATATTTTGTATATTCTTTTTTTTTAAATAAATTTTTATTCTTTTTCTTGACAAAAATGAATTAATTTAGATATTTTGGATATGTGCGATGAAGAAAAAAGAAAAATTGTTGCTGAAACTGAAAAACAATTAATTGGAAATGATATTGATTTAGATTTTGAAGAGGATTTTTATGTTGCTACTGAAAAAAATTTACCAAAGAAAAAGAAAAAAGAAGATGAAAATGATTTTGAAGATTTAGAATCAATTGAGAATTTTTCTTCAGATAGTGATGAAATTGAAAAGAAAAAAATAAATGAATTAGAAAATGATTCTGATTTTTCTGATAATGAAGATGAAGATATGATGAATTTAAATGATACAAGTGATGAGGAAATTGAGACAGAAATAAACAATAGTTTAATGTCAAATGAATCAGATGAATTAGATGAATTAGATGAAAGTTGTGATTCAACAAAAGAAGAAAATCCAAAAGTTTGGGAAGACATTTATGGAAGAACTAGAGATAAAGATGGTAATATTCTTTTAAATCGTTATATACCACCAGCAGTACGAGCTAAAAATCTCGAAAAAGATTCACAAAATGAAAAATTAATTCAATTAAAAAGACAATTAAAAGGTCCTTTAAATCGATTAACAGACAGAAATATGCACACGATATCTTCGCAGGTAAAGTTTTTTTTTTATTTAAAATTACAACTAAATTTTGTTTTTTTCTTTATCCTATTTTTTCAATTAATACAGATTGAGGAATTATATCAACGAAATAGTCGTAACGATATGAATGAAATGTTGACAAAATTAATTTTCGAAGCACTTGTACTAACAACAATGACGCCAGATCGTTTAATTATTGAACATATAATGTTAATTGCCGTTCTTCATGCAAATGTTGATTCTGAAGTTGGTTCACAATTTTTATTAACACTTGTTAAACGAATTTATGAAACAATTGACGTTGAATTATTAATTGTTGAAAATAAAGAATTGGATAATTTAATTTTAATGCTCTCACATTTATATAATTTTAAAGTGAGTATAAAACTTTATTTTTAAATTCTAATATATTAATAAATTAATAAAAAAAATAATAATTAAAGATTAATATCAAAAAAAAAATTAGGTATGTGGATCAAAATTAATTTATGATATTCTGGAAAAATTATCCGAGAAATTTAGTGAAAAAGAAATTGATTTAATTTTATCAATTTTAAAAAGTGTGGGATTTCTTTTGAGAAAAGATGATCCAATTGCATTAAAGGAATTAATTATAAAATTACAACAAAAAGCATCAGACATGAAATATGTAAAGTGAGTAAAAAATTATTTTTTAATTTATTTTCAATTTTTTGTTTTTTTATTTCTTCCTTTTTATTTTTAGCTCGAGAGTGAAATTTATGTTAGATATTTTACTGGCTATTAAAAATAATAATATTAATAAAATTCCACAATACGATCCTTCTGTTATGGAGCATATGAAAAAACTCATTAAAACATTAATTCGTAAAGGAAACAGCATTTCACAGCTTAATATAACTTTGGACGATCTACTTAAGGGTGGGTATTAATAATTTTTTTTTTTAAATATAAATTATTATTTATTTTTATTTCTCTAGCTGACGAAAGGGGGAAATGGTGGATAGTTGGAGCAGCATGGACAGGAAATAAAATAACAACAAAATTAGAAAAACAACAAAATAATAAAGGGGAATATAGTGAAAAACTTTTGGAATTAGCGCGTAAACAACGAATGAATACAGATACAAGGAGAAATATTTTTTGTATTTTAATGACAGCCGAAGATTATCTTGACGCTTTTGAAAAATTACAACGTCTTAATTTAAAAGATGGACAGGAAAAGGAAATTATTCACGTTCTTATGAATTGTTGTTTACAGGAAAATAATTTTAATCCCTATTATGCTGTACTTGCGCAAAAATTTTGCGACTACGACAGAAAATATCAGGTAAATATAATATTATCCCTTTTTTTTATGAAAAAAATAATATCTTTCTTTTTTTAGATGACGATACAATATACTCTTTGGGATAAATTGAAAACATTGAATAATTTTAATAATCGTCAATTAAAGAATTTAGCATTATTTTTAACACATTTATTTTTACAAAGAGGTTTATCAATTTCTACAATGAAGGTGAAAAAGAAAATTCATTTCCAAAAATATATATATTTAATAATAAATTAAAACACTAATTTTTTTTTTAAATAATTTTTACAGGTAATACAATTGGATGAATTAGATAAATCAAAAATGAAACTACTTCGACAAATAATACTTGGAATTTTAATGTATGAAAATTTGGAAACAAGTTTAGCTGTATTTGAACGTATAACAAAATCGGAAAATTTAAATAATTTTAGAGAAGCATTAAGATTGTTTATAAATCAATTTGTTGTGAAAAATATTGATGAGGGTTTAATTGAAAATGATAAATCATCACTTATTAAAAAAAGAAGTGAATTAATTGACAGAATATTGACAACACGAGGTTCACGGACAGTTTTTTAATTATTATTATTATTAAAAATGAAAATTGAATTTCATTCTGCAAAAATATATATATATATATATATATATATTCTCAAGATTAAAGCGACTGTTGTTACTAATGTCAGAATATTAAAAATTTGTTGTACAGAATTAAAAATATACTCATTCGAAAAAAAAATAATAGTTAAACAGCTTTTCTTTTTTTTTACAAATATTTTCTATAAAAATCAATAAAACAATAATTATATTGTGAAATTAATTAAATTTCCATTAATCTAAATTTATCATTACTTAAAAATATTATCTAGAAAATGAAAATTAAATTTTCAAAATTTTATTTATTTTAAAATTTGTTTTTACACAGAAAAATATCTTTAATAAAATAAAATAACTTATTTTTTTATGTTCTTTCTTAAAAAAAATAAAATATTAGGCATATATTGTTCTTTAACGAGGCAATAAACAAAATGTCACTAGTATAATAATTAAGGTATTAGCATTAATAATAACCCTTCTTAAATTATGTAAATTAGTATTTTAATTAATAACTCAACTTTTTTTTCATTTAATCTCCGTTTTTTATAATAAAATTAAAATTTATTTTTCTAATTTGAAAACAAAACTAATTTAATGTTAGAATTAGTTTTCGCATTATATATTTTTATTTATTTAATAATAATTTCTCGTTATTTTATATGCAGAAAACTTTTAAATTTGAATTTTTATCGTATTTCTGCAAGTTTTAATCTTTATTTACTCGAATATCCAACAATTCAATTGTTTATTTAATATAAAAGATTAATTTTAATAATGTAAATAATATAAAACGTCAAAAAGTAATTGTTTACAATAATAAAATTAAATTAATAGAAAATTAGTGGCGCCATCTGTTGGTGACTCCCGACGTACCTTGGAAATGACTTTTTTTGGTCCTTTTTGACGATTTCCCATTGGAGAGATAGGAAAGTTGAGTTAATAGAGATATCTAATGTGACGTCACACTCAACCGGTAAAGTCATAGAAAGTAGAGCGATTATCATCGTGGCCCCAAGCTTACATTGGCTTATATAGAAGATGTCAGAAAATGTTTTTTTTCCCTGAAATTAAATAATAAATCATGATAACCATTTGTGTTTCGGACAAAGTAGTGATTTTTGCAATACATATGTATTTTTAAGTCTGTCATTAATGTTTGAATAATTTACAAATTAAATAAAATCAACTCTAGCAGAAGAGTATATTTGTATTTTCGTCTGCTAGAGCTGATTTTATTTAATTTGTAAATTATTCAAACATTAATGACAGACTTAAAAATACATATGTATTGCAAAAATCACTACTTTGTCCGAAACACAAATGGTTATCATGATTTATTATTTAATTTCAGGGAAAAAAAACATTTTCTGACATCTTCTATATAAGCCAATGTAAGCTTGGGGCCACGATGATAATCGCTCTACTTTCTGTGACTTTACCGGTTGAGTGTGACGTCACATTAGATATCTCTATTGAAATTTTTCATTTAGGAGCGCTGCTGTACCGAAATTTTATCTACCCATCCCTGGTTTTCACTTTTATATTGAAAAGCTCTCATTGGTCAGTTTCATATTTACGCGCCAACAGCAACCAATAAGCGCGCACCTCATTCCCCGCGTAAATATGAAACTGACCAATGAGAGCGTTACAATAGAAAAGTGAAAACCAGGGATGGGTAGATAAAATTTCGGTGCAGCAGCGCTCCTAAATGAAAAATTTCAATTAACTCAACTTTCCTATCTCTCCAATGGAAAATCGTCAAAAAGGACCAAAAAAAGTCATTTTGCAGGTACGTCGGGAGTCACCAACAGATGGCGCCACTAATTTTCTATTATTTTAATTTTATTATTGTAAACAATTAGTTTTTGACGTTTTATATTATTTACATGATTAAAATTAATCTTTTATATTAAATAAACAATCGAATTGTTGGATATTCGACGAAATAAAAATTAAAACTAGCAGAAATACGGTAAAATGGAGATAATTCAAATTTTTTTTTTTTAAATTAAATTAATTAATTTATTAAATAAATAAATAAGCAATGAGATAATAAATTCAATGATGGTAAAAAAAAGATTTAATTATTTAAAATTAAAGTTTAATTAAAATTCACATTATAGGAAAATAAAGAAAAAAAATAATTTGTTTATACCTCAGATTTACATCTTTAATTTTTTTCAAAATAGTATATAATAAAATACGAACGAATTAATTATATATGTAACGGTCCTTAAATAATTGTTCATCATCAGTTACCCTGCATTCTGTGCCAGAAAAACTGTAATTCTATTCTTAAATAATAATAGAAAATAATTCTAAAATTTTGCAATCGTAATTTTTTTTTTCCTTGATAATTTAATTATTATTATAAAGACTCACTCTCAAATTTTATCGATAAAAATATTCACAACAATGAAGCGAAACATTTATCAACTATATATAATAATAATAATAATATAAAATCCGTGTAGACATGTCAATATAAAGTAGTTTTTTTTTAAATTTTTTAAATATTCAAAAAGTGTTTTTCGAAGACATTTTTTTTTTTTACACTTTGTCACATAATTTAAAATGAAACAAAAGTTTCGAGAAAAAAAAATCCAAAATAAGCTCCATTTATTATTATTAAAAGAAAGTTATTATTTTCTGGACTAAAAAAGCGCTATTGAGTCTCTTAGTTTCTGTAATAAATTAAAGAACAATTAAAAATTGCGCAGATTCTGATTCCTATCATTTTTTTTTTTTGTCTTTTATAACGTAAATATATTTATATTTTTTTTATTTATATAATACTTAATATTATTATAATACACTTTGTTATAATCATATAACAATAAATGAGCTTGGATATGATTAATGAAATACTTTAGGCTATCGATACACGACGAGCTTGTAGCGTATGTACATTTTTTTTTTTTATTGCATATAATATAATTGTAGATTAAATAATTGCCATTACGGAGATTCAAAACTATAATATAGAAAATAAAATAATGTTAGATATAAAAAAAAACAAAAAAATAAAAATTGGTCCTTGCGACAAACATAAGCGAGAAATACGACTTTTAGAAGCTTCCTTTAAAAAACAAAAAAAATTTATTTTTTAATTTACATTTATTAATTAAATTTACTCTCAACAGTCATTGACAAAAATTCCATTAATCGTTTCAATTTTATTTTTTTCAAAAAACTGTTTTTAATAATCAAATATTTCTAAAGGTAATTTTGTATTCAATTTAAAAAATTAATAAGTTTTCAAATTACTAGATTAGTTATCTAATATGTAATATATAAAAGTTTTTTTGATATATATTATTTTTAGAGGAATTTGTGAATTATTTTTTGTCTGTCATTCACATTTTTTTTTTTTTTTTTTTTTTTTGCTCAGAATTATTTAAAAGCAAAATAAAAAAAATAGGTCCTCGTAGGTCTTAGTATTTAAAAGAAGAATTATAAATTATTAAATTCTTTAATTCATTTCAAGTTAAATAATTTTTTTTTTTAAATAAAAATTCTTGCCAATTTTTGTCGGTAAAAAAAATTTTGGAAGCTCTTTAAAGTCACATTCCCAACAGGAGCCAAACAGTAGAGATACTCGTATAGCATTTTTTTTTTTTTTTTTTATTATTATTTATTAACAGTGGCAGCCAACGTAGTACACTATTAGAGATGAATTTAACTATTATCACAGATTTATTTACAGACAGATTAACAGTCATTGATTGAATCTTGACAATTAAATATATATATAAAAAAAATTCTGTCTGCCTGCCTCTCCTGTTTACGATCGTTTAAAAAAAAAAAAAAAAAAAAAAAAAAATAATCGACATTAAATATTTAAAATCCCAGAGGCTGGAAATTTTTTTTTGGAAAAAAATTCTTCACAAAGAAATTAATAGCAATTTAAAAAAAAGAACAGGCAATGACAATCAATCTCAGAAATCTTATTTAAAATTGAAAACAAATAATCTAATACCTACTTGGACCTCTGGATATATTTAAATAGCACCCTATTTGTAAAATGTTAATTCAGTTTAAAAAAAAAAAGGAAGCTAAATTAATTTTTTTATTTTACAATTATGACAAAAATAAGAAATTTGTGCAAATCGTTGTATTGTCATTTTTTTTTTTAATTGAAAAAAAAACTTTCGTCAAAAATTTCGATAACATTTTACAAATAGTATCTTAGTGTGTATATAATCTAAACTTAAAGCTGATTTTTTTTTTGTTTTTTTCCATTTTTTTTTTTTAGAGAGGTATTAGAGACGTCAATTTTGTGTTTTTATGTTCCGTCGTGAAAAATAAAAAAACAAATTTCCACGTTGAAAGAAAAATTAAAAAATATTCAAATAGACGTTCATTTTATGAAAATGCACATATTTACTAATATCTTTGGAAAGACGGCGATAAAGAATGTCAAAATTGTTTCTACTCTTTTTTTTCAAATTTAGGCAAAAAATTCAATTTTCTGTCATTATAATAACAAATGCGCATTCTCCGCCCGTCTGACTATTATGGAAAACAATGTTATATATTTAGTTTTAGAAATAAAACTAGTACTTAGCTATCTCTCGTTAACAACATTTCTTTCTATGTTGTTTAGTGTTTTTTCTCAAATTCACCGTCTCGTTGGTTTGAATTGCTTGTCGTACCTTCATTTCTTTCTTCGTGCGTAATACTTGTCGTGTTATATCCGAAAACATCTTAAATAAAATTTTTTATTAGAAATTTCATTAATATTTAAAAATTTTTTTTTCAAAATAAATTCGATAAAATTGAAAAAAAGGGAAATGTCTTAATAATAATAATTTTCCAATAAAAAAAAAATACCTCATCGACGTTGATATTATCTTTAGCGGAAGTTTCAAAAAGTTGAATTCCCATTTGATTGGCAAAACGTTGTGCGTCTTCTGTGAGGACAACTTTATTATTTGGTGAATCATTTTTATTTCCAACTAAAATCTTATTGACTAATTCGCAATTGTATTCAATTTCGTGTAGCCATCTTTTCACATTTGCAAATGTATCGCCACTTGTTACATCGTAAACAACTATCACTCCATGTGTACCTCGATAATAAGTCGATGTTATTGTTCGAAAACGCTCTTGTCCGGCTGTGTCCCAAATTTGTAATTTCACTCGTTCACCATCAATTTGTACTGTACGAATTTTAAAATCCACTCCTATTGTCGTAATATAACTGCCACTAAATGTATTGTCAGCAAATCGCAGCAACAAGGAACTTTTTCCAACACCTTAAATAAAAAAACATACAATTATTATAATTAGTAATAATAAATTTTAAAATAATGTTCATTTATTATTTAATTTTTAAAAATAATTTCCAAAATAAATATTTAATTAGTATTTGAAAATTAAAATTCTTTCACATTAATACGAAAGAAACGAATGAGATAAAACAAATAAATCAGTTGCATCAATTAGTAAAAATTTACAATCATTTTTAAACTTTGAACACTTGAATGATTAGATTTGTTATTTTCATGTATTATATAGGATATAGTAATTAAATATAATGAATAAAATGACGAAATACAAAAAAATTAAATGAACGAATAAAATAATAGTTAAAAGTATTTAAAAATTTAATACTAAAGAATGACGTATCGAAATAGTTGCAACATCATTAATTCTATGTTTTCCGCAATTTAAACTAGATTTTAAACCAGCTTTATGATGGAAGAAGGGTTATAGAGAGTAACTACTACAATCTAGATAACAATGAAATAATGATCTCAATTAGCGTAGAGCACTAACACATTTGACTCTATATTTTGTTTTTTCTTTCATTTTAAACAGATAAAAACAAATATCAAAATTAAATTTAAATAATTCTCCATTACAATGATTTTAACAAAAAAAAAAAAAATTCTAAAATAAATTTCAATAATATTTAGTCATTTGAGAAAGGATAATAATTAAGCTAAAGTGATAACTCTTATCTTATGTCGAGAACAGGGAAATTTCTCTTACGCGTTCCGTTCTGATTTAAAAAAAATAAAGGATTTAATTTTTTTTTTAATTCTAAATATTAAAATAAATTTGCATATTAAATTATTCAGTCTAATTGAGGAGAAAATTACATATAAATTTATTGAAATTCTTTCAATAGAAATAAAAACATTCGATATTCATTTTCTACAAATTGTTAAAAATAATTTTCCCGATTTTTTAAAAGACAAATTTTTTTTATAAACTAAAAATTAGTAAGAAACAAAAAAAAATCTCTTTTATTTAAATACTTAAGTTAGGAAATATTTTAGTGGAAATAAATTAACCTATAGTGTATTTGCTAAATTTAAATCAAAGGTCAACTTTGTTGCAGATTGCAAAGAATTACCACGCTAATCATTTTTTTTTTTTTCAATATCACACTAACGGATTTTTTAATGTATTTTTTATAATAGAACATTGAGATAAATATTAATTTGTAAACCAATATAATTTGTGAATTCAATATACATATATATATATAAGAAAAATATTAAACTCCATTATAAAAATGACATTTTTTTTTTTAAATAATAGTTTTCCATCCTGCACGGATAAAATAATTATGAAACACTTACCACTATCTCCTATCATGAGAAGTTTAAACAAATGATCATATTCCTTAGACATTTTTACAATGTTTTTTTTTTTTTTTTTTTTGATAGAGTTGTGTATATTATTTGATCGATGAAGAATGTCAGTTATTTATTCTTTCTTCTTGGAATAAAGAACTATTATACAAACGGAGTCGTTTTGTTGCCCTGAATTATTTCAGCAATTGCATTAAACAATTTTTAGAAATCACTAATTATTGTTTATTGAACAAAGCACTAGAAAATTAGATAATTGCCATATTTGATCGATGTTAATATTTATTATCATTGCGGAAGAAAAAACGTTACTCATTTACCCACGACGCCCATTTTCGTATATCAACTTGACATTGTCGCCATTTTCTTTAAATACTACCAACTTTGACATTTCTTTTTTTTTTTGCAAAACACACATTTGGTAAGACTGTAAACGCGCCAAAAATTCAAAATTTTCTCTATTCTCCCCTTTTTAAACAAAAAGTTTAAAAAAAAATTTTTAAATTCAAAAAGCCGGTAAACATTTTAGAATAATAATATTAAGATTTTTATTAAAATAACATTTTTCATAAATGTGTAATATTATAAAAAGGTAAAAATACAAAAATGTGGTGTGATTACAATTAGTATAGTAAACCATTTATTATTAGAATTTATTAAATAATTTTTTTTTATAAATGTTTTAACATATGATAAATGTCAATTTTTTTAATAATTGAATTTTTATTTTTTGAAATCATAAAATTTGTGTCACGTACGCACAAGATATGAGCGCCTCTTTCGATTTATTTGTGAACTCGATTTTTTGGGAAATCGGTAGCCGGAACAAAAAAAAAAGGGTTAAAAAGGTCATATGCGGCTTTAAAAGGTCGTTGACAGTTTATAAAGAAAAGAAAGGAAGTTACCATTGATAATTTCCAAGATAATGTTTTATTTTGATAAAAAGTATATAAATGTTTTGTAAATGATAGAATTTTTTTATTCCCCGTCCAATTGAAGGACATTAAGATTTTTAGTCTTTAGTGAAGCTTTAGAAATAGCGACGACGGGACTGACGTGTTTCAAAGTATATAATAAACTTTTTCCTGATAAAAAATCATTGTAAATACTTTGATAATATTTTAATAGATATTTTTTACAAACAATAAAATGACCGAAGAAGTGAAATTGGATCATAGAGCAAAAAAGAGAATAAAAGAAGTGAAAAGAAAAGCAAGACCTGGTGAGTAAATATTTTCTAACCTCAAAAAAAAAAAAAAAATTTGATATCAATAAATAAAATTAGTTTTTTGATAATAAATCTTATTTTTCTAAAAAAAGAAAATTATTCATTTTTTTTTTTAAATTTTCGGTTTTTTATTTATTCTATTTATTCTCTATTTCAAGTATACTAGACTACACAAGAAACGTCAAGGGAAGGATACATCATTTTCAATGGAATAAAAACCTTTATACCTAAAATTTTGCAAGTTAAACATAATTAATTGATTTTTTGAGATATTTTTTTTAAAATAGTTTTACGTGATATTAATATCTCATTTTTGGAACAAAAGAAAAAATTATATTTTCGTTATAGAATTGTAATTAGATGATTTTTTTTTCAAGGTTATTTGTTGCCTTATTTTTCTTTAAATTCCAAGTTCTGTTTTCTATTAAGAAAAAAAATTTTGTTTCTCTTAAAAATTGCGTCATTTTATGATGTAATGAAGAAAAATGATTTTAATTACAGAGCTCGCCGATAAAGTTGCATGGCTTCAACATGCATATCATAAAAATTTTGACATCTTTTGGAATTTTAATGACAATATAGATCGTATTGAGGAGGGTAAAATACCAGTTGAAGAATTTATAGAAAAATATGAAAAACCTTATAAACCTGTGATAATTCGAGGAATACAAAAAGACTGGAAAGCACAAAATAAATGGACTATTGAGGTCTTTTTTTTTAAATACTAATTTATTTTTTTAAAGATATATATATATTTTTTTTCCTTTTAATTGAAAATAAAATTTTCTTTTAGCGATTGGCAAAAAAGTATCGTAATCAAAAATTTAAATGCGGTGAGGACAATGAGGGCTATAGTGTAAAAATGAAAATGAAATACTATGTTCGATATATGTCAAGAACAGATGATGACTCACCATTATATATCTTTGATAGTTCCTTTGGTGAACATCCTCGGAGAAAAAAATTACTCGAAGATTATGAAATTCCATATTATTTTCGCGATGATCTTTTTCAATATGCAGGAGAACATCGTCGTCCGCCTTATCGTTGGTTTGTTATGGGTCCAGCAAGATCTGGTACGTAAATTGTATTTTAACAATTAAAAAAAAAAAAAAAATACAATTACTAACAATTTTAAATAATGCAAAAAAAAGGAAATTAAAAAATAAAATTAAAATCAACAGGAACGGGAATTCATATAGATCCATTGGGCACAAGTGCATGGAATGCATTGGTTTCGGGACATAAAAGATGGTGCCTTTTTCCAACGCATACACCGCGAGAATTATTAAAAGTCACTGCCGCTGAAGGTGGTAAACAACGCGACGAGGCAATTACATGGTTTTCTGTTATTTATCCACGAACAAAATTACCGTCCTGGCCTCAAGATTGTTTACCCGTTGAAATTCTTCAAAAACCCGGTGAAACAGTTTTTGTCCCCGGTGGTTGGTGGCACGTTGTTCTTAATTTAGATGAGACAATTGCCGTTACACAAAATTTTTGTTCACGCACAAACTTTCCAATTGTCTGGCATAAGACAGTAAGATTTATTTTAATAGTCATAAAAAAAAATTTACCCAAAAAAGCAAATTTATGGTAAATAAATTTTTTTTAAGGTTCGCGGACGACCAAAGTTATCTCGTAAGTGGTTAAAGGCCCTTGGTGAAAAAACACCGGAAATTGCGGCACTAGCTGAAAAAATTGATATCAAAGAAGATACAGGCGTTGCAAGTGATTCTTCAAGTGAATCATCGAGCAGCTCATCAAGTAGTAGCGGCAGTAGTCAATCGGAAGAAAGTGAAGATGACAGTGGTCAGGAATCATTAATTGGACACAAGAAAAAAAAGAGGTGACAAGAAACAAATAAATGGAAGAGAACATTTAATATTTTTTACTCATTTTTTGCTAATAAAAAAAAAATTCATACTTAATTATATATTTTTCAAAGAAAGGAAATTTTATTCAAAAATTTAATTTAAATTATAAATCAAAAAGAAATTTAATGACATTTTTATTTTCCATTTGTAATGAAAATTTTCTTTTATTATAAATAACACTACTTTTTTTGTTCTGTTTTTTTTTTTTTTTTGTTTTCTTTTTTTTGTAGAAGAAAACTGGACAACAATCAACCCTGACAATGTCGTGTTCTCGGGACCTACAAAGACCTCAGACTGTACAGTATTAATCAACTGTTATTGTTTGTACTAAGAATAAATATTGTAATTAGTTTATGTATATTTTTAAACACCAAAATTTTGTGAAAAATCAACGAATTTGAAAATTTATCAATAATGAAAATAAAGAAATAATTTCTTTCACAAATTTGGTGTTAATTATAATTTTTTTTACAATTAGGCGGAAAAAAAACGCTATTAACTAAAGTGACAATTTTTTGTTTTTTATACGACACTTAAGCACAAGTAGATTCTATTTATCGAAAAAATTTTTTGTAAAAATACAAAACACATTTTTAAATTTTTTTAAAAATTAATTTTTGATAAAATTAAAGACAGATCCACTTGTGCCGATATTCGTATATCTTTATCATTATTTGTAAATGATGACACAGTCATTTATCATTAAAAAATTTTTGTAATTAGCAACATTATATGTCCATAATAAAATAAATGCTACATATATACTGATAAATTTCATTAATAATTATTATCTACACACACACACACATACACACTCACAGTCCCCGAGTTTTTTTAGGCGCTTTTTTAGAAAAATTTACCTTACATTTCTAAACAACAATAATATCGAACAAATAAATTCTGATTTACACAATCTCAAAAAGATCATATTATTAAAACTGCATTTTAGCGTAGAAAATATGGGAGAGAAAAAAAAACTAACAGCACACAATAAAATCAGTACTAATCGTTTGTATATAGGAATTATAAATAATACTGACAAGTAATTGACTAAAAAAAAAAAAAAATGTAAAAGCTTGGAAAATTTTTCTAAATTATTTAACAATTCTTATAAAGGGAGTTTATACGTCAAAAAAACGTAATTGATGAGAAATAAAATTTATCTCTTTTTTAGAAAAAAAAGAGACACTTAAATTAGTATATAATCTAAAAAAAAATTAATTCACTGGTATAAAAATTTAATTGGAAGATTTTTAAATGGGGAACGAAAAAAATGTTAAAATACTCTAAAAGTTAAATTTTTAATAAAATTTCAATATTATTGCTTTTTTTTTTTTTAGATCCCCATTAAACTAATAATTCGCAATTAAAGAATAAATTATATTCTTCGTGCTAGCATTTCAATGAGTTGCTCCTCTGGTAATTTCTTGGATCTCTCTTGATGTAGTTCCATAATTTTATCGTTCCATCACTTCATGGCGATCATACAATGCATGAAAATAGACGGTAAATAACACAGAAGCAAAGAAAGCATAAAATTATAAAAAAAAAACAAAAGCAAAAAATTAGATACAGCCCTAGAGAAAATTTTTTCCACATTACAAAAAGAATCAATTTTAAAGAGACAACAATTCATTCATAAATGTGAAATATTCAATTTGTCTATGCAAAATTTTTGTTATTAATATTTATTTTTATTTTCTACTTTTAAAATTATTCATTATCTTATTTTTGACAATAATCTAAGAAAATTAAAACAAATTGAGATCTCACAAAATAATACTGAAAAAAACAATAGAATTTGTGCAAAGCCACATTTTTCATTAGACTAAAAAAAAAAATGATAAATTATTAAAAGTGGAGAGAAAAAATAATTCGTGATTGCAGGTAAACTCAAAATGTTGGTAAAGCTATAAAAAAAAGGAAATTGAAAAAAAAACCACAATAACAACGAATCTAAAGCAAAATTATAAAAACTAGATAAAAACAAAAATATTTGTAACATTTTTTTAAATATAGGCAATAATAATTAAAATTTCAAATATGTTACAAAATAAACAGCAAAAAAAAAAAAAATGATAAAACAAATTGTTACCAAAAAAAAACAAATTGCTACAAAATAAAAAAATATAACAATAAAACAATCAGAAAACAAATTAGAGAAAATTCACGCAGAGATCATAACAATAAAAAGTTAGTTAAAGGAAAATAAAAAAATAAATCAAAGGGTTTTCAAAATTTCAAATAATTAAAAACCAATTTAAAAATTAACATTTATACTACATTAAATTTTATTCCCTGATAATGAATTTTTTCTTTAATATAGCAATTTTACACAAAAAGTGCTTAAAAAGCATTCGTGTTTATAATTGCATGCTGCTTTTTGAAAAAAAAATAAACAAAAGCAATTAATAAATAAATTAAAAAAGAAAAACAAAATTAAAGGGAGACTGTGGACATTGACATAGTCAAGGAGGAGTCGGGAATTCGCCAGAGCTTCACTTCCCCAGAGCTGTAACCAACATTCCATTCGTTAAACCTGCTTCGAATTTCTCTCCTCTAAATAAATATCTCTACTTCTACCTCTAGTATTATTCTATAAAAAAAAGTGATATAAACTATTGTTTTAAAATTATAATTGCCAATTTAAAAAAAAATATTAATTAACATTGCTTACAAATTAATATTTTTCTTACTAATATTAATAAAAAAATTATTTTTAATTAGAAATAAAAAAAAATTGTTTTTTTTATTATTATTATTTTCTTATGATTATTGTTACATGTTATAAGCAATGGTAATTAATATCAAAAATTTATTTTTATAAAAAAGAATAATTTAAAAAAAGTTCAACGTTATCAGTGAAATATTTGGATACAGCTTATTAATTATAGAAAAAAAAAAGAAAATAATACTAACTTGCTAGCTGTAAAAATATTCTGTTGATTTGCAATAACTGCATTTATTGCAGTACTGTGTGCACGAACTTCTCCCAGGAGAGAACATTCCGATACTTGATCCTTTGGTACTGACCAGGCACGAAGTAAACCACCACGACAACCAGATACCATTACCGATCCACTATTAACAATGCACAAACCTAAAATCCAATCCTTGTGCGCATTATTCAACGATTGAACCAATTCCATTCGACTCAAGTCCCAACGTTTTATGCACATGTCCCTCGAACCTAAATAATTATAAAAATAATTAATTTATGGAGAAATATCAAAAAAAAAAATTATTTCCAAAAGTAGAAAATTCCATCATGGAAAAAATAGAAAATACTAACCGGAAAATAGAGTCGACTCATAAGTATCCAAACATTGTACACCATCATAATGTGGTGGTGCAAGACTGACAGATTGTCCAGACATATTTGGCTCAACAAGGGAAATTAAATGATCCTTACTACCGGCAATAACGCGTCCATCATCGGCAATTGCTAAACACATTACAGCAGCAGTATGTGGTGTACTTAATCTTCCTGTATAGGCCAATTTTCTTAAATCCCAAATTCTCACTTTATCACTTGACGCTGTGTAAAGTTCCTGATCCTTCATTCCCAATGCAACATCATTTATTGTATTTTCACCAACGGGTACTTGAAGTATTCGCGATGGTGTTGACAATGGAATTGGACCACTTTGCGTCTGTCCAGATGAATATAGTGTCTTTATACATGTATTGCCCGATCTTAAATCCCAAACTTTTACATAAGCCGCAGAAACGCTGAATAAAAGATTATGAATCGCTGAATATTTCACAGCAACAACATTATTTGGATGTCCACCAAGTGTCATGTTCTCAAGACCAGTTGCCAAGTCCCATACTTTCACTGTTCGATCTAATAAATAATAAAATAATAATTAAAATAAATTTTTTTTTGAATTTAGGAATTAAAATATTAAAGCAAAATTAAACGCGCGAAATTAGAGATTTAATTGTTTATTATAAAGAAATTAAAATTAATATTATCAATAATATTTTTAATTTATTATAATATTATTACATTGTTAATAATAATTCCTTAATTTTTATCAAATAGAAAAAAATATTTCTTGATTTTTTTTTGATTATCTGTCGATAATTTTTCAGAAATTATTCAAGAAAATTTTCGATTTAAAATTTAAATTGATAATTCTTAATATAACATATATCGGTAAAGGTCTTATAAAAATTTATTATCAAAATATTTATCATTAAATAAAATTTTTTATTTTTTATTATATAATAATAAATAATTATTATTATTAATAAATTTAAATTAATAAATAAATAATTTATAAATTATTTAAATTTAATATTTAATATATATTATTCAATATTCCTAATTAATTAATTAATGTAACATATATAAATATATATAAAATATAATAATTTAAATTTTATTTTAAATAAAAATTATTAAAAAAAATTAATACTTAGTCAAAATTAAAAATTTATATTTATATATAATATAAATTTTTTTAATTATAATAACAAAAATAAATAAATATTTTGTGAAAATAAAAAAAAAGTTTAATTTGTATTATATAATATAAATAATAAATATAATATAAATAAATAAATAATATAAAATTTTTTTTATTATTTTTAAAATTAAATTATTGTGATGTAATTAAATAAATTTTTGAAATTTGATAAAATTATCAACTTATGCAGCTTACTCTAACAGCAATCGAATCAATTTTTCTCACAATCCTCACAATTTTTTTGCACGATTGTAAAAACATTGAAAAATTTTAACCAACACAAAATAATGTCAAACAACACATTTAAAAAAAAACAAAAGACCTATAACAAATACTAACTTCAGGTGTGGACAGAATGAACGAAAGATATTCACGATTATTATATGTAATAAAAAATAAAATAGGAATTAAAATATTAATTACCTTTTGAACCGCTAAAAAGAAGATCGTCGGTTGTACAAATAGTTAGGACTGCCTTACTGTGTCCTTCGGCAACATGAGAACATTGTAAAATAGATCTGGGCGCAGTCTGAAAAAAAAAATTAATTTATATTTAAAAAATTGAATTTAATAATTAAAATATGAAAAAAATTTTTTTTTTAAATTATATTTACTTTTCCCTGATATTGTGAAATAACACCCTTGGAGGGTGGTGGATCGGATGGTGCTGGCTGTCGACTTGCCGTCAATCTTGAGAATACATTTTCCTCACGACTATTGAAACGTCGATAGGTAGTTGGTGAACCAGGTGGCGATGAAATATCCAGAAGTGATACCTGCTCCCTGGTTGGGCCGTTTGTTATGTTAGCATTTTGTTAGTTAGCCACTTGTGTGATCTGCTTTTTTTTTTTATTCCACAGGCTAATTTTCCCAAAAGCTATTTTCTAAATATTGCTAAGTGAAATTTGTTTTTTTTTTTTTTATCGAAACATGCAAATGCGAATGTGTGAAAAATTACTGTTTGTTATTTTTTTTTTACAGTGCGATGGTGAAAAAAAGATGTGTTTTTTTTCGTTAATTAATTAATCAACATTCTTCACGTGCCAGAAAATAATCTTCCTTTGCCAAAATGAAATAGAAAAGAAAACAAAAGCTTTTTTTTTCTTGTAAAATTAGTCAATTGACTATCATACCAAATTTACAGTATTTTTGATGCTGCAATTTCTACTAAAAAAAAAAATTTAATGTTTGTACGTCTTTTCTAGTTTTTTTTTTCTCTCAATTGTTAAATTAATCGATATTTTTTTTTTTTGAAAATGAAACAAAATAATTCTTTACATCAATTTTGAATAAATAAAATAATTATTAATAATAATATCATTAAAAAAGTACTAACAATTTTTGATTAATGTAATTAAAATTAATTTTTAAAAATTTATATTTATTATTCTAAAAAAAAGAAAGTTAATTTTTTGTTAAAATTAGTGCTCTTGTCACTCTAATAAAAATAGAACATAATTCAGTTACTTTGAACTTTATTACACTCTAATATTCGATTTGATACAAAGCTCTTTTGAATAAATTATTACATTTTCGACGTACGAACTATTATTAAAAAAAAAGACTTTTATATCCTACTTTGTATATAAATCAACACATTCATACAAAATCGTTGTTTCCCTTTTCAATTATTTTTCTGTCTACAAAAATTATTCTCTTAAAAAAAAATATATATATATACATCTGTTACTTATTGGCACTGGTAAAAGAGAGAGGGCAAGTTATAATAATATTTGTCACATTACTTTTATTATTATTATTATAATAATTATAATTTCAATCAAATTATAATTATCGTTATTTTAATTTTTAATATAAAATATCAAAATAATTACAATTAATTGTAATGAACGATAATTATAAATTCAAGTAATTATATAAATTTTAGTTCCATTAACTATAATTATTATAATATTAATTGTGTTATTTGATAAATTATAGAATTAGATATAGTTAAATACTCTAATTGATCAATTTCTACTTTTTTTTTCTAATTATAAAAAATAAATTAATAAATGGCAAAATTCTAAATCTTAATCATATAATTAATTCAGCCTTTTAGTATATAATTTTTATAAAAATTAAATTTGTTTTCATAAAAAAAATTTTTCTAGGCACTATTCACGTCACTATGAATTTTCTTTTTTATAGCATCGTCTTTTGCAATTCCCATTTATTTTATTTTTTTTAAATATTTCCTTGCTTAAAAATTTCAATGCACACAAAAATAAAATCTAATGTATACGTGAAAATTAAGAGGAATCTAAATTCTATTCTCGTATATAATTTAATATAAAATTATATTTTTAGTTAATTATTGTTATTTATTACTTATTAAGTATTATATTTATTATTAATTACTTTAAGTAGAAATTTCTTTTTTTTTAAATTAATTTGAAATTTTTATAATAGATTCCTATTTTTTTTCTTTATTTTGAATAGTAAAATATGCGTGCATTGAGGTTTTTTGACTAGTAAAACTCTATTATAGAAGGAACAGAACTAAAGTGCATGATATAGGACATCAAAACACAAATATGCAAGGAAAATAAAGGCAAAGACGTGCTGTATTATTTCCACTCACATTGAGCCTCCGCCCGGATGTAAAGGACGCCTCAAAGGTCTCGGAGATGTGCTATCTCGTCGATTTAAAGTTGGCGAACCCCCAGTTATCCCAGTTCCATATTGATTTCTCGTTAGAATCAAACCTCTAAAGAATACGATATTCAATTTTTCTCCCTCAAATTCACAAAAAAATTCTATCATTCTTTTCGAGGTGACACAAAAATGTAAAAAACATAAATACCAAAATTAATTCTACTAGAAATAGGTTTTTAAAAAAAAATTACAAAACTGGATACTATAATAAAAAAAAGACAAAAACTGACTACAGAAAATATGCTAGAAAAATTAATTATTCTTCTAAAAACAAAAATTCTACTGTGAAAATAAATTCGAATATAAAAACTTACTTGAGACTTCCTGGAGCACTGGGAACTCGTGTTAAAGGATGATTGTGATTTTGATTTTGATCCTCAACTTTTGGACTCTCATTACCAGGATTAATTCCAAATAAAAGTTCCTGCGTTTGCGTTGTTCTTCGGCGAATTTTATTATTCTTTGGCTTCTCTCCAGTAATAACTTGATTGCAATTTTCACTAAAATAAAACGATATTAAAAAAATAAACCAAATATTAAAACTAAAAAACAAATTCTAAATAAAATATTTGAAAATTGAAAAATACTTACGTATCGGGCGATGAGCTACGTGAACTTGGTGGACTATAAGCAGGCACGGAATTATGAATATTTGTAAATGAAAGAAAATCCCTATCGCGAAGAACATGCTCAAGCAATTGATGTTGTACATCACTCTCTTGAGAAACTTGATTAAGTCTTGATTCCATATCTCTAGCTTCAAGTTGTTTTTGAGCAGCCACATAACTTTGTTCAACGGTAAATGTGAGCATTTTTTGTAATAAATACTGAGCCTCCTCAACTGATTTTATATTTCCAATTAACGAATCAACGCCAACTTCTTCAACAAATTCTCCATCGCCATCGCCCATTTCAACAACATCCCTCTGACATTCGGCAATACTATCCTAAAAAAATTAAAATTTAAATCAATTTTCTTTTTTCAATAAAAATTTTTCCAACTTGCAATCCTGAATAGGGAAAAATTTATAGCTGGTAAAAAAATGGACTTACTTGAAGATAACTTATTTTACTCTTAACATTATCGATTTCCTCATCAATATCAGTGGACTCGACTCTCGTCGATGTTATATTGTTTTTTGATTTTTGAAGTCTCTCCAATTCTCTTCCCATTTCTTCGCGTTCCTGAAGAAGTTTTTCCATTTCACGTTCAGTTTCAACGGCTGCCTGTTTTGCGAGCGCTTGTTTTGTTATTGTTCTCTCCAATGTTTGCCATCGTTGCTTGAGTGCTTTTGGATTAACTGGTTTTACAATTGTACGACCAGCGGCACGTTGACTTAAACCACGATCTCTTTTTCTCAATGCTGTAACCTCTTCTTGTTTTCGTCTTAAAACAACTTCCTTCATTCTTTTATCAGCCTCTAATGTACGAATCATATTTGCATTTTTACGACTCTCCTTACGTAATTGTGCAATTTCCCTATTACGTTTCAATTCATTTTCCTTATGTCTTTGCGCCTCTTCACGCATTTTATTCAATAATTTCACTTTTGCCCGTTTCATTTCAGCTAATTCATTACGTAAACCCTTGAGACGATTTTCATTTTGTGTTTGACTTTTTAATAAACGTGCATGTTCTTTTTTCGCCGATTGCAATACACGCATTTCTTTTTGCATTGACGATAATTTCTTTTCATATTCATCGCGTAATTTTCTCACTTTTTCCGTTTGCGGTGTAGGTTGTTGTTGAAGTGATGTTAATACCTTATCTCTCTCGTCCTGTGTATTACGAATACGCGCTTGCAATTGTGACAATTTATCCTCGTAATGTTGTTTCATTGTTTGTAAACGTCTTTGTGATAATTCTAATTCTTGAATTAATCTTTGTTTCACATCAATGTCAGATGTTAAAGCCTCAAGTTCCCTTCCCATTGCCTCTTCCTCTTCGTCTTCTTCTGCCAAAGGACAATTATATTTTTCTATATTTCAATTTAGAAAATTTGATTAATATCTTTCTTTTCATTTTTTTAAATATTTCCTTTATTTCCCAAAAAAATCATTTATATTTACCTTTACGATCCGAATCATCGTCGGATTCATCTTCGCTCATTGAATCTTGACCATTTTCAGTATCGTCATTGTCACCATCGTCACCTTCTCTGCTGCTCATTGTTGAATTTAATGTGTGTTGTTCTTTTAAAGTTGCTAGGAGATCCATTTCTTTTTGTAATTCACGTTTCGCGTCATTTAAAACTGATGATGAATCACTATTAATTACGTACGATGTATCGTTGTAAGGATTCACTGCATTTATCTGTAAAAAAAATTACTTAAATAATTAAGATTACCTTAAAAAAAGGAAATTATTTTCTTGAAACGATTTTTTTTTTAATTACCTGCGTCTTTCTTCGTTTTAATTGTTGATACATTGCTTCAGCTTCAAGTAATCTGGCTCGTAATTCTTCAATTTCCTGCAGATATTCTTGAACTAAACTTGTCACATCGCCACCACCGGAAGCAAGCCAATGGCCAGCAGCTTTTTCCGCTAAGAGTAGTGAATTTTTTGCAGTCAATGCCTCAATTGTTTCCGTTAGAGCTTTAACTCGCGTTCGTAAACTTTGTAATTCATTGTTCAACATTTGATTCTCGTGCCACGCGTCATTAATTCCATCTTCTCCAACGACTCTTTTACCTGTCGAGAGAAAAAATGATAATTTATTTTTAAAAAATTTTGATTATTAAAAATTTAAATTGTTTTAAATTAACAAAAATTTCTAAATTTCTAATATAAATTAATAAAAGTAATTTTTAAAATAAAAGGAATTTAAAAAAAATTACAATAATGAAATATAGTTTAAATAAATACAAAAGTAAATAAATTACCAAGAAATGGACTTTTTTAAAAATTATTTTTAATATATATAAGATAAAATTACCTTGTCGATATTCTAATAATTCAAGTTGAAGCTGCTGTATCTCGCGGCGAAGTGACGCGATTGTCCTTGAACTCTTGTCTTGATTTATAGTCACCTTATTCTTTATGTTTCTCGCTCGATTTGCATATTTGAGAGTACTTAATGTTTCCATAAAATCACGATCGCTCGGTGATACACAAGCAATCATTACAGTTTGACTATTGCCTCCCAATGAATCTTGAAGTAATCTCGTTAGTTTTGAATCACGATAAGGTACGTGAAGTGCTTTCTTTGATTTGTCACCCAATGCCGATATTACATTTCCCAAAGCGAGCTAAATAATTAAATTTTTAAATTAAAATTTTTGATAAATTGAAATTGATGAAAAATTGATTTGATTTTAATAAACTCACTAGTCCGCAATTAATGGAAATTCCTTCCTTTGCCCTATCACCTGTAGCACCAGTTCTTTTGAGCCTTTCAGAGCCGGCTAAATCAACAAAATGAAATTTAGCAGTGAGCGTTTCAAATTCATTCATTGGCTCATTTCCCGTTGTATCAACATCAGCGTCTGGATCTTCAATTTTAATGCATCTTTGTTGTTTCACGTGTAATGTAAAAATTGCATGCGATCTCGACGATTGAGTATTCATTTGGGTTGATCCTGTTGTTCGCGAGAGAGCACCTAATCTCAAATATTCTAATGCTTGCTCGGGACTTGTAACAACTCTTGGTTCAACACCTGTTAAATGTATATTTCCACTTGTATCCTCATGAATACGTGCACCACCTCTTGGTCCACCTGGTTCCAAAAGATCCTTTAAATCTTCATTATATAATTCCAAAAATTGAGCAGTCACCTACAATAAATTTTGTAATATTAGATAAAGAATATATCAGTTACAATATTATTTTTATCTGTTCCCGTGAGTTGAATTTCAATTACGTTGAACATAGAAATATGAGAAAGGAATGTGAAAAAAACAAGTGGTTACACTAGAAGTATGGGAAATTATTTTTAAAAAAAAAGTATTTTCCTTTCTTTGGAATAGAATCAATAAAAAAAAAAAAATTTTTCGCATTCACCTTGAATTCTGGTGGTAATTGTGCACGATTCTTGGCGTATTGCTGCTTTTCAACAATACCATCAAATAATTGTTTAATGGCCCTGGGAATAATGCCAACAATACTGTCATCAATTTCAACATCGAATCCTGTTCCCATAGTATAAGTTTTGCCAGATCCAGTCTGACCATAGGCCAATACGGTTGCATTATAACCATCCAAAGCACCTTCAATAAGACGTGTAACGCACATATCATAAATATCATTTTGTCCAATATTTGTATCAAAAACATGATCATAAGTAAAGGCCTTGTCTGGTCCCAAAAATACTTGGGGTTCACCTGGAGGTACTTGTGTACATACTCTACACATATCAATCACTTCACGTGCCACCTGCGGTCGAATTCTGAAAAAAAAATCATTCATTAAATAAATAAAATATTTTTTCTATTAAAAAAACGGATATAAAAAAATAATTACAAAATAGAATAAAATTGATAGAAATTAAATTTCAATTTCAAATGAAATTATTAATTATTAAAATTTTCTTTTTCTCAATATTTATTATTCAAGTTACAAAAATACTGTCACATAAACAATAAAATCTTTTGTATTTCAATAAAAAAACAAAATCTAATCTTAGATAAAGATATATTAAACAGGGATTTTTTATTTTATCAATATTAAAAAAAAAAAATGATAAAATATTTAGTAATTGAAAATCATAAATATCGTATTGTTAAACGATCATTAAATAATCTCTATGTAAATATTAAAAATTATCAAACATATTGTGCAAACTGTTCAAAATCAATATAGTCGAAACCCTAATGACCATCATTATATTCTTTGTTATAATAATTAATTCGTTGGAAAAAAAAATAAAAATTATACCACGAATTATCGTTAAAGCTACTATTTTTTATTGTTCCAATAATGTTCGATATCTTTTTTTTTTATGTTTTAAAATAAATATTTTTTATTATATTAATTAATTACAAAAAAAATATTTTTTTTCTACTTAATTTATTTATAAAAAAAAAATCGTGAGAACAATTTGTAATAAAAATTACGTATAATAATAAGCATAGATATATTTCGCAAAACCCTAGACTAAAACTGGATCAATGAATTGACTACAATATGAGATATATTGCAATGATAAAGGAAATCAATGCGTGACGACAAAAGAAGGTGTAAAGTGTTGGGTGAATGAATTTAAAAAAAAAAAAAAAAAAAAAAAAAGAAATTTAAAAATGTATGGAATGAATGCGAAGGAGTTTGAGAGAGAGTTGAAACGTAAGTTTCAGTGGGGAGAGAGAACAGACCATTCATCGAAAAGCAGGTACTCATTATCCAACCTGCAATAAAGCCTACGCACCTGTATTAAAAAAGGAGATATTACGCGAACAACATTCGCACGGTAGTGCTGAGTAAAATAGTTAGTGACGACATTGAATGCACTAAACAAATATTTAAAAGACAGCTGACAAGATTAGATACACATCGCGGCCTCCTTCATGTAGATGATAAAAAAAAGTTTAGTCATTGCTCTTAAACAAAAGCTAAACCATGAGATCATAAATAAAAAAAAATTTTCTTAAATCTTTTTTTTCTTTTCAAAAGTTTTTAAATTTTCTTTTTCCAATATTTTTTAATTTATCAAGTTTTATGGGAAATTTTTTTATAAATTCAATTAATTAATAACTGTAACTAAAATTCTATTTATATTTTTAAATTTAAAAACATATTTTATAAATTAAACGAAATTATTTAATAATAAAGTTAAATATTTTTGTCATAATAAATAAAAAAACAATTTCTCAATTTATGTTAAATAATAATTAATAAAAAAAAACGATTTCAATAATATTTATCTTCCTTGTTATTATCAAAAAAGAACGAAAGCAAAATAAAATTTAAAATGTTTGAAAGAATAAAAAAATATTTTTTTAAAATTATAATATGTGGGACAAAAATTTCTGCTTATGTAAACATTTTTCGAAATCTATCACATATTACTAAATATTATATTGTAAACCATAATTTACATAAAATTATAAATCATTTCCTCAGAATTATTTCTGACCGATGAATAATTCAATTTTTCATTTTCAAATGCATTTTAATTTTAAATATATGCGTTTGTTTCAAACGATAATTTCTAATTACCTTCTAATTACCATATATTATATATTTAATTTTCTGTTGTTTTTTTTTCTAAATATTCTTTACATTATAAATAAAGTCATTTGGTTAAATTGACTTTTCACAGAAATCGATTTATCGTAAATATTTAATTTAAACTAAATCATTATTTATTTTTTTAAATTTATTATAAGTGATAAAATTCCGGTTTTTTTTCAAATTAACGAATAAATAAAAAAAAAAAACTCTTAGTCAATAAATAATGAAAAATTGTAAATATTTTTTTTTTCAAAGAAGGAAAAATCAATAAAATTGAAAAGTAAAGATCATAAAATGTACAAAGTATTTTTCTTAAAAATAGTTTTTGTAATAAAAAAAAAAAAAAAAACCCATAAATATGAAAAATAATCAAAAATTAAGAAACTAAAAAAAACAAATGGAAAAATAGATGTAGGGCAAAAAAAATTGTTCTTCCAAAGAAACAATTACTTTTGCGCAAAAAACTATATATTTATCTAAATTTATTCTCAGAATTTTTTTGAATATAATTTTTATAAACAAAATTCTAATTAAAAAACTAAATTTAAATTAGAAAAATTAAAAGAATTGTTTATGATATATGAGAATATTAAAATGAACCAATTATTTCTTCTTTTTTTTTTCTACAAAAGAAATAGAACATGTGAAAAAATTAAAATATCCACTTTCTATATAACAGTATAATTTAAAATGTATTTTAACAATAGAAATCTGATATTAATTATTAATTATCGAAAGTGAACGATATAATTAAACAATCAATAATTTTTACGATCCTCATAAATATTTCAGGTGAAAATAAAAAAAGAATTTTCACTTTTTTCGTCATCATTCGCACCCACGCAATGCCGAAATAAAGATCTCATTTCCAAACATTAAAGATGAAAAATTCAAATTAATTTTTTTTTCAAAAAATATTTTAATTAAAATAAATAAATAAATAATCTCACCGAACAGCAACACGAACACTGGAATCATCAGCCATCTCTCTCTCTCTCTCTCTCTTTGATTATTGTTGACGGTTGAATAATTCTGGACGACTTTGACAGTAAAACTTTTTTTTTTCTCTTAGACGAAAAAATAACAGTAAATTTTTTTTTTTATCGTTTTCTGAAGAAATTGTGTGAAGATTGATTAATCAGACTAAAAAAAAAAATTAATAATAATTCTCCTTAAATCAGCGCGAAAAAAATAATAACAATTTTTCTCATTGTTTTTCACGTGGGCTAATTTTCCAATGAGATGATAATTTTTTTTTTCTTCTTCTTTCACTTTGAGAGAACACACATTTCTCCTACATGTTTCACAATGAATTAAAATTTCCTTTCATACTCGGAACAGCCCAACGTTTAGACTGAATTTCCGAGTTTTACTGGAGCCGTATAAGGCGGACATATTTTATTCTTTCTTTGAATGGAGTTCACTTTTACGTACAAAGAACGCCATCTTGTGAGAATAAAATGCATTCGTTTTTTTTTATATAATCATCATTCAATTGATAACAATTATTTTATTTTGTTCTCATTTTTATTTTACTCCATTTTTTTCAAAAAAAAAGAAAACAAAGATTGTTCAGACAATGTAACAAATGACAGTTAACAGCTGATAACTGTCAAATTACCCTCAGTATCGTATATTGATTCATAAGGGCCCCTGAATAAAAAAAAAGAATTGTCAAAAAAAAATAATAATTAAAATTAAATATTTTTTTTTGAAATTGAGAAATTTCTTTTTATTATTATTCATATATAAAAATCAATGGATTTAAATTAAATTTAATTGTATTAAAACTTACAAAAAGGGGAAAAATAAATTTTCTATCTTCACAATTGCATATACATTATATTGAGATTGATTAATTCTAACTTCTGTCTTATTTTCTCATCATTTTGCAAATTTTCAAACCATCTTGAAACATGAATATATTCCCTTTTTTCCAAAGGCGTCAAGTCTCTCTGTAAAAGAAAAGTAAAAAAGAATTAAAAAAAAAATTGATTAACTAAATAAAAAAATTATTCATTTCTTTTTTTTTTTAAAAAAATTTTTTTAATACCATTATAGAATGCAAAATATAATATAAGGAGACGTCAGCGACGGATAATTTTGTTCCTCCTAAATATGTGGTGGATTTTAGAAACGTATTCATTTCCTGAAAAAAAAAATAGAAATTGTTTAAGCCCTCTGATTTTTTATAGAATAATTTGTTTAAAATTTTATATACCTTTAATACTCTTTTGGTATTTGCAGAATTATCAGCGTAATTTGCACAAACAGATGCATATTCAAGCCATTGTTGAGTTAAAGCTCGTGATACAGCATCATCTCCAAGAAGATTTTTCAAATTTGAAGAACTCGTTAGTGCTTGAACGATTGTACTAAATCCTTCAATTGACTGATTTTTAATTAAATTATCCATAGCAACTACCTGCGAATTAGTAACGATTTAAAAAAAAAAAAATTTTTAAATATACTCCAAATTTAGGAAATTTTAAAAAATATAAAAAAAATACAAATCATAAAAAGTAAAATAAAAAAAAAAGGTAAAATTATATTTTCTACTTTTAGAAAACAGTTCCTTTGAAAAAGAAAAATAATTTCACAAAATCGAGAAAATTGAATAGAATAAGGCAAAGGTTTTCTATTGAAAAATCCTACCTGGCTTGAAACGGTGTAAAAAGAATTAATATTACTTCCGTCATAAATTTCCAAATTTTTGAAAAGCCCTTTAAATTCATATTTAAATTAGCAAAGCACTTTTATTCCCTTTTAAAGGGAACCTTGACAAATGCCGAAAAATCTTTTCAATTATCCGTTTAATTTTGAAAAGAACTTTTCATTTCTTATTCAATAATAAAAATAAAAACATTCGTATTTTAAAGAAAGAATAATAAATAAAACAAATATTAATAATGAAAAAAAAAAAAACAAATATACAAAAAGTAAATTCAATTTTCTTACATTATTTTCCGACATGTGCACTTTTCCAGGTGTGACATCTAAATATTTTGATATTCTCTGCACACATTTTATGTTACACAGGACCATTATTATTTATTTAATGATAAAATCTGTTAAAAAAAACAAATTAACACGTGTCGTTTGCGGCGTTTTTTTTAAGGTTATAAAAGTTACTTTACTGAAGGAAAGTTTCCATGAAACATTTCAAAATGTCAAAGAAAGAGGCGGGAATATTTAAATTAAATACAATAATTATTCTTATTAAATATTTAATTTAAATTAAATTGAAAATTAATTTTTGAAAATTAATTAAATAATAAAAATATTTTTACTTTAGTGAAACTGTAAAATTTAAAAACAAAAACAATATTAATTATTAACTTTTCAAAAACATTTTCTTTGTGAACTAACCTTAACTGATTATTATGCTATTGCGCATGTTTTGAAACAGGATTTTTGATTGGCTCCTTTGGACAACGGAAATCAAAACGGTTAGGTCTTTGCTGTCACTTCTGTCACTCCTACTTCCGGTTTGTTCACTGTTTTTTTTACTGTTTTCTTAGTTTTTTCGACTTTAAAATTGAAAATACTGTCAGTATTACTAATTCTTTTAAAATATTACAGTATATATTATACTATTACATTTGTCCTGAATATTAGTTAAATATGGTAAATACAAAAACATTTTGTCAGAAATGTTATAACAAATTTTTGAGTGAAGCCTTTTAAATCTAACCTCAAATTTTATTTTAATATTTATATTAAAAAGTGTTTTTAGTAAAGATTTTATTTTATAATAATTGTGGTGATTGAAAAGTAATTTAAATTTTATATTTTTAATAATTATTTCATTACAGTTGGTACTAGTTTTGGGAGATTTACATATTCCACATAGATGTAGTAGTTTACCAAGCAAGTTTAAAAAACTTCTTGTTCCTGGAAGAATACAACACATTTTATGTACAGGCAATTTATGTACAAAAGAATCTTATGATTATTTAAAAACATTGGCCAGTGATGTTCATGTCGTTAGAGGAGAATTTGATGAGGTAAAACTTTATTTTTAAAACTTATGAAACCTTTTCTAATTATTATTATTTTCGTAATAATTACTTTTTAAAAAAGAGTAAATTTATTTTAATTTTGTTAAAAAATTTATGAAAATGTTTTATTTTTATTTAATTATTTACTCAATATTTTGTGAATAGACAATAGAATATATAAATTGAGAATTATTTTCAGAACTTGAGAATGAATTAAATTTTATTTTTTGTTTTAATATGACAAAAACTTTTGTTTCATAAATAAATATTTATGAGGGATAAAAAAATTTAATTACAAACGTTTTGGATTTTTTTTTTTCAATGTTTAACATTTACAGAGCACATTGAATAAATAAATTTTTTTCTATTTTATAGAATTTAAATTATCCTGAACAAAAAGTAGTGACAGTTGGACAATTTAGAATTGGATTGTCTCATGGACATCAAGTTGTTCCATGGGGAGATCCAGAATCTTTGGCCTTGATCCAAAGGCAATTAGATGTTGATATTTTGATATCTGGCCATACACATAAATTCGAAGCATACGAACATGAAAATAAATTTTACATTAATCCTGGCTCTGCGACTGGAGCTTACAATCCTCTCGACACGTAAGAGTCTTTTTTTTGTAACATAAAGCAGTTAATTTCGAATAGTTTCAATTATTATGGAAATCGTAAATTTTTAAAGAACACAATCTATATTTTAAAAATACAAGTTTTTCCTCTATGTAAAAAAAAACACTTGATTTGTGTACACATAAATTTTGTTGGAATTATTAATTTAATTTACATTCTTAGTATATAATTCATGTTAATTAAATATTTATTTTTTCTATTTATTTTTTCCAAAAAAAAATTAATTTTTTTCATTATTTGCTAAAATAATTAGTAAATCATAAATTTGTGCTCTTTAAATCTTCTACAATTTTTTTGAATAATTTTTTTAAGAGACAATAGCAGGTGATAATTACCTTGAAGTGACTAAGAAAAAAAAATTTGTTTCTTTAGCTCAGTGATTCCATCATTCGTCTTAATGGATATCCAGAGTTCTACTGTCGTTACATATGTTTATCAATTGGTTGGTGACGAAGTTAAAGTTGAACGGATAGAATACAAAAAGAGCTAAGTTTAGATAATATAGAAAAACGTGATATTTTTTGGATACAATTTTTTTTTTCTGAATTCTTTTTACATAAATGAATAGTGCTGAATTTTTTTTTTTTTCGCTATTTTTAGAATATGAATTGATTTTAAAAAAAAAAATTCTGCAAAAATATTTATATAACTGCGTTATAATACGCATACTTAGGAGCGTATTGCTTCTAATGTAAATAAGTTAATTGTAAAAAAAAAAAAAAAACTAGCTGAGAGGGAACATTTATTTATCGTATAATCTCAGTTTTTAGATATTGGTTTATAAAGGATTTTATCAGTTACATGATTTTTAACTCTAATAATTATTTTATCTAAATAATGAATATATTATTATAAAGTATCAAACAAAACGTAAATTATTAATATTGATAAGATAATAAATAAAACGTTATGTAATTTAACAGTTTCTTTTTTGTAGTGTTGTGTTTTCAAATTTAAAGTTATTATATTTTGATAAAATTATTCAACTTTAATTAAAAATTATTTATAAAATGAGTTTTGAAAAAAACTACTGTAGTTTTTTGTTTTTAACAATTTAATATTAGTTTTTATTTGAAACTTTTTTAAAGTATTCTTTTTTTGAAATTTTAATAAAATATTTTTATGCAAATTCTTATATAGTAGAGGCAAAAATGGTAATATTTATTTTCAATTTTTGAGAGAGTGAGGGGAGTTTAGACTAAAGAGGATTATAATTTATAATGAGGTTTAAGTCTCTTTCCTGTTACTTAATAATAATAATAATAATCGAAAGAATGAAAAGAAACGTGATTCTTGATTTCCTTTCACTCGTGGCACGAGATAAAGCCCATAAAAAAAATGAAATAATCGAATTCGAGGACATCATCATTTAATTTTTATTCTATATAAGAATTTGCATTTTACGTCCCACAATCGATCCTTGGCATTTGTTTACAAGTTTCCACGCTTACGATTTTCCAGCCATGCTGTTGGTCACGTATACAGACATAATATGACCTGGTTCAAGTGACTGTGGTCGACGTGCATTTTGCGAATGTTTACGTCTAACATTAATATATAATTATAGTTTCCGTATATCTGCAATTTTTATCTATTCACGCACAAGGCATATATGTATATGTATTGTATATATATATCAACTTCTGGACTTGGCCTTAGATAAAAAATTATTATTATTTCATGAAATTGACAAAGTAATCACGTCTTCTTTCTAAAGTGTTGTGGACAAAAACATTACGTAATTTCGTCATTTAAAGGAACATTTCTAGGAGGAATTTATATTTTATCACATTATTCCTAGATTAAAATGTCTATTTATATCTTGTAATACAATTTCTTGGATAAATAGAATTTTTAATTAAAATCAAACAATCGTAATAAATTATCACGCCAATTGACTTTCTAAAGTAAATTGCACAAAATAAAAATAGAGAATGATAAACATATATCAAGGTGTTCTATTTTTTGTTGATGAAACTTTTAAACATAAAAAAATTTTTATTTTCACTTTTCCCCCTTTTTTTCATTTTCATTAAAAAACTAAATTTATTTTTTGAGAAAAATCTCAGTTTTCTAATGAAAATAAAAAAAAGAAATAAATAAAGATCAAAAAATAAGAATTTTGAAGAAAGAGGTTTTTTTTTTAAATTCTCTAGTGAGTACAGGGAAAAATACTTCAAAATTCTATAAATTAAAATTCATAGTTTTATCATAATAAGAAGTTGAAAATAATTAATATTTTCTAATTAAATAAAATAATTTAATTATTCTTCATTTAAAAAAGTGTAACATAAAAAATTTATGCAAGATAATTATTTTTCAATATTCAGTAAAAAAAAAATAATGCTTACTAAAAAGTATTCTGGTAACATAACACACTGAATATGAATTTCTTTGGAATATTATCTTGCAAAAAAAAATTTGACGTTTATGTTAGCATTTTTTTAAAAGCGACTTGGAGTGAAATTTTTCAAACAAAATACAACTGAAAAAATAAATCGTAAAACAAATGAATTGCTAAATAATATTTCTGTAAACAGAACAGTAAGTTTGTTTAAAAAAAATCGTTTTTTGTAGTTCTAGATTTAATTATTTAAAAAAATGTTCTTTTAAAAATCGTATTCTAATTTATTATATTTTTCAGAATTCCTTAATTTGTGGTCGCATCATTTTTTATGAGAAAGGAGATTTTTTTTTTTTATAAAAATTACCGCATCAAAACAAAGAATATTCGACGCCTATGAGACTTATCTATATATTGCAGAAAAGGACACACGTGCAAAGAAGCTCGTTACGAAGGGGTGCAGTATACGAGAAATAAAAAAAAAAAGAAAGAAAACAAGTAATGGAAACTAATGCGCCTGTGCCAGAAGAGCGTCTGTTGTGAGGCGCTCACGATACAAAAAGACCCGGCTTTCGTTGTTTATGTTTAGTTTGAATCGAGCGCTCTAAACGATCGTACAAGTGAGTTTAAAAAAAAAAAAATTTGCGAAAATAAAACAATTTTTCTTTTGCATCAAGCAGAAAAAAAATGGCAACAACACTTCTTCGAATGGGACTACGTTCTGTAGTTTTAAAAGGAGTTTTTGAAAAAAGATCCATTCCAGCTATTGGTAACGCCCTCATTGATGCTGAGAGGCGTCATCTTCAACAAGAACAAAAATTACAAGTAATTATTAATAAATATTTACTTTAATTTAATTAATTAATTTTTGCAAATTTCATTTTTAATGAGAAATAGTTTCTATATTTTTGGAATAGAAAAATGTTTTTAATAAAAGAAATTAAAATTTTGAGAATATGGAGTAAAATTTTATTAAAAAATACGTAAATTTTGATGAAAGAAAAAGTGTAAAGTTTTTAAAGGAACGTTCCAGATGTTCTGATTTGATATCGAAGGATATTATTGAAAAAAAAAAACTTTTGTCCTTGTAATAATAATTGTTGCTACCCGTGTATATAAAAACGCAAATTCAAGGTAAACGAGAATCAGAGATCCAAATAAAGAAGATTAACTTTTCAATTTAAAATTTGTTCTATAATTTTTTTTTTTTCTTAATAAAAAATAAAATTTGAATTAAATGAAAAATCTATGATAACTATATGAAAAACTAATAATTACTTTTTTTTAAAATTCATTTTATAAATTTTTGATTTTGTTACGTGGGAAGTTCAAGGCAAACGACTGGCGGTTTCTACGATAGCAAAAGGCCAATGATCTCTTGTTTTATAAATAGAAAATTGCATCCCTAATTTATAACACTAAAATTATATTCCAAAATGAATATTTATATTTCATTCTGTCTGTCTTTCAAAGTTCAACTTTAGTGCAAAATATCATTTTCTAATTTAATTCTTAAAAAAGTAGAAAATTATTTTCCATTTTTCTATAATGAATGGAAAAACTAGTTTATATTTTATAAATTAATATTTTTATTATTAATTGAAAATAATAAATAATAAGTTCTTTATTTATCTGAAATCGAAATCACTGGAACGTTCCACTAGACTTCTGTTTTTATAATGGAACAAAAAATGATAAATAGTTCACAAAATCAAATGATCCTTCAAAACCGGTTGAGCTGGTTTCAAAATTAGGACAAATTCAAAAATCAAGTTTTAAATCAATAAAATTTATTTTAGATAATTCATATTACTAATAAAAAAAGAAATTCTAATATAAATTAATTAAACAAATTATTGATTATATAAAAATTTTAAATCAGAGAACTTGAAATTAAAAAAAAAAAAAAAAAAAAAAAGTAAAATATTGCAAGTACTTAGCCGATCAAGTACAGAAAGGGTGTACGTGACAATTTGCAGGCATGGTATGTTATATATATATATTTTCCTTTGTATGGGAAATAAAGACAAAGAGAGCGTCTAGTGTTTCGCGTGCCGGATATAATATATTATATCATGTTCCTCTAGGGCCCCTTCGAATTTTTAATTCAAGGCCATAAAGTCCATTTCTTAAAAATTTGCAAAAAAAAACTAAATATTTTTTTGCCATGCGAATATTTTCTAAATTGAATATAATTTTTATCAAATTCATCAATGGAAATTATTATTATATAATAAAAAAAAATACTTGGAATATTCCTTTCATCAAAATTTACATTATTTTAATAAAATTTTATTCTATTCTCAAAAATTAATTCCTTTCGAATAGAATTTGAATTTTTTTTTAAAAATTAATAAAAATTATTTTTCACCTTGAAAAATAGAAATATGCGGTGATAATAATTTATTTTGAATGATAAATTCTTTTATTTTTATTTATTTCTAAAAGTAGCAATATTTTATTGACGCTAAATAAAAAAAGGAATAGGCATTAAGTACCGTTTCGTTCATTGGCCTCGAGATTATGTTATGTTTACCAATGAATACTCTGGCGACTGATTACAGGTGAATAACATGACACATTTGCCTGTTTAAAAAATGGGATGCAGCTGTTTATGATTTGATAATGTATCGCAATGTGTTTATTTGCAAATAGGCATTGCAAAAATTCTTATCTGCAAAAAAAAACATGCATTCAAATAGAAGACATGAAAACACGTTTTTCATTTAAAAAAAAAAAAAATATTTTTACAATATTTATTTCAAAATTATTTTTTTCTTATCTCATATTATACTGCGATTTATTTTTATTAATAATAAATAAAATTGCGATTAAATTAAAATTATGAATTTAGTTTTTTGAAAATTCTATTCTAATAAAAATTTGTGATAGACGAGTATGGGGTTGTTTTCTCTATAGGGATATAACAAAGAAGTTTGCAATTTTTGAAGGGATCGATTTAAAACAGCTGCTAAACGCACACATTAAACCTGACGAGAAATACATGTTAAGTCGCAAAAGCTTTACGGGAACAAGTCCATCGGGTGAATGCACTGCATTGAACTACCTGTGTCTTACTTTCACAATTATGTAAAAAAAAAAAAAATAAAAAAAAAACGCTGACAGAACGAAAATGAAAAAAATTACTTCTAATTGAATAGATTAAGCAATTATTATTGCAAATATTCCAAAGTCAGGGGATAAAAAATTAAATATTGTAATTTATTAATATAAATTATATTTTTTTAATTTTTCCAATAGAAAATTAAATTAAAAATAAAATTAAATTATTTTCTAAAAAAAATTAAAAGTTACTAAATTCGTTAATAATAATTAAGGTGCATAAAAGAATTTGTATATTTATTACATTCTTTTTTTAAATGTCTACATTATCAAATAAAAGTTTTTAAAAAAAAATTTATTTTTCAGTTTGCTGTAGCAAAACATTATATGAGCAGCAAAAGAAACGTTCATCATTCCAGAGCCACAGCATCTTTGGATGAAGAAAGCGATAGTGACAGCGATAGTGATGATGAACCAGAAAGGGTAGGTCATACAGTCAAGATTAATTTGTACACAAAAAATTGATATTTCCAATTTCTAAGAGTAAAATGAATTTCTCAATTTTTTTCCCCCGTGGATTTATTTCTGAAAAAAATTCAAAATCTTTAAATAATAAATAATATAAATATTCAAATTGAAATAAAAATTAATTAATGTATTTATTTAAATATAATTTAGTCTCAAAAAAAAAAAAAAATTGATAAATATTTATAGTAGCTGAATTTTTTCAATAGCCTATTTAATTAATCATGTGGAATAAAAATTAATTCTTTGTAAATTTTAAGACGATTGTTTTTTGATAATAATTTTGCATGTGTAATGCAATGAATAAATATTGTAAAGAAAATCCTGTCTTATAAAGTGACTAATAATTAGATAATCGTTACAATTATCTTTTCATGTCAAGGCTGCTAATATTATTTACAAAACTTTTGTAACCGATAAATATTATGTTACTTTATTTAAAAATATTTTCGAAAATTCATTGTAAATTATAAGATAAATTCGTTTTTTTAATTGAGATATTAAAAAAAAAGTTTAATATAATTTCAAAAATTATTTTCTTTCAGACTGAATCCAATTTCTGGAGAAGAAAGATGAGAACACTTCATAGTCATTTAGATGTTAATAAAGACGGCGTTATTAGTTATGACGATTTTATGCTACTTGGAGAAAGATTCGCGAATTTGGGACATTTAACGACGGAGGAGAAAAAGGAATTTCAACATGTTCTTAATGTAAGAATAATTAATTTCTAATAATTAATTTGCTTTAATTAATAAATATTTAAAGGATAAATTTAAAAATAAATAAATTTTTATTCAAAGAAAATAAAATTTTGAATTAAAAATATATAAAAACTTTATGAAGATAATAATGAAAATAATTAAAAATTATTATAATTTAAAAGAAATCAACTTTTGTTTTTAATAAAATATTTTTACTATGTAATTAAATTTAAATTATCTGATTTTTTTTGCAGGAAATATGGGAAGAACAGTGGGGAGAAATAAGCCCTTATAATCTTATTGGTGTTGAACAATATCTCGAAAGAATGCAACATGTTCTTGAGGATGAATCTTTAAAAAAAAAGTGTCACAATTTCCTTCCTTTTCTTTTCAAAGTAAGTTAATTAACATTTATCTTTTAAATTAATAATTCTTATTTTTATATAAAATAAATAATTTTTTTTCATTATAAAAATAGAAAAAGTATTAAGGATTTTTGCAAAAATTTTATAAAACTATTTTTTTTTTCAGGCTGTTGATAGAAATAATAATGGAGAAATTTCCGTACAAGAATATCAATTATTCTTCGAGTGTCTTGGACTCTCACATGATGTAAGAATAAATTTTCTTTTATTTTCTAAATTGAAAAAAAAAAAATATTATAGCAATTTTGAAATTTTATTGCAGGATGCTGTAATAGCTTTTAGTCATATTGACCAAAACGACGATGGAAAAATTAATCTTAAAGAATTCGTAAAACATGGACGTGAATTCATCGTCTCTCATGATCATTCAAAGCCCAGCAAGTATTTTTGGGGACCATTAGACGACTGAAAAAAAAAAATTACATTTTGTGTACAAAAAAAAAAAAAATTGTGATATTTACACTTATAATTTTACTGATTTTCGAATGTAGTCCATTAGCTGTAAGATAGATTCTAAGTTATTTGTAGGCAATTTTTTTATACAAAAAAAAAACTGAAATAAATGACTGAAAATAACAAAACTGAATATTATTTTTTAAAAAATGATAGGGATTTAAAAAAAACAAATTGCGTTTTCAAATTACAAAGTTGATTTAATTATAATCGAGTCTTACAAACTAAATCTATAAAATTTATTTAAATTGAAAATCACATTGGCGTCTTATCTCTTTTTTGATTTTTTCAAAAGGTTTCCTTCGCCAGCAAAGGCTTTAAACTCATTCAGCTCCTTAATCTGGAAAAAATAATTAAAAGATAATTTTTTTTTGTTGAAAATTTTCTTGCTTTCATGAAGAAAAAATTCAAAATGTTTTTTTTTTTTTAAATTTAACAAAATACCTCTTTGTTATTAGTTGGTTTAGCATTTCGGAGAAATTTGAGAGTTCCTATTTGATAATCGTAATCGGGAATACCACGAATATAAGCAGATTTAATAGACGTTTGTTCAGCTGGACTTGAATCCTCTTTTTTCTTCTTTTTTCCATCAAGTCTATTGCCTTGGCCTTTAAACGCAACGAATCCTAAAGGTTCAGGCATTAAATCATCAGGATTCACATCATTTTCACCTTTTGTAATTGCTTTTGTTGGTTCTTTATAACCAACTGGAGGTGCAAATTCAACATTCATATCACATTCAATAATACTAACAGCTGGACCTGGTTTTGTTTCTAAAACGCACATTTCGTATATTCGCTGATTATATTTAATTGCAACAATATCGCCTGTTGTTAAGCAAGCAAAACTTCTTAATCCATTTTCAAGAACAGCTTTTGGATTTGAAATATCCAAAAAGTCTTCAGATTGTGGCTGAAAACGTGCATAAGTCGCCACTTGAAGAGAAACAAATTCCACATTTATTATTTCACCTTCGTCAAGGAAAAGATTGTGCATCATCTAGAATTGAAAAAAAAATGATAAAATGCGTATTTTATTTTTTTCTGATTTCTAAAATACTTACCCAATAAGGTAAATAAACTTTTCCTTCGTCGGCAACAAATTCTAAAACTCCACAATGTGTAATTCTGTTGGTTTTTTTATTTGTTAATTTAAAAAGCATTGGATAGACTATATTCAGTCTTGTTAATGTGTCAAGAGCTGATGGTGGCATTATAACTGAAATATTTGTGAAATAATAATTTTTTTTTAAAAATAAAAATCAAAATTATAATTAGTTTATTATTATTTGTGATAAAAATATTATATTTTTTTTGTAAATAAAAATTTATAAAATGGTGTACATGAATTTAATTTGAAGACAAAGGCATTGTTCATTTTACTTACTTTTTCCACCTCGTTCAACATCTTCTCTTTCGTTTCCAGGCAACATAGACACGGAAAAGCATTTATATTGAGTATTAAATGGCCGTGGATTATCCGGGAACATATTAAATCCAAACTGAAAGTTGAAAGTCATTGTGATCACCCGTAAAATTTAACCTCCAAATAGATAGAAATGAAGTTAAAAATGATTTCGTTGACTGAAGGACTTCGTTCTCCAATTAGTTTACCATTTTTCCAGTTATACTTGTTATTTTCTTCGATTGATAATTTAAAGCACTGGGAAAATTAGAAAATATGAAAAAATTAACTTCCTTTTATAAAGTATTGTGTATACAAATTAGTAAATATTTTTGATATGTCATAACCAGCAGACGACTTTTTGAACATGCGCACTGTATAATCAGGGTTGGGAAGCTTGCTTCGATATACGTAAACAAAGTTAAACTACTGTAAAAGAATGACAGTTTAACCATATTTATTTACTTTTTTCCCTCTGTGATAATAATTACAATTTATTTATTGTTTTTACTTATTTATTCAAAGTTTACGTTCTAAAATTATATTCAGTGATAATATTAATTTTGTTTACTCTTAATGACTTGTTTACATAAGAAAATTGAACAATCGTTAAATTGTTTATCTTTTCAATTTAATTTTTGAACAAGGTAATATTTTTTTGTTATAATAAAAATCTTTCCACTTTTTTATTAAATTAATAATTTAGAAAAAAAGGATATTAAAGCAGTTTTATTTTTATAAAAAATTTTTTGAAATACTATTTAATTTATCAGCATTGATAATTTTATTTTTAAAAAAACCAAAGAATTTACTTTTAAAATTTCCGATGAGAATTTTCACAAATATATTTATATACAAAAATTAAATTTGAGAAAATGAAAAGTTTATTTTGAAAGATTAGATTAGTTGCTGCAAAACAAAAGAAGAACAATCAAGTTTAAACACGTGGATAATAATATTACTATTTTCGTGCGTGAAAATAGACTCCTAACCCAAAGGTTTGTATAATTAAAATTAATTTTTCCTTATATTTTTCTATATGTAATTTTTTTAAATTATTTAATTTAATGTTCTTTTATTTCTGTATTAAAATAATAAAATTTTTATTTGATTTTATAGGAAATATAAACAAAAAAATGGAATTAAGATAAAAATCGTAGACAATTTATAAAAATTTTATTTTATAAAACACAAGAATAAAGAAATTCATCAAGGAACAAAATTTGTGAGTATATTAAAATTTATGTCTATGAAATATTTAAAAACATTTATAAATTATTTATTATTTAATTATTCTAAATTAAAAACCGTTAAAAGTCACAGAAAAATAAAAAAATAAAATGATATTAAATTAAATTTTTAGCTTTATAATAAAAAGAAATTTCCCCAATTTTTTAATTAGGTGAGTTATACTATTTATTTGTGATTAAACTTTAATATTATTAATAATTTAATATTAATATTAATATATTTTTGCTAAATCATAATTGTCCTTGAAAATAATGAAATTTTTCAATAAAAAATTTAAAATATTGATAATTATATTTTTTTTCACAGGTATAATTATGAATGAATTAATTAATCAACTCTTATGTGATGCCCTAAGGGAACATAATATCGAAGCAGCCAAAAGTATAATAAATGAAATTAGTTTATCATTATTTGAAACTTGGGATCGTGGATTTAATTTTCTTTGCTATGCATTGAGAGATAAACAATTTGAAATTGCTGAATTATTAATAAAAAATGGATGTAAACTACGTTTAAATAATAATCAAACAACAGCACTTCATGTGGCAATTTTAAATGCAAATTTAGAAATTATTAAACTTATACATAAAAAAATATGGAAGGAAAATAATACATGCAATTTATTAGATGAAGATGAAGATGGAAAAAATGTTTTTCATTTATTTATGTATCGTACACCAGTTGACGATGAATGTCGTCGTATTCTTCGTTATTTATTAAAAAATTGTCCAATAACAGTAACGTCAACTATTACAAATTTAAGTCCAATTCATTATGCAGCAAAATATGGTAATACACAAATGATTCGTCTATTATTATTAATTGATAAAAATCAAGTGAATAATACTACAAAATATATGAAATATACACCATTACATTTTGCCACTGAACGAGGACATATGGATGTTATTTATCTTTTATTGGAAAATTTAGCAAAAGTCAATGCAAAAACAATAAATAACGAAAGTGCCCTTTCTTTAGCAGTTAAATTACGATTGCAACCAATTGTTCAAATATTATTAAAATATTATAATGAAAATTTAAATTCATTGAAAGAAGAAAAAATGTTAATTTACAATGCCGTTATGTCAAGAGAAATTTGTATGCTTGAATTTTTTTTAATTCAAGGTTTAGATCCAAATATTATTGAAGAAAAAAGCAAAATGACACCATTATTATTGGCAATTGAACAAAATTGTTTAAATAGTGTTATATTACTATTGAATTATGGGGCAAATTTAAAAATAATACATTCAATTGATGGATATTCAGTACTTCATTTTGCAATAAAAAATATTGAAATATTCACTTATTTATTAAAAATTGGCGCCAATATTAATATTCACGATTTAAATAAACAAAATCCATTGCATATTGCAACAAAATTAGAAAATTTACATTTAATCAATGAAATATTAAATAATTGTGATATTTTGTCATTATTTACATTGGATTTTATTGGTATGACACCATTACATATTGCCGTTAATAATGGAAATAAAAATATTATAAAATTATTTTTAAATAAAGGTGTACCTATTGATTTAAAAACAAAAACAAAATTAAGTTCAATGCATTTGGCGGCAAAAAAAGGATCTTTATCATTGGTGAAAATTTTACAAAATTACGAAGCAAATTTACATATTTCAGGATCAATGACAATGGAAACACCATTATTTTACGCAGCACTATCTGGTAATTTAAAATTAGTGAAATATTTACATAAAACTAAAAAAATATCTAATCAATGGCTCGAAGATTATGTTGCATTATACGCTGCATCTTATAATGGACATGTGGAAATTGTTTTATTTTTACTTGAGCAAGGAGTAGATCCAAATATTTGTTATAGAAATTTTTTATCACCACTACACGCCGCTGCCCAACGTGGACATAAATTAATTGTTAATTTATTAATTGAAGCAGGCGCTTTAGTTAATAATAATAATAATAATAATTCTTTGATTTCAACACCATTTTTAGCAGCAATCTCAAATGGACATGAAGAAATTGCATTAATTATTCAACAACATGGTGCCAATATTAATGTTAAATTAAAATCAGCAATTTTTGAATTAGAAAATAATAATGAATTTGAATCGTTATTAATATGTGGTTATGAGACGAGATTAAAATTTCATGAACAATTAAAATTAGATTATACTGGAATTTTTTTTGCCATTCTCAGTGGTAATATAAATTTAGTGAAATATTTAATTAAAAATGGTGCTAATATTAATGTTACAACAAAATCAGGTGAAACACCTATTTTATTGGCAATTAAAAATCAATTTGTGGATATTGTCTCATATCTTTTAAAATCAGGTGCAAATATAAATTCAGAAAATTCTCCTCTACTTTTTCATGCAATTTCATTAAATAATTATCCAATTGTTGAATTATTATTAAATAAAGGACATTCTATTGATTATATTGGTAATTATGGTAATCAAGATGGTTATACAGTGATGCATCTTGCTATTAAAGGAAATAATATCAATATTGTTGATGCATTGTTAAAAAAAAATTTTGATCTTGATACATGTACGGAAAAGGATTATTTACTTCATTATGCAATTGATAAAAATAATGAAGATATTATAATTAAATTAATTGAGAATGGTGCATCTTTAGATTCAACATGTTTTAAAGGATTAAATCCATTATTACATGCATTATTAGCGGGTAATATAAAAATTTTCATGTTATTAATAAAAAATGGTGCAACATTAAATGAAAGAAGTATATTGGGAAAAAATTTACTTCATTTTGCACTTGATAATTTATTAAATGAAAATGTTATTAAATTTTTAATTGAAATTGGCATTAATGTTAATGAAAAAAATGAATTTCTTTTATCATTAATTGAACGTATTATTTATGATCAGGCGGAAAAAATTGAAATACTCAATGCAAGATATAGTCAATTATTAATAAATGAATTGAATGATAGAATTAATTTAGAAGAAATTCTTGAACATCCAAGCGATAATTGGAATGATATTGTTGAACCAAGAAATGAAAGTGATAAAATTTGTGATGATACTTTTAATGGAATGGTAATTAAACGGGGTTTTTATAATACTGATAGAATTTTGGCTTATTTTTTGGAATATGGATTGGATGTAAATACAATAATAGACATACAACAACGTACTATTCTTCATTATTCGTGTATTTGTTCAAATGCTGAGGCAGTGAGAATGTTAATTTTACATAATGCGGATTTTAATGTAATTGATAAAAGAGGACGTACTGCATTTTGTTATGCGGTTGAACATTCAATGTGGGCTTGGACAGCATTTCATCAAGAATGTTGCTCAGATGTTTATAATGAAGAAGAGGAAAAATTAATAAGTCCCGATTTACATTGGAATGATTATGATGATTTTGAAAGATATAGTCAACGAACGTCTGAAATTAAATTAAAAAAAATATTACGAAATAGAAATGCATTTAAAGAAATTGCTCGTCTTATGACAAAAGGACTTGTTAAAATTGAAGCAGCCGGAAATGAAATTCATTGGGAAAATAAAGAATTATTAGAATCGGGAACAGTTCATATTTATTATAATTTGTGTAAAGTAGAAATTGAATCATTAAAACGAACACAAATTACAAGAAAAATTTCATTTTTTCAACTTTTAATTGCTGATGAAATAACATTAACTAAATATGCACGTAATAAAATAATTCAATATGTCATGGCTGCAAATAATATTGATCATTTATTTCCATATTATGGAAAAGAATTAATATTTCGTTATAATATTGGCATTCAACGTAATAATCTTATTATTATTGCTGGTTATTATTTATCTCAAGCTATAAATATTTCAATACCTATTTTAGTGCAAGAATTAATTTTTAAAGAACTCAATTTAAATGAATTGAAAAATTTATGTCGAATTATTGAGCCATTCTATTTTGTTCGTGATGATGATGATGATGAGTCCGATGAAGATTGATTCTTTTTTTTATTAAAGTGCAATAAATGCAAAGACAAAAAAAACGTTGTGATAAACGTTTTTTCATAGAATAAATATTGTAAAATGTCAATTTTTTGTTAGTCTTCTTCAATATGTATATAAACTATTTTTGTACGAATTTTTTTCTTTTTTTGTAAACAATGACTGAATTATAACTATTTTGTATATTTTTAAATTGTTGTCAAATTATTTTTCCCTTTGATTAATTTTTGAAATATTAATTAAACATTAAACTATTTTAATAATTAAGGTAAAAACAATTTATTGCGATTGGCATAACCTCAAATTGTAAATTTAACCATTTTTTTTTTTATATTTATTTAGAAAAAAGTTCATACCTTATTGTTCGAAATTTTCGTAAAACATCAGACATTAACAAATTATAGGGAATTACGATATTAAATAAAGATTTATAAAAAGAAACTTGCTAAAACTCTTTTAAATTGAACAATAACAAAATTCTCTCTGTACTTTGCAATCGTTGATTGGCCAATAGACAAACATGGCGGCTTTGAATATAACGCGCTTTCTGATTGGATGAGGAACTTCACACCGCTAAATTTTCAAAATTTGAAAATATTCATTGTTTCTATAGAAGATTATTGAATTAATTAATTTTTTATAAATATATAAAAAAATATTGAAACATATCATCCCATTAAAATTAACTTTAATGTGTATAACTTGTATGTATCTAAAAATATTGGTTTTAAAATAAATTTACGTTGATTTACATGTATTTAACATTTTTCAAATTCTGGATTCCCAACTCTGGATATTTAGGGGGGAAAGTTGAGGTTATGTAGATCATGATACGTGTTTACAAAAATGATGGATGTGTCAATCAAATATAATTAATCATTTAATAAACTTGTTGATCGTTTTATATGTGAACAAAGAACTTTAATAGAATGAAATTTAATGATAAAGACCTTAATGAGGCTAGTTTTGGCCCAGCAACTATTGAAGGACGATTAAATCACAAACGTGCTCATAAATCAGGTATTTTGTATATATTTAAAAAAAAAAAACTTAATTTTCCCCTCTGCCCAGATTTTTGATCATTTGCCAACATTTATTTTTACCTACATACGATTTGTGGGGGGGCGGGGAATTTACAATTTTTGATAAGGGGAATTTTTATTTTTGACATTGAATTTTTGTTTTTTTCTAAATCTATTATCTTTTCTATACGATTTTTAATTTTCCAAAAATGCAATTTAATTTAATTTACTTTTTGCAGCATTTAAAGAAAGATGGTTTAAATTAAAATGTAATTTACTATTTTTCTTTAATATAAATGACTTGGGTCAAATTGATAGAAGACAACCGGCGGGCGTGATAATTCTTGAAAATTGCAGTATTAATTTAGATACATCTAGCGAAAGTGCCTTTGCATTTTGTATATCATTTAGAGATGAACATGAAAAAAGGCATATTTTAAGTGGACCATCTGAGGAAAAAGTTGAAGAATGGATAAATTTATTGAGACAAGCTAGTTATGAATTTTGGAGATCGCAATTAATAATTCTACAACAAAGATTGCATAAAAAAACAGGAAAGGATCCATTACTTATGTATCCAAGAAATCAAGGAGTCGTTAGAGATGAAGCCTGGCATAATAAAGCGAGTTTTCGCTCTCATGTTCGTTCATTTACTACCTCAATGGCAACATCCTCAGCAATTAATACATTAACAAGAGAAGCAAATCTCATTGATTTAACATGACAATTTTTTATCCCTATTTAAAATAATTTAAATTTTTCTCACAAATAATTAGAAAAAAAAAAAATCCGCAAAATTTGCATCAATTTCCACTAGTTTAAAAAAATTGTATTGTCTTTTAATTTTTTTTTCCCCCAAAGAATAAAATGTTAGAATTTTTTTTTTCTCTAAAGAGCAACAACTATTTTTACAATGTGTTCTCTAAAAAAAAAAAAGTGTATAGTTTTTATTTATTTAACTACATATTTAATATATCTGTGAAATATTATTTTAAGGAATGAAAGAACATGAATGATTTTATATTTTATCAAGTATTTTAATACCAAATACTCTCTTTTTTTTATATTTACCACAATTTTCATGTATTTTACTGGTAAATATATATTTTTTTATTCAGAAAATTCGTTTTTTCATTTTCAGAAATCGATAAAAAAAATTTGAATTTACCTCCAAAAAAATAAAAATTTTCTAACCTCAAAAAAAAGTTTTAGTATATACAATTTTCTGTTAAATCAATTTATTTCGAACTAATTAAATTACTTTAATTACCTAATATGAATAATTTAATTATTTTAGTGAAGTTTTAAAAGTAAATTTAAAAAGAAGAAATTTCCGCAGTAATATTCTCGTTGTCATTGACTGCAATTTATAAAAAAGAAAAATAACCGTTTGACATAACCTCTTATTCTTTAATAAAATGGTTGTGACGTAGATCGACAGCTGGCTCCGTTTTTCGGTCTTTTTACTGTTTTTCGAAAATAATAAAAAAAAAAAACATTGTCCCCGAGGATAGTGAATTCAATATGTGTATATTTAATCCAAGTGTTCTTTGACCAATTTGAATATTTGTAAAATTAGAAAAAGAAAGATTTTTAAAATGGTCGAGTAAAAAAAAAGCACAAAAAGCAGACGAAAATGAATAGGATACCGAAAATGTCATGTCCAGGAGGTGGACTCTATGTCCTTGAAGGGGAGGTGGGCCTCCTGGTAACAGCAATGCGACGTGGTGTACGATGGTCGTCACACTCTCATCAGGTAAACAAGAAACAATAAAAAAAAAAAGAAACAAATATACTCCCTATTATTTTCAGATCTCTCACAATAATTACCTTATTGAGGAACTGTCAGCGTATCTTCTGCCACGTGTGACAGGAAACGAATTTATTTTCAATGTTCGGTTTTTTATTTTAACTAAATTTGTCATTTTTATTAATAACGTTTTTAATGAATTCATTGTTATCATTTTATTATTAACAATATGTTCTTTATTTAAATCATATTGACATTTTTCTATTATAATTGTAATAATTTTGTTTTTGTTGATGTAAAATTTAAAATTAAAACAATTTTAGAACGTGATTAGTAATTATTTAGAATCGTATGTACGACAATGTTTTATCTTGAAGCAATTGTCATTTGTTATCTATTTATTATTTTATTATCTATTTAATTTATTTCCTGGTATTTAGTGTTTGAATTTCCTTTCTTTTTCAAGGATGAAGATCAAGATGTTTTAATGAAGGGATTGTCTTCGTTGAAGGAAGCTTTAAATGAGGCAAAAGATGTTTCTCAATTGGAACCAGCTGTTTTTATGGCACCATTTCTTGAAATTATACGATCCGAAGAAACCACTGGACCAGTTACTAGTCTCGCTTTATCAGCTGTTAATAAAATAATCTCCTATGGATTAATTGGTAAAAAAAAAAAAATTTGTTCGCCAAAAATTGAATTACAAAATAAAATTGTTTTATAATTTTATTTTAGATCCAGATCATCCAGCGATTGCACCTTGTGTGGAAGCTGTGGCTGATGCTGTTACCCATGCGAGATTTGTGGGTACAGATGCCTCTGGCGATGGTGTTGTTCTAATGAGAATTCTTCAAGTTCTTCGGGCATTAATGCTTTCTCCAGCTGGCAATCATCTTTCAAATGAGAGTATTTGTGAAATTATGCTCTCTTGTTTTCGAATATGTTTTGAAACACGTCTCAGCGGTAAAGAAAAAAGAAAAACCCTTTTTTTAATTAATCTATTTTTTCTTAATTTATCAAAAAAAATTATTTTTCAGAATTATTGAGACGAACAGCGGAACACTGTTTGAGAGATATGGTTCAACATTTATTTACAAGATTACCATATTTTGTCGACGATTCGAGAGGTCTTTTAAATATGAAGGTAAAAATTACAATTTTAACAAAAAAAATTATAAATTATTGAATTATTCTTTTTTGCAGAAAATGAGAACAAATAATATGGATAATACGCGAAGTAAAACTAGAAAAACAAAGATACATTCCAAATCAAAGTCACAACAACCAAATCCTGATGAAATTGAAGATGGCGAGTCACAATTATTAAGTCCTGTTGATAGAATAAGAGCGAATCATCTTGCAACAACGCCTGTAACGCCTGCTGGCAATATTGTTGATATGCAAGGATCATTAGATCAAAGTCCACCGGAAAAAGTTGATGATGATAAAATTGATAATAAAAATAATAGTGTAGCAAAAACATTGGATCTTGAAACAAAAGATGAAAATCAAGAGATCAATAAGGAAACAATTATAAATGAATTGACAACAGAAAATTCTTCTGAATCACAACAAAATGAATGTGAATCGTCTTCCGAAAATAATAATAAAAATTCCATAACAATTGAAAAAGAAACAATTGAATGTTTAGAAAAGGAAAACATTCCAGAGAATCAAGGTAATTAATTAAATATAGTAAAAATTAAAATAAAAAAAAAATATTAATTTTTTATTTATTATTACAGAAAATCAAGATAAAACTTGGATTCAATCGCCAGCGGGTAGTGTTGAAGATTTATCATCAGTTGAAGATAATTCTAATTATGATGTATCGAAAATACCGAAAATACGAATAGAAGATGAACCACTTGAAGAATATGTAAATACTCAAGGCGTTAGATTTATGCCACATCAACAATATGCACCATATGGTTCTCTTTGTGTTCGTGAACTTTTTAGATTTCTTGCTTCAATATGCAATCCATTAGATAAACAAAATACAGAAATAATGATGCATTTAGGTCTTAGTTTATTGCAAGTAGCATTGGAAATTGCCGCTGATGCACTTGCAAATTTTACATCATTATTGTCGCTAGCAAAGGATGATCTTTCTCGAAATTTAATTTTGGTAAGTGAAAATTTTTCAATGTAATTTATTCATGAAAAATTGATTTTCTTTTTTTTGCAGTTGCTGGGATCCGATCGTTTATCGATTTTAGCTGCTAATCTTCAAGTGTCATTTTTATTATTCGAATCACAAAGGGAACATTTGAAATTTCAATTAGAACATTATATTACTAAATTAATGGAAATAGTGAATTCTGAATCGAATCGAATATCGTACGAACAACGAGAATTGGCTTTGGGTAATTTATTATTTTCTATTTTAAATAATAATTTGCTTTTTTTTTTCTTCTATGAAAATATAAATTTTTAGAAGCGATTGTCAGGCTGTGGAGAATACCGGGTTTACCCGCGGAATTGTATTTAAATTACGACTGTGGACTTTATTCTACGAATCTTTATGAGGAATCAATGAAACTTTTATCTAGGGTAATGTATTTATTAAAAATTTTTTAAATTTTTGTTCTATTTTATTAATTTAATTTTTTTTTCAGAACGCGTCTTCTTTTATGGGAACCATGTACAGTATGCAATTTATTTCCCTCGATGCTATATTTAATTTAATTTCGGGAATGGAGGCAAGATGTAAAGGTCTTCATGATCTTTGTAAAACTTCTAGACACGCACCGTCACCAAATCTTCCAACGAGAGATGAACTTCTCACGACAAAGGCCAACAAGAGGGTAGATAATTTTATTTTATTTTTTTTTATTAATTACAAAAAAAGAAATAAAATAAACATTGAAAATTTTTTAGTGGTTGGCTTTGGGTACTGAGAAATTTAACGAGAATCCTCGTAAGGGAATTGCAAAATTGTCAGAACATGGACTTTTAGGTGATAATGTTGAGCAACCTGATCCGGAGAAAATTGCAAAAATTCTTCGTGAAAATCCTGGACTAGATAAAAAGGCAATTGGCGAATATATAAGTAGAAAGGAAAATAAAACAATATTAAATTGTTTTGTTCATAATTTTGATTTAAGTAATACAAGAATTGATCAAGCTCTACGTTTATATTTGGAATCATTTCGACTTCCTGGTGAAGCTGCATTGATTTCGCTTCTTCTTGAAAAATTCGCCGAACATTGGCATGTAAGTTAATTTAATTTTTAAAAAAATGAAATTTAATAATACATTATTTATTAATTTAATATAGGATAGCAATGGTAGACCTTTTGCATCAGCAGACGCGGCATTCACTCTCGCTTATGCTGTAATTATTTTAAATGTCGATCAACATAATTATAACGCGAAACGGCAAATTAATCCAATGAATGCCGAGGATTTTAAAAAGAATTTAAAAAAAGTTAATGGCGACGAAGATTTTGATCAAGAAATGTTGGATGAAATTTATACTTCTATCAAGTAAGTTAATATTTTAGTATTTTTTTTTAAATTAGCAAAAAATATAAATGTGATTTTTTTTTTTCAACAAAAGAAATGAAGAAATTGTCATGCCAGCTGAACAGACGGGACTTGTGAAAGAAAATTATCTTTGGAAAGTGTTGTTAAGACGTAGTTGCGGTCCAGAGAGTAGTTATTTAAAAGTCGGCAGCGCTGGAGAATTTGTCGATAAAGAATTAGCCGAAAGAGCATGGGCTCCAATTGTCAGCGCTCTTTGCAGAGCTTTTGATAAAGCTCCCGACAAAACTCTTCAACGAAGAGTTGCACAAGCGTTCCTCAGGTAAGAAAAAAAAAATATATATTTTTATAATTATGTATATTTAAAAATTAATTTTCTTTTAGTTGTGCGGCAGTTAGTGCTCATTATGGAATGACAAGCGATTTGGATACATTGATAGTCAGTATTTGTAAATTTACCGGTTTAGCAGCTGGTGGTGAACCAGATCAAGTTGTATTAAATTTGGGAAGTAGTGGACGATGTCAATTGGCGGCTCATACACTATTTAAAATAACTCATATGCATGGTGATGCATTACGTGCATCGTGGAAAAATATAATTGATTGTCTTCAAACATTATTTTTAGCTCGCGTTTTGCCAAAGAATCTCACTGAGGGTGAGGATTTTCTTGATTTAACAGGAAAAATATCATTAATACGCGAACCATCAACAATGAAAACAGCGCCTGTTGAACAAGGATTATTTTCCAGTTTATATTCATATATTGCACTTCATACGGCAAAAGTTCCACATCCAGCTGAAATTGCCGCTAGAGAACGCGCTGCAAAATGTATTGCAAATTGTCATCTCAAGCAAATTATCGAGGAGAGTAAATTTTTACAGGTAAATTCTTCTTTTTTTCTTTATTTATCGAAAAATATTTAATACTTAAATTTCAATTTAGGTGGAATCATTACGATCATTGATTGGCGCTCTTGTTTCGGTGAAATCGCAAGACGAGGATCTTGCCGTTTTTCTATTGGAATGTCTTTTGGAAGTGACAATTCAAAATCGTGATCGTGTAATTTGTATTTGGCCGGTTGTACAAGCGCATCTTGATGGATTATTAACAACAGCGGCGCGTGAAAATCAACCCTATCTTTTGGAACGTGTTGCTGTTGGAATGTTACGTCTTGCTATAAGACTTTTGAGAGGTGAAGAATTGGCATGCACTGTTCTTCCACCATTAACACCTTTAACATATTTGCCATCAGTTGGAATGTCACCATTATCACGACAAATTGCCTATGGATTATCTGAATTATTAAAAACTGGTGCTGCCAATATACACACAAATGAAGATTGGAAAGTAATTTTCAGCCTATTAGAATGCGTTGGTGCCGGTGCTTTACAATCAAAACAAAATACAAATTCCGATGAATCATCATCAAGAAATTCAATTCTCGATCCACGACCAATTAGTCCAGTTCCCGAGTGGGTTTTGGTTTCACCAACCGGAACCGAGGCACCACTTCCGGTTGCTGCCGATACCATTGTCTTGGATCGAGATCTTCAATCACATGATCCGGCAGCATTGGTGAAATGCATTGAAAGTTTATCATTTCTTGTTCGTGATGTTGCTCACGTAACTCCATTTAATTTTGAACTATGCGTTAGATGTGTGAGAACATTTTCCGAAGCAGTTCTTCAATGTTCTGGCAAAAGAAATCGTGTTTTAACAAACGTTGATGAGCCTGCAAATTATCAACAGAGTCCTATTCAATTATTAGAATTGATGCACACTCTACATACAAGAACAGCTCAGGTATTTCAATGGTGGGCTCAGGAAGGTGAAACCACTGATATTTCACTTTGGGCACAAGGATGGCGCCCCTTATTACAGGTAAGTTTCCGAAAAAAAAAATTTCTTTCTTTTATTAATTTTTTTTTTTTTTAAATAGGGAATCGCGAGACTTTGCGGCGATTGTAGACGACCAGTTCGTGCATCAGCTATTACTTATCTTCAATCACTTTTGGCACATGAACTCACTCAACTCACAGGTATTGAATGGTCCCAATGTTTGGAACAAGTTTTATTTCCATTATTCGCTCAATTATTGGGTCAAATTTCACCTAATGATCCAACTGGAGTTGAAGAGACAAGATTTCGTGCCGCGACATTATTGTCAAAAGTTTTTCTTCATCATTTAACGCCACTTCTCACATTACCAGGATTTTTACCACTTTGGCTAACGGTACTTGATCTTCTTCGTGCTTTTATGCACGCTGATAATAGTGAACTTTTATTTGAAGCCATACCAGAATCATTGAAAAATATGTTACTCGTCATGTCATCAGCTGGTGTTTTGGTACCAGAATCAAATTTATGGGCACCAACGTGGCGTACAATTGATGGATTTTTGCCAAATTTAAAAAACGAATTATTCCCCGAACCACCGATTATTCAAAATTCACCTCTTTCGCAATCACCTCAACCACAGGTAGAAAATTAATTTTTTACATAAATTTTTCTAAATTAGAAAAATTATATGCCAAATTTTTTTTTACAGGTTATCAGTCTTGTTGATCAGCAACAACCATTATTTCCAGGATCAATAGCACCACAACCGGAAATTGAATCAAATAATAGTGAAACAATTAATGATAATGATGATATATTGAATTCAGTGGAAAATGGAATTCTCCGTTCAACTGGAGTAATTGCTGCAACAATATTACCAGCTTCATCGTCTGAAAAAAAATTTGATGCTCAACAAGTTATAACACTTGTGAATCAACCAAGTGTATCGAGTCCAGTTGCAATTCAACCGAGTGCACAACAAGTTTTTGATTTTTATCGACCGGGAATATCCAATAATCAGGATATTGAAAATAATTTAATTAATCAGGAGAATATTTGGCATAATTCACAGCAACATATTATTGCCGTTTCTCAGGATGTATCAATTGTCCCTCAGGTGACAACATCACAAGAATTATTAATTTCCCAACAAATAAATAATCAACAACAATTAACAATGCCTCAACAACAATCACATCAAATAATATCACTTTCGCAATATCCACAAAATTCATTTCCACAATCACATGAATTTCATTATTCTGGCGAGAATAATCTTAGTCATTCCGTTAAATCTCATGAGGTAATTTCTTTTTAAAATAGTAGTTTTAAAAATTTCAAACAAATTTACTTTCTAAATTTAAAAAAAAAATGGTCTTTTAATTTTTAACATTATCGACAGACGGTTTGAGGCGATCTGAATTTTTTAGAAATTTAATTTATTAATTCATTTTTAAATTATAAATAATTAATTTGACATACATACATATTATTCAATGTTTCATTTATTAATATTAAATAAGTAATTCTACAATAATAATTGAAAGTAATGAATAATAAATTAATTTGAAATATCAATTATTTATTTTTAATAAAAATATTTGTTTATTAATAATATTTATATTAGAAATTAATAATAATATTTAAATTTTATATTTAAATGAAAATTGTAACTAATAATTTTTTATGAGATCCACTAAAAATAATAATTTTTAATATAAATTTTAAAAATAAATTTTAAAAAATAAAATTTGGTTTAATATTGAATTAAAAAATTATAATTAATAATTTTCTTTTTTCAGGCAACAATTGAGGAGGGAAAAGCAGCAACGATTTTTAATTCTGCAGCTTATTTTAATGAAGACCCAGCTGCGGATCGTCTTTTTGACGTTCGTCAAGTGAGTACCGCCACATTGGAAAATTGAAAATAATTCAGCTTTAGTACAAAGATCAATTATAATTTTTTTTTTTCAATTCAACAACAAATTTTCGTTTATAAAACGAATTGAAAAAAAAGAAGAAATTTTAATTTGGTGGCGGTGCAAATTTGACGTCAAATTACTAAAATCTAATAATAATAATAATAAAATAATAAATTGTAAAAATAAAAAGTGATATATCAGAACAGTAAATAGGGGTTTTGGTTACTCGCAATATGTTTAAGTGATTTTTAAAAATCAAATTTTTGTTTAGTATCTATTTTTTTGTTATTTTGAAAAGTTTCATTTTCTAAGTTTTATTATGCGCAAAAATTTTTTTTCTTTTTTGCTTGTGACAGCTTTTAATAATTTAAAATTTTAATCACTTTTTAAAAAAAAAAAAATTTATATCAAATTTGAATGAATGTCAATAAGGGAGATTTTTATTTTTTAAAAATTTGGAAAATAATATTTTTAAGTTTATCTTGAAAATATTATAAATATATATAGAGAAAGAGAGAAAGAGAGAGATGATTGAAAATTAGTGTACAAATTACTAAACTTATAAATATATTACAATGTATACACAAAAAACTTTATCAAGTGTTAAATAAAATATTTAAAATTCATATGACTTATGAATTTTCATTCATAAGTCATATATTTAATTGTAGTTTATAAAACGAGAAAATTGTAAAATTAATTAATTTTTATTTTAACTACAATAGAAAAATTATGTTGACTTTATCGTTAAAAATAAAACAATGTTTTTAGAACAATTTGTTGTTTTTTAAGAGAAATTTTATTTATTAGAAAATAAAAATATATTTCAATCGAATACTAAAAAAATAGATGATTCGCTTTTTTTAAAAAAAAAATAATATTTAGAAATGACGTTAATAGACAAAACAAATTTGATCTCTTTATAAAAAATTAGTTAAATGAAACAAGAGGTCAAATAAATTTTAAAGTGCGCACATTACTATTTAGTTTGTTTTTTTTTAAATTATTTTTTCTTTTATTTTGTTTGTTATTATTCGATTATTAAAAATAAAAGATCCCTTTTAGCCTCATCTAAAGCATAATACGCAATAAATTTACATATTAAGCAACAAATAGTGTGTAAACATCTCATTACGTCAATATTTCGATATTTGAATTTAAAATCAATGATAAACATCGATCAGCTGATCAAAACAACAATCAACAACGTACCCTTTACTTGTCGCCCCGGGAACTTAAAAACAATTTTTTTTTATCTCCAAACAGTATATTAGATAAAAAAAATTAACTAACTATTTTTTATAATAAACTTTCAATTTGAACTATTTAATTATTTCAATTATTAATATTAAAAAGTGTGAAAAATTAAGGATTGATTATTTTTATTCTAGACGACTAGTTACAGCCCTGTTATTAGGCTTTAAATTTGCCGTTGAGTGTGTTTAATTTTGTTTTACATCATTTTCTCTCATAACACGTGCATTAAAGAATAAATAAAATTGTTTATTATTATAATAAAGAATCCTCATGAAATACCATTATCATGAAATGTGTTTTTTACATTGGCAATGATTATTTTCAAATATAATAAAGGAAAAAAAAAAAAAATGTTGAAAAAGTGAGGTTATGTGAGTTCAACATTATTTTTGAGAAAGATATGCGCGCGCAGGTGGCGCGATGTTGGTGCGTCAGAGAACCGTCATCTCTTGTGAAGGAAAAACGATGACTCCTGTCTGCTTCTGTCTGGACATTCGCCCGGGACAGATACATTGACACGAAGAAATAAAAGAAGTGCACCAGGACGTAAATCCTATGCAACCAGTCGTTGTTAAATCTTTTACATCGTTTCGACGAGAAGATAATACAGCATTCCGTGCTAGTGACACGGCAAAGGATTCATCATTTCCAGCCGGTGTTGCATTCCTTTCGCCGTTCGCTCGGGCGGGCGAACGCGAGTGTTCATTTATCTGGCAATAATTTAAAGCCGGAAATTATTATTTTTTCCAAATAGGACATGGTGGTGCGTGTGAGTGAAAACAAGGGTGGAAAAAGCCGTTCAAATCAATGTCGGCTTTTACTATTCAAATCAACATCACCATTCATTCTTTTCATCATTTTGATTACTCTAGTGAATTTATCATTATCTTCTGAAGGTGAGTTTTTTTAATTTACTTTTTTTTTGTTTACTTTAAAAAAAAAAACGCGACGTAATTTAAATTAATTTTTGCAATCGACTATAAATATTTATAGGGAACAAGCCAACCCACGCTTGAAAAATACTTGCTCTATTTTCAGATTGGTATTCTAGTGCACGGTGACAAAAATAACAAGTTTATGTTAATTAGAAAGTATGAAATGTCATTTATTTTTTTTTGATATGAAAGTTGCTTGTTTTTTTTTTTTTTGTTGGGAATATGTCATTAATTTTCTGTGTGATTGTTTTGTTTTGGTAGTGACGTTTGTGATGACACCTGTCATTTTTTTTTTCTGACATGTTTTATAAATGAAAATTTTTACGAAATTTTGAGGTTAATTCACTTTTGGGGATGTTGATTTTAAAATATTATTTCAACAACAACTATTGTTTGTTTTTATAAGGGGTAAATAATAATAAATAGAAAATGAATATCTGTGAAAAAATATATTGTTTTTCATTTAAATAGGGATGATTTTAATTATTAAATAGAGAAAATAATTTTTTTTTTTTTTTTATTTTACTTTATTTTATTATTTAAAGAAAACAATACATTTTCTATATCGTTGCATACAATTTCCATATAATTTAAATATAGAAGACATTTACAAACAGTATTTATAAGTTAAACTGTGTTACATATTGTGCTTGCTAAAAATTTGCGGGTCAATGAGTTTAATTGCCCCTTCGAGCTTTAGTTTCAAATTTAGCCTTCATCTGTGTGTATGTATGTGTATATTTAAGAATAAGCAAGAATTAAATTTTAATAATTAATTATTTATTCGCTTTTTAAAAATTTTCCATGTTCTAAAATTATAAATTATTTTCACTATTGAACTTCAATTAATTTTTGAGAATTTGTTGGTTTTGCAATTTTAAGAAAAATATTTGTTCAATAAAAAAATTACTTAAATAATTTTCTAAAGAAGATATATTATTTTTCTTTATTGTTATTTTATTTATTCAGAATAAATATAAGATGAAAATTGAATGATAAAATGATGATATTAGAGAGGGAATCAAAGGGACTTGAAACTTTTGATTGAATCGATAACATTAAAAAGAAATCCAGTTTTTTTTTCGTAAAGCACACAACAATGACAAAAAAAAAAAGAAGGAAAACATTGTTTTCAATTGAAATAAAATTTTTTTCAAAACTTTTTAATTGACAAAAAAAAATAATAACTTTGATTTTTGGGAGGGGGAGAGAAAAAAAAAAAAAACTTTCGAAACAAGAGTTTGGTGTATTTCTCTGGAATACAAAATGAATACTTGACGAAGGTAACATTTAATTTTGAAACTAGAACTTGAAAAGGCTCAACATGTGCTTCGAAGTTTGAAAACTTTATAGGGAACTTTGATAAAGGAAATTTCAAGACATCACATCTATTTAGAAAATTACGTAGACAAAGTTCGAAACTTTATGTGTCTAGAATTTCAAAATATATATGACGTTACAAATTTAAATTATCATTAGTGTTTAATTTTTTTTTTTTCGATAAAATTCAACGAACCGGAAAATGTTTTATAAAATTAATTTTCCTCAATGACTTTTATCTTAGATGATAAATATAATAAATCATGGAGAAAATATTAAGATTTTAAAATTGAAACTAAAAAAAAAAATTTTTTGTTTTTTTTATTGAAAATATCGTTTAAAAATTAAATTAAAATCTGGTTTTGTCTGATAGAAATTGATTTTTACTACTGAAACACGAAATTAAGAAGAATTTATAAAACTGATTTTTTTTTGGAAGAAAAGAAAAATTTATAAAACAAATTAAGAATATTTAATAATGATAATTTTTCATTTGTTAATTAATTCTTTTGAGATTGTTTTTTATACAAATTATTATTATTATTATTATTATTACTATTATTATTATTATTAGGTATTATTATTACAAAACTGATTTTTTTGGAAGAAAAGAAAAATTATAAAACAAATTAAGAATATTTATTATTGATAATTTTTCATTTGTTAATTAATTATAATTGCAGATTCTTTTGAGATTGTTTTTAATACAAATTATTTTTATTATTAGTATTAGGTATTATTATTATTTTTCATTTGTTAATTAATTAATTATGATTTCAGATTCTTTTGAGATGATTTTTTCGGTTAATGATTGTTTCCGAGTTATTTTTTCCTTTGCGATGGTAGATTAAAAAAAAAGGGAATGCGGATTTAAATGGAAATGAAAATGTGTCATATCTAGAGGGAGAAATTCTCAATTCTGGTCCAGCCATTCAGTGTTGCGTAGAGCGTTTCAAGCGAGGGTGGTCGATCGAAGGTACGGCTTTGTATCCACCCTCTCTTCTCTCTCTCTCTCTCACTCACTCACTCACTCACACAAACTCCTTTTCTCTCTTGTGTGCAGACGCTAGAAATCAGGCGTAGTAAATGTAGCAGAGGATTTCTTAGGTCAATCTTTTCCTTTGAAAAGTTGCAGGAGAATACAGATGTGGCTTTTTTGAGAAAAGGAAATGGTTTAATCAATACTGACGTGTTCTTGTTCTTTTATAAATGGAAAGAAAATTTTATTTCAAATGGATTTACTTAATAGTTGTTTACTTCATCTACGAATTTTGCTTTTTGAATTTTACCCCCCTTCTGTTTTTGTTTTTTTAGGGGGTAGGAGGCCTTTTTTTTCCAATAAAAAGTATTTTATTAATGATCGTTTTTGATCAATTTAAATACAAAATCATTTTGAGAAAAAAAAAAAAAACAATACGATTTTATTAATCCATTAAAAATGCTTTTATCATCCGTATTATTATACTATTGTTTTTCAATCATAGGTCAATGGATAATATATTTTACAAGAGTGATTCAAAATTGAATATCGGTTTTCATGAATAATTATTACCAAACGACTTGTTGACATATTATAGATGGACATATGACGTTTATATTTATCGATATAATTTCAATGACATTGACCATAAATGCTTTAATAAAAAAATTTTTTTTTTTACAGGTTTCTGATAAAAAAAATTAAATTTTATCTTTAGTGAAATGAACAATAATAATAATAATAATAATAATAATTGTAGTGAATAAATAATCGACAGTGAAATGAGAGAAATATTTCAGATATTTTGAGTTAAGTTGTAGAGCGTAATATCAATATGAGCAAAGCAAGTGAGTTCAAAGCAAACAATGGAGAACATGTCTAAAGCAAAGTGAGCTAATTGAACTGGAGAGGGTTTACATATATATATATAACATATACATCTGTATGTGAACCCACAGTTGCCTCAATGGAGTTTGTGATTCATTTATGTATTTCTGTATATCCACACATATATATTATCTAATACATGACATAATTAATACGCGGTATATTAGGAAAATATCGACACTTATTGAAAATCAACAAAAAAAAAAATTTTCCAAAATATTAAAATTTATTTCTATAAAGCAATTATATTTAAATCAATTTATTTATTTTATTTAATTTTTTTATGAATATTTTTAAACGATTTTTAAGATAAAATTAATTTGGTGGAAATTTGCATTTAAAATCAGAACCAGAAGCATATGAATGTTAATTACTTCCAACAGGTGCATTTATGAGCGATAATAAAAAGTAAAATACTGAAATGTCAAACTATTTCGGCCATTATATATATATATACTCTCGTAATTTATGAAATTGACCTTTTTAAGTAACTGTAAATTGATGTTCCAAGAAGCCAATAAATAGAATTCATTTTTCACGTCAATTAAATTATTAATCTATTTAATTTTTGTATTTAATATTTTATGGAGAATTTTTTTTTTAAGTAAAAAATTGACTAATAATTTTGTTACTATTTTTTTTTAATAATTTTTTTTAGTATTTAAAATAAAAAAAATAATTAAAATTGATAGAAATTTTCTTCATTCTAATTTGGAATTTAGAGAGGGTAATATAATTTCTATATATAATTATTTACCGTCGATGTGTGAATGACGAAATGGTGTTAATAATAATCGAAATTTTCAATTGAGAATTTAGCAATTATTGCGTAAGCCTCAATTGATATATAGAAACCATATATATGTATATATTCACAAATTATTATCCCAAATTAATTTCACAGAATATTTGAATTTACTAAATTTAAATTCTAATTAATTGGTTAATTAGTTAATTTTATTTAAAAATTGAAAAAAAATAGTTTTCTAAATTAAAAAGAAAAAAATAGTTAATTGAATTGATTTTCTATTTTTGTTACATGAATATTACAATTAATTTATATACACACAAAATCGATACTGTAACAATAACTATAAAATCGGAGAAGCAAATAATAAGTCTGCAAATTCTATATTTGTCTCATTTTATTATTGAAATACAAAACTGTCTCTGTATATATAAACTTCAGTGAAATCATTTTCTATCTACTCGTCTGATTGCATAATTATATTATTTAAATATCTTCGTTTTACGCTCTGGGGATATATATATAATAATTATTCCACGTATTATCAAATGAATTTATTGAAGATTATTATTGATATAATAATTTTTATTATTAATCATTATATGATACAATAATAACAAAATATTTAATTATGATAATAATTTTATTCCTTTTATTATTGTATTATTATTACCGCAATAACTATTATAAATATTTGGAAAATTTAAAACAAAAAAAAAAAAGTAAAAAGTATTTCGAGAAATATATATTATGTAAATGAAAAGAAATTTTTTCTAAGTTAAAAAAAAAATAGTATTTCCTGTTGCGTATAATAAATTTTTATTTTTCTTTATTAAAGACATAATGTAATTTGTATAAATATAAATTTCCTATTACGTTTTATAATACAAGATAATAATTATTAGTTAACTGCTTGCATTTTGCATATTAGAGGGAAAAATTAACTTTTGCTCGCTTGTTTATATCACAAATAGTTTAAATTACAAGCAAATGATTCGTGGGTAACGTTTAGTTATTATGGTTTCTCGATAAGCTTCGTTATTAACTAGACCTATATATATATATAATACCTATCAATTAAATACACTATATACATTGATGTTCATTTACATGCGCCAGACAAAAATAGAACAATATTTGAATACCGTTCATCTCAAAATAATTTTTTTTTTCCATAATAACAATTTATTAATTTTTTTTTATTTTATTTTATTTTAATTTATTTTATGAAGAAATAAATTTGTAAAAAAAAATTTCAATATTATATTTATAGCAGATGGGATTTTTTTTAATAATTTTATTTTTTATTGTTCACATATTTTTTTGAATTTTTTTGTGATAAAATTTTCAAAAATTGTTTTTCTGTTTTGAAAATATCGTCTATTTTCTTCTATTGTTTTTTTTTTAAATTAATTATCAAGCTTGACTAATTTAAATTACGTGAATTAATCATTTATATATATTCCGCCTAAAGCTAATCAATAGTGTGGGATGATTGTTCAAATCACTGAGAATATTATTTAATAAACTCGTGTATTATAAATTGAATGTGAATTTTGATATATCTCTAATTTTGACGGAAGTTGAATGAAACGTATAAATGTGAGAAATTTATAGAAAATAATTTTTTTTTCTGACAAATAAAATTTTATATAATTATAAAAATAATACAAATTATTTTATTAAATTTTATATTTAAATTAAATATTTTTTTAAATTATTTTATTATTCATTTAATAATTAATAAATTATTAAATGTGATTTTTATAGAAAATAAAAATTATTTTCAATGAATAATTAATTTGAGATTGAAAGTGTCTATGTTTCTTTATAAGTGTATGTATATAGAGGGTTGTTTTCAATGCACTCTCGTCTATATTATAAATAAACATAGCTTGAAACATAGTTGAAAGCTTTCAACATCCCTAAGTGACGAGCTGTTAGAATATTCAAAATGTTACTTTCGCTATATAGTTTGATGTGGTGAATGTTGGGAAAATTTAAATCAATTCTCAGCGTTTATTTGCATAAAACAATCTTTCGATACATGTGTTTGTGAATAATAATTATTGTCAATAGATAGCTATCCACAAATTATCAAATAAATTCAAATTTTTTCCCAGATTTAAAAAAAAAATTATTATTTATAATATATTTTTATTATAATATTAATTATTCAATAAATTAATTAATAATAAAAAGTTATTTTATTAATTTTTTTCTGGAAATTAATTTTCTAAAAATAATTATTAATTAAAAAATTAAATAATAAAATAATTTAAATTTTTTAAAAATAATTATTCATTTTAAAAAAATCAAATAACAAAATAATTTAATTTTTTTGGAAAAATAATTTTTTTAAAAAATCAAATTTTTTTTTACGCTGATATAAATAAGGTTATTTGGTATTTTATTGTTATAGTCAATTTTTTTATTCTAGTTCATGTATTAATACACTTCCATCTGGCACAAACTACAAATATAAATGAACTATGGTTTATAAGTTCTTTAACGTCGTTATTAATTAAACTCGAGGCGAAGGGTACCTTTTAGTTGACACAAAAAAATATTTTGCATTATAAACGACTTTATGATCTCATATATAACTTTTTACATATATTTATTCTATAGATGAAAAAAAAATTCTTTATGACCTTAAATCAGTTTCCATTTTTAATACATGGGGAAAAAAATAATACTTGAATTTTTAAATAATATTATAAATTTTTCTTTTTTATCTAATATATTTTTTTTTATAAAAATATTAAATTATTTTTTTCAAAATTTTTTTAATAAATTTTTTTTCAATTTCAGATTTAGGTGGATGTCCATTAAGACAATTTCGATGTGCGAACGAAAGATGCATACCAGTGTCTTGGGTCTGTGATAAAGTTGATGACTGTGGTGATAATTCTGATGAAGAATGCAAGGGTAAGTTTTTTTTTTTTTTTTTTTCATTTATCTTTTCTGGAGACGCAGTTCTTTTATAGTGAATATTAAAAAAAAATAATTTTCTTTTTTTCAAACATAAAATTAAAAAGTTTTTTTTGTTTTTTTCTAAAAATTTATTAAACTGTTTAATTAAAATAAACTAAATCAAACTTTATTAAATTATCGTAAAATAATGAAATTATCTCTAATTTTCATTATCCATAAAATATCTAAATGTTAAATATAATTTCATTTATCAGGGGAATATAAATTATGGAACTTTTTAATTATACAATGATTAAAGTTCTAATTTTCTAGACGAATAATAGGAAATTATGAAATTTTTTGACGTTAATATGAGGAAATGTTTATGATTATTATTTTGCTTGACTACGCATTTAATATATATTTAAAAAAAAAAAATAATTATCTCTCAAGAGTAATCTTGCAAAATGCTAATAAACTTTAATAAAGTCCACGGCTTTCTGAACTTCCTATAATACGATTCAAAAAAGAGAGATGAAAATTTATATATAATTTATCATATACCATTGTTATATAAAATTTTATTTTTATTGCAATTATAAATTTTAATTTCATCATGCTTGTTGGATTTTAACTTCTTATCAAAAAGTTTGAGAAACAAAAATTTTCTTGGTAACAAATAAAAAATTACTTTTTGTTTCAGTAAAAGGAAAATAGAAATTTTCCTCGTTTACCTTTTTTTCTTATCTTCAAATAAATATTAGAGGTTCAACTTCAATTAGATAAAAAACGATAGAATAAATTCCGAAAAAAAAAATGAATTGAAATTTATCAGATCTGTAAATTTTTTATTATGTACTCGATATATAATTTAGATTCTGATATTAAAATAAGAGAATTTTGATTAGGAAAAATCATAAAAGAAATTCACTCGATCAATTTAATGTTTATAGTCTTTCGCTCGCGCTTTGATCTTCTTTTTATTTTTATAGTCTCAAAAAAAAAGTTGTAAAATTTATGTTTCAAACTCTATCGATGGATAGTTTATGGAATATTACATTTACTTTCATAATATAAGTTGGATAAGTTCACTTTTTGCTCTGATGAAATTTTTTTTTCACAAAATAATATTTTTACTTATTTTTTTTTTTGGAATAATTTTTATTTAAAAAAAAATATTTTTTGCTATTTATTATTTTTTGTACTTATTTGCAATTATTATTATTATATTGTAGTGCAAAGCCTGTTTCTCTTGCATCATTCGCAGCTTTAGACGACTTGCGTGTAGGTTCCTTGACGCCGGATAATTATGGTGAAAGCCAAACCACATTTGTCGATCGAGACATGATGCCAACAAGTCACCCGGACGATTTAATTTACTCGATAATCGCAAAAAAAAAAAATATATTTGGATTTAAATTGTTTCAAAATTCAATGGAAATTTTTGAATTTCAAAAGAGAAAAATACAATGTTTTGAATTGGAAAAAAAAATGGGTCAATTGGTCATATAGGAAAAAATGGTTTATCTCTTTTGTTCAAAAAAAAAAAAATAAATAAAAATTGTTCGAAAAAGAAGTAACACAAAACAACCATGGGAAAATAAACATATAGAAGACGATTTCAACCCTTCTTCATTTTCTCTTTCGTAAAATGGATGAAGAAACTTATATTTTATTATATATATATATAAAAAAAAGTGTGAGGGAAAAATACTCAAAGTTTTCTTCGCAAGAAAATATCTCTAAAAATGAAAGACACAGTAACATTTTTTTTTTGTTTTTTTTTTTCTTATATTCTGAATCGAGCCCTGGGGTGCTGCCAACAAATATAATGAAGAAAGAAGTGAAAAGTCAGTTTTGATAAGGCCAAAAGGTTTTTGTGGAAAAAAGAATTTTTTTTTCTATGAAAAATTTCATTATATGAACAATTTTCTCTCAAGACAATTCTAATTAGAGTAGTCGAGGATTTTAGACGCTTCGCTATTTAGTTGCTTTTTATTTATTTTTCAATTTGAATGGAAAATGTTGAGGAAACTTGAAGCTAGAATTGTTTTTCGCAAGATGAGAAATGGCAAAATTATTTCAAAATTATTACCATTAATTCAAATTTTATTAAAATAATTAAATGTTGAAAATAAACATTTTTTTTTTATAAAAAAAAAAAAAAATTGAAGTTTTGAAAAAAAAGATGCTCATCATGTTAAATGACTTGTAAAAGAGACTTCGAAGAAACAAATTCACAGAAAGGGAATAAGAAAAAAAGAAAATAGACCAGAGGCGCAAACCACTTACTGAGGATTCGCCAAAGTCTCTTTTTTTCATTTAAAAAAAAAAAAAGAGATCTTGAGAATTCGTGTCTCTCAATTTCAAAAACAAAATTCGTCAAAAGATTTTGTGAGTCTTTTGAAAAAATTTGTTTTCATAAAAAATTATTTCCTTTTCAAAGATATAGTTTAAAAAACGCATATATTAATGAAATTTTTCCGCTTTTCAAATTATCGAAAAATTAAAAAGTTAAAAAAAGTTTTCTGTTTTTTCTCTCCTTTTTTGTTTGAACATATTAAAAAGGAACCGTGAAATTAATACCAAATGTTTTTCTGATTTAAAATTATTTCCTAGCCCTTCATTAGTGGAAATGAGCTTTCTCTCTTTTGAAAGAGAAGTACTTAATATTTACTTTAATTAAAAGAGGTAAAGAGGCGAGTTCATTAAAAAAAAAAAGAAGCTTTTTCCAAACTGTTTGAAACCCTTTTTTAATTTCTCTCTTTTTTTTTCTCACACGAAAGTGAAATTAATTCTTCAATTTTGTTTCAGATTTCTTTTTTTTTTTATTGAAAAATTGGATTTCGTTTTTTTTCGAACCTATTAAGATACAGAAAAATATTTTTTTTTTCCCGAAACTTGAAAATTACATCAGGAGGATTCTAGACAGTGTTATTTGTAATTACAGCTAATCCAATTATTGGAGTTTCGAGCAGTAAATACACACTTCAAAGAGCAGCAGTGAACGAAAGCTGCATTGCACCAATGGAGAGAAGTGCATCTTACCTAATCTGGTCTGATCCAATCTGATCCGATTGTGCTTTGCTTGGATGTCTGTTTCATTGTTACATACATTCTACGTATATAGGAAAACGAATTTTTATTTGTTTGTATCAAAAAAAAGAAGTATTACTTTTGGATTATTTTCAAAAAAAAAAAATTTTATCTTCTGTCACAAAAGGAAACATTTTTGACAGTATCTTTTTTGGAACTTGAATCCTTGAATCGACCAAGTTTTGCAAAATCCCTATTCCCATTGGGTATAGAAGAGAGGAAATTCGAGTTTTCGATTCTTTGATCCTTGGAAAATCTCCTGGGAAATTCGAAACGAGACTTAGTTTTTTTTTTTTTCGCTAATGTCGAAATTAAATGAAACGTTAGGTAAATCATTATTCTTGATTTTTTAGTAAATTTCAATTTTTGTCATATTTTTCTAATTCTTATTTTATTTTTTCTTTTATAGGTATGATTTTTTTTTGGGAGTATATTAAATTTGCATAAATCTTTATTGGAAAATTAGTTGGAATTTCATAGAGGAATTGAACAATTTTCTTTTGAATTGGAATAAATCTTTTTTTCAAAGTGGAAGTCAGCATTTAGAGAGAGAGAGAGAGAATCGAACGAAAGGAAATGGTTTTAGCCAGAATCGCAGCTGGTGACAAAGTATAACCACCGAACTTTGTCCGCATTGTGACCCAGTGAGAAATAGTGTTTTATGAGAGAAAAGGATTGCTAAAATGAAAATTTGGAATAATTGTCCCTTCAAAATTGAATTCATTTTCTTCTTCTTTTTTTTTACATCTTAGGATCAATTTTCGAATATTCGAACACACACTTGTTGGGGGGAAAAAAAAATCAAGTTTACTGAAATTTGCTCTTGAAAATCCCTTTAGTCGAAATTAATTCATTACTCGTTGTATATTTTATTATAAACGTAGGTTTTTTCTTCTTCTATATTAAAAATTTCGAAAAAAATTTTTAATTACGAAAAAAAATTTTTATTTTGAAAATCGAGTTTAATTTTACAATAAAAAAAAAAAAGAAATCGAATATATTGTTTCTTGAACTTGAGTAGGCGAAAAATTAATTATGAGAAAAGTTTGTTTGTTTTTATTTTGTTAAGCGATTTAGAAACTAGTTTGCTCGCTATAGTTTGTTTCGAAAACAATTTTAGTTTTAGTTTCAAAACTAAAATCAGTTCTTCTGGCACACACGATTCTGAGATTTGTTTCTAAACTAGCAGCTATTAGAGAGGACCATAAATATTCTCTAAAATGGAGATTTTTTTTTTCCTATCGATATGAAAAATAAAATTGATTTTTAAATATTAAAATTAATTTTTTTCTTCTTTTCATTCAACACGAGTCAATTTAGTTTTCTCATCATATGCCTGCGAAGGATAAATCAGAAAAAAAAAGAATACTGAGAGGTAAAGTTGATAATTTTATTTCTCCTTACCCTCAAGTTCAAGATATGAGAAGAAAATTTGCATTTCTATATAGAGAAGGGAGGGAAAAAAAAAATTCTCTTAGAAGTTGGTCCACTCAAGGCGAGCTTGACAATAATTGATCAATAAATAGAATCTAAACAAAAAAAAATTACAAACTAATCGTTAAGATCAATATGTTGTAATTAATACTCAACTAATGACTCTTATTTTCTTTGGAATTCAAGCGTAATGACGTCAAAATTAAATTGCCAATTACAGAAAGTTGTATTTAGTTCAAGGTGTAAAATTCTCCGAAAATTGAAAACAAATTTCTTTTGTTTTCAAAATTTTTTCAAATTTAATTTAAAAAAAAAAAATCAAATATTTTCCCTAAAGTCACATATTTTTTTATTTGTTTCTGAAAAATATTCTTCCCCTGTGTGTTTCTTGTGAGTTGTTCGTTATTGAAAATGAGATTTTTCACATTGGGAATTGGCTGTATTTCAATTTCTTCAATTTTTTTTTTACTGTTTTGATATTTGAGAATAGAATTAAAAAAAAATGAAATTTTTTAAAATAGAAAAATTTAATGAGGCGAAAAAAAGAAATTTTCCCCTTCACTAAATGTATATCAGAAAAAAAAATCGGAACTGGTATCACTTAAATTTCAAAGCCAACCTTTTCTTTATAACCACTTATTTTCCACATTTTTTTTTTTTTTTCTTTGGTAAATTCCGTCATGCAAAAAAATTGTGTGAATTTTTCTCGCGCAATCCTTTACAACCATTTCGCTATATATATATAAAAAGAAACTCGCGTGACGAGCTTTGATCTTCAAAGAAGATCAAATCTTATGAAAATTAGAAATATTTTTGTAAAAATATATTTTCTTTCTGGGGAGGAGAGAAAAAATCGTCGTATTTTTTTTTTTTTAATTTAAATAAAATAATTTCCTTATTCAATTATTGAGTAGAGAAAATTATTGTGAACAGGATTGGGTGTATATGTGAGTGTCGATACATAAATAGGGACTTGATCGTAGGAGCCTTACACAGCATCCGTGACTTTCAACGTGAATGGATCATTCTGTGAATTAATTTTCTTCATTTTTGATAATATATAATTTTTGTTTCGACAAATTCAGTTTTTTATAATGATAAAAAGGAATTTTATTTTATAATTAAAAATTTTTATATAAAAAAATTTTTTTATAAAATGGACCAACAGTGAAAAATGTTGTTCTGGAACAGACAGAGAGATTGTCTGTCTGACCAGAAAGTATTCGATTGAAATTCAGTTTTTTTTTTTTTTTACTTTCTCACTTAAAAGAAGATAAATCGCCAATCGAATAATCGACTTCTTTCAACTTTGTGTCTCTCAGTGTGTGTGTGTGTTAAAACAAAGTTAAATTAAACTATAGACATCGCACGTGCAAAGAAAAATCTCTTTGGATAACTTGAAATAATGTCCCCAACTTTTTAAATCAAATCGAAATATTGGAGTTTAAAAAAAAAAGTGCAATTAAAATTAAAAACTTTCTTTTTATATTTAAATAAAAAAAAAAAATAAATTTTTTTCACGAAAATGTTCAATTTTAATAAAAAACTGTGTCTCTTGTTAGTTTTGTGGTGTGCAACCAATTGTTTTTCAGATGAGATAAAAAATTCGACATTAATTAATTCTCATAAAATTTCAGTTCAAGAAGAATGTAAGGAGTCTGAATTTAAATGTAGCAATGGCAGATGTATTCCTGGAAATTGGCACTGCGATGGAGAAAAAGACTGTCCTGATGGATCTGACGAAAATCCGCTCGTTTGCAGTAAGTTTCTCTTCTATTCTTTTCTTTTTTTTTTTACTTACATTTTTCATTTTAAAAAAAAATCCAGTAAAAAAATATATATTTCCCAATTTTGGAAATGTTTCGAAAAAACGAAATTTTACATATTGTGAATTGATTTTTTTTTTACTAAAATTATAGTTAATCGAATATAGTCGAACTTCGATAAAACAGAATTAATAAAAATTCGAATTTATTGAGGTTCGACTGTATTTTTCAGATATTTTTTTTTTTTTATAAATTAGAAATAATTATCATAGAGTAATAATTATATTAATAATTTATTATTATATTAATAAATCATAAATATTTTTCAGTGCTTTTAATAACTAGCAATTTTGATGTAATAAAAAGGAGAATTAAAACAATATAGAGGGAGAGAGAGAGAGAGGGAGAATTCAAACTCTTGAACAAATCGAATTATAAAAGTAAACAATATTTTTCTGTGGTTACAACAATCGATTTTAAATTGACTCTCTTCGAAAACGAACTGAGCAATTTGCATGAAATGTCCGGTTGCAAAGGTCTAGTGGCAAAAGTCAATTTAAAAGCGTGAATGACAATTTTCGATGGTTGAAATTATTTTTTGTTCTAAGTTTATTTTTTTTTTTTCATTTCCTTTTTGTTTCGTATTAAAATTCGTATAACTAAATAAATTTTTCCTTTTTTTTTCGTCAATTCGTCGCATACTTCTTTTTCTCAATGTAAATGAATTCTTCTCTTCCTTTAAGAGCTTTCCATAAATTATACAGAAAAAAGATTCTGAAGAATCGATTCGTTTCAATTGATACAATTTTCTCCATTTGGCAGAGTTTCAAGTAGAAAAAGTAGATTAAAATTTTTTTTTAAATTGTTAAATTTTCGAATTTATCTACTTTTTTTCGTGAATAATTGTTAAAATTAATTTTTTTTTAATGAGAAAAAAAATAAAATTTATAACTGAAAAATAAATTTTATATTCGCTTTGCGAAAAAAAAAAAGTTTATTTTAAACGAGAGAATTTGCAAATTTTTCTTTACTTTAGCGTCGAATTGAAATTGCTTTTCGTGTAAAAGCACAAAATTATGTTTCTTTTTTTTTAAATAGTTTTCTCAAAATATTATCTTTTATTTTATAAAGTAAGTTTTATAAATATATTAATACTATTCGTATTTCGTAATTAGAAAAGATTTTAAAAATCTCATTTTTACGATAACAATTTTTTTTTGGAAAAATAAATTTTCTATTTGGAAATATTTTTTACTATTCAGGAAAAAGAATTTTCTTTTTATCTCTTTTTATTAAAGAAATATAGAAGAGATGTGATTTTATTTCATGGGATAACGATATAGAGACTTTTAAGGAGATTTTGAAACGACGATTGAGAGTATTTCTAGAACATGTTCTTTTTCTCTCTCTCTCTCTCTCTCTCTCTCTCTCTCTACTTTGCGGGAGATCAGTACAAATGACCTCTGTACATTCTATTGAGTTGTTATTGAAAAGTGAAAAAGGGAATGACACTTTTTCCTCCATTGGAAAATAGAACTTTTTCAGCTAAATTGAAATTCCATGGAAATTCAAGTCGAGCATTTTTTTTTTTTGGGTAAATGAAATTTGTTTAATATTTAACATCAAAATTGCTAGTTATTTATTAATTTAGATAATATAATTTTATTTTACTTTGTAGTAATTTTTTTTATAAAAAAAAATTTTCAAATATTTAAAAAGAATATCATATTTAAATTGTTATTTAGAAAATTTTTTTTCTAGTTTTAATTTTTAGTTATATTTATGTTCAATGTATTTAATTCCTTTTTTTTTTAATGAATTCCATGTGATGAGGAGAAATGTTGTGTGAGTGTTTCGTTTTTTTTTTTTTATTTGTTAATATTAATATTAATCAAAGGATCACGAGCTTGTGGTGAAATGGAGTTCCAGTGCTCGCCAGGGCAATGTATTTCTATTTCCTGGGTTTGCGATGGACAGTACGATTGCATCAACGGGTTGGATGAGAAAAACTGTCCAAGTAAGTTTATATAATTTTTTTTTTTTTCTTTTTTTTTTTTTTGATCAGGTGCATCTGCATTGGACTGCTCGTGCAAAAGCCGTAAAGGAATCGCAAGTACCAGGTCCGCAAACACGGGGATGAGAGGGGGTTGTAGAAAAAGAGAGGAAATTGCGGATGAACGTTATATAGCATGAATAAAATAAAAATACTCTTTCAGCGGACCTCGACGTCTCAGAATTCATAAATTGCATGCTTTGCTCTTGGAAAAATATTTCCATTTTAAAAAGCTATTCAACGAATTTTCCACTGTGGAAAACTTTAAATTATTGTAAATTCCATTATTTCGCTAAAATCACTTCTTTCTCGTTTGTTTCCGTCTGATTTGATTTATATAATTTTTTTTTTTTTTTTTATCAAGATTCTTGATTTTTTTAAAGAAATTTATTTTTTATTATTTTTTAATATAGAAATAATAAATTAAAAATAAAGTATGATTACAATATAATTTCGAAAATTTATATTTTACAAGCCTTTAGGGGATTTAAAGTTTTTCGTTTTAATTTTTTCTTTTGAAAAAAAAAAAAAAATTCAAGTCAATTGTAAATGTCGAGATCTAAATTAAAAATTGATATGCTTTTTACAAATTCAATGTTTAATGTTTTTAAGCTTTTTTAAAATGTTTATTATACACTACACATTAAGGATATATATATTTATAAATATTATATATTTGTTTTTATTCTATTGGCTGTTGCATGATTTTTTGCTCGCTGTTATTCATAATTCTCTCTACACAAACAATTTTCTTTTTTATATACTTATTTCAATTTTTTTTTTTAATTTAACTTCAAAGAGAAAAAAATATAATTTTTTTTTAAATTTGTATAAATATTAATATTGTTAACAATACAAATTTTTTTTTCCAAACATTATAAAAATTTAAATCAAATAATCGGTTTTGAAAAAAATTCTTTTGAATTAAAATAATAAGAAATATATGGAAAAAGTGAATTAAAGTCACGTGATAATAAATAAAATTTGAAATTTGCAATTTATGGGACTGATACGTCGAAAATAAAATCGAATCACCATTGGGATGAAATTCACATTCTTCTCCTCATCATCATCATCATCATTATAATCGATTACCATTCTCATTTGACACTATATATAGGATTCATGCGACGAATTGTTAACATTTATAGGAGTTAAGAATTGCACGTCGGATCAATTCACATGTCGATCGGGAAATGGGGAATGTGTGGCATTGACGTGGATGTGCGATGATACTCCTGACTGCTCCGATGGCTCGGATGAAGCTGATTGCAGTAAGGGCTTTTGCATGAATCCATTGCATGCTCAAAATCAATTCACAATCAGTTCTTAATTCGATCACTCCCATCAACGTCCATTTCCATTTAAATTCAATTTTTTTTTTTTTTTAATTCATTATTATTTCATTTTTTTTTCTTTTTTCCATTAAAAGAAACCTCTTGATTTTTTTTTTTTTAGGGACAAGAATGACAAATTTTTTTTAGACGGAAATAAAATTTACTTTTGAATAACGAAATTATTAATTTGAATTTTGATTTAAATATATAAATAATATTTTTTCTATAATTACCGATTATTTGAATTAAATAAATTTTTTTCAGTGGCACAATTTATAAAAGAAAACTAAAAAAATAAATATTCAAAAAAAATTTGTTGAAAGAAATGGTTTTAAAAGGAAATAATAATAATATATATATATATATATATAAAGAAATGAAAGGTAATAGAGAGTGAAAACATAAAAGAATATTATATTATATACAGAAATGAAGAAAATATAATAGAATAAAAAGAAGTAGATAGCAAAAATAAAATTTTTTTTTTTTAAGCAAAAATAAAAATTTTTTTTTTAAGAAAAAATTTAAAGTAAAGGTATTGAAAGGAATAAGAAAGTTTTACAATAATGAAAAGGAATTGAATTATAATAACTAAATAAATATTAATTAAAATTGTAATAGTTAATTTTAGGTTAATACCAAAAAAATTATAAAATACTTTTTAATTAAATAATAATAAATTGTATTTATAATGAATTTTATTTATAAGAATTAATGAAAATTCCAATTTAAAATTAAAAATTTTTTTCTTTCTTTATTATTTATTTATATATTACAGTTATTATTTTACAAAAAAGCATGATCAGCTTGTATGAAATCAGTTTTTTCTCTTTTTATTCAAAAATTATTTATTTACATATTTTATAATTTTTTTAAAACGAAAAATTATTTTTAAAAAATTATTAAATTATTATTATAATTAATAATTAATAACTTAATTTTTTTGGATTTAGTTACATTCAATTTTGGTTTAAAATATTTTAAATTCAAAAAAGCAAATTTTTCTTTTGAATATATATTGATTTTCAATATGTCAATAAAATTATAATACAATTAAATTCACTCGCTAATGGAGCTCGAATACGACATTATGCTGTGTAATAACTATTTAATATTGATGATCATTTACATCACAAGCTTTCACTGTGCTTCAATACTGTATTTAATAAATAATAAACTTCTCTTTTTTTTTTATTTATATGTATTTCATTTGTTTATTGAAAAATATTTTTCGTTAACATTATAGCTTTGTACAATTTTTTTTTACAGGAAAAAAAAATTTTTTATTTGCTTTTTTGTGAACTTATTATTGACACTATTGTTTGCATTTATTTTAATTGTATTTGCTTTACATGTTTATTTTTCACGTTTGATATGTAGTATACAATAAAAAAATAAATAGAGTTTTTTTATTAATTTTTTTTTTTTATAATTAAAATTTAAATTAAAAATCGAAGAGATAATTTAAATAAAATTTTAATAAATTATTTATTTCTACGTAAATGAATTATTTTGGTTTTTTTTAATAATATAGAAGAAAAAATGGGAAATATATTTATTTTGTTAATTTTTTTTAGATGAAACATGCCGAACTGACGAATTTACATGTGCCAATAAACATTGTATTCATAAACGTTGGGTTTGCGACAAGGACGATGATTGTGGTGATGGAAGTGATGAAAAAGATTGCGGTCCAGTTACTTGTAATGATGGCACAGATTTTACATGTTCACCAACACATTGCATCTCATCGAAATGGCGTTGCGATGGAGATTTCGATTGTCCAGATCATTCAGATGAAATTGGCTGCAAAGATCCACCGCATGGAAAAAATAGTCATTGCGCTGAACACGAATTTGATTGTGGCGATAGGATAACTTGCATTCATCAAAGTTGGGTTTGCGATGGCGATAAAGATTGTTCAAATGGCGCTGATGAATCATTGGAAAGATGTCACAACATCTCTTGTAGAGCCGATCAATTTCAATGCGGTGATCGATCTTGCATATCAGGTTAGATTTTTTTCTTTTTAATTTGAAAAGAAAATTTTAATTTCTAATTAATTGTTTCGTTAAATTTTATTTTTTTTTCATATTAAATATTGACTTATTTTTCTTTTTTGGCGAAACATTGGTCATAAAATATATTTAGCTGCATCGTCAATAAATGTGCAAATGTATCTAGAATTGGTGTAGAGAAGATTTTGAAATAGGTCAGTAATTTCATCTCGTCAGTATGAATAAATTTGTTGTGAACAATGCTAGCTGTATATATATATATATATATATACGTTTCAAACATTAAAAAAGTTTTGATGTTTCAAAAGTTCATCTTGTCGGAAATAAAATTTAAGTTCCTCACCAGTAAAGCTGTGGAATTGTATTATCGATTTCTTTCGCTAATTATATGAAATATTTTACTTTGTTTCAAGTTTAAATTAGACAAATCAGCAAAGTATTTTATTTATTTATTTTGTATAAAATAAATAAATTATTCCCTTATAAATTCGAATTAATATTCTCTGGGATTTCTATTGTTTTTTTATTTTTTAATTAAAATTTTCCAATTATGAGAAATCAGGAAATTATGATCTTATTGATGCTTTGATAAACGTTCCTTTTTTTTTTTTTTAGCAAAACAATCCTTAAAGTATTCCACAAAGTTGGATAAAGAACTTGTCACGACCCACTTTTTTTTGAAGCAAAGAAAATCTGTAAATAAAATATTAGAATGATCGTTTATTTAAATCTTTTCGATAAATTTTTTAATTCAATTGTCACGAATTAAATTTATTATTCTATTCTATAATAAAAATTCACGTGAGCTTTTATATTGAACAAAAAGACAAATTTATTATTTTACATCTCAGTCATAAATTTTAATCGTCTTGAAAGATAGATAGGGGGGGGGAATATTCGATACTCAAGTACGTCGATTCAGCAATTTACTGATTCAAGTAGATTTTAAAGAACCCTCGAAACTGAGCTGACTAAATGCACCGATCTACATTTCAAAGTGTTTCCGAGTCTCTTTGAGTAAAAAGAGATATTTGTCTTCAAAGGTGATAAGTGAACGAGATTAAAAATTTATAAAAAAAAAGGATTAAATTTTTTACACATTGAATCAGAAAACTGAAAAAAATTCTATATTTGCAAAATAGAATTTTTTTTATTATTTACCTTTTTTGTTCTATTGGTATTTTTTTTAATTATTCATTTCTTATAACTTAATTTTATTCAAATTTTAAATTATATTTACTTCCCTTTTGTATTTTAATGAAAAAAAAATTGTAATTATACTAAAAGGTACTTATTTGTTAATAAAATTTTTCTTTTTCATTATGTTTTTAGGTCATCTTTATTGTGATGGAAAAACAGATTGCGCCGATGGAAGTGATGAAAAAAATTGTACATCAAATATAAAAGCATGTGATCCAACAACTGAATTTGAATGCAGTCAGGGCTCATGTATACCATTGAAAAATGTTTGTGACAAAAAGCCTGATTGCATTGGTTGGGAGGACGAAAGTAACGAACTTTGTGGAATCAATGAATGCTTAACAAATAACGGTGGCTGTTCTCAAATCTGTATTGATCTTCCCATTGGTTACAGATGTGATTGTAATCCAGGATATAAACTCGTTGACAATCGAACTTGCGATGGTAATTATAATATTTTTTTTTTTTTTCAACAAAATTGAAGAACAATTTTTAAATTTCAAAATTATTAAAAAATTATTTGTTTTAGATATTGACGAGTGTCAAGAACCAGGAACATGTTCACAATATTGTTTCAATGAAAAAGGCACATTTAAATGTAGTTGTGCAGCTGGTTATTTACGTGATCCGAGAAATTTGACACGTTGTAAAGCAGCTGAGGGTCATGCGAGTTTACTTTTTGCAAGACGACACGATATTAGAAAAGTTGCACTCGATCGTCAGGAAATGACGTCAATTGTTAACGATACAAAAATGGCAACTGCACTTGATTTTGTCTTTCGTACGGGAATGATATTTTGGAGTGATGTGAGCGAGAAGAAAATATACAAGTAGGTTTTGTGGAAAAAAATTTGTAATTCAAATTTTGGAATTAAAAATTTTTTTTTCAGAGCACCAATTGACGAGGGCAACGAAAGAACAGCAGTGATTGATCAGGATATGACAACGTCCGATGGCCTTGCAGTTGATTGGATTTACAATCATTTATATTGGACAGACGCCGAGAAAAATACAATTGAATTGGCAAATTTTGAGGGTAATATGAGAAAAACTTTAATAACAGATCAAGTACAAGAACCGAGGGCAATTGCCCTTAATCCAATAGAGGGTTGGATGTTTTGGACCGATTGGGGTATTGAAGCGCGAATTGAACGCGCTGGAATGGATGGTTCACATAGATCAGTAATTGTTGGTACAGAAATAAAATGGCCAAATGGCTTAACATTGGATTTAATTGGAAAAAAAGTCTATTGGGTTGATGCAAAATTAAATATAATTGCATCGTGTAATTATGATGGTTCAGGACGTAGAACAATTTTATATTCACCCGATTCATTGCGACATCCATTTAGTATTACAACATTTGAGGATTATGTTTATTGGACAGATTGGGATAAAGAGACAATATTTAAAGCAAATAAATTCACTGGCAAAGATGTTGAGGCAATAACATCATTGAGATCACAACAACATCCAATGGTGGTACATGTTTATCATCCCTATCGTCAACCTGATGGAATTAATCAATGTCAAGCGGTTAATGGACATTGTAGTCATTTGTGTTTGCCTGCGCCGAAAATTAATTCACGTTCGCCATTACTTAGTTGCGCTTGTCCTGATGGTCTACGATTATTGCCCGATGGACTCATGTGCGTTGAAAACGGTAAGATATTTTTCATTATTTATTGTAGGAATATTTGGTTGTGCATGAATTTTTAAAATGGTCAGTATTATTTTTTTTAAAAGGGTTCAATTTTTGAAAATTTAGATTAAAAAAATTTTGTTTTGTAATTTAATTCAAAATTGAATTTTAATTTTTTAAACGATAAAAATAATTTTACTTTTTGCATCAGCCGCTTATCGATTTATATATATTTTCCTTTTTTTTTTTTTTTGTTAATATTCATTATTATTTGCATCGATGTTGCATGAAAAAAATGGGATATTCCAGTAACAACGACAGTTGCGCCTACGACAAAAGAGGTGATTAAGCCATTCAAGAAGCTTGTGCCTCTCAATATTTCCACAAGTTCTAGTAAGTAATCATTGGATTTTTTTTTTAACTTTTGCTCTAAAAATTTCAAATTTTCCCCCTCATGGTTTTAACATACATAAGGTGCATGAAAAAAGGAAAAACATGATTTGCATGAGATTTGAATAATTTTTCTCAATATTTTTTAATGCATCTTTAAAATGGTTTTCATATTTTTTTATCCTCCACCTAAAAAAAAAGAACTAACATTTTAAATCAATATTATTAAAATTTTTGAAACTGTTTTTTTAATTTTGATAATATTCAAGGCATTTTTAACAATTAAAATTTTTTGAGAATTTGTCTAATTAATACTTACAATTAGTACAAAATGTAGTTGTTTAAAAAAATGTTAGGCAAATAATAATAAGAAAAATATGTAAATAAATGAATTTTCTTTAGATCCAGTTAATCCGGAACCAGATGAAAGTAGTAATTCAACAAATGAACCGTCAGATCGTGGTTTAGTCGCTGGAATTGTGATTGGAATTGTTTCATTAGGACTTTTGTTACTTGCACTTGTGGCAGTTTTATGCTACAGGCATTATTTACATCGTAATGTCACAAGTATGAATTTCGATAATCCAGTTTATAGAAAAACAACGGAGGATCAATTTAGTCTTGAGAAAAATAGGTTTCCACTTCCAAATGCAAGTGTTGGCGAAGAGGTAAATAGAAATTAAATTTTCATATATTAATTATAAACTAGGTCACAAAACATTATTATACTAACAACATTAAATAGTAAAATTATTGTGTTTCATGTTATAAAAATTATTTTAATTATGTAAATTCTGTTAAATAGAAATTTAATTTGAAAATTAATTTTATGAACAGGCCCAGGAGCCATTGACGAGTCCTGGAACAAACGATTACGTTTAAGATTTAAATGGTCTTCAAAAACAAAAACAAAAGAAAAGAAAAAATGGGGCTCAGCAGGCTGAGAAGATTTTTAACCCCGTGCAATAAAAAAAAATGATCGCGTCCAAAAAAAGATCTAAGAGAGAAAAAACAAAAAAGAGAGAAACTTTCGAGCGATTACTCCTAAGTCTGCCGGAATGCGCGCCTGCCTGCCAACTCAGCTGTGATTATGTTTATTTTTTATACTACTACGTCCTTTCCTTTTAAATGAACTTGTGCATGTCATCCTTATGAGTTTTAAACTATACACAATCGCGTTAAAGATTTTGTTTTCTTCTTGCACAAAAGGAGGAGGAGCCTCTTTTGGCTATAACAATTTTAGATGCCTTATGTGGCTGATCAATTCTAATTTGACATTCGATTTAATGAAAAGACACTTTTCTTAAATTGTAAATACACTTTTCTAGAGAGATGAGGAAAAAAAAAAAAAAAAAAATTTTACTTCCGTGATAAGTTGAAAAAAAAAAAAAACTCTGTATATATTTACACGTTCGTGAACGTTATTTAATTTAAATTATTGTTATATTTGTACATAAAACAGTATTCGTTAAAAGATCTGCGATTTTTTTTTTTTTTTTTTTTTTTTAATTGGAAATTGTAAATTTTACAATTGTAATCGTCTAAACACTCAAATCCGATATTTTAATTATTCTTTTTCGTTGTGAAGAAACGAATTCTTAATTTATGGTCCCAAAGAATTTTTAATTTTTATTAATAATCAAAATAAGGGATTTTAATTTTTAACGATAAATGACATTAATTTATAAGATTTTTATTTTATCTGTTAAAATTATTTTGCTATACTATTAAATTTAGTATTTAAGTTATTTTGATTTTTTTTTCTTTTTTCAATTACTCTATGGAAAAAATTAATTTCCATATTTTTTTTTTTTTTGTAAATTTCGACTAGTCAAAATTACCAAATTTAACACTTAGAGTGCAAAATTAATTAAGAAAAGTATTAATTAGTTTAAAAATTAAAAAAAGAAAAATTTGTCAATTTAAAAGAAAAAAAAAATTCCTGTCCTATCGGTTTTGAGTGATAAATGATTTTTTTTTTTAATTAAAAAAGGCGTGTTTCTCCTTTTGTGCTTTGTACACGAAGCGGCACGAGCAGCGCTCCTAGCACGTCCAAACTTTTAAAATTAAGAAATTTAAAAAAAAAAATGAAAAAAATTATTTAAAAAAAGCTGCTCGTGCTTTCTCATGGTAGATTTTATTAAATGCCATAAAGAGCTCATACTTAATAGGAGAATTTTGTTAATTATTGTAATAATAATAAATAATATTAATAATAATATTAATAATAATAATAATAATAATAATAATGTAACAGGTGACAAATTAATTAGATGTAATTAAGAGCAGCTCAATGACACTAAGTGTGACTGTGCGTCTGTTGAGGGGGAAAAAAAAAATCTACATGAAATTTTGTTTATGTCGTAAAAAAAAAAAAAAACTGTTTCCGACTTTACTCAACATATTATACTTTCTTCGGGTAATGTTTCAAAAGAATGCTTCTAAAATAGCGAATCAAATTCGAAAACTTGAAACGTCCAGTGATTTAATGTTTCAATCACTAACTTTTTGAAAAAAAAAATTATTTCGCAATTTGTCGCATTCTTTTATAGAATTAAGCGGCACTCATGAAGAACAAATTTTTTTCTTTTCAATAAAAATAAAGCAAGACCAAATTCGTACGCTGGTGCCATAATTTTTCCCCCCCAAAAAAAAAAAGGATCTGCTTTAAAGAATCGAGTCTTGCTTTTAATTTTAAAATCGTCTTCCGACAGTTAAAATTAAAATTTTTATTTTAAACAAAAAAAAATTTAAATAAATGCACTTTTAAAATACCATTTATTAATATATAATCTATAATTGAAAATGTTTTAAAAAAAATAATTTTTAAAATTAATTAAATTAATAATAATTAATTAAATTTTTTTTTTCAATTTAAATAGATATTAAAATATTACATTTTTGTTTGAAAATAAAATTCATAACTGTTAAATTAATAAACAATGTCTCACGAATTATGAATGTAAATATTTTTATTGTTTATAAATTTGTTAAAGATTTTAATTTTTTTTTTTGTTCAATCATTTACAAATTTGTTCTTCGCTAATTAAAAAAGAGTGTATTAGATCTGCGGTTATAAAAAAAAAAAATTATTATTTAAGCATAGAGGCTCTCCCGTTTATTTTAATTGAAAAAAAAGTAGAGAGTGTGGTGAATGATAGTCACAAGATTGTTGCGCGCGAATCGTAAAGGGATTGAAACCTTAACGTAGCCAATTTATCCGCCAAAATTGTGTCAAACATAATTTCTATAATGCAACATTACCATTAAAAAAAAAAAAGAAAAAAACACAAACACATATACACACAAACGTATATATAAATATATATTATAATAAAAATAATTGTATAAATAAAGAAATGAAAAATATTATCCAGTTATTATTTTTCACAAAATTAGTTTCTTTTTATTCATTTGAAAATTCATTTGATAAATTTATTATTATTATTATTATTTTAATTAAGATGGAAGCAGTTCGTCGTCAATTTATTTTTATTCGTTATTATCTAACTTTTTCTTTTGAAATTATTATTTTAATTTTTTTTTTTTTTGTATTTTCATTTTTAAATTTATCAGGATTTTTAAATAAAAAAGTAAATTATTTACAAACAAAAAAATTCGAAGTAAAAATTATATGTGAGCATGTCATTTTTGAATAAATAGAAGCCAAAAAAATGTAATTCGAAGACAAGTATTAAAAGACTAAATTTAATTCTAAAAAAAGAAAAAGAAAATCGAGTTTTTAAATACCAAGTTTATAGAAATCGTTATAACAAAGAAAACTTTGTCTTGATCTCTTTAAAAAAAACGAAGAAATATTTTTTTTTTTAAATTTCAAATAGAAATTATTTAGACAATTTTTTACTCACTTTCCTTGATTTTTACATGAGTTTACCCTTGAGAATTTCATAAACCATTTTATTTCTAAAATAGGGCATATCCTGTTGTGTAAATGTAATATTTCTTTTTGCGCAAATAAATTCAGCGAACATACATGAAAATACACCACAATCACTACCGTTCATTTGTTGTGGAATGTCTTTGACACTATCAAGTTTCCAATCACTTGTATCGTATGATTTTTTCTTTTTATCAAGACTTTCATCCTCTAAATATTTACGTAATGCAACAAGACATTTGGGATTTGCACTTCCCATACTGTCAAAATATTTAATTGTTTTGTCCCTAAAATCAATAATTGACATACACCAATGAATACCAAGATGAATTGGCACAACAACAATATCCTTAGCGAAAATATCAACTTTTCTTGTCCATCTTTTTAATGATGAATGACCGCTTGATAATAATTTTGGATAAAAAAATGTATTCATTGCATGTACATTGGGAAATTTTTCATTTTTCTCACCACGTTCAATAAGTAAATTCATATAAAAATTAATCACTTCATCATTTAACCAATTTAAACCTGATAATGTTTGTATATCTTTACGTGTTATTCTTAAACCAAAACCTTCGGCAAGAATATCATTTGATGAACGTGATGAAAGTGCATTTTGAACATCGCGTAACATAACATCAGTGAGTATTGGTAATGGTTCATCATCGGGTATTTCACGATCATCAATAACTTCTTTACATAATTTTAATGTACGCGCCAATTGTTCCTCAAGTGATAATTCACGTGTCATACGATTTGCGTCCGATAAAAGATTTGCACGACGTTTTAATTCTTCAGCTTCACGTAATTGTTGTTTTATTCTTTCATCATGACGTTTTGCAATTTGTGGCACTAAATCTTTTTTTAACACCAATTTTGATGCTAATGCATCGCGCAATGTATTTGTTTGTAACACTTTCAGGGGCATTTCATTTTCTGTGAATGAAAAAAAAAAAAAATTATTATTAATTATTAATTAATTATTAAAAAAGCAAAATTTTGTTGGAATAAACTCACCTGGATTTTTATTTTTACCAATTGTGAAAATTGGCTTAACTGGTTCTTCTTTTTCAATTTGAATTCTCGATATTGTTTGTTTGAAATTATTTCTACTACCAGAATAATTTCTACCTCTATCACAACGCCATGGTGTATAAATTTGCCTCTTTTGTTGAATTGGAATGGATTTTTGTGATGTTTGTGACTCATCACTTTTATCGAGTTCAATTACTTCAATAGAAGAAATATGATTTTTTTCATCTTCACCACGCAATATATCCCTTCGTTGAGGAACAAAATTCTGCAACAGCTCACCATACTGTCGTTTCTCCTGTAGACGATGTGTTCTAACCAATGTTGAATTATGTGGATCAGATGAAGATGAAGATGATGAAGGTTGTTCCCTACCACGACTGCAACCCATTTCAGAATTACTATTATTATTATTTAAATAATGATACGATTGTTGATTACGATAAGAATTTGCTTTTGTTGCTGGTAGCGAACGACGTTTATTTCTTCGATTATTCATTTGGCTTGATGATGATGATGATTTTATTAATGGACTTGAATGAAATTCAGCAATAATTTCCATATCATCATTATCATCGATATTCTCATTATTTTCATTGTGTTGAACATTTAAAAATAATTCATTGCCAAATAATGTATCACCATAACGAAATCGTTTATTGCCAATTATTTCTGGTTCATATGTTAATGCATCATTTGCCGTACGTTTTCTTTCGTTACGATCAGCCCAGGTAAAAATATTACGAATAAAATCAAATACGTTGTTTACCATGTTCATCGTGACCACCTAATGTGATCATATGTTCAATTTTACACTTTTTAAATTCACAAATTCCATTCAATTATATACGGATGACCTAAAAGAAGACAAAAAATTAGATTCTTAAACATTTTTTTTTTTCCACTAATTAAATTTAATATTCAAAACATACATTATTAATCACCACGTATTTGCGATGATAAAATGAGTGTCAAAAATAGTCGCCACTCAAAAAAATTTCCACTTTTATCCTAAACCTAGAATATAAAAAACAAAACTTAATTTTTGTTACACAAAATTGCAATTAAATACTAATTAACACGTTCTTTTACTCTATTTTTGTTAATTATTGGAAAATTATGACAAAAAATTTTTTCTCTAAATTTTCTTTTCAAAACAGGTCATTAAATAAGCATTTTTCACATCAATAAGCTATAACCTAAGTTTAAGGTTAGCAAACAAAACAAATACGAAAAATGTAAACTTAATCTCGTGAAAACTAGAATATTCATAAACTGATATAAATGAAATTAAAATAGATGTAAAAAAAAAGGAAATAACTTACATTTTTATCAACGCTAGATGCAATTGGGAAACACCCGCCTTATTAATAACCGTTGTTCCTATTCTTTTTTTTTTCGTTACATTCAAAATATTTATATCTCAATTGGGAAATAAGGTGTACAAAATAACGTAATGAAATAAAATGTAACAAATTTTTAATCAAATTTCTTAATTTATTGATTTTAATTGAATTTTGATTAACTTCGCAATTGTTCGGCAAACACTGAAATTTGAGGTTATGTTCAATTCTCTAATGCACACGCGCAAGTCACGTGACTGGAAGAAAATGTCCGCCAAATTTCAAAAAAAAAAAAAGAATAATAATTTGAAGATAAATTAATTCAAAAACACAATTTTATCATCAAAGGACTATAATTGCACGCTTTAACAGTCTTTGTATGTATACAATCATTAAATATTAAAAAAAATTCTCACACTAATAAAATAAAAAAATGACACGATTTATTTTAATTTTCCTTTTTTTTTAGATCGAAAGCAAAAACACTATTCGATCTAAATAAAATATATTTCAGAAATTAAATCGCGATTGACAAAATTTTTTTATTGATTTGTTTGAGAATACTTTAAAAAAATCATTTCATGGAAAATAATGATACAAAAGTATCATCTAATTACAATTAAACATTTATAATTTTCCTATATGACTTTTCTCTCTATTTTGCATATATAAATTAAAAAATTATTTAAATTACTTTTTTAGTTAATTATTTACAAATATATTATAGTTTTTCCTTTTGGCAATTTTGCATTCTTTTTAATTTTTTTAATGCACATTTTGCCGCTGTACATTTTGCAATACGATAATTTCGTCCAATTCCTTTAAATGAACCTTTACCAAAAACATCAACAATTACACGAACACGTCGACCATCTGCCAATTTTTCTGGTTTACCAAATTTCGCCGTTTCTGGCTCCAATTCCAAAAGTTCACGAATCGGTGATTTAGGAACATTTGTACTAAATTGCTCTGTGAAAAAAAAAGTGAAAGATAATTTAAATTTTAATTTCGAAATTTTTCTTCTATTCGTAATGAATTAAAATTAATCTTTTTTTTTTTTACCAATTTCAGATTTCATTATTTTATAATAAACACTCCAAACAGCATCCAGGGACATTCCGCTGTCTAAATAAATTGCACCTGCTAGAGATTCAAAAACATCTCCCAATGCCTTTGGTACTTCAACATCTTCTGCTTCTTCACATTCTTCCTCTCCAATTAAATAATACTGAAATTATTAACAAATTTTAATAAATTTATTTAATTAATTAAAATAAATGAAAAATTTAATTTTAATTAAATATTATTTTTTTTTTAAAAGCAAAAAATTAAAAACCTCTTCGCTAATGGAATGTCCATTTTCTTCTTGAATTCTGACAAATCTATCAATAACAACACTCAATCCCGGTGATAAATGACGAAAATATTTTTGAAAACCACATCTTACTGCCAATGATGCGAAAATTGTGTTATTTACAAGAGCTGATCTTAAATCAGTTAATGCTCCAGGTGAATGTTGCCTTGAATCTTCATACAAATGCCTTGTGATTAAATAATCTAAAACAAAATACAATTTACAAAAACATTTAATTTATAAAATTATTCGAGTTTTTCTAATTAAAAATATTTTTTTTTACCTAAAACAGCATCGCCGAGAAATTCTAATCGCTGATAACAATCGGTTAATCTATTTGGTTGATAAGAAGCATGTGTAAATGCTTGTAGCAAATAACTTCTATCATTGAATTTATAACCAATTTTTTCCTCCAAAAAATCATAACCATCGAGCATTTGTTCCAATTCATGTTCAGGATTTGGCACATATTTTAATAATGGATTTTGTGGTTCCTCCAATTTACCATAACGAATCTGCGCAAAAAAAAATATTTCTTTAGAAATAAAAAATAATTATCTACATTTAATTATTTAGTATAATTTAATTTTTTTGAACGGTTCAAAGAAATTAATTAAAATTTTTGAAAATTATAAAATTTGCTTCTTTTACAATATTAAATTGAAAGAAAAAAAAAAGAAAAAAAAGGGAAAGTAAAGGAAAAAAAAATTATTATAAAAAAAAAAATTCTACCTGCTTCCAAACAATTTGACCGTGTTCATTTGTTTCTTGAACGTATGGTGAGCTACCAGCCGGTCTTTCATTTGGCTCATTATCTTGAACAATGTAAAATTTCTCCGTGGGCAAAACATGTATTCCCAACCAAGCCATAAATAAAAGAGCACCCCTTGGTCCACAGGCAATTAAATAAGCACCAATTAATGCCTCAACACAATCAGCAATACTTTTATCCGGTATACTATGTTGTGTTATTAAATTATAAGGTATAAAACAACGTAAATTATTATCAACATCATTTATTGATTCACTATCATTACGATCCAATTCAATTTTCATTATTTCTAATTTATGCTCAGTTTCACGTACCAATTGATTTATTTCCATTGGATTAACAGCTTGCAATTGTGGCATATCGGCTTGATTCCATAATGTTGACGGTACACCCGATTCAATTAATGCCTGTTCCAATTCTTTAGGCACATAATAACATGGTGGTAACCAATTGTCATGTGGTTCAAATTTTGTTGCTATCATACTTTCGCCCAACATTTTTTGCCGACCAAGACGATAGAGATTTAAATTACTCACTTGTTTTGAACGTAAATGACTTAATTTACCCTCATGAATATTATCATATGTACAATATAAATATGTTGTTATTGCATATTTAAGAAATGAATCGCCAATTGTTTCAAGACGCTCCAAATTAATACCATCATTTGCATTTGACATTGTTAAAGCTTGTAATATTAAACTTGGACTTGGTCCCGAATTGCCTTCCAATATTGGTTGATAATCAAAACTAAATAAACTTTTACCTTGTTTAATTTTTATTTGTTTGTTGAAATTTGTTTTTAACAATTCATTATTATCAATAAATTTACCACATTTTAAATGTTCTTTAAATTTTTTTGCAATTTTTTCCATATAATCATTATTATAATTATCATTATTTAATTTTAAATTCATTGAATAATTTTGCAAATTTTTACGTGTTATTAAAATTTCCTCATCATATGAAATAAATGATCCATTATTAAATATTTGTTCACGACGTATTTTAGCAAATTCAAAATGTGCATTTTTATGTTTCTCCAAATCAAAATCATTATCAGAATCACTTTCATAAATCCATGAATTTTCATTGGAATTTTTTTCACTTTCAAGAAGTTCGAGAATTTTTTTATTTATTTCACGTTTTGTTATTTGTTTTTCATCTTCAACAGCTTCGGCAATATTTTCACCCATATAGGCAATTTTTAATCCTCTACCTTCATCATCACTATCATCACTTGAATCACCAAAACCATCGCTATAAGTCTCATCTGAATCATAAGCATCGTCTGATTCATAAGTTGGTGAACCATAACGAACGTCATTCCAATTGAAATTTTCCTCAAGTGCAGTGACATCAAGGGGAAATGCTTCTTTTGAATTAAAATCCATTGATAATATTGCCATATCATTTGACCATGTACCAATTTCCAATTCATTTTCATTACATGAATCTTTTTCATCTTGGGGAATTTCTTTTAATTTTTTTATTGTTTTTATTGTTTCTATTTTAACTGGTTTTAATAGTGTATTATTTCCAATGGAATTTAATTGATTTTTCATTTTTGCCTCATTTGTTTTATTTAATTCTTTTGATTTATTTAAAACATCCGCGAGACTCCAACCAAAATCCAATGGTTCCCATTTGAAATCTAAAAAAAAAAATAAAAATTAATTATTTCCAAACAATTAAAAAGAGAGAGGCAAATTTTTCCTTACCTGTGTTTAAATATTCTTGACCTAAATTAATCATTTGTGCTACTTGACATCGAATTTGATTAGCTAATAGAAGAGCATTTATTCGATAAAGAATGCAAGGTAAACAGACAGCTTGCCGCCAAAGTGATGCTGGAAAAGGATGAATTGCACATAATTCAGGAACGAGTATTTGCTTTTGCTCTAAATTCTCCCGTTTTGCCTTTTTTGTCTCCTCGCTACTCGTTGGTAGAGCAACACCTTTTCGATTCACATACCTAATAAAATTAATTTAAAAAAATTTATTCGAGACTATTTATTACAACAAACTTGGTTCTTTTTTTGTTGTATTGAAAACAAAAATTACCTGGGAGTTAAAAAATTGAGTCTAGCGGAAGTGTGATCAACGTCTAATAAAGGTTGCTTCAAATTTTGTATTTGAATGTCATATTTTTTTAAATAATATTCCTCAAATGTATTATAATCGGCGCCGGGAAATGATGATTTTGGACTTAAATTCGGACAAATTTCGGCTACATAAAAATACTGCAAAAAAAAAAGAATTTTAATAATTTTTTATTGTAAAATAAATAATTTTTTTAAAAACTTATTTTCCATTTATATACCTGTGGCTGATCTTTATTTCTATACCATGGCATTATTACTGCGTCATGATATTTTGTTGCGTCAAATTTAAAATCTTTTCTTTCCTCCTCGGGCATTTGACGTGGGACCATTTCTCGATTTTTATAAATACTATCGAGAAATTCCCAATCAACCATAACATCGCGATTTGACGAAACTAAAATGAAAATAATAAATTTTATCTTTAGATTAATTAAATTATTTTTAAACAAAAAAATTGAATACCTACTCTTTTTTACAGGAACAATAATATAAGAATTCTCTGATGCATTCAAATCAAAGAGCATTAAATACTTTTGGAGTCTTAATACATTTGTAAATGTATAATTAAGAAATGTTGCCATTCTATCGATTTGATTTTCATCTAAGATCACAGTTTGCTTGCTAAGCGTAAGTGTAACGTGCACTTCACCCGATCGTGTGTAAATTGGAAAAGGACAAAGCTGTAAAATTAATTAATTATTCAAAGATTATTTAAAAAAAAAAAAAAATTAATTGAGAATAATAATAAATAATTACTTTTGGTATTTCTTTAAGAGTCAAAATACCAAATCCAATATCGGCATCTTCAGGTGGATAAATTTTACGTCCTCTTGTATTTTGTTCTTCGGGCAAAGGACAACTTAGAACCATATTAATATGATATAAAAAAGCTGGTTTTCCAATCACAGGCCGACAGTCAGTCAATGCTTCAGCAGTCTACGAAAATAAATTATAAATACAAATTTAAAAAAATTGATATAAAATAATTTTGAGGAAAAATTTACCTTTTTGTAATAATATTGTCTACGTTTTGTCGTTCCAGGTCGAGCTTCCGAAAAATCGGCTCTACTTTCATCGGGTAATGCTGGAACTTCAGCATCTTCGGGTTTTGCTTTAAAATTCTCCTTGCCAATTGGTAAAAGATTGTCGTCAATTTCATTTCTTCTATGCAATTCAACGCATAATTGTAAAGCGGCCATTCTTCGTGCCATCGCTCTATTTGGCATTGGATACGACTAAAAAAAGAAGAATAAAATAAAAAAATATATAATAAAAAAAATAATTAATAATAGTTATTAATTATTTAAATAGAAAAATAATTACAGAAACAACGTATTTCACAGGCGAATTAATTGGCAAACGAAGGGAACAAATAAACATTTGTTTCTCATCGATTTCAACTATTTCTGTATTCCATTCAGGAGTCAATCGAGTGAATGTATCACTCGGTAATTTTGCACAATATCTGAAAATTTACAATGAATTATTAAAAAAAAAATAATTATTTTCTTTGAATAAAATGTTTTAAAATTTACCGATTTACTAAAGAAATAGCTGAATTAAAAGAGACTTTAGCTGAGTCTTCCTCATCAAGGGGTTTATAATGTGGAATGATATCTGTATATTTATCAGCCTCAAATTCTTCATTTTCAGTCGGTTCTTTATTTGAACATTTAAGTAATAAAATCTGCAAAATAATAATATAAATAAAAAAACTCAAAATTAATTATTTTTAAAAATTTGATATACCTTTTGAATATAATGATATTGAGCGAGTTGCCATACAGAATCTTTTGTTTCATCTCGTGACACTAGAAGAATATGTAAAGCGTCAACTGCTCTCGCTCTACTTTTACATTGTACATACGATTGATAATTCTTTGGAAAATCATATCTCATGACGAGATTACATTTTGGAATGTCAATTCCTTGAAAAAAAAAATTCAATATTTTATTAATAGAATATTAAAAAAAAAAAATTATAATCAATTTTGTTTTGGAAATTGGAAAAAAAATTTTCAAACCTTCTTCTAAAATTGAAGTAGCTATGAGTAAATTACATTCGTGAATTCGAAAACGTTTTAAAACTTCTTCTTGTTTTTTATGCTCCATCGCAACATCACGCGAATAACTAACATCCTCATTTGATTTTTCACTAGTGTAGAGTGGCGATAAAAATTTTAAATCCTCATCGTGTTTACTGATTTCCTGTTAAAAAATAATTTTGTTTTCAATTAAAATGCAATTCTATTTTTATGTAAATGATTTTTTTTTTTTTTTTAAAAACTAACATTTAACAAATAAAACAAAATTTTTGCAGTGAATCCCTTATTAACGAAAATAATTCCACAAAGCAAATCTGGATCTGTAATTCCACGCATATATCTTGAGGATTTTATTGGTTTTCTGTGACCATCTTCATTTGATCGCCAATTAATACCCGATTTTCGAAATGTTTCTCTATGATTTGAATTTGTTTCATTAGCTATATTTTTCTTTACATCTGCAATATGATAATTATTAATTATTATAAATTAAAATTAATTATTATTATTATATAAAATTACCATTAGTTTGCTTATCATCAGACTTTGTCTCTTTATTTTGAACGGGCGTATAAGTTTTCAAAACTTTCAGCAAACGATGTGCTTTTGGTGTTGAAAATTTATAAATTCTTTCCTTTTCACTGAATTGTTCAAAAACATAGTCACAATGTGCTCTGGAAAAATGAAAAAAAAAAAGAAATTTGTAATATTTATTAATATTAATTAATAATAAATAATAAAATAATTACCTTATTTTTATAAATAAAGATTCCACCATATTAAAAAGAAGATAATGCCTTTCGTAGGGTGTTTTAATTTTTAATTTTTCACTTAACATTATAAGTGCAAGTGCTGCACGATCTGCACACCATGGTCCAAGTGTTTTAAGAATATATAAAAAATCATTTATCATTTCGCATGGTTTCTCTGTGGGATTGGGAATTTTTTGTATATCCTCAAGAAATTCTTCCGTATAAATTTCCGTTGGATCATAACGATGATCATTTAAAAATGATAAAGCTTCATTGGCATAAATTTCTAAATTCTCATATAAATTACATTTGACACCTTCGTCATATTCTATAATAAGCTCCTTTGGTTTTGGACTATAACTAAAAAAAAAAAAATTGTAATTTAATAAAAAATAAAAAAAGAATTTTTTTTTTAAAAATACTAACCGAAGTATTGATATGATATCGCTTGCTGTTTCAATTTCACATTGAAAAAGAGCTTCAATTTTTTCTATTTCACGACCAATTCGGCCAGGAACAGTTGTCAAATTAAATAAAGGCACAGCAAGACCAATTATTCGGGGCACATCATTGCTGGATAAAAAATATTTCAATATATAATCGAGTTTATTTCTTTCCTCAGATTTATGGCACTGATCAACTACAACTAAATTTATTTCATTTGGCAGTATTTTCTTTTCTTCTATTAATTGTGCGCATGTTTCAAGCGTCGTTACTATTACCTATTATTAAAAAAAAAAAATATCTCTCATTATTTAATTAAAAAATAATAATTATTATTATTAATGAATGTAAAATACCTGAACATTAGAAAATTGTTCCTTAAAATCTGCCCTTACTCCAGAATCACATATTATTACTTTCAAGTCTGTTAATTGTCGAACGTAAGTTGCTTTTATTAAACATTTTTCTTTATCTCTTAATACATAAATTGATCGTTTTCCACCATCGGAAAATAATCTACAAAAATGTAATAAATTAATAATTTAATTATTGTCTTTAATTTTTTTTTACACTCACCTTCTAGTACTATTGGAAAGTTCTTGAATTAATTTGATAACAATAAAAGTTTGTTCTGAACTTTTTCCTAAACAAACAATTATATTCTTCTCCTTTCCCGTGTAGAGAAGTTCCACCTGTAATTATTTATTAATATTTAAAAAATGAATTTTTTTTCAAAATTTAAAAAAATAATTACTATGTTTATGTTAATTTAGTCGAAAAAAAAAATCTGAATTCATAAATTATTAACTATTTTTTCAATACCTGATACTCTCGAGGAGTAAATGATTTGGTGTAAACTTGATCATTTTGAAAAATTGCCATGGAAACTGTTGTCTTAATATGAATTCTTATATTAAATATTAAAAATTATATTTACACTAAAAATCACTGTGTTTGTTAAATCTGTCAAATGCATTTGTCATAATAAATGCATCTGTCAAATTTTTTCAAGTATTTTCTTTTTTTTTAGGTTAAGTTATTTAAATGTTCAGTTCGGTTCCTTTCGCTTCCGTTCGTGTAAAGACGTTTTTGCCACGAAATTCAAAATTCTCAATGTAAATTTATTTTTAAAATAATTAATTTTAATATTAAAATATTATATTAATTAATATAATTAATTTATATAATAGAAAATTAATAATTAATAAATAAAAATCAAATTTCTATATATTTTTTTATTACAAATAGCATGTACAATACATTTTTTTTTTTAAATTTTAATATTAAATTAAATTTCATTTGGCGTATATCTCAATTTTATTTCATTCATAATAAAAGGAATTTTTTCTTTTTGATTCATATTCGTCCAATCATCTAAATTTATTGGTATAACAGAATAGCCTAATGATTCTATGCTATTGTTGTAAATAATATATTTTTTTCGTAGATGCTTAACATTTCTATAATATTCATTATTTCCATAATAAAGAAATGCAATTCTGAAAATGGAAAAAAAAAATTAAATTCATATTTAAAAATATATTTTTTTATCTAATATATAAATACTTACATTTTACTCTCTGGTGGAATAATAATGTCTTCAATATTTACAGAAACATTTCTATTATCAACATGATTAATTGCCACAGGAAATCCACCTTTTCTCATAACAACAATATGATCTATGAAACAAAAAATAACAAAAATAAGAAAAATGTATTAATAAAAAAAAAAGAGAAAATATAATTAAATACTTACGGAGAAAATGATCATATTTGGTAAAGACATTTGATTGTACATATTCATGACCTCCTAAAGCTTTTTCAAGTGTATTTAATACATTATCATTAATTTTAACATGTCTATTGATATTATTTAAAGAACTAAAATATTTTAATAATTGTACCGAAGGCAAATATTCTTTATAACTTGGTTCCAATGTTTTAACCATTTGATAAATAAAACGTATGCGAATTTTTTCATAAATTTTCAATTGATTAAAGAAAGCTTCTGAATTTTTAAATGTTAATGAAATTAATTCGTGATTATAATAATTTAAAAGTATTAAATTATAACATTGTTTAGTGAAAGATAATTTTGATCTTTCATTTTTAAGAATATATTGTTTTATTGAATCCCATAAAGGTGGTGTCTCAATAGAAATTGATAAACCCAATGTAAATGCAATTAATTGCATTCTATTTAATTTTAAAATTAAACGTGGATTTTCAAAGCATTTAATCATTAAATAATCTATAATTTTTGTATTATGATGTCTTAAATTTTGTAAATCATAAAGAATATCAATTCCAATTTCAAAGGAAAAATTTTCATTTGACATTAATGATGTTATCAAAAAATCAATAAATTCTGAATTATATAAATCATTGGAGAATTTTGTTGTTAAACTGAAAAGAATAAATTTATATTTATTATTATAATTATATAATTTATAATTAAAAACATGTGAAATTAAATTCTTACCTTGATACTGATAATCTTTTTATTACATCAAGAATGTTTTTAAATGACAATTTCGTTATATTTCCAATAATATGATATTCAAATTTTCGAATATTAAAATTTTCCTTAATTATAATGTCAGGAAATACAAAGGAACTTGTATAAATACTTGCAGCAGTTCCAACTGAATATCTAAGTGGATATTTGGAAATTTTCCTTAAAATTGAAACAATCAATTTCTTATCTGGATCTTTAAAATGTACAGCATTATATAAATCAGTACACAATATGAATATATTATTATTATTATTTCTTATTGTTGAATCTAATGATTCTTGTATATCTTTTCTTAACAATTTTGCTTCATCGATTTTTATTTCAATTAATAATGTTCGTATTTCTTCTAATTCAGTGAAATTAGTATCTTTAATTGATTTAGTTTCATTTTGTATTTTTTTCAACAATGTTGTAAAAATTATACTATTTTTCTTTATTTTTAAATCTTTTAATAATTTCACAGCATCAATTGCTTCGTATAAATTTATATTATCTATTTGTTTATCAAGTTTATCGCAAACAATTAAAATATTTTTTTTTTCCCTTGGAGTTTTAAATTCAACATTATATGATGATATTGAAATTTTTTTTAAAATTTCCAAACAATTTTCTGATGTTAAATGTTCATGATTTTTTTCAATATAATCAAATATTGATGTTCTATCATTTTCTAATTTTTTATTTGATTCTGAAAAATTAAATTAAATTGTTAATATTTTAATTAATAGTAATTTTAATAAAACTAAATTTAATTACCTTCATTTAAAGAATATGTTGCACAATTTTGATATTTAATTGCTGTTGTACATCTTCGAAGACATGTTAAATTTCGTAAAATAAATGACATTTTTAATGAATATCAAAAAATGTACATGTATTTTAAATTATATAATTTCATTTACAAATTTTAATTCAATTAAATGGAAATCTGTAATTAAAATTATTTTTGAAAAAAATGTATTGTTAGAAATTTTAGGTTATATTATAATAATAGATATTTTTAAATTTTCAATACCTTAGATACTATTTAAAAATGATTTCTTTTTTTTAAGAATTTAAGAGTTATTTTACTTTAAAATTGTAAAAATCATTAATTAACTTACAAAAATCAAGTGATTTAATTGAATCCGTCCTATTTCTTTTTTTTTCAAATTAATAAATTTCCACTTCAGTAGTTGCCCCTAAATCATTTAATATAGAATCATTTTTTAAAGATAATAATTATTTTAAATAATCACAATTAATAAAATGATGTAGTAATAAAAATAAAAACTAATAAAATTTTAATGTATTATAAGGTTATGTTCACTTTTGTTTATTTTCAGCATGGTTAAGAATTTTTGTTACCTTGGATTGGCATTACTGATTATTGCAGAGATGGCGTCGTCAAAAAGTAACGTCCGTGAACATTTTCATTCGAAATTTGAAAGAATCGTATCAGGAACATAGAATATGCGAGGAAGTGGCACGGTATCAACCAATCAGAACGCTGTATTAAGATTATTTGAAAGTATTAGGAGCTGCAGCCGCAAACAGAGGTGGCACTATGTCGACCAATCAGAGCGCTAGTTTTCATGACATTTGAAAGTATTAGGAGCGACAGCCGCAAACAGAGGTGGCACGGTTTTGACCAATCAGAGCGCTGCTTAAGGATAGTTCACAGGGAATTGAAAGTATTAGGAACAGCAGCCGCAAACAGAGGTGGCACAGTCTTATGTACTGTATAAAATATTAAAGGAGCTTTCTGATTGGTTGAAATAGTGCCACTTCCTCGCATATTCTATACTCCTGATACGATTCTTTCAAATTTTGAATGAAAATGCGCCGTGAATCGCGCAAACGTATTAGGAACTTATGTATAACGAATATAAGAAGTGGCACGTAAACTTTTGAATTTATTGAAAGTATTTAATTATTATTTAATGTAAAATAATAATTATAAATAAACTTTTTCGATAAAACAAAATTGGAATAATTAAAAATTCTTTAAATAATAAAATAAAATTTAGTTTAAATATGGATTAAATATAAAAAGTATAAAAACAAAAATGAAATCTGATTCTAACCTCAAAATCACATGTCAAAATAACAAAATTAATTAATTTTAATGCATTAAAATAATTAAATATCGTTCAAAAAATTAATTATTGAGGAAATATAACAGGCGAATAATAATTACAAGTAATAAAAAAGGTAAACTACTGTTATAAATAAAAAAAAAAAAAAGATTTTTTTCTGTAAAATTTATAGTAAATGGTAAGTTAAAGTTATTTTTTCACATATTATTTATTATTATTTCCTTTATATATTAAATTGTTATTTATAAATATAAATAGTCCAAAAAATGTATAGAAATTTTATTTTTATTATATTTATATATTTATTAATAAATTGTTTGAAATATTTTTAATTATTATAGAATAATAAAATCCATTGTTTTATTTTTAGTATTGTATTTTGAATTATTGGAGAAAATGGCTCCACTTTCATTCAACAAATTAAAAAAGAAAGTAACGGAAATTCCACAAAAACCAAAAGCAAAAATTAATAGATTCAATGGACTTACAGAAGAGGAAATTCAAAAAAATTGTCCTCCACTTCCAGATTATTTAAAAATGAATCTTAATTTAGTATTTATTGGAATAAATCCAAGTTTAATGTCCGCTTATCGTGGACGATATTATGCTGGACCGGGTAATCATTTCTACAAACTTCTCCATGAATCTGGTCTTATTTCACGAAATATTAATTTTGAAGAAGACGAACAACTTTTAACATTTGAAATTGGTTTAACAAATATTGTTGATCGTGCGACAAGATCATCGGCCGATTTAAATCGAGATGAAATTAAACAAGGTTCAATAATTGTTGAAAAAAAATTACGTTATTATAAGCCAAAAATTGCTATTTTTAATGGACGTTGCATTTATGATGTATTTGCAAATAAAACAGGAAAATTTGATTTCAATTTTGGCTTACAATCAGAAAGAATTGGCGATACTGCAATTTGGGTTGTACCATCGAGTAGTGCAAGATGTTCAAATTTTCCACGAATGAGCGATAAATTAAAATTTTATTTATCACTTAAAAAATATTTATCATTTTTAAATGGTGAAATTAATGATGTTGATGTAAAAGAATTTTATTTTAACGCTGGAAAAATTAATGAATCAATAATGTGGAGACGAAAGAATACTTCATTATTTTTAAATTGTGGAAAAATTGCCAATAAAGTGACATTAAATTCGTCAATTTCTGATATTACATCAGTTAATAATGAATTTGTAATTAAAGAAATAAGAAGTCAAAATGGAATTGAAAAATTTGAAAATAATTCTCTCGTTAGAGAAGAAAAAAATGAAATTAATTATGATAGTAAAAATTTGACAAAAAAAAATGAATTGAAACAAACATTTAGAAAAATGACAAATTTTGATACACAATTTAAAAAAAGAGAGAATTCCTCCGATTTTGTGAGCTTAATTAAAGAGAGAATAGAGGCAAAAAAACGAAAAGCAGATGACATTGAAAATTCATAGAACAATTTTTAAAAAATATAATAATTAAAATACAAAAAAATAGTTTTTTTTTAAAAATAAATTCATTTTTCAAAATTAAACGTAAAAAAATAAATTTTCAATCAATAGAGGCAAAAAAATGACCTTGAAATTTCAGACGGAAAAAAAAGACCAATAACTTCTTGTACAGACAGATTCGATAAATATTGTAAGGGCTAATATTTAATTTTTTTTTAAACAAAATCGATAATAAAAAAAAAAAGTTATAAAAAATCACGTAATTTGAATAATAATTTATTCTTATTTTTCAGGTATGAAAGAACAATTTTCCATATATGAAAGTATAAAGGAGAAAAATAAAAAATGATGAAAAATTTAAAAATTCAACACGTCAGAATTGCGGAGAAGAACGACATTCATCGAAAATAGTCGACCATCTCAACCGCTCGATAAATACACACGTGCATTACACACTTGTCAGTGAAGAAAAATATAATCAAGTGGACTAGCAAGAGAGAGAGAGAGAGAGTTGATTGTCAATTGGATTTTTTTATTTTCAATCTCACAATACAGACGTAATTTTATTTCATTTATAATGTGAGTACAGTTCATATTTAATTATTGATAATGGACAAGTTATAAATATCTCATATATGACGTTATAATTTTAAAACGTAAATTTACGTTTTTTTTTTTTTTTTTGACGTTTACATTGCCGGTCTTATTTTATTTATGTCAATGGAAAATTACTTTGTTCCAATTTATATTAATTTTTATTGAATTAAATTTAGAAAAAATGAAAATCTTTTTAAGAAATTTAGAATTCAATTATTATTATTTGCATTTAAAATTGTTTTTATTGCAAACATGTGTGATTCATCAAAAGTTATCTTGTGAATAATAGATTTAATGTGAACTTGTTAAAAAGATTTTTTCACTATTGATGAAAGAAAAATCATTTATCTAGTTAATTTAGATTTATTTTATTTGGAACTATTGTAAAGTGAAAATAAAACTTAAAAAATTATTTATAATTTTTTTTTTTTTTAACTTAATTTTTATCATTAACGAATCTGCAAATTGATTAATTGAACCTTGTATCGTTGATTATTATTATCTTAAAATTATTTAATCAATCATTCTTTTTTCATATTTTGAAAAGAAAAAAAAAATTTTCACGTTCATTTAACGATTAATGAATGTCATATTTCATTAGAATAATAAATTGTAAAAAATACGTTTCAGAAACTTTTATTTTAATTTTTTTTCAGTTTTTACTGTAATGGAAACCTTTTTTTGGTGATTTCAATTTTTTAAAATAATAAATGTAGAAGAATGAAAAATAAATAGAAATATATTATCGTAAACTTATATAAGACTAAAAATTTCTAAAATTAATGACACGTAAATTGTAGAATATTATTTTTACATTAGTAAAATGTTCTCATTGTTAACTGACCTGAAATAGATTGTCAAGTATATTTAACATAAGATTCCTAATAAATATAATGAAACTAAAAAAATAATTTTAAATATACGTATAAAAATTTAAAAAAAAAGATTTTATTAACATTATTTATTTATTTATTTATTTTTCAGGATGCTTGGAGTCTCTGGCAGCGGTGCTATTGTTGCTTTACTTCTTCTTTTAGTAATTATTTGCACAGTGAGTGAAGGTGCAAGATATCGTGCAAAATTTATCCTCTTTATTATCTTGAGTGCAATTTCATCCACATGGTGTATTCCACTCATGTTTTTAAGAATAGGCGATTGGAGAAACGCTTTGTAAGTTGAAATTGAATATAAATTTTTTATTCACAATAACAATACAATAATTAAGTTCATTTTATTATTATATTTAATTCAATAAAAGTATATAACAATTGAATTTAAAAAAAAATAATTGCAATTTTTATTTTAAATTAAAATAATCTTTTTAATACAAAAAAATTTAAAAAAAAAATTATTTTTTAACTAATATAAAAATTAATTTCAAAAGAATACCAGCATGGGGATGTAGACAAATAGCAAAATTATTAGGAATGAAATTTCATATTCGCGGTAAGGAAAATATTGTTCGCGATTCAGGATGCATTGTTTTTGTTAATCATCAAAGTTCCTTGGATCTTTGTGGTAAGTGTCTATTTTTGAAATACAATTTTTTTTTAAATTATCATTTATTATCATAAATTACTGTGAGAAAAGAGAGAATTTTTTTTTTCCTTTCCCATCTTCTTTAAAATAACAATTTTTTTTTTTCAGTATTAGCTGAACTTTGGCCTGTTCTTGAACGTTGCACGGTCATTTCTAAAAAAGAAATTCTCTATTTGGGAACATTTGGATTGGCCTCGTGGCTTTGGGGCACAATATTTATTGATCGTGTCAAAGGCGCTGAGACACATTCAACAGTTAATTCAACAGCTGAAATTATTAGAGCAAGAAGGGTAATTTATAAAAGAAAATTTATATTTTTTAATTATTTAAAAAAAAAAATGTAATTATTTTAAAATATTCTTTTCAGGCAAAAGTTCTCATGTTTCCTGAAGGAAAAAGACATTCTGGAACGACTTTGCTTCCCTTCAAAAAAGGCGGATTTCATGTTGCTATTACATCTCAAGTTCCAATACAACCAGTTATTGTCTCCAAATATTATTATTTAAATGACAAATTAAAAAAATTTGATTCAGGTATTAAAAATATGTTTTTTTTTTCTCATAATTCTTTTTTTTTCTGATAACCAATTTTTCTCTAATATCAAATATTTAATATTTTCTTTTAACAAATAATTTTTGTTTTTCTTAGGGAAAAGTTATATTAAAATTCTTCCCGCAATATCAACGACAGGTCTCACAAAAGACGATCTACCTCAATTAATGGAAAAAATATACGAAACAATGAATAAAACTTTCAAAGAATTGACACAGGAAGTAATTACAGAACACATTGAAGACTTGAAAGTCGAGTAAATTTCAAAATTATTTCAATAAATTTGAAAAAGAAGATATTTTTTCCAAAAAAAAATTATCTCGCACAATCTTTTTTAAAAATGGAAAGCGAAATCTGTTGTGATATTTGGCAGATCTTTGCCTAATTCCTGCTCATTCATCGATGTTAAACTGCCAATAAAAAAAGGTATTCACATTCACAAGAAACTGATAAGAAAAAAAAAAAAAAGATTTAAAAACTTCGTACTTATAGAAAAAGAAACATATTTTTCAGAAAAAAAAATAATTCTCTTTTTTTCAAGAAGAATTTTTCGCATTAAAAACAAAAAGATCCTGTGATTTTAATAATTGTATTGCAAAAATATTTCCTATTTATTTTTAATTTAAAAATCAATAACGTCCTTTAATGATAGTAATTTGGAAAATCCATCCAACGAAAATTAATCTCAATCTACATTTTTCTATTTTATTTTACTTTTCTGCAAATATTGAACTCTTAAATGTCACATTTCTCATGTCTATTTATTCTATATATGTTAAGAACACCTATGAGAATTTTTAAATTCACAATCAATTGAATTGTGTACAATGATCTTTAAAATATTTTAAACTATTTTTATATTCACTAGAAGATAAAAAAAAAAAAAATTATTGTTAAATACAAATCATGTATGTAATTTGTAAATATAATCGAATTATTATTCTCCTTAAAGCAGAACTGATAGACGTTTAAAAAAAAAAACTAAAAAAAAAAAAATTGCACAAAACATATCTTTTTACACTTGTCATTCAAATATTTTTTTTGCTGTATTTTCATAAATTTGACTGTATAGATAAATAATACTGTTTATATTTAATAAATATATTTTAATTGTTATTGAGAATTAAATTATTTATAATACGAAAATAATTTATTTTTCAGGTAAAATTATATGAAAATGAAAAATGGTATTAAATTATTATTTATTTTCTTCTTTCTATTTTTTTTTTCAAAGATACATTCATCAACATCATCCATTCGAAGTCTTAATTTTTGCATACTGGCAAAATAAAAATGTAGGAAAAATTAATTCTAAAATTCTCATTCATTCTGTATTATACTTAAAATGAGACTTTGATTTTGAAAAAAATTTTTTTTATCAAAATTTTTAAGTCCCTTTTTTTCGAAAAATACTATTTTCATTTTTTTTTTTTTATGTACAATTAGCGCTGCTTATATGAATCATAATAGATTCACACCTCTGTACAAAGAAATTTAAAGATATAAATATTACTTTAAAAACAAAATATTTGTCACTATTAATGAATGAATTCTTTTGTTTTCATTTTTTCTTTTTTTTTTTTTTTAATGGGAAAAATGAAAAATCACATGGGAAAATCCGATCAGACGAGTAATTTTCAGGATTCTATATACAGTTAATATCGAGTGTTTTTTTTTTTTCTTATTCTTAAATGAATAATTCGTTGTCCTGTTTTTTCTTCTTCTATAGTAAACCTTGACGAAAAATTACTGTAAATTTTTTTTTTTTTTTTTTCGAAAAATCGCACATTCAAAATTAAATAATTCTACAATTTACAGAAATTTTTCGAAGACGAAAGTTTTACATATTTAAAAAAAAAAGGAGGGTTGGGGAAGTGAGGGGGAAATTATCGTAAATTTATGCCCATTATCACGAATAATTCGAAATACAAATATACATTACACATATAAAATGTCTCAGAAAAGTTAAATCAACTCTTCGATGATCGAGGTAATTGGGTTGTCTTCTATGCTTTAGTTTTTTTTTTTTTTTTTTTTTTTCTCTCCTTTGTAACAAATTAATCTCTCAGCGAGCGAGAGTGGCTGCATAATCATCAAAAAAAAAATACTGTTTCAAGGTTTTAAGAAAAAAAAAAAAAAAAAAAAAATTTCTAAATCTTTCCAAAAGAAAAATTACCACACATTCTTTATTTTCGTTAAACGAAAAAATATATATATATATATTGGACGGTAATATTGATAAACTCCGAAAAGTTACTAAATAATATGAATATCATTCATACTCAATTCTACATTAAAAAAAAAATCAATTGAAATGCTTAGATCAACTTCTGGTCCAATTTTCGAAAATCACATAAAAATTTAGAATCGATTCAACAGCCACAACACTCTTTTACGTTATTCTTTTTTTTTCATTCTATTGCGAATGAACCGACTCATTAGGCAAATATACGAGCTTTTTAATACTTGATAGAGGCGTTAAAATCTTATAAATAAAAAAAAAAAAAAGGTGAAATACAAGAAACAGGAAAACAAAAAATATACAAAGAGAAATTAAAATTGATTTCTTTTTTGTTTTTTCTTTTTCTTGAATCTTGTACTTATAAATCTTTTTTTTACCATAATATAAATCTCGCATTTTTCTATCCTTCCTCATTTCCATCTTCGATACCGTTAATCCAAGCATCAGAAAAATTCACCTGGACGATCTCCTTTGGCTCGATAATCCGCAACTCTTATTATTTTTTTTTTTTTTTTTTGTCTTTATTTCCACGACAATTTAATTGGATCGCAGGTACAGTCGGTGCACACAGGAATCGAGATTTCTGGCTCAATTAAGTCGTCCAGAATACGGTCTGTCAGGAATTCGGGGAGGAATAGTGGGTACAGGACGCCTACAAAATAGATAGTATTATAAATTTTTGTAATTGAAAAATTTTTTTTTAATTTTTAAAAAGAAACCACTGTTTTTAAATATTAGAGAAAGAATTTAAAAAAAAAAAAAATTGTCATTCTTTTTTATAAAATAAATTTTATTTTAACTTATATAGTTAAAAAAAAATATTTTTTTTCTCACTATTTTTATAAATTTATATTTTCTCTTTTATTCAGTTTTTTTTTTTTTTTATTTACAAATTATTATTTTTACTTTATTTTTCTTACACTTTTCTAGAATTATTAAACTAATAAATAGTTTAAAAATTTTAATATTAGAAAATTTTAACGTTTTTTTGTGAAAAAGTATTTCTGACAAACCTCGAGTCACAAAGTTTGTGGGAAAAGTAACAAAAAAAAAATTTGATTAATTTTTTTTTTTTTTTTTTTAAAGAAATTATTTTCAAAATAGTGATGAAAAGAAATTTAAATGATTGATGTATGTTAAAAAAAAGCCTGTAAAAAATGATTAATTTTTTTTGAAATTTTCACGTATCCACTTTTTTTTTTAGTTTCAAATGAAAATTATTTTTACTGTCAATTTTGTATTTATTAAAATTTAAACAAAATAAAACGTGAAAATTTCAATTTAATGAAATAATTCATGCATTGTTATTAATTAATGACAACTGAAAGAACAATGATTAGATAAATTATTAAATTATGAAAGAGAAGAACGTCACAACTCTCAAGGGTAAAAATTAATAAAATGATGATGACGGACAAAACTTATTTCACTATATACAAACTTATAATAATAATAAAAAATAATAATTTCACAATCACTGCAAAAATAGGCGTGAAAATAATCTCAGTTGAAAAAAATATTTTTTAATTTAAAAATAAATTTTAAATTAAAAAAAAAAATTCTTAAATGAAATTATTTTCAACACAATGATAAAACAAAACAATAAAAGCAAAGAAAGCAAAGTAAAGCAAGATAAAGAGTAAAGAAGAATTTCTATAGAAACAAAAGCAACGAAACAAAATTTCCCATTTATACAAAAAGTTTAGAAACAGAAAATCTGTTTTTTTGTTGAAAAAATTTGTAAAAAAATCATTTAAAAATTTTCCACGTAGAAAAATACAAATAAAAATTATTCTCTTCACGCTCATAAAACTAAAAATATTATTTCTAGCAAAACAAATCAATTTTCCATAATTATCTAAAAATATAAATATTTTCCAATACTATATCAGAAAAAAGGAATTTTGTCACAGTATAAGAAAATTAAATTCTTCGCGCACAGAAAATAAAAATTCAGGTTTTTTTTTTCGGGGTCGATATCAAATTTTAAAAATAAATTATCAATAAAGAAATGCAGAACGCGGGCACACATTTCGCAACGTCATTTATACATATTTTGAAATTAAATATAATTCGCGTTTAAAAAAGATGACATAGCCATTTCCCGAGTAAAAAGTGATAAAAAAAAAAATGAAAATTCATTTTTTGCGGAAATGCGTGTCTGCAAGTTCAAGCGACAAATGATATTGTACTTTATCGTTATTTCTTATTCATTATATATATAATATCTTCTATAACATGTTATTCCCACACACAGTAAAAAGAAAGTCTTTTAATTTTCTTTTTAGACCTCCAAATTCATTATATTATTTACTTTAATTAATTAAAATATAATTTAATTAATTATAATTCATTAATTTAAAAAAAATAGATATATTAAATTAATTATAATTAATTAAAAAAATTTATTTTCAATTAATTATAATTAATAAAAAAAAAAAGAAAATTCAATTAATTAACTATAATTAATTTTCGAATTTCGTCATATTAATTTTTTTTTTAGAAGAAATTCGATAATTCGGCTTTATAATGAGACTTTCTTTTTACAATGTATTTACACATTTATATTTTTGCAATAAACATTATTTGCATTATGGGTGCGCACGTGTGTGTAGAACTCGCACAAAACATTCACGACCATAAAGTCGTTTTTCACATTAAAACATATTGCCTGCCAAGCAATCATCATTTTTTTTTTTGTTCATCATCCTTTTCTTTTATCTCATTTTTTTTTTTTTAATTAATAATTAAGGTCTATTATAAGTTTGATCCTCGGAACTCTCTTACCATCATAATCTTTTTTTTTTTTTAATGCGAAATCTCTCTGCTTTAATTCTGCACTTTGTCGATTGATCATCACAAATTACAGAATTACAAAGTCTATATATATATATATATATTTATTTTTTTATCGACAAAAATCAAAAAAAAAAATTCTAAAAATGGAAATTCAGTCGCAACGAGCGTTAAAATAAATTTCTTTTCAATAATATTAAAATTTTCCATCTAAATTAAATATTAATAAAAAAAATTTTCAATGATAAATTTAAATATATGCGATTTAAATTTTTAAAATAGTTAAAATTTACTCATTTTTCTTTTATTAATATTGAAAAAAAAAATAGTTTTCGAATTTTTTTAAAAAAAATTGTAATTCTGTTAATGGATCGTGTTTCGAAAATTCACAAAAAAAAAATTATTTTTCCTTTGATTTCGCTCGTTACTTGAAAAAAAAAAAAAAAAATCAGACTGTGCGATACAATTATCTCGTAGACTCATTGATATACAGTCAAAAATTTTTAACAGTCAACGCAAAGCATAGTAAGATATACATTTCTAGAATTTTTCCTAAGTAAGGCTTAAGATGGAAGCATGTCTGCAAATGTGTCCAGTGATTTACTTAAAAACTATTCCATCCTTATAATCTCTTCGATGTTGATCTGTATTTGTTTTTCTATTTATTTGTGAATTGCTTCATTTTAAAAATAGCAAATCTATTTTTTTTCTCTCTGTTATAATTTTTTTTTCCTCTTTTTTTTTCTTTTTTTTTTTTAATTATTCTCCTTTCATTCCATTTTAATTTTCCTTTTCAAATAAGCATGAACATTTTTTTTTTTTTTTTCTTTTTTTTATCATTTTCATCAATACTACTGATCTAAGATTCATCAATACTACGTGTTTTTAGACTTCAACTTTATAATCACTCAATTAATATAATCCACAGAGAAATTAATAAATAATTTTTAATTGAATATCTAATTTTTTTTCCTCTCTTTGAAAAATAGGAAAAAAAAATTTTTTGTTAAGAAAACGTTAATAATTGACTTGCTAGTAATTATATAGAAAAACATTATTATCGGTGAAATAAATCTCACACTTTTTTTTAAAACAATCTGTTTTTTTTTCAATAAAAATATTTCTAAGAAATATTTTTCATTTCTTTACTATTCGAACATTGTTTTTAAAAATTACTTCCAAAAAAAGAATCGAATTATAGCTTTATATAGGAAACATTTAGTGGTTTTTCTTATATATTAATGTTTTTTTTTTTAAACTTTTATATTTTGAAAGAGCAATTTTTGCAAACATTTAATTGGAAAAATGGAGATTCCAATTTTTTTTTTTTATAAAAAAACAAATTAGCTAAAAAATTGTTATCTTCATATATATTTATATGTTTATATATTTATAATGCACTGGTGGATAAAAAATTTCTTTACTAAAATCTTGTGGACTGCATAAAATTGAAGCGAATGAACATAATTTGGTGCTAATTTTTCTGCCTAAATTGATATGCTCTTTTTAGAAACAAGATCCCTGGAAGTCATTCCTCAATTTTTTTGTCCAAGATAATTTTTCTATTTTTTAAAATTATACAATTTTTACTATGGAAGCAAAAAATTTTTTTTTCTTATTCTTTTTAAAGAATATAAAAATTGAAAATTATTGAGACAAATGAAAACTTGGATTAAAAATAAAGGAATGTCTTTTACAACGATTTCTCTAGTATTCAATATACGTCCGTGATAATTATACCCGTTTTTTAATAATAATAATAATAGAAGCTACTTTTTATATCGAAAGAAATGTGTTTTTTTTTGTGTGTGCTAAACAATTCTACGAAACATGGGACACGGATAATAATTTACGAATGAATAATAGATCGACTTATATTCTAATTAATTTTTTCTTAATTCTATGTAAAATTATTTATAGGGCGTTTACAGTGCACTCAACGGCTAGATATACACGTTACACTGTACAATAACATATGTTTTACACAATAATACCACTTGTGGTTGCATACAGTTTTCACCTGCTCAACCCCCTTTTTTTCACATCTCTCTAATCCCCCTATTATTTATAGAGCTTTTATTTATTATATATTATATATATTTATCTATATATAATATATAATATGATCGACAAAACCTAATCTTTTTTTTTATTTCTAAATCAAGCACTTGCAAATTGTCATTGATTGACGCTTTTTTTCTTCATTAATTTTCATTTTTATTTTATAAAACATTTTTTTTTTAAATTAAAAAAATTTAAAAATTAGAAAAAAAAACAACTTTAAGCCCAATAATGAAATCGTCAGTCCTGGAAAGTTGGGACTTTTTTCTTTTAAAATAGTTTTACAAGTTTTGAGATTATTTACAAAGTAAGTTACATTATATATATATATATATATTTGCAAAGAGGAATATATATTTTTTTCGGCCTGCCGATTTTTTTTACAATAGTATCTTTAAAGGACTGACGACTATTAATACGAGTACAAAGTGACGAGCAAGAAAAAAAAAACATTTTCTTTTTTACTTTTATCTATTTTTTTAAAAAGTAAATATTCATGCGTAAGAAAAAAAAGATTGCAAATAATTCAATGGACCATTTTAAAAAAAATGAATATAAATGGACGCTGTTTTTCTTTTTAAATTTCTTATAGTGAAAAATAAAATTTGTATAATGGCACTTCAATTGCGGCCTTGACCTCTTTTTTTTTTTTGTCCATTTTCTGCCAGTCAAAATGTACTCGATTGTAATATATGAACTCGTTCGTTGAGCTCTCGCATCGATCAACACAATCTGCGCAGTGCAAGAACATCATTATATTTCTTATGTACATATATAATAATAATAATAATAATAATAATAATAATAATAATAATAATAATAATAATAATAATCATCATAATAATTAGACACAGGTATTGATTTGAATTCGTGTTAACTGCATTCATGTCTTTCAAAGCTTTTTTTCTATTCTCTCTAAACTTTACAAATTTACAAAAAATAAATTTATCAACAAATATTACTAAATATTGTAAATTTTTTTTTTTTTTAAATTTACAAGATCAATATTTTTTTTCTAATTTTCAAAATAATTTCAACAGAATTTTTTTTGATATGAAGAAGAAAGTTTAGAGAAAATATTTGTTTTTTTTTTGCAACGAGTACATTATTATAATTCTGCAGGTTTCTAAAAGGTGTCTTATTTTTTTTTCTTTTCTTTTCTTTTCTTTGACGAAAATAAAAAAAGGCTCAACAATATACATTTTGTGACAAAGCGGACTCGTTGCAGCAGATTTTAATTTATTATATATATATATACCTTTAATTATTATTTTTTTTTTTTTAACGTCATTTTTATAGGACTAATCAGAAAAAGAGAAAAATTCGCGATTCAGGATTTTCATGCAAAATCCCTTAAGCAATATCTACGCTATATCACATCCTATGTCTGAGCACGGTTTTTTTTTTTTCATTATTTTTTTCCACGTGGATTCAAATTTTTTTTTTTTTGTTTTTGTTTTTATTTTTACCTATGGTGTTTTATACGAGTAATATATTTTTGATAAATATTTATAAGTTCTCAAAGCTATTTTTTATTTTATTGTTTCTTAGGTACAGAGCAGAAAATGCGTGAAATTTTACAGCGGACGATTTGTGATTGTGAAATTTGCAAAAAGATTATTATTTTTAAATTTTCATAAATATTAATCTTTATCTGGAATAAATTTAACCAAAATTATTTTTAGAATTTAATTCCTCAATATTTGAGAAATTATTTAATTGCAAAAATATTAACGATCAAATAAAATTAAAAATTTGTAATTAATTTCTTGAGAATTTTAATTATAGCAAATTTTATTATTTTTTCTTTTTTTAATGACGATTGATAATTATTTTTTTCTAAAATCTTTGAAGCTTCGAAAAATTTAAAAGAACAATTGCCAACAGCATGATATTTTTTTATTTTTCCAATAAAAAATGACGAAGCAAAAATAAAAAAAATGATTTTGTAAAAAATATCAAATGCATGCATTTAATATCAACACCTTATAACAATAATTTAATAAATGCTTTTTTTTTTCTTTTGTGAATAACAACAGGTTTCACATACATACACGCGGACAAAAAAAAAAGAAACATTCGCAATTTTATACAGGAACTATAATTAATTTTGTCATGAATCATTAATCTCAACATTGAACAAGATTTGTTCAAATCTCTGTCTATTTTATAATCTAATTCAATTATTAGATTATTCTAACAATTTTTTTTTTTTACTAAAACAAAATATATTTATAATAAAAATTATTTTCTGATACAAATGTATCGAAATAAAAGAACCAATTTTTCAAAATTGAATTTACAATTAAATTATGTAATTAAATACATAGGGGAATTATTTTGGTAAATTAAAATAAATGCAATAATCATGATATGTATTCAAAAAATCACGAAATCTAAACAATCTAAAAAAAAATGAAATTCTCTAAAAATTCTATATTCTTTTTGGAATGTGTCGAGTTATGGAAAATCTCTAATAGAGTTTTTTTTTCTATATTAAAGAAAAATTGCAAAGGCGGCATTAAAAAATAGAAGAGCTTTTTTTTCGTTAACAATCATGCAAACTTTTTGTTAAGATTCTCGATCGACGACCAATAACCAGGGGGCAAAAATATCCCACTTCAATAAAATTTGAAAATATTTATAAAATTTATTTTTTTCTCATCAAAAAATTTAATTTTACTTAATTTAAAATTTAATTGAAAGAAAAAAATTCAAATATTAATTTTCAATGAATAGCTTCTAAAAAAAAAGCTTGAGAAAAAAATTCGTATTAGAAAATTGATTTAAATTCTATAAATATTTTCACCCATTACCAATAATAATAATTGTAAAGTGAAAGAAAGATTGCGCTACAATTCGAGAGTAATGATTCGATTTTTTTTTATATATTCAAATCAATGTAAAAAAAAGCAATGTGTCTGTGAGACTATTTACTTCATCCTGAAAGCATCCATCAGCTCGTTCACAGCAGCATTCGCAGCAGCCTGGGTAGCAGCTTGCGTTACTCTCTGCTGCAGACCACCCCCGCGACTAAACACATTACGTTTTTTTTTTTTTTTTTACAGAGAGACAATCTTTCTTCATTTTTTTTTCTCTCTACCTCAGAGTATTTAGCAAATCAGAAATTTTTCCCATTTACATTCCTTTTTTATTTTTGCTAAATACTTTGATTATTACAAATCAAGATTTCGAGTTGGATTAATTAAAAAAAAAAAGTTTTTTGATCATCGAATCAAAGAGCCAATTTTAAAACAAGTTTTTTTAAAATTTAAAAAAACATTTTTTCTCATTTCTTTTTGTCAATTAAAAATTTTGAAAACTACATGCAGGCACCGACATTTTTTTTTGTCTCTATGCAAAATCCACCAGAAGAAAAAAATGAAATGGAAATCTAAATTTGCAATATTTGGGAGTATAATACTGAAAAGCCTTATTTAAAAACAAAAAAAGACTAAACACCCTCGATGAATAAACAATTAATGAAACGATAATAATAATACAAAAAAAGAAGTAAATTTTTTTGAAATAGCTAAATTTCATGCTGTTAGTAAGCGTTCACTTCGGCAATATATTCACATATATATTATAATCCTCTTAAAATAGTTTATAATTTTCAATTATATATGTACATAAATATCCTATACAAAGTGTCATCACCCTATGACCGCTAATATACAATTCAACAAAACAATCGTCTTCTATAATATATATTTTTATTTCCACTCTCTATATTTAATTCAAGAGAATCATTTCTAATCTTGTTTAAAACTAATCAATTTTTTTTTTAAATATACACATTTTTTTTTAACCATGAATTCATCAAGAAATTTGGTCGTAGGACTTGCACAAAAATATTTATCCAAACAAACATATTTTAATTATTGAAAATTACGGAGAAAAAAATTGTTTTTTTTCCAAAATAAAAGAAAAAATTAAATATGGAGCCAAAAAATCATTAATAAGAATTTTCATTTTTAAATAATTTTATTAAATAATTATTTTTTTTAGCCGAATTTTCATTTTCCGAAATTGATCGAATTTCATTTTAATCGAATTTTCTCATGTAAAAATTCATTTAAAAAAAAATCCATTAATTTGAAAATTTGTCTAAAAAATAATTATTTTTAATAAAAAAAAAAAAAACTATAAAAATTAATTAATTTATCCACACATTAAATATTTAAAAAAAAAGACTCTGATTAAAATATTAATTAGGAAAAATTTCTAATTTTCCAAACTTTCATCTAGTGATTGGTTATATTATATTTAAAAAAAAAAAATCTCGAATTTTCCTAAACTTCTAATTTATATCTATATTTAATTGTGAGATAAACATGAAGTGCATTGTCCATAAAAAAAAAGAAAACGCGCCACAATTATGAATAAATATTATATGAACGATTTAACAATTATATTGTGATTCTTTTACAGACAATTTTCACAAAAAAAAAAAATTTTTTTGTCGTGCAAATGTACACACACGCAGTATATATATATTTATTTAGATAGGAAAATGCGCTACCGCGAGGAGATTTCTTAGGCCCGTTTTTTTTTTTTTTTTTTAATATATAAACGAGAGGAATTATTACACCTCGATGTTGCACATTTATCCTGAATTATTGACGATTTTTATTAATAACGAGTGAGAACAAAGCTTGTTTTATTATATAAATATATGTGTGAAACGCGATTTTTTTTTTTTAAAAACGAGAAAAATGTTAGTTAATGGATTAAGAGATGCAACAGATATATTATGGAATTAGTAGCAAACAGATGTGTGTTAATGCGAAGACTTATTGTCGGCGCCTGCAATAGAAAGTCGAGTTAGCAATAAAGCCCCGATAACAAAAACATTTATTATATATTGAAACTAAAAATCCAACTCATTATTTTCTTTATAGATCGCGTTCTACTTTTTTCCTCTAGGTCATTTTTTTTTAAATAATTCTAAAATTTAATCCAATTTCAATAAAAAAATAAATAAATTTTCTTCTAAAAAGTAGTATTTACTTTTCTTTTGTATTTTAAGAATTAAAAAAATTGAATATTTAGAAAATCATTCGAATTTTTTTATAAAAAATAATAGAAGAAATTTTAATTGATAACCGTGGAGAGTTAGAAAGACGAGCTTTTCTTTTTTTTGTCTATTTTTGAATAGACTTTTGCGGGAAAGAATATAATAATAAATTGCAAAAAAAAAAAGAAAAAATGTACTCACGATGGTATGAGGGGAGGAGGTAGTCCAGGATTACCTCGTGATGGTGGTGCACCACCAGGTCCGGGTCGATTTGGAATTGCTGGTGCTGGACGACCACCGGCTGGCACTGGAGGCGGTGCTCGTGAACTCGCGGGTGGCGCAGGTTGCGAAACTCCTCGTCTCGGTCCTCCCGGTGAAGGTGGCGATAATCTAAAACGTTTTTTTTTTTCTTTTTCAACCACTTGAAAATATTTTCAAAATATCACTCAAAAATTTCATTTTTTAAAAAAAAATCTTATGTAAAATTAATTCAAAATCTTTAATAAGCAAAAAAATTATTTTTATAATCAAAACAAGGAAACCAAAAAAAAAAAAACAAATATTTAGAAAAGAACAATAATCTTACCCGAGACTATCAATGGCATTCGAGAGTGAATTTGCAAATGCGAACACAGTGTAAATTTGAGGAGAGAAAAAAAGTACAAGTTAGTGAAGAATAAAAAAATAAAAAATGAATTTTTTTTTAAATTTAATCACCTTGGATTTTCACCCGATGCCAACCAATCGTTTTTAACTGGCGGAGGCACTGGTGTTGAAACTGTTGCCATTGAAACATCACCAATAATTCGAAGCGCTTCCTTACAAGCGTGATACATTCGAAGCATTTCCTCTCGTTTTTGTGCCTCTTCCGGCGATTCCTCCATCATCGACGACTAAATAAAAAATTAATTATTTAATTTCTATATTCAAAATTTGAAAAAAAAAAAACAAATCACATTACAAGAAACTTACAGCTAAAGGATAAAGGGAACATTTCGGGAAATTGCCATCATTGGTCTAGGAAATGAAAATAATTTGGATAAAAATTGGAAATTGTAATTTCAAATATAAAAAAAAAAATACCTGATCTCCACTTGCATAGAGATGTGCCAATAATTCTCCATTAATGAAATCCTTTGCATTGTTTATAATTAAATGCATTATTGTTTTTGGAACAAGATCACGCGTTGTTTTTGTCACAATTTTCATATAAGAATCAACTAAATTTCTAATTGTTTCCACCTGACGTTCCAATTGTGGATCCATTGACGATTGAGCTTCCGAGCCACCCTGTATTTAATGAAAAAAAAAAAAAATTTTTATTTATCCATTCAAAATTTAAAAGGGGAACAAAAAAATCACTTTTTTTTAATTCCCAAGCAGTGCAAGAATAAAAAACAATTTTATTTAACAAATATTCGAAAAAAACTTCTCTAAACAAAAAAAAAGTAAAAATTCACATGAGAAGCTTTTTCACGAGTTAAAAATACCTAAGGGCAAATAAACGTGCTATTTCTAATGCAGTGTAATAAAATTTGAAATTTCATTGTAATATTTAAAGGTGTGAATTATTAATAATTGTCTATTATCAGTGCTATTTACAAATAGGCGGTAGGTCAGTACCAAGCGAATAGGAAGGTGTCGAGTGTAGTGTTTTGTAAAATCGGTGAACATGGCATAAATAGAATCTTAAAATTTTGTTCAATTTCATAAAAATGAATTCTTTTTTTTTTCATTTTATTCCAAGATTCTTCACAATTAAAATCGTGACTACCATGTAATTACAAAACTTAATCGCAACAGTACCAACCTCATATCCTTCCTTCAGATGAAACGAGTTACAAAGAAAAAGTAAATATATCGTTAAAAAATTGATAAACAATAAAAATTCCTCATTCTATCATTCAATTTATATATTTCTCATTTTTTTTATTAAAGAGCCTTCACTCGTTTTTAATAAGCGCGAAAAAATTTGGTTAAAACTCACACGATTCAAAAAAGAAAAAAAAACAGTTAATTAAACTCAAAAAATCCCTTTTACTAACTCACCGACTCATCTTTAGCCTAGAATGAAAAGTTGAAAATTTATTCAAAAAGAAAAGAGACAAAAATAAAAAAGAAGGAAATCTAAAATTAAAAAAAGAAAATAATTTTTACTAACCTCGCCTTCACCATTCGCTTGTTCCGTTTGTTTCTCTGGATAAACTCCGGCTCTTAAGAATGATGCTTTCCACGAATCGACATCGTCCTGAGTCTCGCAACTCAATTCCAATTGTTTATAATCCTTGTAAACGTTTCTGCCTTCAGGATTGAAAAGAGCGAATAAATGACGTCGAGACATGAAGCCCTGCTCCAAATCACGAAGTTTCAAACCATCCAGTGGCAACATATATTTCTTTTCTCGTTCCTAAAAAAAAAAAATTAATTAGAATTTTTTCGCATTCAAATTTTTCTTTTTTTTTCAAATTTTTCCCTATATTTTTAATCACCTCTTCATCTTTAAACCATGAGATGCTTTCCGATGTCAGAACGAACCAATAATCTCTTGAGCCACCTTTCATAATGCCTAAATTATGAATGCACATGTATCCTTTTCGAATGACTTGATTGCCCAAAGTATGACGTCCAGCTTTCACTGAATTTTCGGAAGACTGTTGAGCGCTGTAACAAAAAAAATATTAAACTATGAAACACTGGAATGTGGAGCGCAGCAAATGCAAAGCCTAATTTAATCAAGAAAATCACACACAACAAACTATATTCTCCAATTTAAAAAAAAGTTTCCTTTTCTTTTTTGTAATAATTATCCGATTTCATAAATACAAAAACAAAATTAATTTTCAAAACTGCATTATTAAAATTTATGATAAAATTTATTATTTATTTAAATAATATAAAGCATAAAATATTTTTTAACTCAATTTTTTTACATTTGCCTAAAAAAAAACCATTTCAAAATAATTTCAATTGAATCTCCAAATTTTTTGTACAAAAAAAAAAATTTGTTCTCTAATATAAGAGAATTTTTTTTTTTTCAATAATAAATTAAATGAAAATGAATTCGATAGATGCAAAATAAATAATAAAAACTGCAAAATAAGTTCTTTCCAAAATTACACTCTCTCTCTCTCTCTCTCTTTCTCTCTTTTCCAAAAAAGCGTTCTGTGCCAAAAAAAAAGCCAAACGTGATTAGATTCTAAGTAATTTAGAAAAAAAAAACATTTCTAAATTCTTAAAATAAATTTTGTACTAGAGTAAAATTTTGTGTAATGCTGAAAAATTATCCAAAGTTAAACAAATATATATATTTTTTCAAACCGATAAAAATTTAACAAAAAAATATATAATTTAATTATATACAAAAAATTTACAACAAATTCATCGCCTGTTTGGATAATCAAATTCCAAATTTTGTTTCTCACTAAAAAAAAAAGAAAAAATATATATAATTTAGAAAATCTAATAGTGCTTATACTACAGTGAATTATTTTCTTTTTTTTTTTCTCTTTGGGTGGACAAAACGTGCAAAAACGAGAAGAAAATGTCTAAACATGCCCCAAAGAATGACAAAAATAAAATAAATTTTGAAAAAAAAAAAAACTCGGGAAAAATTTTGCTAATACACATTGAATTGAAATAAACAAAATTTATTCGCACATGCAGTAATTTTAAAATGAAACGTTATCGATAAATATAAGCTTGCGAAAACATCAATCGTGCTTTATTTTTTTTTATTTATTTTTTTTTTTTTTAACGGAGCTAACGATAAAAATTGACCAATTTTTTTCCGTTGACATAGTGCACATACAATTTTTTTTACAAAAAAAGAAATTATTTACAATATTCACGATAAAATGAATCATTTTCATTAAAACTAATTTTTTTTTTTTTCTAAAAATGAAATTTTAACTACGCATTAAAAAAATATTCAATTGAGTATTTTATTAAATTAAAATTTATTAACACATCAAGTTAAGAAAAATATAAATAAATTTCAAATCCTAATTATTAATGAATATAATTAAGATTTGAAATTGAAATTATTTCTGATTCAAATTAAACAAAATCAACATTTATTGGAAAAAAAAAAATGTTAAAACATTAGTTTGAAAAAAAACAAACCATACAGTTTTCAAAATTATTGCATATGAGATTCTACAAAAAAAAACATTGAGATGTTAATTTCGTCAAATTTTAGTGTCGCTTGGATAAAAAAAAAGGTTTGCAAAATGAGAAGACAAAAGTTTTAATTTAAAAAAAAAAAAACAATCTTTAAAAGCAAATATAGGAGATAAAACTTTTTTTGAACAAGACTATATATATATAAAATATAGAATGAAGAAATAGTAGCGGAAAAGGAGGAAAATAGAATGTGGTGGAGTTTCTTGATTGCGTGTTAATTGTCTTACCTTGAATTATACATACTGGCTGCCGCGCTGCCGGTGTAATTAAATAATTGGTTTTATTTGTAACGTGAAATACAGTCAATGCACGTAAGAACATACGTCGGAAATAAGATATGACAAGATTTTCATCTTTTTTTTTTTTTCTTTTTGGGCAAAACGTAAAATAAAAAATTATTCCAGGGGAGAGAATTTATTTTAAAATAAAATTAATTCTTTTTAATCATAATTTTAAAATATTTGTATTTTTAATTGAAATTTTCAAATTTTTGTTTTTTTACCTTTTGCCCATATTGATAAATTACGAAAATCAGTGTGTAAGTCAATTCTCCTAACTTGATAGCGAATTCGAAATTATTTCAAATAAATAATATTTGCAATTTTTTTTTTTTTTTGAAATTTAGATTAAATTTTAATATTTTTAATTGAATATTCGAAAAAAATAGAATTTTTCTTTTATGAATTCGCTAAAAGTATTTGAAAAACTTCTACGCAAACCGATTGATAAAGTATTATTTTACTCGTATTTAAAAATAAAAATCAAATTATTTCACATATATAAAAAAAAAAAAATATTTTACTAATGTTTCTCTTAAATTTTTTAGTTCAAAATTAAATATAAAATAGTAGATAATTCTTTATCAATCAGTTATTTAAAAAAAGAAAAATTAAATGAACGAATTTAGAATAATGAAGTTCTGCAAAATATTAGGAGAATGAGTTACAAAAAATATGAAATATGTACATAATGTAAATTTCTATTTTCTATATAAAAAAAAGAAAAAAAAAATATTAAATCGATTCGTTTTTTTGTATGCACAATGTCATACGGCTATTTAATTGTACGTATATTTATATAGCGTACAAAATGACATTATTTGAAACAAGATTTTTTTTTTTTCAATCAACAAGGAAATATTGTGCCTTTACATTTTGGATGAACTATATAGAGAAAGAAAAATGAGAAAAAGCGACGAAGCCCAAGATTACTAAAAAAGTTTTAACCTGCACGGGACATGCACTGGCTCAGAAAATTATTATAGGAATCATAACTGTGCCTAAGATATAAGCATATTTATATATATGTATATAGAACTGGGGACTATAGTAGCGATATATATATATTTATATAATATATAGATTTTATTTTCAAATATATAAATTATAAAACAAATAATTTCCCCTCAGAAGAAAGCAAAATTATGACTTGATTCTTTTTTTTTCGATTGAGAAAGGTGATTGCGGAAAAAATTGTGAAACAATACGACCATGCAGTGCATCGTGTAGGTGCTGAAAACCTACGGGGTGAAAAACTAATTCAGAAAATTAAAATGTGCAGTGAAAAAACTTGACACTTTTCAAATGATGGAAAATTTACTATTTTTATCGCTTTGCACTTATTAAAAGCTTGTCTAGCAAATATAACAAGGACTTATATTACAAAAAAAATTTTTTTTCTCTTTTCTAAACTCTCGTTTCCAATTTTCTCAAATATAAAATTAATAAAAGCAACAAAAAAAAAAATAATACATAAATTATAATTAATTTCTACTAAATTTTCTCAAAAAAAAGGAAATTGCATTTTTTATTTTGCAAAAAATAAATTAAATTCTACCTTTTTGTCGTTTCTATTTCTATTTCATTAATAAAAAGTAAAATTATTTTCTTCTAAAATATTATAATAGAATGTGCCTAAAAAGGAGTGCTTGCTAAAATAATATTGCGCGATTTTAGAAAACTTGGTGTGAGGGTTTTTTTTTTCTCCTTTAAATTTTGTTTCTGATTTCTTTTTTTTTAAAAGACAACCACTTACTTGGCAAATCCAATGAAGTCTTCGTGATTTGTGTTCATGTAAGCGAGTTCACAATCAACTAAAAGAATCAAATGCTCTTTGCACATTTGCTCGCGTTGCCTCACATGCGTTGTGATAATTCTCTCCGTCTCTTCTCTTAATCTAGGATAACGTGACATCTGTAAAATGAAAAAAAAAAATCCAAATCAAAAATAAAAAAACTGTTTGCCAAAAAAAATATACTTTAAAAAAGAAATTAATTTTCTAAAAAAATTAGAATTAAGAAAATGAATACATTAAAAAAATTGATTTTGAAAAGCTTACCCGATCTGTACAAATGCGTACAACATTGCTAAGTTCTTGCACGACTAGATCCACACATTTAAGACTTGGCTCTTTGAGCCTATTTATTTGTTTTTTAACTATAGCTTCAAAAGCCATGTCGGGAGTGAAGAGCCCAACTCTGATACCTGAAATAAATTTATATTTTCTTAATAATAATAAATAAAAAAAAAAAAAACTATTTTAATTTAAATAAATAATAATACTGAAATATTAATATAATATTAAATACCATGAATATTTCTAATAGCAAAAGCAATTTCTCTTCGTAATTCCTTCTCATCGAATTCCATTTTGACAATTTCAAATGGAAAACGTTCATGGAATAATCGGTTGATTTTTGCACCACCGCTAAGTTCCATTGTGTTGATTTGCGCGGAACCGGAACCCTCGATAGTCCTCTCGAAATCCGATTGCAATGATTGTATCATCCTATTGAAAAATTAAAAGGAAAATTATTTTTTTTCGAAAAAATATTTGCATAATCATTTTTTTCAATAATAATAATAATAATAATCATGGGCAGAAGGGCCTTGAATTAATATTTGGCTGCATTCTTAATGAACAAAAAAAAAAGACAAAAACAGAAAATTATTGTTAGTATTTCAATCAAATCGAAAAACAGGGATTCAAACATAAAATACTTTTTATTATTAATTTATTTTTCAATTATTTTTAGAAAACGATAATTTCTTCAAAAAAACATGCAGGGGACAAACAAATTAGTAGAATAAAAATCTCTAACAATGTAAAGTACCTACAGTAATAATTGAATAGATCTGAAAAATAAAAGAAAAAATTTTCTCAAATTTCAGGACCCTCCACACCCAAGAGAAAAACGAATCTTTATAAATTAATATTAAATTTTGATTCAACTAGTTATTAATTAATAATTACAAAAAACGGGGAAATATTATTTTTCTTTTTTTTAAATATAGAAAAAAAAGACTTACTGCAACATAGCTTTCGTCTTGATTGAAGGATCATCAGGCCTAAAGTGTTTGTATTGTTCCACATCTTTTTCCAAAGTTAACATTTGTTTTTGCAGTCTGTCCCTTAGAGCAGGAAGTGTGTCTCTAATATGATTTGTCAATTGTTGATTTAAAACACGTTGTAAATAAGGAGTTCCTAATCTGTCAGCTAAATGTCGATATGAAGGATGACTAAAAATAAATTCAAATTATTAATTTAAAAATCTATTTTTTATATTATAAAGAGTTTTCTTTTTTTTTTTTTTAAATTTACCTAATGAAGAATTTTCGTTCAGCTGCCAATGCGGCTTTAATATCCTTACGTCCCTCAATGTCTTTTTGACTTCTATTCACTACTCCAATATAACCTCTACGTAAAGGAAGTAATTTATTTTCCAAAATATCCCTAGCATCGGTGCCATCGTCCATAAGATCTAATTTTGTAATAACACCAATAGTACGAACACCTGAAAATAATTAAATGAATAATTTGAAATTTTTACTAAAAAGAAAAACAATTTTTCCTCCAATTAATTATACCTGGTGCATCAACTTCCTTGGCAAGTTTTAGGGCATCACTATTTGCTAAATCAGTATTTGCTGGCGTAACTGCTAATATAAGACAATTTTCACGCTTAATAAATTGAAATATCATTCCTTTGATTTGTGCTTCAATATCCGCTGGTTGATCTCCGATTGGTACTTTTGTCAGACCAGGCAAGTCAATGAGGGTCAAGTTAAGAACTAGAAATGAAAATTAATCAATTGTCAATTAATTAATCTCTTTTGAAAATTTCTCAATTTCTTAAATCATTATATTATTAAAAATTTATATTTTTTAGTAAATATTTATAATAACAATAATTTTTTTTTACTACGAATGAAATTACAAATTAAATATTAAAAAAAAAAAAATCACGCTCACCATTAGGAGAATAAACTCTCAAGTTAATAGGAACATTTGAAATTCCTTTATTGCCACCAGTAATTCTGTCAGTTTCCCCTTCAATCTCTCGACGAATTTCATCGAAATCCACAAATTTCTTTCCTTTACAATGTAGAAATTCTCCATATTCTGCAAAAAAAAAAAATAAAAAAATTACCAAATATTAATTATAACAATAAAAATCGATAATATCAATTTGAAAATAATTCACATTCCTATGTAAAAAAAAAAGAACATTTCTATTTCAATTGTAGTGTCAATGCACCCAATTTCCTACTTTATTATCATGTAAAACTCACAGGAAGCTTGACAACTTCAATGACCGTCAGTGGAAAAATAGACATTGATTCTGGCAAATTACTTTACGCTTTATAACGCGTGAAGTCAATTTTTCCTAAGACTCGAATTTTAGTCAATTTTCCCCCTTAATTATATTTTTAATAACAATAATTCAGATAGTAAATAATTTCATTAAATATTACATTTTAAAAACGTTTGTAAAACAAAAATTTTTTAAATATATTTACTAGTAAGAATTCCTTTTTTAAAATAACTTTTATCAAATTCGATAATTATTATTTAGAAATAATTTCAAATCGGAAAGTCCAAATGAAAATTCTTCCACGTCGATTAATTTACTAATGGAAAATTTTTGGTATCAAAAAAAAAATTTTTTTCTAAACTTTTGAAATAAAGAAGAAAAATTTTCTAATGATAAAAATAATTTTGAATTTTTAATTTATTCATTACCAAAGTGAATATAAAAAAATTACAATATTTAAGGAAAATTGAAATCAATTGTTAATAATTTTTCTTTCACAATTTTTTTTTTTTTTTTGTAAAACTTTTCAATTATTGCAATCGGATCAATTTTAGAATCAACAGGAAATAAATTCCACGCGAAATTGAAGGGCATGGGTTAATAGCTGACAATAGTAAGTGCAGTACGATGATAAAATATTTCATTCGCTGACAGGTCAATGGGTTAACAGTGTTCATTATATATATATATATATATAGTATTAGTGCTTCAATGGCGCAACATCGTGTCACTTACCTGATGCACTTGGTGGGTTTCCAAGAAAAATAGTTGTTAAACAACGAATTATTGAATTTACATATTTAACCCATTACCCCTTATGAAAATTAATTAGATTTAAAAAACTATTTGCAAAAATAAAATTATAAAATAAATAAAACTCAAAATTAAAAAATTAGAAATAATTTTTCTTTTACTCGCAGAGAGACGAAATATTTTATTTTCAAGTAAATTAATTAAATTTTAAAAAAGGGAAAAATTAATTTTAAATTGTTAATTTACATACAAAATATAAAAAAAAAAATTTCTCATTGGAAGAATTTTTCTATTTAGTTTTTAATTTTTCTTTCATTCTGTAAATATATTTTCGAGAGAATAAAATGTAAAGAAATTCACGAGTTTCATCGATTATAGAAGCGAACGAAATTGAAAAAGACAAATATGAGATATTTTTCTTTTTTTTTTTTTTATTCTAAAGTGCTGATTCACACGCTCACTCGGTAGCAAGTATCTCGAATTAACACTCCCTTTTTTTCAAATAAAGTTCCTCAATTGCTATTAATGTAAGCTCAACATACGTTATATATGCTATGTATTTAACTCCCCCATATAAGCGCAAATAATTAATGATGTCAATTTTTTTGAAAAGAATTGCCACAAGGTAGATAAAAACTAATTATCCCCTTTCTTTGTCCAACTGAATTGTTTAGCGTCATTGCGTTAATTTATTATTATCTCCCTCGTTAATCGATTTTTCACGTATCAAATAATTTCAATATAGAAAAACAAAAACAATATTATAATATAATTTTCAACTTTGTGCTTAATTAAATATTAAAAAATAATATACGGGAACATTAAACTTTTAAAGTCAATGAATTTTTTTTTGTGCACGAGAACGTTAAAACAAGTATTATTTTACAGATAAAATCTAGATAAAGTCATTTAGATAAGACTTACTGAAATTTGGTCTCTTTTTTAAAAAAAGAAACTATTAAATAAAAATTATTTAAATCAGACTGATTGAATAATTCTAAATTAAGAATTGATTTTTATAATTTGACAACAAAAATTACATTTAAAAACAAAAAAAATTTCTTTTCATTTAAAAAAAAGGCAATTTCTTATTTAAAAAACGTAATTTAAAAAAAAAAATGTAATTTTTCTTCATCAAAAACAATGACTAACATATTTCTATGAATTGTGTCTAAAAAAAAAAAATATATCTTATCCGACGATAAGATAATTTCACCGAGGATTTTAAAAGCCCTTTTTGTTTAAATTAAACAATATCTACAAACAGAATAACAATTAAATTCATCTAAAAATATGATAATAAATATTTTTAAAAAATTTACCAGTGTGACTGTTGATCAATTGTAAAATAAGTGGCCTTCTAGTTACGATTCCTGAACCTCTTGGCAGAAAGTCCCTGAAAAAAAATTAAATAATGTAAAATTCAAATTCATTTCTTCTTTAATATCTAACTAAATTAAATAAATAATCAATTGTCAAAATTAAATTAATTATTATCAATTATATAATTAAATTCATCTTCAAGAAAAGCAGTTTAAAATTTTTAGAATTTTTTTCTCATCAAAATTAAAATCAGTCTTTCAAAAAGATAATTATTAGATAAAAAGGCACGTGCGATCATCCATTGTTTTTTTTCAGTTACATAAAAATTATTACAGTCCTTTATTAACTCTCTATTGTCATGCATCAACTATCACAGTTTGCTTTGAATAATTCTTCTTGATAACTCTCAATAAGATCAAATCTCAAAATTTTAAATCAATTTCTCTAAGAAATTATTTTAAGCAATCAAAATTGATTAAAAAAAAAATTATAAATAATTTTAAGAAAATGACATTAAAAAGAAAACAAACTAAAATATGCTTGTGTTTAAAATGAAAAAAAATTTTATTTAAACAACAATCTTCAAGAATGCGACAGAAGGAACGAGAATTGTTTTCATTCAAAATAAAATTCCCAATGAAATTTTGCCAAATATGTTATAGCAAAAAACTTAATGTTTTTCTTTTATAAAAATGTTTAAGAATCAAATAGATTTCTTTCTCTTAAATTGAGTTAATTAAATCAGAAAAAAAAATTGAAAGTGAATCATTTATAAAGCACTTCAATCAAGAAATGAAAGTGTTTACATGAAAATAATTTATTTGAAAAAAATCTAATTTAAAAAAAGAAAAATGATATCCAATTGTTTGTTTTACTTTTAATTATAAAATATATATATAAACAAGTAATTAAAACGTAAGAAAATTTTTTTCAGAATAAAAGTAATTTTATAAGGCGGTTGACCCAATTACTGACCTCACTGAAAAAGAAAGACAAACTCAAGTATTCGATATCAATTAATCTAGAAATCTAAATTTCTTATCAAACATTTAAATGAATAGTAACTCCATAAAGAAATTGGAGGTTAAATTTTTAACAAATTTTCAAGAATCAAAGGGCAAATATGAACAGCGTGACAAGATAACCATATCGCAAATAATTGACAGTCAACTGGGTGTTGACTCATCAACGATTACTATAATTAATATCGTCATTATTATCATCATCATCATCATCGACCTGCAAACGATTTTTCTGGCACGGCCTTCGAACGTCCATCTGTCTTGTTGTCTGTTCAAAGATGCGTGCGTTTAAAAAGATCGTTGCGCGGTCAGCGACGTAACTGTCAAAGAATTGCCTTTAGTGGGCGTCGTCTTCAGGACGAAAACCTTTTGCAAAGTCATTTAAATAACCTATAAAAAAAAAACCCTACACAAAAAATACACAAAGGATCCGCCCCGTTCAAAAATTATTTATCGCCAAAGTAGAAAGCGCTATAAAAATTTTAACAAAAAAAAAAAAAAAACAACCTTTTGTACTTACTTTCCAACAAAGTTCTCCAGGACGGAACTTTTGCCCGCACTTTGACCTCCAACGACCGCAATTTGCGGCAGGTCCAATTGCATTGTAACACCAAGTTGCGTGAATGCATCCTGGAGTTTATTCACAATTGGAATCAATTGCTCCATACCCACGTTACCTGCCATTTTTGTAAACTTTTTACACAGCCAATTGGCCGATCACACACGCACCAGGAACACGATCACTGTCGGAATTTTTATATCAACTGCGTTCCGCAGGCGACGTTGAATTGCCACCACCTTCTGCCCGTTTTTTGGTGTCGTCGGGTAGGGGGTAGAGATCCTATTCGTGCACTGCGCGAATACCAGCAAAATGGCCGTTTCGCGAATGATATTTCTCACCGCATTATTATTTTTGTTAATAATTTGAAACAGAGTAGCACACCTGTCAAAATAATCAACGAGGATCACGATGTTTCTATCTATGAACGCGGACACATTTAACGGTGATGATGATGATCCAACCTCTGGATTCGAGGACATAACATTTCAATCGATAACTAAAGCGTGCGCACTCGCGACACACCAACTGACCCACTTTTCTATCCCCCGAGATAAAATCCATATCGCGTTTCCGCCTACCCCTTTTGACTATTTTAAAAAAAATAAAGAATTGTATAATTTTTTTTTTTCACTTTAATTTAACATATATTTTTCTTGAAATTAATAAATATTCACTTATAGGTTATGTTTATTTGTTGAATATTTTTTTTAGGAATTTTAAATAACGCGCGCTTATTGACATCCCTGTTTGATCACGTGACCTATCTAAAACGTCAACGACCAGCAGCTGTCACAGAAATTGTCACGAATTACTTAAAGTTAGAATAGATTTTGAATTTGTAAACAAAAGGATTCTAAGGGTAAAATTGTTACTTTTCTAAATAAATCATTTTATTTTATTAAATTCATTAGTTTTATTTAATAAAACTGAAAAAATTTATGCTAACTGATAACGTTGAGTTGTAGATGGCGCACGTGCTTTCTTACATGGCGGGCTTTTTTGAAATGTTTCAATTAAAATTTTCCTCTAAAAAATTATTAATTTAAATAATAATATTTCAATTGAAAAAAAGGGGGGTGGGAATTAATTTTGAATTAATGACAAATTAGCTTATTTTAATTTAAAAAAAAAAAATAAAAAATATTAAACGAAATTGTAGAATAATAATTATTAATTTGTTTTAATAAAATTTTTTTTTTTTTTTTTTTTTTTTAAATTTTGTTCAAATAGAAAACTCTTTTCTTGTAAGAAAATTTAAATTCGAGGTCTCTTAGCTCATTACTTTCGCTTAATTATCTACACGTATACAGTTCAAGGTCTGGATTTTCTCACACAGACATGACAACTGTTGTGAATAGATTGATAAGAGGGGGACTAGGTCGATCCTGCATTTTCAAAGAATTTCAAGTGAGAGGAGTATCTGTTGCTACAAGAAAATCAAAAATGGTGAGTAATTCTTTACACATTTATCGAAACGTATTTATTATAAATATTCTATTAAAAACGATTAAAAATTTAAATTCAAAATAATTTAATTTATTAAATGTATTAATTATTTAATTAATAATTAATAATTAGAAAAATAATGATTTTTTTTTTAAATTGAAACTTAGAATTATTTTTGTATTTTAATTTATATTTTTAGAATTTTATTATAGAAAATACTTTTATTTTCTTTAATTATTATTTTTCTATAAAATATTTGAAATGGGGCGTATCCTTTTTTTTTTGAAATAATAAAAAATCCATGAGTTTGACTTTCACCTATTGCAACTGAGATTTAAAGCAGGGGAAATAGAACACTATAATTATAATTATTTAAATAAAAAAAACAAGTGAGAAATAAAACCAAAAATTTTCTAAAGAAATAAATAAATTGACCTTTAAATACTCATGATCATGACCTTTAGTGATATCGAAGAAAAAGTATTGAAATTCCATGTAAACATTTTTGATAAAGAAAAAGTTTTATTTTCACTTTTGTTTCTTTAAAAAAAATTAATTTTGTTATATTACTTACGATTTTATTCCTTGAATCATATTCCCCTGGTGGTATTTTTTCCAAAACTGAATTTTTAAAAATATTATTGATCTGTAAATTAATTTAATAATTAAAAATTCATTTTTTTTTTTTAAATTTCCACAGCCAAAACTTACGGAAGAAGATAGAAAAACTGAATTAGCGCCACTTATCGCAACAGGATGGACGATTCAAACTGAAAAGGATGCGATTTACAAAGAATTTGTCTTCAACAATTTTAACCAGGTGAATTTTCTTTATTCCTGAAAAAAAAAATAAAAAGAAAAAAAAATAGAGACAAAAAATTAAATAAATAAAAGTCACTGTTGATAAAAAAAAATTAAATACAAATTAAATAATGAAATAAAAATTAATTAATTGTAAAAAAAAACGAAATTGTAAAAATCAATTTTGTTTTCAGGCTTTTGGATTTATGACCCAAATTGCGATGCAAGCGGAAAAAATGGACCATCATCCTGAATGGTTCAATGTTTACAATAAAGTTAACATAACGTTAAATTCTCACGATGTGAATGGTTTATCAAGAAGAGACGTGAAACTTGCGACATTTATGGACAAAGTGGCCAAATTATACAATAAATAGTAAAATATTTAAAATCCTCTATTGTTAAAATAGATTATCAAATGATTTTCTATTCTCGACAATAATCATCTGTAAAATATTCTCAATTTTACCGAACAATTACTTTTTTTTATATCACTATTTTTAAATATAAGTAAAACAATAAATGTTATACTTTTTTTCTTCTTTTATTTAAACTTGTATAATTAAAAAAAAAAACGTAATCCAAATCTAATTAATCGAAATAATCTTCAATATCAATGTCCGGATTGAGTAAATCTTCACCATAAATACTAAGATCCAATTGATTGAGTATAAGATTTTCGCACATTTCTTCTAAATCAGTTTCCCCAATAAGAACAGCGCCTTGCATTTTTCCATCTTTTAAAATCAATTTCACATATTCCTGATTCTTTGTCATTCGCAATAGAATTTCATAATTTTGATTTAAAGTTTGACCATTATAAAGTCCAAGAAGTACAACTTTATAATCAAAAAATTTTGTAACGTGTGCAAACAATTCAAAGCAAAAATCTTGATAAAATTTTTCATTACGCATTATTGAAATCATTGATTTTGCCGCATATTGTCCCATTTGATGTGCCTGTGTCCATAAACGCATTTGAAACCAATGTGTCGCTAAATCCCAATTTGCCGAACAAACATCGCCAGCTGCAAAAATATCCTCCATTGATGTCATTAATTTCCAATCAACTAAATAACCACCGTCTTCACCTTTTTTCAAATCCTCCAATCCTAATAGATTTGCATTTGGTATTACTCCCGTGGCAGAAATTACAAGATCACATTCAATTATTTCTCCATTTGATAGTTCAACAATCACCGGCCAATTATCATTACAATTTTTAATTCTCAATATTTCACATTCATATTTAATTTGAATTTCATTTGGCAATGAGGGGATATTTGTTAATTTAAAATTATGCCAATCTGGACCAAGTGCTGGACCAATATTTATTGATTTTTCATTATTAGCTGTTGTATATCGTGCTCTTTTAAAACAATAATTTTTCTCAACAATTGTTTCTTCATTTGATTTATTTTCTAAACGTTCGTGAAAAAATTTTGCTGCTCCAGGATCGACAAATGTTGCTGAAATATGTTTATCCTTAATCACCCAAACAACTTCAATTCCACGTATTTTATAAACAAGTTCCGTTGCAATACCACCATTACCAACAATGATAATTCTCCTAGCATTTTTTATTTTCTCCAAAAAATTACCAACCGATTCAGTATCACGAATACCAATTACATAGGGATTATTTTCAGCAATTATTTTTGGACTTGCACCAGTGCAAAGACAAAGTTTTTGATAATTTATAATCTTACCGGTTGTGGTTTTTAAATATTTCTCTTTTGCATTTACTTCGATGACAATATCATGAATGACAGTTATTGAATTGTGTTCTTGTGAAAATAATGTTGTATCACGTTCCTCGACGTCAAATTGAAAAACAGTTTTAGCCAAAGGAACAATATTGGTAATTGCTTTGATTAATGAACTCGCTGTTATTAAAATTATCTTTTCTTCCGGTGCAAGAAAAGAAATACTCTCGGCACATGTGACACCGGCAATACCACCTCCAACAATCACAAATGTTGCGTTCATTGAAATTTTTTTAATAATACAAATTTAATTTTCCTTTGATTCTGAATTATACCAATGTGAATAATTGTATTTTCTATGAGGAGGATCGAATGTTACAATACCGCAATTTTTTGCTTTCTTGAGTGCAACTAGAAGATTTTTATGTTGTTTTTGACAAATATTAGTGATTCTGAAAGCAAAAAGAAAACGCTCATAAATAAAATAAAATTAATTTCTATGTTATGAGAAATTTTTTTTTTAAAATTACCGATAACATAACGTTTCGCCGTTATGCGGTGAAATAAATTGATTTAATAATTTAGTATTTTTATAATCAATAATTAAATATTCGTCACGACAAATTGGACATGGATTTCCGGTTGACACAATTCCGCCTCTCTGCAAAAAAAAAACAAAAAATTAAATAAAATTATTAAATGAAAATATAATTTTTTGATACTTACAATACAAGTTTTTCTTGTTTTTCTCGGTGCAAATTGACCTTTAAAATTACGCCTGTACAATTTCCAAACTGGATTGTCACCGTATGTTATTTTATAGGCTAAAAATATTAAATTTCAAAAATTTTTTTTTTAAATCAAATTATTTTTATTTTGAAATAATTTATAAATTAATTAATTAATTTACATATTTCTTTAAACTTAACCTATATTAAATTTATTACCTTCACTGTTCATATATTTTATGCTTGTTTCCACTGGTATTTCTATAGATCTATCCTTAAAAATAATTCCACCACTGGGAATTTTAGTTTTTGTATTATTTTCTTCACTATTTTCTTCTTTAATTATAAAATTCTCTTGAATTTGATAAAGAATTGGTGCACGAGAAATATTTCTTGCAGACATAACCTATAAAAACTGTAAAATTTAATATTTCATAATTTTATACAATATTAATGAAAACAAATTGTTTTCAATACTTACAGGTTGAATAATTACATTTCGATATAATTTGCCTACTAGTTGAATACTTCTCATTAAAACTGACATTTTTTTTTATATATATATACAAATAATTAATTTTACGTGTGTTAAAAAAACAACTGTGAAGTTGGCTTTAAAAAACAATCGATAAAATAATATCGCAATAACTCGATAAATGTTAAACAGCTAACTTCATAGTTATTATTCAAAATTTAATTTACAAATTTCATTAATCAAAATAAATAAAATTCGAGTTTAATTCGCGCGAAAGTATAAATTTTCTAATTAAATATATTAATGATTAGCATAATCAATTATTTTTCTATACAAATGTTAATAAAAAACTTGTCTCATTTATGATTTTCGAAAATTATTTTTCCCTTTAAATTTTGTACAAAAGTTTAAGTACTATTTAATTAATTTTATTATATATTTCTAATAATATTGTATTTTATATAATTTATTATTATTATTATTATTATTTTTATTATTATTATTATTATTATTATTATTATTATTATTATTATTATTATTATTATTATTATTATAATTATTTATGGAATTATTATTAAATACTGTTATAGACAGGAATTTGAAAAATTTTTTATTTTGAAAATAAAAAATTTAACATTAATATTATTTTTAATAAAAATTAAAGAAATAAAAAATAAAAGTAACGAACAATTTGAATTAAAAAAAAAAAATTAATAATTAAATTCCATTAATGCTGAGGTAGATAATTTTTTTTTATTTTTTTATTTAATTAATTGGCAGAACTAAACTTATTCTGCTATGAATAAGACTCGGAATAAATTGTTATGTGAAAATTATAATTGAAGATGGTGGGAGAATGAATACTCGTTGACCCTGGATCCGGTCAAGCTATACATACATGACATATTAATCTTCATCGATATCCGTTCAGTTCACGATCAAGTCTTTCAGTTGTTGCATTTAAAACTAAATTTTAACGAATAACATAATATATGAAAAGAAAATTTAAATTAATCTCGGATCAATTATTTAATCAACAACGATGGAATCCAGATTAAAATTATTTTTTCTTCTTTTATTAACAATTATTTTCATCTCAAGTAAGTGAATTTATAATTTCACATTGTTTAATTAAAAAAAAGAAAAAAATTTTAAATTGTAATTAATTTAAAAATAAATTAATTTAATTTAATTTTAATTTTAATTTTAATTTTAATTTTAATTTTATTTTTATTTTTAATTTTAATAATTTGACTATTATAAATAAAGTTAGATAGAAAAAAAAATTGATAATTAAAGTATTATAATTTCTAAATAATTAATGAACATTATTTTTATATAATAATAATAATTGTTTTCAATAGTTAAGTTACGAAAGATAATTCAGGGTCATTTATTTTTCTTAAAGCTGATAATATATAAGAATCAGCAATTTAAAAAAAGAAAAAATGTCATTAAAAAAGGAATTAATAAATATATATTGTGTCTGATAAATTTTATACAATTTATAAAAACAAGGACAAAATACTTTTTAAACGAGTTTCTTTTTCCTTGACTTTTGCTCAATTCCCAACTAGCAGATTTAAAATATACAGAGCTTCACGCAGGAAACATTTAATTTTATGACTCATATTAAATAAGACTAGCAAAAATTTTTGCTGATTTAACTGTTTTCTACGTATTTAGATTTCTAAGAAAGATTTCAAGAGCAGATTTTTTTTTTTTTCTTGCAATAGAATTTATAGAAAAATAATACCTTTTTTTTTTTTAGAATCATTAGCACAGGATTGTGTAACATCGAGACGTGAATCGGGAACTTGTATTGGAATTCGTCAATGTCCGCAGATGATTGGTATTTTACAACAAAGACCATTGAGAGATGAAGATCTTCAATATTTGCAAAGATCACAATGTAGTTTCGAGAGGAATAATCCAATAATTTGTTGTCCCTCATTTTCTTCACAACCAACGCCAAGTCCAACGCCTCGTAATCCATCAAATGGCAACGATAATGGAAATTTAGATCCAAATATTAATCTCAGAAGTCATCCTCTTCTACCCTCCGATTGTGGAAGTGATACTGAAGAAAGAATTGTCGGCGGTGAAAGCACAGATATTGATGAATTTCCCTGGATGGTACTTCTGGAATATCAAAAGCGTAAGTAAAAAATAAAAATAATTTGTTTAAAAAAAAATATATATATAAAATAAAAATAATTCTCTTTCAGCAAATGGAATAACAACAGCTTGCGGAGGAGTTCTTATCAGTAAACGTTACGTTCTAACAGCGGCACATTGTCTCAAAGGCAAAGATTTACCGAAAAATTGGAATCTCTCTCGAGTACGTTTAGGTGAATACGATACAAATCAAAATGTTGATTGTATTCAACGAAATGGAATTCGTGTTTGCGCTGATCCACTTGTGACAATTCCCATTGAAGAGCAAATTGCACATGAAAATTATATTCCAGCATCCAAGGATCAACGAAATGATATTGCATTATTGAGACTTGCTCGCGATGTTACATTTACTCATTATATTAAAGCAATTTGTTTGCCACTTAATTCAAATGTTGGACAATTGCTTGATGTTGCTGGTTGGGGTAAAACTGAAAGTAAATCAGAATCAAATGTTAAATTAAAAGTAAAAATACCATTGGTACAAAATTCTGATTGTATACGAACATATGCAAATGCTGGTTTACAATTGGGCGATGGACAAATTTGTGCTGGCAGTCAAAAGGGTAAAGATTCATGTCGTGGTGATTCAGGTGGTCCATTAATGGCACGTGCATTAGGTGAAAATGAAGATAAACCAAGATGGGTGAGCGTTGGAGTTGTTTCATTTGGACCATCACCTTGTGGAATGGCAGGATGGCCCGGTGTCTATACAAAAGTACACGATTTTCTTCCCTGGATCCTGCGAAATATGAGACAATAAATAGAAAATTATAAATTTAAATCCAAAACAAAAAATAGGAAAAAAAAAAAATGATTTAAAATAAATATTTTTTTGTAAATTTACATATATTTTTTTTTCCATTTATTAGCCAGAAAATTAATCCTTATATTAAAAAAAAAAATGAATTTCCAAAAAATATTGAAAATAATTTATAATTTATATTTTTATTAAATCAGTTATAAACTGTTAACATAAAAAAAGAATATAAATTTTTAAACTCGATAGAGAAAGAAAAGAATAAAATATATAATAGATCAGGATTTCCTCTATTTGAATAAATAATCTTTAAATTATAAACTAGATATAGATTTTTATTATTGCACAAAGCGAGAAGATTCTTCCTTTAATAAATGACGTCAGGAATCTTGGTTTTTTTTATTCTATTTTCCTTTCTCTCAGTTTCATGGAGAACATATTTCTGTCTCTCTCGCATACAAATTATATACGCGAGACTTGATTTTTCCTTCAGTTTCAGATGTTTTAACAACAAGAGTTGATTTCTATATAGTTAATTTAAAAAAAAAAAACAAACATTCAAAAAAGCCTAAAAATGAATTAAATAATAATGAGGAAAAATTAAATGTTAAGAAAATAAGGTCAAGGTGAAGATAAAAGTGATAATAATTACTGTTAATGCTCATAACTATTCTCACATATATCATTAGAATTACAAATTTCTGACAATGTTTCGTTCATTAATTATAATTTTTTTCATCTCTTCCAGTTATTCACGTAAGTATTTGTTTTATTATCATTTTCTATTTCTTTTTTTACTGCTTTTTTAACTACAAAAAAAAATTCAGAGAATTTAATTTTAATTTAATAATTAATAATTTAATAATTTAATAAATTAATAATTTTAATTAATTTTTTAAAAATTGTTTTTTCTAATATTACAGAAGAGACGGACAATTGCATTACACCGACGAAAGTATTAGGAATTTGCGTTAATATAAAACAATGTAAACCATTAATTGCACTTTTATTAAAGGAAAAACCAATTTCTGAATCATCACTTCAATTATTAAGAGAATCATTTTGTGGTTTTGAGGGAAAAAATCCAAAAGTCTGTTGTCCAGAGCAGGTATTAAAAATCAATTTTTTTTTTTTTTTGTAAATTGTGAAAAAAATGTAATTCAAAATTTTAATTACTAATTTTTTTCTTTTGAAGACAAACGAAATTTCTACAGAGAGATCAACAACGACAACAGAAGAAATAATAACAAATGAAATACCAAAACCGCCAGATGTGACAAATCATCGAAATTTGAAATTATTAGATTATAATAATTGTGGACCGGTTAATGTACCAAAAATTTTTGGTGGCAAAAAAACGGGTGTTGTCGATTTTCCATGGAATACATTGATTGCCTATAAAAGTAGATTTGGCGATCCTGAATTTAAATGTGGAGGAACAGTAATTAATAAACGTTATATTCTCACCGCTGCTCATTGTGTAACAAGTGATGGTATTATTTTTTTTTTAACTAAATTAATTAAAATAATTAAAATAATAATAATTTTTTTATTAAATAGGGCAAATAAAATGAAAACATTTGGACAAAGAATAAAAAAATTTTTTAATTTACTTTTATTTATTTGGTTTTGTATATTTTTTTTACAGACTCCCTGAAGAGGAAATCATTTCAATTTCGAAACGTTGGAGTAAATTAAAAAAATTTTTTTATTCTTTCTCCGAATGTTTTCGTTTTATTTGCCCTATTTAATAAAAAAATCTCGGACGTTAAAGATTAATTTCTCAATCTTTTTTTTTTTATTATTGTAGGAGTGGAATTATTAAATATACACGGAGTGAGAGTTGGCGATCATGACACAACAAAAGAAATTGATTGCGATATAGATAAAAATGGTAATATTCTGGTGTGTGCCGATAAATATCAAGAATTTGGAATTGAAAAAATAATTTTTCATCCAAAATATTCGAGAGCAAAATTAAAGGACGATATTGCCTTATTGAGAGTCGATGGTGATATTAATTTACAACGTCCAAATGTCCAAGCAATTTGTCTACCAATTGGTACAGCGGTGAATGTACCACCAAAAAAGGTATTTTTCTAAATAATTAAAATTTAATTTTTTATCCATTAAGTTTTCTTTATAAAATTAAAAAAAAAATACCTGTATTTTTTGTTTTAAAAAAAGGTGGTAATAACTGGATGGGGAAGAACAGCAGTTCAACCTCGTAGCAATACTCTGATGATGATAAAAATTGATCTCGTTTCAAATGAAGATTGTGCAGAGACTTATAAAAGAAATACACAAATTGGTTATAAACAAATGTGCGCCGGTGGACAAAAGGGAATTGATTCTTGTGCCGGTGATAGTGGTGGTCCATTGCAAAGTGTTAATGTATTTAATAACACTGAAGCGAGATATGTTCAATACGGTGTCGTCAGTTTTGGTCATATCAATTGTGGTGAAGCAGGATTTCCCGCTGTCTATACTCGAGTTCCTTATTACATGGACTGGATTCTAGATAATTTAGAAGAATAAACATAATTAATATTCACATCATTTTTTTAATACTATAAAATAAAAAATAAAATAAAAAAATACTATAAAAATAATATCATTGTTTTATAATAAAAATGGTATCATGTATAAGAGACAGTTTTTAATAAAAAAGAAAATTACCGAATACGATGCAAAATTTTTGCAAAATTTATTAAATGTGTTTTATTTATTATTTTTTTTAATTATTATTCACATATAGTTTATCAGTTTATCGTTTTTTTAGCTACCACAATATCCTTGTTTGTTACATATTTAGCAACTCGATTAATATTTAATTTTTATAGTTATTAAATATTTTATTTATAAAATAAATATGATTTTAATAATTTAAATATTAATTTTTTTTTAACTTTTTTTCATTTTAAACTATTTTGTGACAAGTTACTATTGAAAGTAAAGAAGAAAAATTTTATGTGTCTAACAATTATTGTGTACATTAAATTTGTTATTGTGTTTATTATCATAATTTGAGAAATTTACGCTTGCGCCTTACATTGTCTACATTTTATTATATAACACGATAAGTTTCTCGTGATATTTTTAGTATACTTTTAACTTTTAAAGTTGAATGTTTATAAAAAAAAAAAAATGGTTAAACCACGTGTTCTTGTAATTAGTAATGACACACCTTCAGTTGGTTTAGATCTTCTTAGAACAAAGTGAGTTAAATTAATTTTCCATTGCAATTAATTTATTTTGTTTTAACTTTTAATTGTTTTTTTTTTATCATTTATTTACTAATTTAATTTATTATTTAAAAAAATATTTCTTCTAAATTAGAATATCAATTTTTTTAATTGGATAATTATATAAAAAAGTAGTTTTGAATACCTATTTTAAAAAATTAAATCATTTTTTTAAAAATAATTTCATTACCTTTTTTTTTAGATGTGATTTGACAATTTTGCCGTCTTCTAATCCAACAAGGGAACAAGTTCTTAAGGCAATTCCTGGACATGATGGAATTTATCTCTCTGTTCATGCCAATATTAACAGCGAAATGCTTGATGCTGCAGGTAAAATATTAACTGAAAAAAAAAAATAAATCAAATAAATTTATTTGTATTTCAAAAAAAAAAAAAAATTGTATTTTTTTTTATTATAGGCCCTAACTTGAAAGTTGTTTCTGCAATGTCAGCCGGTTATGATCATTTGGATATACCTGAAATAAAAAGAAGAGGAATAAAAGTTGGACACACACCGGAAGTTTTGTCATCCGCTGTTGCTGATATCGCTGTAATGTTACTATTAAGTGCATCAAGAAGAGCCTACGAAGGACGATTAAAATTAATGGAGTAGGTTTCTCCTTTCCTTGAAAAAAACAGAAAATAAATTCTTTTTAGAAAATAAGATTAAATCTTTTATTTTAATTAATTAATTTTTTTTTTCAAAAGAGGCAAAGTTGAAAATAGACCACAATGGTTATTGGGAGTTGATGTAAAAGGATCAACAATTGGAATTGTAGGTTTTGGAAATATTGGCCAAGCAATTGCAAAACGACTAAAAGGATTTGAAATAAAAAATATTCTCTACACTGGACATACAAAAAAGAAAGCAGGTATATGTATAAATTTAAAGAGAAATATAATTTTTAAAATTAAATGAAAATTTTAATATATTTCTAAAAGGTGATGAATTGGGAGCTGAATTTGTGTCACTTGATGAACTTTTGGAAGAAAGTGATTTTGTAATTGCAATTACGCCATTAACAATTGAAACATTAAAAATGTTTAACGACAATACCTTTGGGAAAATGAAGAAAAATGCCGTTTTCGTTAATGTTGGAAGAGGAAAAGTTGTTGACACTGATTCATTGGTGAGGGCTCTCAAAAATAAGACAATATTTGCCGCTGGACTCGATGTCGTTGATCCTGAACCACTTCCACTTGATCACGAACTTCTGAAATTACCAAATTGTGGTTAGTAGTGAAAATTAATTATTATTTCATTTATTTACATGTAAATTATTTTTAATAAATTTAAATATTATTTATCTTTTTTTAGAAATTGTACCACATCAAGGTAGTGCGACAATTAAAACTCGGAATAGTATGTCAAGAATAGCTGCTCAAAATCTTCTAAATGCATTAGAAGGAAAACCAATGATTTATCCTTTATAATTTCTAAAAACATTTTATAAACTCTAAATCGTTTATTTTTGTTATAAATAAAATAAATTAAAAAAAATAATTATAAATAAAATAATAAAATAAATATATTTTAATTAAAAATAATTTTTTTGATGATAAATATTATATTAGTTATTTATCCCTTTAAAAAATGGATAAACCTTTTTTTTATATCTTATCTAAATCATATTTGAACAGTAATTAAAAAATTTTTTTTTTATCACAATTATCAGTAGTGATAGTAGTTTTATTTCCTTCTTGGAAATTCTATTATTTAATTGCATTTCTAATTATTTATTGAAGTTAAATAATTTTTTAATAGTAAAATTTTTTTTATAAATATTTAAGTGACAAGAGAAAAATTTGTAGTAAAAAATAAAATAAGAAAAATCTCAAAGTAATAAAAATTATTTAGAAAATATTATGATTTAAATTTAATTTTGTATTTACGTAAAGTTTGAAATGAAAGTACCAGAGTCAGATAAAGGTAGGTAAATCAAAATAGATAATTTTACAGCCACAAAGTGGTATTTCTACTTTGTGATAAAAAAAAAATGATAAAATTCAAATATAAATTACTACTTTAGTATAAAATTTTTTCAATATAAATAATAAATTTTAATAACAATTTTTAATAAAAAATAAATAATAAATAAATAATAAATATGAGTAAACCTCGTGTATTAGTGAAAGGTTATAAAGAATTGCCTCAAATTGTTATGAATCTTTTGAAAAGCAAGTAAGTAAATTAGATATTTTAATATACATATTGTAAAAAGTTTTCGAATTTTTAAAAAATTAAAATTTAAATTAAAATTTAAATTATTTATTTATTTATTAAATTAAAATAAATATTTTTTCTATATTAAAAAAATAAAATTTATTTCAAAATTAGATTTAACGTAACGGCAATTGAATCCTATTGCTTTACGAGGCAAGAAATGTTAAATATTCTTCCCGGACACGATGCTTTATTATATCCTAGACCATTCGTAAAAATTGATAGCGAATTTCTCGATGTTGCTGGTAAATATTTTTATATAATTAATTATTTTATTTATTTATTAATATTTTTGATTATTTTTAAGGACCGAATTTAAAAGTAATATCAACTTTATCAGTTGGCCATGATCATTTAGACGTGGATGAAATTAAAAAACGTGGAATTAAAATTGGATATTGTCCCAATGCATCAACAGCTGCAGTTGCTGAAATTGCTGTAATGTTAATTTTATGTGCATCAAGAAGAGCCCACGAAGGACGATTAAAATTAGAGCAGTTGGTTTGAAATTAATTATTTTTTTTTTTACTTTTTAAACATGCATCTTACTTTCTTTTTTTTTTTGACTCAACAGGGCTGATATTTTTCCAACTTTTCAATGGATGGTCGGATTCGATCTTCGAGGATCGACAGTTGGAATTGTTGGATTAGGAAATATTGGCCAGGAAGTGATAAAACGATTGCAAGGCTTTCAAGTTGGTAAATTCCTTTACACGGGACATTCCAGAAAAGCAGAAGGTAAATTCTTTTTCACCTGAGGAGTTGAAAATTTTGGTAAAAATAATAAATAAATAAATAAAAATGAAATGAAAAATAATAAAATTAATATAACCTTGTGATTATTGATTCATAAAGGGATTTTTCTTTCAGGTGAAAAACTTGGAGCACAATTTATGTCCCTCGATGAACTTCTTTATGAAAGTGATGTTATTGTTGTTGCGACTCCATTAAATTCCGAAACATTGGAAATGTTTGATGACAAAATGTTTGCGAAGATGAAGAAAAATGCCGTCTTCGTTAATGTTGGTAGGGGAAAAGTGGTAAAAACTGAGGCACTTGTTAGAGCGCTTAAAAATAAAATTATTTTCGCCGCTGGACTCGATGTTACAGATCCTGAACCATTACCACCCGATCATGATCTTCTCAAATTTCCCAACGCTGGTAAAAAATAAAATAAAAAAATTTTACATTATAAAAACAAAGACAAAATTTACAAAAATACATTTCAATTTTATTTTCCAGTTATTCTTCCACATTTGGGAAGTGCGACTGTAAAAACTAGAGAAGAAATGTCAATGATTGCTGCTGAAAATATTATTAACGCTCTAGAAGGAAAACCCATGCCATTTGCCTTGTAAATTATAATTGAACTTAATTTTTTCTTTATTATTATATCATTTCATTAAAAAAATTTTTTTTATTTAATTTCCGATAAAAACAAGTCGTTGGAATTAAATATGTGTATAAATATTTAAATTTTTGACTTCTGTAAAAGTCTGTATATATTAAAAACAAGATCTTATATACAGATTATTTAAAATATTATTTATAAACTTAAAACTTTAACTCTCAAATTGAAAAGACATTTTTTGTATTTACAAACTAAATATTGAACAAATATTTAATTATTCTACCATTAATAATTGTTCTTTTTTTAATATTACATTTAAAATTTTTTAAATAGAATTTATCCTTTTTTTGAGAACAATTATTATTTTAGAAAATTTAATTAAATTGAAATTTGTAAATATTTCATTAAAGAAAACTCTTTGTAAATATTTTTATCATTCGCAATATCAGCAAATTTTTGTAAAATTATTTTTTTTTCAAAAATTTACTTTAAAAAAAATTTTTTTGATATAACACCACCTTTCGTCATTTATAAAGTCTCTGTCGATCACTTGAAAATTGAATTTCTTTGTTTTTTTTTATCATCCATAATGAACAACAGGTAACCATCATGCTTCTGCTACGGCATTTTTTAAACTGCTCAAAATTGGATCAATTTTGCTCTCCAATGACAAAATGTGACCCGTATTACACGTGTGACTAGCAATAAAACTCACTACCAATGGCAATTTATTAAGTTGCACTACCTATAAAAAATAAATATTATTTCATAAAATATAATATAATATAATAAAAATAATAAATACAATGTAATATAAAAAAATTGAAATACCTGATAGGTACTATACATGCAGATGACACTTTTATTTTTTCTCAGACCTAATTTACTTCCTTGTTCAGTAGCCATAGTGAAGGTGGAAAGAAAATTTGTTCTCATACCTAATTCAGGAGCCACTTCATTTGCAACTGATAATACAGAAACTCCATCTCTATCTGTTATTAATATACTATAAAGACCATCGACACTATTTAAAAGCTCGTACAAGAATTTTTTTGTTTCCTATTTTTTAGAGAAAAAATAAAAAGCAAATTTGTTGATAACCTCTAAATTTGTAAATTTTATTCATATTTAACAATTAGTAAAAATAATTCATATTTTTTATACTTACTGCCGTCATTTTTGTTAGATTCTATTAAACTTTTTAATGATTTCTTTCTAAAATCATTCGAGAAAACAGATTTTTAAAAAAACACAAAACACAACTTTTTGACAGTTATCGATATAGGTAAACTTAAGGCTGATTTACACAAACAAATTAAAAAAAAAGGAACCAATTTGATTGGTGGTTAACTTGTCCACTATTTCACAAGGTGCAGTATTGCCAACCCAAGATTACAAAAAACACTAAATTTTTCCATATCATGTTGGCAACATTGCTGATTACTTTTCTATTTTGGGATGCAATTTGATAGAGACTTGTTTGTAATTGTCACAATTTAATTGTTCTTTAACCTAAAATAAACATTCTAAACAGTATATACAAATTACCCGAAAGTTAGTTTTTTATAATTATTAAGTTTATAACCTAAAAACAAAGTTTCAATTATAAATATATAATAATTAAATGCCCGGTAAAAGTGAGGTTATTTTTTGAATCATGACTGATTGGTTTGTTGCAAAAATAGATCGTTTAATTAAATTAAACGATGTTGAAGAAAAAAAGGAAATTTTGACTGATATAAAAATTAAATTATTGTCATTATCCAACAATGATTTGGATTCTATTTCTAAAAATTTGGATCTTGGCAAAATATTCACTCAACTATCATCACAAGACAGGTACAATGACTTTGCTTATTATAAAAATTCATTTTATTTCTTAATTTAATTGTTTTATTTTTTTTTAAATATTTATATTTTAGTTAATATTACACTTATACAAATTTTCAAAAATAGTTTTAAGATGTTTAAATTTTTTTTTATTTTTCTTTATATTTAAAACCATTTTAAAATGTTTAAAACAAGGTGTCTAAAAATTTCTATATTTAGGTGCCATTTATAAATTACTTTACGCTATTTTTCAATTCTTTACAATATAAATTCTCCCTTCCCCTTCCATTTATATGCAATTTCCAGAAGCGTGATATAATTTATTAATGGTTCCGTGACTTTTTTTTTTTTTTTTTTTGCAAATAAGGATTTCTTATTTAAATTATGGGAAGAATTTTATACCTTAGAAATCAAATCGGGTATTTTTATACAAATTTTCTCAAATTCTTTTTTTTTTTAGAAAATTTCTCGAAATGCTGTGTGAAGTTATAAAAATCATAATGATAACACTGGAACCTGGATATGTTCATCAACATTATCAAAATGAAATTTTACATTTAATATCGCATTCCAATGTAATGGTGAAAAATTTGATTTTAGAGGAATTATTACGTACAGCTTCAAATTGTTTATCGCAATTAATTGCCGATCATGATTTACTTGTAGCGATAACGGAAAAAGTTGCTGATGATGAATTATCAGTAGCACAAAATGCAATGTTAATATTGAAAAAAATTGGCGAAACTCCAATTGGTTTAAAAATTCTCTATTCTGGCATTCTTTTACGTACAATTGCAAAACTTTTGACAAAAAATGATATTATCACATTTCGTATTTATGAAATTGTCATTGATATTGCAAAAAATTCAAAAATCGGTTTAGATGCATCAATACAATCGGGTTTTCTTCAAAGTTTAATAACAATATTGGAAAATGATGATGAACTAATACAACTTAATGCACTGGAGGCATTAACAAATTTAGCATTAAGCGAAGATGGTTTAAAATATCTCGAAGAACAAGATGTTCTTGTTAAACTTGCTGAAAAAATAGCGCACGCTAATGAAACGCCACTTTCAAATTTATTTATTCCTGGTCTTATGAAATTTTTTGGTCATGTCTCACGTTTTAGACCAAATGAAATATTTTCCAAATATCCAATTGTTATATCAGCGCTATTTGATGTTATTGAAAATGGTGATGAAAATATTTTAGCCTCGGCACTTGATACTTTGGGTCATATTGCAACGACAATTGAGGGAAAATATGCATTACAAAATCTCGATGATAATATAATGAGAGCATTAAAAAAAATATCAGAAGTTATTAAAAAAATGCCAACTTACTTTAGATTGTGTGGTTTAAATAATTTAACGCTTATTTTAAATGTAAAAAAATCCGAACAGGACAATAGAATTGTTTCATTAACAAAATCATGGTTTGATGCACTCGATGAGGAACCATTAAAAATGTTGATTGAACTTTGTAAACAACCATTCGCTGATATAAGACAAGCAAGTTTACAACTTCTTGGTGTTATTGCTTCTCAAGTTTGGGGTCAAGAATATATTGCGTCATTTCCGGGTTTAATTGAATTTTTACTCGATAGAAATGTTGAAAGTTTCAAAGAATGTAAGGAGGCTAAATATGAGGTTGTTAAAAATCTTTCAAATTCTGTTGACAATATTTTCGATACTAATACTATGCAAAAATTTGTTGATTACGTTAATAACGGTCCATTTTACATTGAAACTTACACTGAAGTTGCAATTGAAGGTGCATCTTAATTTACGATTTTCAATTTTTTGTCTTATAATTAAAAACAATTTTCATTTACAACTTTTTTGTAATGTCAATCAGAATTTTCTTTTTTCTTACAACATCATTTAGAGATTAGATTCTACTATAAGAGAAATAATTTATTTGTCTTAATTTAAATACATTATAAAAAAATTGGAAACAAATTTTTTTTTATAAAGCAACTCTTATAAATAAATACGAAATTCGAACTTTCGATATGACTTATTTGCAATATTTGATATAAGCTTACTAATTAGCAAGGAGTATTTTTTTTTCTCTCCACTGTTTGGTGAATATTAAGAAATTATAAAATATTTATCTAAACAATCACTTTACAAGTCTTGATTGATAATTATATTATAGTTGATATATAAAACTGACCATTAAAGTAAATGATGAAAATTAAAAAAAAAAAAAAAAAAAAAACATGAAATGAACTATACAACAAATGAAATGAATTTCTTATTAAATTATATACGTCTTATTGAATTCGCTTTCGTTTTTTCGGTGATAAAATTTTTAACATACTGACTACAGGCGCTTCGAATGAAAGCGAAACAACAAATGATATAATGTACGACGTAACAAATTGTCCGAAAAACATTACCATCTGAAAAAGAAAAAAATTAGAATTATTTTCCTTTTAAGAAATGAATAATTTTAATTATTTAATTAAAATTAACTTTTTAATTTCTTTTAATTTGAATTAATTTTTTTTTAAATAAAATATTATTAATTACCATGGAATTTTTTCCAAGATGAAACGGAGAGTCCACATACATTGCAGTAAGTCGAATCACAATAGGATGAATTAGATATGCACAATATGTTACCCTACTGAAGGGATATAAAATTGGTGCTGATAAAATTACATCTACATATCCTGAAAAATAAAAAAAAAAATTAAATTAGAAAAATTCTTTTTTTATAAATGAAAAATTGGAGCGCATTATTTGAATTTTTATTTTTAAATTATTTTATTAGAAATAATAATTATTTTTTATTTCAATTTTCAAATTAAAATTTGACAGAATGAAATGAAAATTCATCTAGAAAAATAATTATTTCTAATAAAATTGTTTAAAATAAAAATTCTAATTAATGATTTTTTTTTTTAAATTTTTCTTATTTTTATAGAATTGAAGTGAAGTTCTTATTGCACCAATGAATATTTTGGTACATTGATCCTTTTTAAAGAGGCAATGTCATTTCTGAATTTTATCATAAGAGAAACTTTCTAAAGATTTGGAACTGCATTCAACAATCCTTTTTTCCTCTTCATGCAAAGTTATATAAATTTTCTCAGGTGAAAGTTACTCAGCATTAGCGCTAAACTTATAAATATTATTTTTAGTTTACTTTAAAACTATGAGTTTTTTTTTTTATTACAATTAATTGTATATTCTAAAAAGATTATATAAAACACCGCGTAAATTTTTTTTTTTTAATAAATATAAAATGTTTAAATTAAATATGAAATTATTAATTAACAAATATAAAAAACTATTAATTAACCAAAAAAAGGGAAACTTTTTTTATAAAAAAAAAAAAAATATTTTTCGTCTATTCATACAAGAAATAAAAAAAAAAAAATTGTCAATTTAGGGATTTATTTCTTTTCGAATAAGACAACTTTTAAAGGTGAATCAGGACTTTCTAATTCTGAACTTTTGAGTAAAACTTGTTTCTTTTATGGCTTCTAGCTTTATAACAACTCTATAAGTAACATTTTATTATTATGTCAATGGATATAGAAATAAAATTAATTTTTGATAATTGTGAGGAAAAAAAAATTATTTTTAATTTTTGAAAAATAATTTTTTTTTTTTTACCTCCATATCCTGTACTACAGGCAATTACTATCCATGCTAAACCAAGAGCCCAGGCACTATGACTCAATGAGGAATAAGCAGCTGCTGTTATTGGGGAAAGTTCAGCTTCATATAAACCATACAAAAGACTTAGAAGACAAGCTGAAGACAGCAGCCATCCAACAAAAACTGTTATCTGTAAATATTTAATTTTAATTAATTTAATTTTTTAAAAACAAAATTTAATTTTTAATATTACAATCTGTTACAGAATTTTTGGGAGTTTCGAAAAAAAAAATACCTTCGACATCTTCACTTTACAATCAGTCTTAAATAGAAAATATCCAACGGACATTCCAATAAGATATGGTCCCAATCTGGTCCATGGCTTATCGTAAATCTTATCGAACAACGCCAGTGGATCATCAATGCTTGGCATGTGATTATTAATTAAAGCAATGTAACCAGTTGTCAACCACGAGCTCACCATAAGTGTTACCACTGAGAATGCTGCGATTTTAAAATGATTTGTTGCCAAAATTAATATCACAGCTCCAACCACATAGAATTGTGTATCATCTGCCACGTACCAACTCCAAAGCATACACTGTTAAAAAAATTTTTTTTTTTTTAAAACATAAAAAATATTTTTTATGGGAATAAGAAAAAAATTTTTTATTTACCATTTGTTCAACTGGAAATAGTGTATTGATATACAAGAGATTTCTCCACCAATAATTTGGACAATTTTCATGATCGGCAGTTGGTGTTTCAAAAACTGCATTATAATGAAACCATTTCATTGTGACTTCAACAACGCCCAAAACAAACATATAAGGTGCTGTGAGTCTGGAAAAACGATAGGCAAGAAAGCCAATGAATTTTAAAAATCCTGCTACAAAACCACGTGTGCCTTGAGTGAGTTTATTTAAATGTCCTTCGGCATTTGTACGAAAATAAAGAAAACTGACAAGCAATCCACCCATAAAAAAGAAAGTGTCAACGCTAAAGGCTCCATTTGTCACCGTTTGAAAGAGTATATTCTTTTCGACTACACGTCGATATTCCATATTGTCAGAATATTTAAAGACAACAATACATGTATGACCCAAAATTACCCAAGCCATTGAAATTGCTCTTAAACCATGAATTGTACTTATTGTATCACGGCCAACGCTTGGATCGCAAATTGTTTTCATGTTGGCTCTCACCGAAAATGAGAGTAACAATTCTTCACAAACATCTATTTACGAAAAAAGAAAGAAAAAGAAAACAAATTATTTTCTTACGTTCACAAAAATTTATAATTTACTCATGGCTAATTTCAATTTTTAAATTATTCGTTTTTATTTTATTAAAAATAAAAATAATAATTAAAATACAAAATTAAAAAAAATAATAAATCAAATAAAAAATAATAATAAATCAAATTAAAAATAAATGACATCATTAAATTAAATAAATATAAAAAAATGATAATTAAAATAAAGTAAAATAAAAAATTAAAAAAAAATAAAATTAAAAATAAAATTAAAAAATAAAATAAAACAAAAATGTAGGACAAAAATAATCATAATTATTAAATAAAATTAATTTATTATGTCATTTATTTTTAATTTTATTTATTGTTAATTATTATTTTTTATTTTATTGATTATTATTTTTATTTTTATTTTTAATTTTCAATAAAATAAAAACGAATAATTTAAAAATTGAAATCAGCCATTAAAGAAAATTATGAATTTTCCTTGAACGTAAGAAAATAATTTGTTTTGTACTGGCTGATTTCAATTTTTAAATTATTCGTTTTTATTTTAATTAAACATAAAAATATCTAATAATAAAATAAAAAATAAATCAAATAAAAAATAATAATTAACAATAAATAAAATTAAAAATAAATGACATAAGAAATTAATTTTATTTAATAATTGATTATTATTTTTGTCCTACATTTTTGTTTTATTTTATTTTTTAATTTAATTTTTAATTTTCTTTTTTTTTAATTTTTTATTTTACTTTATTTTAATTATCATTTAGGTATTTATATTTAATTTATTATTTATTATTTATTTTTATTTAATTTATCATCTCATTTATTTAATTTAATTTATCATGTCATTTATTTTTAATTTTTATTTATTGTTAATTATTATTTTTTATTTGATTTATTTTTTATTTTCTTATTATATATTTTCATGTTTAATAAAATAAAAACAAATAATTAAAAAATTGAAATCAGCCAGTAACAAATTATTTTCTTACGTTCAAGGAAAATTCATAATTTTCTTTAATGGCTGATTTCAATTTTTAAATTATTCCTTTTTATTTTATTAAAAATAAAAATAATAATCAATAAAATAAAAAATAAAATAATTAACAATAAATAAAATTAAAAATAAATGACAAAATAAATTAAATTAAATAAATATAAATAAATGATAATTAAAATAAAGTAAAATAAAAAATTAAAAAAAATAAAATTAAAAATTAAAAACAAAAACGTAAGACAAAAATAATCAATTATTACATAAAATTAATTTTATATTCTATTTTTTTTTTTTTTTTTGGTAATAATTAAGTAATTACTTACTCAATTGTTGACAATCTGGAGTTGATGATCGAAGGCTGCCCTCATGATCATTATTATTATTTACTGGACTAGATCCGTTAACGACAGTATCTCCTACTGGAACAGGAAGGTAGACCTTACCATCTAAAGCTGCGACATAATGATAAAAAAAAAAATCTTTCGTCGTCAGAAAGAAAACCAAAAAAAAAAAATTAAAATAAACAATAGAATATTTTTATTTTACTCTATCTGAGAAATAGGTTTCATATTTAAAAAATATAAATTAATTAAATTAATAAATAATAATTTATATATAATTAAAATAATAGAAATAATAATAATAATAATAATAATAATAATAATAATAATAATAATAATAATAATAATAATAATAATAATAATAATAATAATAATAATAATAATAACAATAATAATAATAATAAAAAGAATAAAAATAATAGAATATAAATCAAAAAATACAAATAAAAAAAAATTTTAATAAAATAAATTATTCTGAAAGATACAAGGGCAAATATATGTCCCGATGAAATCCTGTTTTTCAAGAATATCTACTTAACATTCTTCAATATAGCCCTGAAACCTTTCGACAGTATATAATTCAAATTTGCTAATTGAATAAAAATTAAAAATTAAATCTATTTTTTAAATAGTTTATTTAATTTTTTTAATATTATCTAATTTAAAAATTAAAATTATTTTTAAATTAAAATTTACATTGCACCCAGAGAAATATTTTATTTGAAACAAATATAATATAATTTGAGTTTTAACGTATATTATTTGTTTCAAATAATTTTTTTTTCTTTAGCGTAAATAAAAATTTTTTTATTTATATCGAAAAAAAATTTATTTATTTATTTATTTATTTAATTTATTTAAAACAATTATTTATTTACAACAAATATATTTATTCGCAATAAATATATTTATTTGCAATAAATGAAAATTTATTTTTCTCTGAGAAGTAAATATATATTATTTTTTTCTGAATGTGCAAAAAAAAATAATTGAACAATTTATCAGATTGGATTCAATTTTTATAATTGAAAACAATAAATTATTAATTATATAATTATGTTTAGCGCATAAAAATAGGAAAATAAAATAAATCTCACCAGTTAACGGTTTGTGGTTGCCATTTGTTAATTGCTCGAGTTTCGCATGCTTTTCAACATCACAGGATTCTTTCTGTTGTTTTATTAATCTATTGGTGAGATAAACGTCGTAACTTGTGCCAACAATCATTAGCACCAAAACCACCGCGCTCACACCACTAAAAATTTTAATGAAATTCTTATCTCTCTTACTTTCACTTTTTTTTTTTTTTAATTGAACAAATTTTTTACATGATTTATTTGAACCAAATAAAATATATTTAAGTTAAATAAACGTATATTTGTCTCAGAGCCTACTATAACTTATTTGGCATAATTAAAAATTTTATTTATCATAAATAAATTTTTCTTTGGTTCAAATAAATTTTTTATTTAAACGAAATAAATTATATTTAAAACAAATAAATGAGTTAGTATAGGCTCTGAGACAAATATATAATTTCTCTGAGAGTAGAAAAAAAAATTATTTAGATCAATATTTCAATAGGGAGAATAACTTTTAAATTACCTATTATAATAATTATAATATAATAAACTTTACGACAGTTTATTTATATATTAAAAATGATTTATAAAACAAATAACTATACTTACAATAAAACCCAAAACACCGAATCTGTATAAATATCGTAATAATTACGTTGATCGCGAACATTTTCCACTGATGAATATTTTGATGCAGCATCACTGGCAGCAAGTTTTGCTATTTCAGCAACATCCGATGAACTACATGAGAATGGAAGACACACTCCCAGATGAATAAGTTTTTTCTAAAATTGAATTTTTTTTTTTTTGTTACACCATGATTTATTTAAATCAAATAAAATATATTTGAATTAAATAAACATATATTTGTCACAGAACCTACTAACATATTTATTTAGTGTAAATAAAAATTTTATTTGGCATAAATAAATTTTTTTTTAGTTTCAAAAAATTGTTTATTCCAATGAAATAAAAAATTTATTTGAGGCAAAGAAAAATTTATTTGTGACAAATAAAAATTTATTTGTCACAAATAAAACTTTTATTTACGCCAAATAAATAAGTTAGTAGGCTCTGAGATAAATATACGTTTATTTAACTCAAATATATTTTATTTGGTTCAAATAAATCATTTCTCTACGTGTAGTAAATAATAAAACAAACTAAGGAAAAATTTTTTTTTTTTTTTGAAATTTACCATAGTTAGAGATGTTTCATTTAATGAAATTTTTAATATAAAAAAGCTTAATGGATAAGGAGGATCATCGGGTGCATCATCTAATGAATTTGAAACGCCACTTTGTCCGGCATTTATTCTTCTTTTTGGTTCGTTATTAAATTCTTGAACACCATCATCCTTTGATGTTGAGTAAAATGTTCTTTTTTCATTTCTTTTACCAATAAAATAACACTCGGTTGCTGATCCAGTGAAATATGAATTTCCCCAAAAATAACCATTTGTGTATCGTCCAGATGCATCGTCCACTAAAACAAACAAAAAAATTATTATATTTTTATAAAAATTATATATGTTCAATGAAAATTCGTGCAAATAAAAATTCTAACAAATAAAAATTCTAATGCAATAAATTTTTCGGTTACATAAAAATTCTATTTTTAGAAAATCTGTTTAATGAAAATTTTGCAAAAAAAATAATAATAGAAATAAAATTCTGCTCAATAAAAATTATACATCCAAAGAAAAGATTTCTTTAATTTAGAGAAACAAATTTCTTTAACTTGTTTTTCTTTTTCATTCAAAATAACATTTTCTTTGAAACAAAAAAAAGAGCTTCTACACCCAGAGAAATGATTTATTTGAATCAAATAAAATATATTTGAATTAAATAAACAAATATTTGTCTCAGAGCCTACTAACTTATTTATTTGGCGTAAATAAAAATTTTATTTGTCATAAATAAATTTTTCTTTGGCTCAAATAAATTTTTTATTTCAATGAAATAAAATATATTTGCAACAAATAAATGAGTTAGTAGGCTCGGAGACAAATATCAAGGATATCAAGGATAATTTGTTTTGAAACAAATAAATTTTCTTTGTATCAAAAGAAAAAAAATCAATGAAATTGATTTCTTTGAATCAAAGATTCACTATAATTTAAATTAGTTTAGAATTTTTATTTATAGAGAGTATATGAAAAATATAAGAACAAATGTAAAACAAATAAGAAAATTAATATTTCTGTTGTAAATTAATTAATCTCTCTCTCTCTCTCTCTCTCTCTCTCTCTCTCTCTCTCTCTCTCTCTCTCTCTCTCTCTCTCTTTTTGAGAATATTATAAAACTATATAAACGCGTGTAACGTAACGTCATAACATAATTCCTGATCGCAATTGTAGGCATATATGTGATGTAACGAAACGCGATTATCGAGACTATTCGGAAAACGCAACCCTGCTACCGCAATGATTAGATAATCTCTTACTTCCCGATTAGAAAGTCTTACCTCATCAATAAGATGTTTATATGTATGTCTGCGTAGGCAGTTGAACAACCTGTTTTTTTTTGCATTTAATGTTTTTTTTTTTTCATATTCAATATTATTATCCCATATATATATACATGGAAAAAAAATATTCACCTGAAACAGCGATAAATTTCACTGAAACAAGGATGTGTTTCACTAAAACAGTGAAAGTTTTCGATATTCTAGATAAACATATAGTTGTTCCAGATAAAGATTTTGTTCCATACAGTTTGAGTATTTAGAAACTCGATAGGTCCTAAATAGTTTCCATATAGTTCTACTATGCAGAAACTAGGTAGTACCTACCTACTACCTTGTCCTTTCTAAATAATCTATATAGAAACTAGAATAGAATCTATACAGAAACTAGAATAGAATCTATGTAAGAACTAGATAGAAACTAGAATAGAATCTATATAAGAACTAGATAGAAACTAGAATAGAATCTATGTAAGAACTAGATAGAAACTAGAATAGAATCTATATAAGAACTAGATAGAAACTAGAATAGAATCTATGTAAGAACTAGATAGAAACTAAAATTGAATCTATATAAGAACTAGATAGAAACTAGAATAGAATCTATATAAAAACTAGATAGAAACTAGAATAGAATCTATATAAGAACTAGATAGAAACTAGAATAGAATCTATATAAAAACTAGATAGAATCTAGATAGTATAACTGTTCTAAAGTTATTTTGAAATAATCTGTAGATTCACTAGATAGTTTCCATATAGTTTAAGTACAAAGAAACTAGATAGTATAACTATTTTGACATTTCTAAATAATCTGCATACTTTCCATATAGTTCAGCTATCAAGAAACTAGATAGTTTGACTATACCGTGTTTTCTGAATAAACAAAATAGTTTCAATGTAGTTTAAGTATCTGGAAATTAGATAGTTTAATTATCCTGACCTATCTAATTAATTTAAGTAGTTTCCGTACAGTTAAACTATCTAAAAACTCGATAGTTTAAATATCCTCTATTTTTTAAGTAATATAAACAGTTTTTATATAGTTTAAATATCTAGAAACTAGATAGTTATAACTATCCTATCCTTTCTTTATAATTTAAATAGTTTCTATATAGTTTAGCTATCTAGAAACTAAATAGTTTAACTATACCCTCTTTTCTAAATAAACTAAATAGATTCAATGTAGTTTAAATATTTGAGAACTAGATAGTTTAATTATCTCGACCTTCCTAATTAATTTAGGTATATTTAAACTATCTAAAAACTAAATAGTTTAACTATCCTGACCTTCCTAATTAATTTAGTTAGTTTCCATATAGTTACACTATCTAAAAACTAGATAGTTTTAATATCCTGTCTATTTAAAGTAATTTAAACAGTTTTTATATGGTTTAAATATCTAGAAACTAGATAGTTATAACTATCCTGTCCTTTCTTTAAAATATAAATAGTTGCTATATAGTTCAGCTATCTAGAAACTAGATAGTTCAACTATAGCGTCTTTTCTAAATAAACTAAATAGTTTTACTGTAGTTTAAGTATCTGAAAACTTGATAGTTTAACTATCCTGACCTTCCTAATTAATTAAGGTAGTTTCCGTACAGTTAAACTATCTAAAAACTAGATAGTTTAAATATCCTCTCTTTTCTAAGTAATATAAACAGTTTCTATATAGTTCAACTATCTAGAAAGATAGTTATAACTATCCTGTCCTTTCTCTATAATCTAAATAGTTTCCATATAGTTCAGCTATCTAGAAACTAGATAGTTTAACTATACCGTGTTTTCTAAATAAACTAAATAGTTTTAATGTAGTTTAAATATCCAGAAACTGGATTAACTATCCTGTCCTTTCTTTATAATCTAAATAGTTTCTAAATAGTTTCTAAATAGTTTAAGAACCTAGGAACTAGATAGATGAACTATTTTATTTGAAATAATTTAAATAGTTTTCAAATAGTTTAAGAACCTAAAAACTATTTAGTTTAACTATCTTATTTTTTCTAAAAAATTTAAATGTACTAGACAGTTTCCTTATTAGTAAGGCAGTATCTAGAAACTAGATAGTTTTACTATTCTGAGCTTTTTTTTAAAAATAATTTTTGACTAGTAAAAATTATATCCATGTTCATTTCAACGACAATTATATACACTCAACTCTATTATTATTTTAAATGCTCGACACAGCCTCCTTAGAAATATAACCTTCGTTATCATTCTACTCAACCTATCTTTTGGTGTCAAATTATAAATATAAGTTTTAGTTTGTAATTGTCAATGACCTCTCTATACTTTAAAACAGTGAATAGAATTTAAAACAAGCAATTTCTTTCTCTAATTTTTTTCATTATTTTTTTTTGTCAAATCTAAATTAATTTTTTTTTTTTGAATGAAATCTATTATTTTGAATATAAATTCATATAAAAATGTTAGAATTGCAAAAGTGAAAGTAATAAAAATTATAATAACACTTGTAAGAATAAATATAAATAATAGAATGTAGAAAATAGTTTTTAAATAGTAAAAAATATTCGCGGGACAATTTTTATTAGCGATGCAGTTTCTATACTAAAAATGATGCAATTTTATTGCAACATAAAAAGATTTTTTTTTTCGTTTTTAAATATATAATATTGCTATTACATTATTCTTTTATATTAAACTTGGCGATCAATATAAAATTTCTTTATTATACTACTATGCAATAAATTTTTTTTTTTTTACTCGCATCACCTAGGAGTGGTAATAAAAAAAAAATACTTAATAATTTATATGAATATAACAAGTCAAAGCTTTGTCCATAGACATCGAACGAAAGGAATAATTCGCATTAATGTTTCCTTTATGACGCATATTCGACTAATTACGTGCGACAACGGAAATATATATTTGTTCAAGAAAAATAATATTCAATACCTTAGAGAAATATTTCATTTACATTTATTGAGAGAAATAAAATTTATATTTAAATTAAATATAAAAATATTAGAGTTTAAAAAAAAATTTATTTGGTTCAAATAAAATCAATTATTAAATAAATTTTTATTTGTATCAAATTATTTTTATTTTAATTTACATATAATTTATATTTGTTTCAAGTACAGAAATTATTGGTTCAAATAAAATTTATTTAATTCAATTATTTAGTTTCATTATTTGGTTCAAGTAAATATTTATATTTGATAAAAGTACACCCAGAGAAATAATTTATTTGAACCAAATAAAATATATTTGAATTAAATAAACATATATTTGTCTCAGAGCTTATTTATTTGGCGTAAATAAAAATTTTATTTGTCACAAATAAATTTTTCTTTGGCTCAAATAAATTTTTTATTTCAATGAAATAAAATATATTTGCAATAAATAAATGAGTTAGTAGGCTCGGAGACAAATATACTATTTCTCTGAGTGTAATTTGTTTATTTGAATCAAATTTTCAGTTTATTTGAGAGAACAAAAATTTATTTGAATAAAAATAAAAATATATTTGTCTCAGAATCTATAATAAATTTTCTATTTGTTTCAAATGAAAAATTTAATTTATATAAAATTTTTTTATTTAAACTAAATAAAATTTATTTAAAACTATATATATTTATTTTGGCTATGAGATGTAAAGTTTTAAATTTTCTGTATAAAAATTTCGCTTTTTAGCATAATATGTTATTATAGTTATAAAATTGATATAAAAAAAAATGTCTATTTTGGAAATAAAAGATGTTTACGTAAGCGAGAGTAACATCATTGATGACCTACATTTACATCAGTCGGAACACTTTCCCTGCGAACATATTATGTATCCGCTATTCTCAACACAAAAGTTTAACAAATTCATGCTCGAATTAAAATGAAATGCTAATTTTTCAAGTACCTTTTTTTTTAAATGTGCCAATGTATTAGAAATTGAAAATATTATAGAAAGTTGTCTTTCCTTGTACCCAGAGAAATGTTTTATTTGAACCAAATAAAATATATTTGAATTAAATAAACGTGTATTTGTCTCACAGCCTATT